AGTCAGGAGGCCCTCGACCAGCACCTCAGCTCTCCTGCTCACGTTCCAGATCCAGTGTACGAGTGTCTCGACTGTAACCGGAGCTTTGGCAGTCAAGAGGCCCTCGACCAGCACCTCAGCTCTTCCGTTCATGTACCAGATCTAGTGTACAAGTGTCTCGAGTGTGATTCGAGCTTTGGCAACCAAGAGGGCCTTAACCAGCACCTCAGCTCCCCCGCTCACGTTCCAAATATAGTGTACAGATGTTTTAAGTGCAGTATAAACTTTAGCAGTCAGGAGTCCCTCCAGCGGCATCTTCGTTCTCCAACTCACCTCTTCAAACGAGAAGGACGGCCTGTGGACCATATCGATGACTTCTTTCAGGCCTATCCTTCTTTTGACTATGATCCATCCGGACCCGTATGGACGCAATTCAATCGTCTGCGCGATGACTTTAAATGGAACGATGGCGATTACGAAATGCGGCAGGCGAGGCGGGGGTTCAAGACTGCAATGGTACAGCAGTTTAATAGCGTCTATGGAACAGACGAAGAGAATCTAAATTCGTGGCAGAGGCTATGCCTCGTCTTGAGAATTAACCCTATACCTGATGGCTTAAAGAAATGTCGCGAGGTGGGTTTTCACTGCCTTCCTATTGACCTAACTTAGCATTCATCCATCAATGATTTTCGGAGAGGCGTGGCTAACCAGGACCAGCGAGTTCGTCAGACGCATGTGAATCTCGTGGACCTCGTAGATACCCCGCGGACTGGAGTAGAGGCAAATATTTTCCCAAGACTCGAGCTGCTACGGCACTATACAATCGAGACTGGGAAGTTCTTTCCTAAAAGTCATGCAAAATCTGGAGGATTGCTACGATTCTTGCTTCGGGAAATCCTCAATCCAAGCGTCCGTAATTCATGGTAACTGTTGACAAATGTCTCTCAGACCAGGTAGCCTAGGTGTCTGGCATCAACTTTCACAAGTTAATTCTAATCGTCTCCTGTTACGCATGGAAGAGTGGATTTCAACCACATAGGTCTCGCTATATATTGTACGCGGATTTAGAGACTCGTCCATCCGTTTATTCCACAGCTTCACGAGAAGTCAATACCTTACTTCTGGCTCTAGTAATTATACTCACCGAAAGGCCACCATCACCATCATTAACTATCACCGGTGAACTGTTCTCCTCTGCTCTCGAAGATAATTTTCCAAATGCATCACAAGGGAACATATATCAGGGGAATTCATGCTGTGCCGATCTCCGCACAAGCAAGAGTATTCTGAATCCATTTTCTCCAACTATCGAGCCTAACTTCCTAAGGCATCCACCGGCTGGCCACATTAGAGTCGGCTTCAAGAAGCGGAAGCTTGTTCGGCATCATTGAACGAGTTGGGGAAATCGGAAGGATGCATTCATTTCGTCTCTAGGTGCAACATCAATTCTGATATAGTACGAAATGCGGAGACAAGACAGGGAAGCCAAGTGTTCGGAAACAGCTGACTAAACACTGCCAACCCTAAGTCCTACAGCCATCTCTATCTCGATTCGCTACTTCGTACGTACATAGTGATTTTGAATTGTGGCTCGGCATCATGTCGTCAATTACAACGTACGTGCCAACAGTTCATGACTTGAAGTTCGTGGCTTGGAGGGAGATTAAAGGGCGGAAAGAATATCTCTAGTAGGAATTTATCTCTTATAAGACTGGGCAGGACTCTACCTTCCAAGGCCTTTCCTATCTACATCTTCTCGTGTTTTTCATTAACTCTTTCAACGCATAATACGCATTGCTCGTGGAGTATAGTACCTTGTAGTACATATTTCTATCCTAATTATCAAAATCAACACCACTTTTCTCGAAATATTGAGCCGACCTGATGCTTTCTTTTCTCATCCCAAGTGTGATGCTGATGGGTCTAGTTGGCGCCAGCTTCCCACCAAAACCTGAAGGCATCACCCTCCTACCAATCATACGAGATCAACACGTTCTTTTGGTTCTTTGAATCACGCAATGACCCAGTTAAACTCGCCGCTTGCCATTTGGTTTCAAGGAGGTCCAGGAGTTCTTTCAGCCCCCGGAGCTCTGGGAGAGAATGGCCCTGCAGGGTCACGCCGGACTCGAAAAACACGGTTCTTAATCCATGGTCCTGGAACAACCATGTCAACATGCTCTACATTGATCAACCTGTCCAGACCGGTTTCTCCTATGACACGCTTGTCAATGGGACAATCAATCAGATCCACTCGCCCCTCGACATAACGGTCGAGGACTTTTCTATCTCCGGAGTCCCAACTGTCAATAACACTTTTCTCGTCGGTACTTTCCCCTCTACCAATCCACTCAATACGGCAAGCTTGACGACGACCGCCGCTTTTTCTGCGTGGCAGTTTATGCAAACTTGGACTCAAGAGTAAGAGCAGCCACGACTGGATATATTCTGCACTAACTTACGTTTTCCTGATTTCCTGAGTATAAGCCAAAATATGACCAGATCAGCATCTGGACCGAGTCATATGGTGGTCACTATGGACCCACGTTTGCAAACTTCTTCGAAGATCAAAATGACAGGATAGAGAATGGCGAGATTAAATCGCCGGCAACAAAGCTCCATTTAGACACTCTCGGAATAGGGAATGGGTGCATTGATATCGAATCCCAGATCTCGGCATATCCTCAAATGGCATTCAATAATACATATGGTCTGCAACTTATGACCGAGGCCGAATATCAATCAGCTCTTAGCAGTTATCCAAAATACCAGAGTCTAATCGAGTCATGCAGATCAGCAGAGGCATCTTCTGCTCTGAGCGAAACTGCAGCTGCAGCTTGCTCGGAGGCATATGGTTTCTGCTTCAAGACAATGTGGGCGACGTACAACGAGCACGGCCGAAACGTCTTCGACATTGGATTACCACTTATTAGTTCATGGTCGCCTAAATTTGCAGCTGGCTATCTGAACCAAGCGGAAGTCCAACAAGCCCTCGGTGTTCCTCTAAACTTCACGGGGCTGTCTACAGGAGTTGCGAGCGCCTTCGATGCCACAGGTGACTTTGCTCGAGGAGGAAATCTTAAGGCTCTTGGGTCACTCCTAGATCGTGGAGTCAAGGTCGCCCTGATGTATGGTGACAAAGACTACCAATGCAACTGTAAGCTAACACTTGCCTTCCCCCACCTCTCTTATATGCATTTCTCTAATCCTATTCGTTCTCTAGGGCTCGGCGGCGAAAATGCATCTCTCCATATCCCATCTACCCTCAGCGCGGGCTTTAGGAGCGCGGGTTACGCCTCCCTTGACACAAATAGCACATACTCAGGAGGATTCGTCCGCCAATACGGATACCTCTCCTTCACGCGCGTGTTTAACGCCGGCCATGAAGTACCATGGTATCAGCCCGAGACGGCGTACCAGATATTCACACGTGCGATGCTCGGCACTGATATTGCCACAAGTACGATCCCTCTCGGGAGCGGGGAGGAGTATAAGACAGAGGGCCCCCAGAGTTGCTTTAGTGTCAAGACACAGGTGGCTGAAAAAAGGGAGAGGGTGTGCTATCTTTGGGTGTGATGGAGACTTGTACGCCAGAAGAGACCGCATTGCTGCTTAGTGGGTCTGCGATTGTGAAGGATTTCATCCTCGTTGGGAGGATTGGAGGGAATGTGACTGACGGGAGTACGTAGACCCTGCTTGATGAGTATATATACGACCTCCCCACTCACAGTGACACGTAGATTCCACAGCACCGCCATCTAACAATGCATCATCGGCGAATCCTACCAACCCCGCTCACCCTTCGGTGACGTTGACGTCTGCTTCTGCAGCTCTGTCGCCAACGATGCTTTTCTCGCTGCTGGGGTTGCTGCTGCGACTTGGTTAGTTTATTTGGAAAGCATGGTGGGGAATGGCATGAGGGTTGCGGATGGTTTGTGTACAATGTATCTATGTGATATGGGGAAGCAAGATCACTTTTCTGTGGGGGTACTAATCATATTATCAAACTTTAACACATAATTCAATGTACTCCATCACAAAGATAAGCCGGTCTTTACATGAAATTCTGAATTTTTCCTAAATCCTACAACTGCTAGTAACTGCCTGTTTTCGGGTACTGTGACACCCCTCAAGCTAATAAATAATACACACTAGCGCTTTCTCTCTTCTCCCTCCGGGGGTCTCGCTCGAGCGAACACACTATAAAACACCATATCCTTATAATAAAAATACACGTCCGACTATGAGGGACTCCGCTTCCGCAAGCTTTTCTTTTCTGTTTCTTGTAATTCTTTCCCCGTCCGTGGCATGATGATGCCCCTATCAATTTTATATCCCCGTCCGGTCCGTGACAACGCCTGAGGTAAAATACAGAACAGATAAACAAGAAGAACAATAAAGGGGGGACTAGTTTCGACGTATGCTGCCAGCTCTTCCAATCCCAAACCATTTCTTGCCGCCTACAGGAGCAGCTTTGGCGTCTCCTCCGTCTACTTCGGCGGTGGAGGCGTTGTTGCGAGTAGGATCTTCGTCGGCGGGAACGTCATACCTAAATGATTGTGATCGGTTGCCGGATCCTACCCCTGCGGAGACTGGCCGGTGGCTAGGCCGTGTGCGCTTGATGGGCGGTGGGGTGGCACTTGCTCCTACATCCATACCATCATCGACATAGCTGGGAGCTTTAGTTGTGTCAGTTTTGGTGGCTGGGCTGGATGGGCTGCTTTCGGATCTTCCGAATATACGGCCGGATAATCGGGAGATCCTCGAATCCTTATCCTTTAATGGCGAGTTTGTCGTGGGCGATTGGCTCGGGGGGTTGGGTTGTCCTTTAAGCTTGGTGGTTGCTGTAAGTGAGGAGCGGCGGTCAGGAGGGTATGGCTTCGACATTTCGACAGGTGTTCCATGCTGGCTAGAATTATTCTGTTCATTTTTCATCCTGCTGCGACGTGGGGTGATCGTATCGTCGCTTCTAGGATATTCTGTTCGGATTGATCGTTGAACCGACCGATGTCTATCAGATGGAAGCGACGGGAAGTATGATGGCCCGCTCAACATCACATCTCGACCCCATTCCTCAGTTCCGCCAAATGTAAAGAGATCTGGTGTCATTACACGTTGCGGATGTCGGTAGGATGGCGGATTGTACTTGCTGGCTGAACTGGCTATACTAGCTATATCACTGAAATCGTCCTGCGTCTCAGTGTCCCATCCATGGCCATCGCGTCTACTTGTCACTGTTTCACCAGCACTGCGGGGTCGCACAGACACATCGGAACGAGATGGATGAAAGCTCTGGAACACCGCCGTGTTATTGAGGAATGTTTGATTCTCCGAGCCCCGCTGGCCCCGAGGAACTTCATCTCTTGAATTCTCCAAGTGCTTTAAGGTATCGCTGCTGAAGGTATCTGGGGTTGGGGGTAGGGTCTGGTGGCGTTCGAAGCTGGTTTGATCCCTCACGGCCCGGCGAAGGGTCTCTTTCGATTTTCGTTGCACCTTGGCAGTTTGGGTTGGGCCTGGCAATTGGGATCCGGCAGAAATGAGAGAATGGTTTTGCGTGGCAAGAGTGTGCTTTAACCTCTCGAGCTTTTGCAAAGGCGACTGGAGGACATCATTGATCGATCGGTATTGGCTCTTCATCCCCATACTGCGGGCCGATGGCCGCGCGGGAGTAACCGCAGGTACCGGCCGTTCATCTATCCACTTTTCAACCGCAACTGACGCACGATGCTTTCTCTCTGGTGGCGGAGACTCGGACTCTTCTTCCTGATCAGAAACTTCCAGTAACAGAGGCTTCTCCCCGTAGATGCTAACGAACGAGCTTTCGCTAAGCGTACTGAGTCGTGGGCTGTCCATCCCATCCCCCACCAACGTGGGCAGTGTCACATCGCTGTGGCCATGATTGGCGGGGAGATACAAGCTGCGCAAAGCTTCAGCACCTTCGCTCTGCTCGGATAAGAAGGACGGCATGCGCACAACCGAGTTGGAGGACCGAGTCGGTTTTAGGTCGTCGAGCTGTGGCGGAGAGCTAGGAATATCGTCATCCTGGCCTGGCCGGAAATATGTCGATTCGAAGTCTGCCTCGATGGCCTTCACCCCCTCTCTCTCCTTCATCAGGCGGTCCACTTTGTCTTCCAAAGTCACGATGATGCCAACAGCTTCTTCCACCGCGTGATCTCTCTTCTCCAACTCAGCCAGCAATTGTTCGTTCACCTCCTGCAATTCCACCTGTTCTTCAATCTTCTTCTCCGCTGCATCAAGCTGTGCTTCGAGAGTTTCTTGTCGTTGCCGTCGGTGGAAAAGCTCAAGCTTGAGGTCGAAATTCTGTTTATGTAGAGTAGAAACTTGCTGCATAACAATTAGCCATGTCCGTAAAAAAAATTTAAGCCTGCGAATAAAAACGTACCTCTTCAATCTGCTTCACGCCCATTCCTTTCCCCGTGGCCACGTTCCCAGAGATTGGTCTCCGCTCATCCCTCGCCATCGTTGCGGTGATGGGCGAGCTCTGCCCTCCCCTCTCCCCAAGCACGCTCGTATCAATGCTCCCGCGTCGCATCAGCCTGGCACTCTCGACCTTCCTCTCCCTCAATCGATCCTGTAGCAAGCTCGAGCCAGCCGACGAAGGCACCCGCGAACCGGTACTTGTGGTGCTTCGCAGGGGAAGGTGGGCTACCGAGCCATTGCTGCTGGATGCTGGTGTCATTCTGGTATTGCTCGACGAGCTTGAGCCTGGACGCGTACTGCGACTTCGTCGTGAGTCCTGGCTGCTATCCTCCATGCTAAAGTTTGAAGAGAATTTTGCCCTCACGTTCTGTTTGCTGGGCCGGGTTTGTTTCGCGCGAGGACGGTGAGAAGGGGGGAAAGGCGCAATGATATCGCGCAAACGCCTGTGTGTGCAGGTTGTATAGTCGTGGGTTTGGCAAATATAGGGAAAGGATGCGCCGTTGGTACTAGGGACCTAGGCAGCGGTGAACTTGGGGTGTAGGGACGTGCAGCGCAAGGGGTTGTTTATATTTTTTTCAGTACTTGTAAAATGGGCAGAAACCCTCCGTTAATGGGTTTAAGCAAGATGCGAATAAAAGTCGAGTAAGTGAGTGAGTGAGTGATTATGCGCTGTCTAGCATAAGTGCGTTGTATTTTGGGGAGTTCTTGTGACCTGCCGTAGAGTTGTGTTTTGATTTTACAGGGTGGAGAGGGAACAAAAGGGGTATTGAAAGGGAATCCTGGCCCGCTCGTAGGGCAAAGCAGTAAAGGATTCAATGGTTCGCTACGTAGTGCTGGTACTGGCACAAAAGGAACGGCACGTATTACTTCGTACAATGGTAATGATTGGCACAATGTCCGGACTGCCAACAATAAGGAGTCCGGCAAGTCAAAGAAAGGCCTTATTAGCTAGTGGCTGCCGTTGCCAGGACCCCGGGAACGACTAGCCAACGGCGGCCGAGCGCTAGGCTTGGTGGCTTGGTGACCGAGCTGAGCCTGGGTTGATTCGGTTGCAGAGTTTGCAGAGTTGCAGTTGCGTAGGGGGAGAGTTACTAGAGCTACTCGAGTTACTAGAGTTGCTAGAGTTTCCAGCGTTATCACAAGTGTGCTCGACTAGCCCAGAGTTAGCGGTGCCCGGATCGCAGCCGGGTCGGGCTCGGGCGGCAACCCATTCGTCGGAGAATTTGCCGGGAGGAGCCAGGGGCCTGTTCCCGGCAGCCAGAGGAGCGGGCCGTGCGTAAAGGGGGGGAGGCTGGGGAGGCTGGGGAGACTGGGGCATGGATTCTAGGCGTTGTGGAGTAACAAGGCAGAAGCGGAAATGGGTTATTCAAATTCAAGAAGTCTCTGGATCACGAATATCAGTCGGCGACATACAACGAACAACAATCTATCTATCAGTCTACGGAGTATTAATCAATCAATCATCCTCTATCCCTACTAAACAGATCACTCCATAATTGCTTGAACCCATACATAGGCTTCTTGTCATCATACACCTTCGCCTTACCCTGGGAAAACGTTTCCAGAGCCCCTCCTCCTGCAGGTTTATAGCTTCCAGTAACGTCTCTTGCGCGGGGTTGAGTAGCTCTTTCTCTGATTTCTTGCGCCAGCTGGGGCGCAACATCGGCGTAGCAGTTTCGGAGCTCGCGCTCGAGGGAGAAGTATGGCTTTTTGGCCAGTTCTGGCGCCATTAGGTTGTACGACCTGGTTAGACTGTTTAGGTTGGTGATGGCGAGTTGAAGATACGACTGCTCACCCGCTTCCCACTCAGGTAGGCGAAAGGGTGCTGGAAGGGGACGGCTTGGTTGCGGCTGAGCCTTTGGAGTTTCCCCCGTTGATGCTCCGGGAGATTCCGAGACGGCGATTTCGACATCCTTGGTCTCTACTGGAACTTGGATTGAAGGCGGGTCGCTTGCTGAGGGGGATGTAGGTTGCTGGGCGATCTTGACTATGACAGGACTGGCCGTGGCATTCCCTCCCAGAGCAATCTTTTCCACGTCTTGTCTCCTGGGATTATGCAGCCTCTCCGCTTCTGCATAGATATCCGCTTGTCGCATTTGATCTTCAAGAGTCCCTCCACGACTTGCAATCGTTCTTGCGGCATGACGCTTCCACTCATACCGCAGCCGGGCACGAAGTGTACTTGCCGTCTTGACAATCTCTTGTTGTTTCTCAATCCAAGGAGGGACGATAGCCTGCTGTTGAATCATCCTATTCATTAGGTATTCGGTCGTATCCACGAATGGATTATCAGCTCCCGGATCTCGTTTGATTGCTTTCCCTCGTGGAATGTCCTGAAACCATCAGTTGGTGATTATATCATATTTTGAGTCCATCCGTACCTTGAATTGCCCCCTTGCAATAGCATCCTCGATCCTCTCATTCGCCAGGGCGGCTAACCCACCAGGGGAATTCGGCATGGCCCGAGCAGCAGGCATAAATCTTTCTTTTAGTTCTTGCCTCAGAGCAGCCCTTTCCTTGTCTGACAGTTGCGTGTCCTTCGAGGTTGCATATATAGATGTCTTGTCCTTGGCATTGGCAATCCGCTGCCCCGGTCGCTGCTTCGGCGTTCTCTTAAACCTGAGATCAACAACTGGGTCCGGTATCTGGGTAGGGCCTCGAAGGCCAGGTTTTAAAGGCTTTCGCGCATCGTCCACCATTCGTAGCATCGTATCTTCAGGAGCTTCGTCACCCGCCCATGTTTGCGCCGTAGCGATATCCCGAGAGCCTTTCCCAACGTTGGATGTCAGCCCAGCTTCCGTGAAGGCGGTGAGATTCTCTTCTCGAAACTTGTGCGCCTGAACCCTCTCCAACAGTTGGTCTTTCAACTCGTCCGAAAACCCTGCCTCTTCTACTGCTTTTCGACCCGCTCGGCCACCTTCCAGAAGGGCATCCTCAGTCGCTTGCGCGAGGCGTCTAGACATTGCCCCTTGTTTCTGTCCATGATTGGACTGTGGCGACGTAGATGATTCGGGCGTCGGATATTTCTCAGATGGTTCGGCTTCGATCGAATGGCGCTCCTGCTCTGCTATCTTGCTGGAGACTCGAAGTGGCGAGAGATGAGAGAAGGACCGCGATGCGAATTGGGACCTTGGGTAGCCATTATGGCGTTGAACAGTTCGCAAGCAGCGAGCGCAGATATGTGGTGAGTAGTATCGTAAGTTGGGCATATAGAAGGGAGGCAAGGAGATTGTTGCTGGTGTGGGAGACTTTTGGTAGAGGTAGAAGGCAGATAAGGTATATCATAACGCTCACGCCGACAACACAACCGCGCGCCGCCTTCCGATAGGCGATAACATTAACGCCGACTAGTGGGCCGAAACTAGAACACCAACCATTTCCTCACGGCAACGCCAATTTTGAGGACCCCTTGACGAGCAAGAAAAGGCCATAAACGACGAGACCGGTATCAAAGAGCACACGCAGTTGCCAAAGACCACACCTTTGTAGAGGATTGCCCAGTTGTCAGGGGCCACATCGCTCTCAATATTTTGGGCCATCCCTCCTTCTGATCTGCTAATGCGGTAATGTTGGTGACAAAGTTATGGATTAATGTGAAACCATATGGGCGATATGTGTAGAATATGGCTGCAAAATATTATTAGCAAGCCCCTGATAAGGCGATCTAGCGAGGATATGTAGTTTAAGTTTACTGAGGGGTGAGATTAAGATGTGTTTTTCTTGCCAAACATCCGATATATCGGCGGTGGAGAAACCGAGCGGTGGTTCAGCAGGAGGATGAGCTAAGTATGAATATTCCACTGGATGTTTGCCTTCTGGAGCATCGGGCAGCGGCGGACTGTGGTAAACCCTAAAAGCACTCAGTAAGACAAACTCGTGGTCTATAGGCCAACTTGTCAATCGCTCCCGGCCCTCCTAATGTTATTTAGAACTAATCCTATAAATTTTCTAGGCTATAGCTCAACTATGATTCGCAAGCCACAATTGTGATTCGAGAGTCCAAGTGATAACACGGATTAACTATCCGCCCTATATGTACCTACAAACACTTTCCCGTTTGTACGCTTCATCCTACACCCTTAAAAAAGTTGTGGACATCCAGTCTCAATATTAAGTTCACTGTTCTTTCGACTTCTAAATCATTTTTCCTATGGATAGCAACGCCTCGGAGCTGAAGTCCACTGCTGACACCCTTCTTCGTAAGCCTCTAGGCCATGGCACCTCTATCCTGATCACCGTCGACGCACACTAACTGCGACCTAGTAAATAATGATACCTTTTACGGGTATCAATGGACTTGTTTCTCTTCTCCTCAAGATGGACCGCTTCGCTCGCGGGCCGAACTGTTTTTGGCATCCGTGAATTGGCTTGCACTCCTAGGTTACGCATCTAACAAGCGGAATGGAATCACCTGCAAGCTACTCCCCGATATTGGCCTTGGTACAATCAACCACATGGTTCGAATTGTCGAATTTGCAGATAAATCCCGATGGGTGGCGCGACTCCGAATGCCTCTCCTCGCAGAATTCTGTTCCTGTGAAGATGTTTTAAAGGCGGAAATATGATGAATTGTGAATTTAACACTATTTCTCTTGTGCGGCAAAGACTAGCATACCTACCCCTCAAATCCACGCATTTGAGGTAAAACGCGATTGCAGCAGAAAAGCACCATTCGTGTTAATGGACTGCTTGAAGGGTAATGTGGGAATGGATTTAGGTATGAAGGTACCGCCTGAGTATATGCAAACATTTTACGCAGTCTAGTAAAGTTTCATGTAGGTAAGCTACTTGTATGTAGAACACGGAGGGATAACTAATTATATTTGCCTACTCTAGGTCCACCTATCCGCGGTACTGCTGCCTAAGATCGGGACAATGGTCTCTATAAATAGGGACGGCACGTATCAGCAAGGCCCAATACCAGGACTGGGTGGCCCCCTTGACACAGCAACTGAGTTCTTTAGAGCATGGGTGACCAATGCCCAATTCGGTATGTCGGACGAGGGACTGCGAGAAGCATCGGGCCAATATGCTACTGAAATCATTCCTTCAGTCGCCTCTTTTGCAGAATCTATTAGCAAGTTAGCTAGTAGCCTGTTTACCCATGATCACGGCCCCTTCCCTCTCTGCCACGGTGACTTTGGACATATCAACATTATTGTTGATGATAAGTATCACGTCCTCGGCATGATTGACTGGGAGGCAGCCTTTGCTGGGCCGTGGGAGATGTTTGGAGATTTCCCTTTGAATATTTCAATAGTTCCACCTGCAATGGATGCCCCATGGAACTACGACGAAGGAGGATATCCCAAATGTGCTGACCTGGTACAAAAATTTGCGGACCAACAAGACTATACATAGCTGCTGTGAGGCATGAGGAGAGTGGCCATGACGGGAATATATGTTTATCAGAAGTGCTAGGGGATTCAAGAAGACAGCAATTCGTAACTGCGATGAGGCTCTATCAGAATGGAAACGCTGGATGGTACTCTAAACTGATCGATAGGTTTTATGAGTAATATGGCCCCTCAACATGCTCGTTGGCTCTCCCTCCTAATCCATCATTCCGTAAGGCTAACTGGCCAGGCACATTTTTTCCGGCCACCCACGCCCACGCCTCTTAGGGCCCCTAGGAGCTCCTGAAGTAGATAAGCGCTATTACAGACTCTCCTGTGGCAGCAGTAACTTGCGGTGGAGAGAGGTTAACCTCGCCACAAATATTAGAAAACGGCAGCCGCACCACCAACACCAGCTCCATGGCAGAACTTCTGAGACACGGCTACAAGTACTTTGGCGGTGGCGCTTCCGTTTTATCCACCACGAGCTACTCCCTACTACGTCCTTGGACTCTAAGGCCCCACGATGTTTCCCCTATAATCCTGAATACCTTTACGCGTAAACACTTGCTCTATAGGCCAACTTGTCCATCGCTCCCAACCCTCTCCAAGCTCATTTAGAATTGTTCCCAGCAAGTTCTCTGCCATACCATCTAGCCACCACTGGCGGAGATAACCTATTCTTTTCAGTGCCACCGAAAGATACGCCACTAACAACAGCGCCTCTGGGACTTTGTTCTCCAACATCTCCAGAAATTCATCAGACACGCGCGAGAACCAGGACATAATACAGGATGTTTTATCGACCTCTTCGCAATAGGTCAACATGCTAAATACTCTCCGAATCGTGTCGAGAGCGGCTGGCATAACTGCCTTCTGTGCTTCGGACATCATGGAAGAACTCCATGCTTCGGACAAGTCATCAATCCACTTCTTATCCTCGTCTTGGAGTAAGTTAGGCCGATTTGGATCGACACGCCCCCAAGGGGTAAACAAAGGTTTCAATGGACCATTTCGAAGGGTGGGGGATACCGAACCTAATATCGAGTGCGTCCCCCGATGGAGCTTCACCCATTTAATCTGAAGGGTATCCGCCTCCTCATCAGCTTGAGAGGGCGTGAAGAATAGTGTTGATGGTTTGGTGCGGTCTTGTGAGGCCCAGGCATGGGCGAAGGTGATTGTTGAGAACGCAAAGCATGCGTGGCAGTTGGTTTCGTCGAGATTGAGGATGTGCGGCTGGGACAAGGATAGCCCTATCGCAGCGTGCCTGTCGGACGCATAACGGTACATGGACGACTTCTGTGGCCGGGTATGAGATAGATGGCAGGCGGCCAGCGAGAGCATTGCATGCATTAGAAAATCATACTCAAATGCGATCTGGACGATTGTGGTTTGGAAGAGGGTGGTGATTTCAGCGCGGCCTCCAAAATCCACTACGGATTGGGTCATCCAGAAATGGAGCAATTCGAGGTCAAGCATCGTGAAGTTCGCCGGGAGGGGTTGGGATAACAGGGCCGACGGGTGCAATTCTGTACTTGAGGTAGGCGCCTGACTAGGCAAAAGGGGGTTTGGCCCCTCAACTGGCAATGGCCCCCCTTTAATGAGAGGCCCTTTGATGGGATGAGTCTGGAGAAACGAGCATGATGTCCCATAGCCATCGCACCGCTGGCAGGTTGGTTTCTGCTCATCGCACTACCCAATGGTTAGTAGGCGCCGGGGGCGGTTCTGCAACTGCGTGGAACTGAATAGAAGATGAAGAGAGCCAGACGGGGCTGCGTGGTCGGCTTATTTGAGAATGCCCGTGGCTCCGTAAGGGGGAAGCAAGCCATCGTTCTTTCTCAGCAACTACTTAGTGACTGAAACAGGGCAGACTTTGCCCCGACTTCTTGGGCACGAGCAATCGATATGCTTATTTACATAGTGTAATAGAGAGAAGCAAGAGAGCCGCGTAATAAAGTGCTAATTGGGACATATCATAGCCCATCAAAGGTTACACCGATGCCACTTGCACGGGGGGCTTTCAAGCTGGGCTGAACAACGCTGACGACGAGCTGACGAAAGCAGGCTGGGCATACTTTGACTTTCCTCTGCTTGCATTGGACACAGCCGGTCCTGCTCTTGTGGTGAGATCGCCGGGACTTGGTCGTATGGACTTTCTTCATGATCTGGAGCCCACCTTTGTGCCGGAGAGTACCTATGTAGTGGTAGTACTGGGCGGATTGGCGAGTCGTGGGGGGAGGAAGGGTCTGGCAGGTTGTTTAGGGACGAAGCACAGGAACTGCGCGCACCGAATAAGGTGTTGGTTGATACGGCGCAAATACGACAACCGACGCCCGAGCCGCTGCGGGTCTCTTATGCCAATCCAGAATCCAACACCTACCTGCCTTTAGCGGTAGTTTACGTTCTCTACGTCGTGAATGCCCGAATACGCTGGTGCGGCGTGGCCAAGCGCTTTCCTAGTTGCTCGCACCCGCTGCGAGTACGGATACCGTCTGCGAGTACGAAATACGCCGCTGTATAAAACCGTAATCCGCGTATTGGCGGCGCTCTTATTCGCTGGCGGCCCTTATACGACAGGCGATATACAAGCGACGCCCTCGCCAAGCCCGCTCAGCCCCTAGAGCGCGCGTTCTTACTGTATTACTTCCAACCGGGGGCGGAGAGTTGTTCCAACACACCAGCAGACGGAGCAGCCAAAGAAAATAGGCAAGATGGTCTGGAATTTCCCCGTTCTCAATCCCCCTTGAGTTCTTTCATGGACTGTACGTAGGTACTACGTAGGGCGTTCCAAATACATATACCCCCTTCTACACCCTCCTCTTGTGTATAGTCCATTCACGTCCGCTCTTTACGCTTTCTCCATCCCGATCTGCGTGCTTTCTCCTTCACCTCAGCCCCACGTTTCTTCTCCATCCCAGGGGGCCACTGTGTGCGTCATGGCGGAATCTAACCCAGCCGTCCCCGTTCACAAAAAATTCGTTTTCTACAGGTTGGTGACAGTCTTTCAATCTTTAATTGTCTAGTATCCTAGATATTTATTAGATATTTATTGACATTGTTGCAGATATGATCCTTCACTGGTCGCCGCTATAATCTTTATAGTACTCTTTTTTATCACAACAAACTACCATCTCTTCCAAGCATACAGGCGGAGGACGTACTATTTCATCCCACTAATCGTGGGAGGATTTTGTAACTCATCCCGATCTATTAAATCATAAAAACATTTGCTGAGTTTCAATAGTCGAATGGATTGGGTACATCGGGCGGGCGCTGGCCCACTACAACAAAACCTCGCTCTCCATCTACATCATGCAGACGCTCCTCCTCCTCCTCGCCCCGGCCCTGTTCGCCGCAAGTATCTACATGGTCCTGGGACGACTGATTACGTACACCAGGGGTGAAAGCCGCGCACCTATCCGACAACGATGGCTCACCAAGATCTTTGTTGGTGGAGATGTTTTGTCCTTCCTCGTGCAATCAGGAGGTGAGTCCTGATATCGCCCGGCTACAACGTAACTCCATAACTGATGCGTGGATAGGTGGCGGACTGATGGCGCAGGCGAAGAGCCAGAACATGGGCAAGATCTTGGTTGTCGCAGGTCTCGCCATCCAGATCCTCTTCTTCGGGGTATTTACCATCACCAGTGGTATTTTCCACTGGAGGATCAACCGATCGCCAACCTCCGAGTCAGCCAGCACCCCCTGGGCAAAATATATCTACGCTTTGTATGCCGCAAGTATGTTAATCCTGATTCGATCCTTGTTCCGTGTCATCGAATTTCTAGGAGGGAATGAGGGAACTCTGATGTCGAATGAGGTGTATCTATACGTCTTCGATGCGGTGTTGATGTTAGGCGTTATGGTCATTTTCAACCTTGTGCACCCGGGAAATATTATTGGACGGAAGGTGCAAGACGACGATATCCAGCTTAGTGATAATTAGTTTCGGAGCGTGGTGGGTGTCAACCATACTAGAGCCATACTATGAGCCACCGTTATTTCGGGGTTTCTTACAATCAAAATAATAACGAAATTAGTTCGATCCATCCTGTTCCTAAAGGGTTCTAGGGCCTCCCTTCTACTATGGCCGTTTTGCCGCTCTATTACTAGAGGCAAACTCCTAACCTCCAGTTCTACCAGAAGGTTGCTTGAGCGCTCGATCACTCGATCCCTCATCACTCGTTGAGATATCAATGTCCTTACCCGCACTTCCACTTTTATTAGTACGCGCATCAAAGGAAGTTTCCTCTCGCAAGTGGGTAGGTGAGGAACATACACGATTGACGGCTGCAACGCCTCGTACTGACTGGCCGTCAGTGTATCCCGCCGTCGTGGGTTTCCACAATTGGTATTCTGTTATAATAAGCTTTAAGAATTGATTAAAGTTTAGGCGTGTTGATCCACAAAACATGGCCGAATACTGACGCAAGGTATTCGGTGTTGGTGTTCAATCACTCCCATTTAAGTTCGGCGTTCGGTGGTTCTAATTTGTCAGCTGCGTCTATTGCGACTTATAAGCATCAAGAAGCATCATTTCGGTCGATATAAATATCGCTACATACATCGTAATTATTACCTTATTCAACTCTCATTGATTAAAATATGACTGGTACTTTTCTCATCACCGGAGCCACTGGTGCGCAAGGTGGTGCAACCGCTAGAGAGCTTCTTGCTCGTAAATGCAAAGTCCATGCCTTCGTCCGCAACCCAACCTCATCTGCAGCTCGTGGTCTTGAATCTCTCGGCGCCGTTCTCTTCAAAGGCGACTTCGACGATGTCAAAGCCATCACAGCAGCTACTGCGGGCGTCAATGGAGTGTTCCTCAACACTTTCCCGAATTTCACGGATCCTGGAGGAGAAGTGCGTTACGCCCAGAACTTCGTTAACGCTGCCATAGCTGCAAAGACTGTGACATCGTTCGTCGTGTCAACGGTCACTAAACCTTGTAGTGACCCCGAGAAGTGGAAAGCCCACGAAGCCCAGTACCCGTTCCTGTCGTTCTACCACTCCCAGAAACGTGGGGTCGAGGACGTGGTGAGGAAAGCCGGGTTTCCAAGCTACACGATCCTGCGGCCTGGGTGGCTGTTGTACAACTACCTGTCTCATCCGTGCAGATACCATTTCCCGGAACTTGAATCCGATCGCATCTTGACTACAAGCTTTCCACGCGAGTTCAAGCTCGACTCTTTCGATCCAGCTGACGTTGGGAAGTTTGCAACTGCGGCATTTATGGACCCGGGAACCTTCAATGGCGTGGAGCTTGACTTGGTCAATGAGCACTACACCTTGGAGGAGGTTGCTCAGCTTCTCACCAAGGTTTCCGGTGTGGAAGTCAAGGCTAGGTTTCGCAGCGAAGAGGAGACTAAAGCGATTCTTGCGTCCGGCAAGCTGCCAACTGTTGAGAACCAGATTTGGGCGAAGGAACGAGACGATGGGAGGAATGGTGCGCATCTGGAGAAATATGGGATTAGGCTCACAACATTTGAGGAATTTATGGAGCGGGAGAAGCCAAGATTGTTGGCTACTTTGGGCGCAGCAAACTGAGGAAGGAGTGTTATTTTGGCCTAGGAGAGCAGGTCCGAACCTGTTCATATAATCGTCCAATTGCTAAATACAAATTATAGCCATTGAATGCATCTAACCTATAAACTTCCAAAGGCCAAGAACAGGGGCCTGTCGTTTTGCAGCGGGCCCGTGGCCTTCCTAGTGGAATAAGTTTAGATTGATGGATGATGGATTCATGCTTCGAGTTGGGATATCGTGTTTGTAGATCATAGCGGGTCCGGCAATAATGTACCCCGAGATATGTAGGTATGGAATCGATTTCTTGATTGTCTAAACGTCTAATAAATATGGTGAGGACGTAGAGCGGGGCATAGGGGAAGCTAAGCTTTGGAGCCTTCGGCTTCAGATAGGCCGAGAGAGAGAGGAGAGGAATTGATGTGGCTTAAGGGAGGTTGTGCTTCGTAAGGTCGGCCTTATTGTTTGGTGCTTTCTAGTTTTGCGTGCGCCCCGAGCAAACGGCTTCGTTTCAGTTGCTTAGTCCCAAATATGAGCTGTTGATTCACGATGGAATCGACCAATCTCGTTGAAAGGCTACGCGGACAGCAACAGGGACCAATGTTCGGCTACCGACTTATCCCTGGCGTCAATCCGGACGTCAGACGAGATCTCTCACGTCCCAGGTTTCAACCACGACCATTCGGATGAACATGATCATTGCATTGGAGAATCATCTTGGTACGGGGGCCTAGGCGCGCTCGATGCCAAATTCGCACCTTGAAACTTGCGGGAAACTAGAAACTTTAATCCCCCTTTTCTTGGCGCGCGATAGAGAGGCCGGGGCCGGCTAGGGAGGTTAGATATACTTCCCCTGTTTCCTACCAAGTCTGTTTGTTTATATCTTCTTCATCAGTGATTTCATTCATTTTCATTTCCAAGCATACATTCTCTTCGTACTTCATTCTTTTCTGCTGGGCAGTTACTACATTCCTTAACAAGTATTTATATTTCAATTCCCGGCCTCTGTTTTCGTCAATATGACCGCCATACTTTCTGTTCTCCTCGGTGCCCTAGCCATTGCTTCGGCATCGCCCCTTGAAGCCCGAGCAGTCACGGCTCTCGACCAGGCAGCTTTCGAAGAGGCACAACAGCGCGATGACACTGCCACCCGTGCATTTTCGGCTACGGAAATCAAGGTACGTGGATTTTGGCCGAAGTCGAGAAGTTCATTATGCTGATTAGTAGACCTCCGATGGACAATGCCTCGTCGTCAACGAACTCTCAGGAGACTTTCGCGCCAATCTAACTCCAATTACAGCCGCTGCCTGTGATGGAAGCACAGGTCAATTGTGGGATATTATCACTAGTGGCAAGCACAACGATAAAGCTGGCACTATGCTGGTTGTGAACACTCTGGTTGGTGTCTTCATCAATAACAATAGGTAATCCATGCTAATGTATTCAGACCCAAGCTTGTCTCAATTTCGATCCCCGAAGAGCGGCAGGGAACACCGTGATCATGTTTTCATGTGGCGGAAGAGCTGATGGAGGTAAAAAGCCCCTTCCACTTATGGCCACCTGTTCTGACATCTCCCAGGGGGCGCGATCACCAGCTCGCAACAATATACGTTCGATGGTGGCGCTGGCCCACTCGCATTTGAACCTCAAAATGCCATTGGAACGTGCTTTGCCCTCACAGCCGCCGGTATCTTGGACCAGGCTCCTTGCAATGCCGGGGATGCAGCGCAGTCATTTACTTTTGGCGGCGACGCCCAGGCTGCTCCCGCAAAAGGTGCAGCATCTCCCGCAGCAGCATCTTCGGTGGATTCTGTGCAGACTGCCGCCCCAGCTGTAGCCGCCTCTCCGACTGCCGGAAGCTCAAAATGTGCCTCGACAACAATGAAGACTGTCACCAGGGCGCCGACAGCCGCCGGCGCAGCTGCAGCATCATCTTCTCCCGCAGCAGCACCGGCAGTGACTTCCGCCGTCCAGCAAGTTGATGCAAATCCCACTTCTGCAGTGCCAGTCTCGCGAGCCGGCGGAGTTCTCCAGCCCTCAGCAGCAGCGGAAGCCAATCCCCGGGATGATACCGCAACCCGCGCCGTCTCATCCGCGTCCATCAAGTCCTCTACCGGCAAGTGCCTCTTCATCGACCCCACCGCCGGCGATTTCCGACAAAACTTGATTCCAATTGGAGTTCAAGAGTGCACAGGAGGCGCAGGGGAGAAATTCGATTTGATCACCAAGGGCGCGCACAACGACCAGGAGGGTGCTACGCTAGTTGTGAGCAGCTTGGTATGTTCTCCTTCCTTCCTGCTGCCTATATAAGGGCTATGCTGATTCTTATGCTTTGTAGATGCAGGGATGCCTGAACTTTGACGACCGAAGAGCCGCTGGCGATACAGTGATCATGTTTTCCTGCGGAGGCAGGGCCGACGGCGAAAGTGGAACGACGAACTCCCAACTATTCAAATTTGCAGGAGGAAACACAATTGTTCTTTCCCCAGAAAACGCAAATGGTGCAACTTGCATGTTTGATAATGCCGGCAAGTTGGATTCGACCGCTTGCACTGGGGGTGCTGCGCAGGTGTTCACAATTGAGGCTTGAATTGGCCCCCAAAACTAAAGCTTCTAGCAGGAACGTTTTGTATGATTGGAGACATTGTGTGGCGGCGGATTTGTACGTTTGCATTAGGCCGCTATTATTTTCATTCTGCAGTGCCGGAATAACTGTAATTATATTTTTATGAAGAGGTTGAGATAGATCAATGAATACAAGTATTTCATGATGACTGATTCTCCACATTATGCATGGCGGTGGCTCCCGAGACATATTAAACTTTGCGGGGGCGGTTAATTCCCCTTTCCCAGCCCCTGGACAGGGGTGTCAGCATTCCGAACTGCACGAAAACTCCACCAAAGCACCGATCAAGACGCCATTCCACCTCGCTGTTACGCGCGATAATACATTGCTCTACACGCTCAACCAGCCCACAACCAACAATGCGCTCCATATTATAGTAATACCATACCGAAACTTCTTGACCGCCGCCAATGGCTACAAATACCACAACCCATGAGGTTCCCGAATGGGAGGGGCGTACCACAACTGGAACCAAGAAGAGCCTCTTCAGCAAACTAGAGGACTTCCCCGCGTCTGAGGAACCCTCGAAGCAGGAGTCAATTGAAGCAGGATCATGCAATCGCACTTCTACCAGGCGATATCTGCCTCTTTCAATCACGAACTTCTTCTATCACAGTCGCAAGAGGGCGTATATAATATGCGGGATTGGCGCGGTCCTCCTGCTTGCCCTCATTCTGGGACTGGGCCTGGGTCTCGGGCTGTCGCATAAATCGTCGTAAGTTGATATTGCGCCTCCTCTCTTGTTTCTATCTTCGCATTGATATGATATGCTTTATACATGAAAACCAAGGCGCCCGACTAACAACATCACTCATAGCAAGCAAAGTGCCAAAAATCTCCCACTCCCAACCAACGCCGCAACCTTCACAGGCGATCTCACATACTACAGTCCGGGACCAGGATATGGTGCATGCGGTTACGAGAATACCGAGACGGAAGCCATATGTGCGGTATCACATCTCGTCTGGGATGCCGTGTCCACGAGCACGAATCCGAACTTGAATCCCCTTTGCGGAAAGAAGATCCGTATAACGAGATATTTCCCTGAGGTGGGGGGAAACAGGAGTGTGGATGTGCAGGTTGTGGATAGGTGTGTTGGGTGTTTGGATACTGATTTGGATTTGAGTATTGCGATGTTTACGACCTTGGCGGAAGAGGGCCAGGGGAGAGTTGTAGGTTCTTGGGCTTGGCTGGATGGTGCTTGAGGTTGTGGCTGGTAGGGGCGTATTTGGTTAATGGCGATGGTTCTGTTTTGCGCGCTTCAGTGGGATTCTTTTGAGCCTCTGCGTCAGAATGATCTCGAGTAAGAGGCGTTGGATAATGTTCGGCTTGATTAAAGAGGTGGTTTGATGTGTGAGATGTGGGCTGGATTTTCCGGTGCGCTGAGCCTGACTAGTTTCATTCTTGTAGCTATATTTGCAGAGATACCCTTATTCTTTAATTATATGTATAATTGGGCCGATTAGCCCGCCATCTTTATTCGAGGGCTCAAAGGTAGGTAGTGTTTAGTTGATACTCCCTTTACAGGTACGAATACAGTGGTAACGTCTGCATAAGGGGTGGTATGTTCCTAATGTAAATTGTGCTGTTGCATCTTTCTAGTTAAGTAGAACATGATGCGATATAATACATATAGGCATATAACTTGAGATGGGCACGTAGAGATGCTCCACATGACCTGCGGAAAAACCAAACATCCGTCAACCTTGTCTAAAATTGAGGCTCTGATTGCACTAAATCTGCGAACTCGGAATGGAGGGGCACCGATCCATGTAGTCCTAGATTCACAATATACTACAATCTACAAGATGTCCCATGACTAAAGGAACATCTCGCCGAAGTTAAGCAAATCGACAATGTCCCGACCCTCTTACTCCTCGACAAGCCAAAAAGCTTCCAGTTAATCCGAGCAGCATATATTACAAGGCTCACTTAAACTCCCCACCCCCAAGGATATCCTTGAGGTTAATCTGCCCGCTGCCCCTCGGTAGCGGCTTAGGCTGGTTCTCGCCCTCTTTCCAACCAATCATATATATTATCCTGAACGTGGCAGGTAAAGACCTATCCTCATTGCCATGAAGCGCTCGGTAGATACCCTCAGTCGCAAGCAACACATCCCTTTGGATGGGGCCAGGCTCCCGCTGTGCTACTGCATTACTCTCGCCCATAGATTGAAGATCCCGCATCAATGTAAATGTATCGGGAAAGTCGACAATGATGTCATCCACATCGACGGTTAACATTTTGAACCCGGCTTTCTGTAATAGCCCACCCATATCCTTCACATCTGCTAGCGGGGACACATGAGTTGACACGCCGCCTCTCCTCTCTTGGTCGGCAAGCTGTAGAGAAGTCCGTAATTCGAATAGTGTATCTCCTCCGAACATAGCTGCGATGAAAGGACTGTCGGGTTTCAAAACGTGGTTGATTTGTGCAAGGACCGATGGCAAATCATTGATCCAGTGCATGCTCAGAGAGCTCAGCGCAGCATCGAATGTATTCTCTTTGTAAGGCAGCCTTTCCTCGTCATCGAGCACTTCACGGGTGAGGTTTATGTCTTTGTTGAAAGGGAGCTCTGCATCACGATATAGCATAGCTCCAGAGGAATCCACCGCTGTTAGGTGAGCTATTTTAGTTGACAATGGAGGAGAAGATATTTTCGAAGGATCTGGGTCTGGGTCCGGCATGGTGAGTGCGCGCGCAATGTTACAGGCGTTCGCCCCGAGGTCAAGGACATGGCTGAAATTCCGATTGATGTCCTGGAACGGAAATATTAGTTCTGGAGGCCAATTGGAGATTTACGTTTATATCTACCAGCAATCTTTCCGATAACCTCATAGCCACCTCATCCTTTAAATAATCCACCTGTCTACTCCTTTCCGGGTCCTCCGCAGCCCGTTCCTTTTGTAGGTATTTCGTGTGCCGATTGAATACCTGCAACGTCGGGTTTCCCGGCGTCTGGACAGCATAGGTTCGAGAAATACATATTCTCCGCCTGATTGCTGGTCGTGGAAGAAAAGGGCGCAATGTGGCCGGCTTCATGGTTTAATTGGGGTGGGTGGGATGGAAGAGCAACCTCGACGCTGCCCATGCAATAAACAAGAAGGCTGATAGTGACGCTCAAGATTGGCGAGGCTTTGATGGAATCGCGCCTCTCGCCGAGTCTGGACCCCTGCCGAGTGGCCGGCCACTAGTGCGCATACACTCCATATCCCATATTCAAGAGGGGCCCAACATCAACGGAAAACACTTCGAAAAAGTCCATTCTTCAGTCTTCAGCTCCCGTCGCCAGCCAGGCTCGACCGCAGATCCGCACAAGGAGCTGGACACCAGCTAGAGACACACGGCGGATGGACTTCCATGGGTAGGGCTAACCTTTACAGCTATTGCTAAGGTTACTGCGGCTCGATCCCACACTCTCCCCGTTCCAGAACACTGTCGACGTCGCAGCACAACAGAATCCGAGCCTTTTATCCGGCTGTATCTGTCGAGGACGTCTGCGGGGATTGTAGTCCATCATTGGGGTTATTGTTTGAATCAAAGACGTATTATCCACTGCCCCACCAAAACACAGCTACCGGGAAGAGCGCAACCCGCCACATTTGATCATGGCATCGTCGGCGGCAGGCTTCCTAAGTCGAGGGAGCTCGGGAGATAAAAATATGCGTGGTTTGGTGCAGTTTATTGCAGATTTAAGAAACGCAAGGGCGAGGGAGCTTGAGGAGAAAAGGATCAATAAAGAATTAGCGAATATAAGGTATGTGGTTGCATCACGCTGCGTGAGATGTTGGAGCGAGGCTGACCCAATATATCCAGGCAGAAATTCAAAGGTATACATCAAAATGCAATACTGGGACGTATGGGGATTGCTGACTTAGGGATATAGATGGGAGTCTCAGTGGGTACCACAAGAAGAAATACGTCTGCAAGGTAAATCGCCCCCTAACCCCGAGCGCGGAACCGTGTATCTGAACTCTTGCAGCTTTTGTATATATATATTCTGGGTTGGAATGTCGATTTCGGCCATCTTGAGGCCGTCAACCTCATCTCTGCGACCAAGTATTCGGAGAAGCAGATCGGATATCTTGCGATGACCCTTTTCCTCCACGAGCAACACGAGCTGTTGCATTTGGTAGTAAACAGCATAAGGAAGGACTTGACAGATCATAATGAATTGTACAATTGCTTGGCTCTGCATGCCATCGCCAATGTAGGCAGTAGGGAGATGGGGGAGGCTCTGAGCGGTGAGGTTCACAGGTTGCTGATTTCACCGTAAGATATGGAATCCCTCCGTGGAAGTCCATTGCTGATTTATATAAGTACTTCCAAGGCGTTCGTAAAAAAGAAGGCCGCCCTCACCCTTCTGCGGCTTTACCGAAAACACAAAGACATCGTTCAACCGCAATGGGCCGAGCGAATAATTTCTCTGATGGATGATGTTGATATGGGGGTCGCTCTGTCCGTCACTTCTCTTGTGATGGCCCTTGCACAAGACAATCCCGAACAATACAAGGGAAGCTATGTGAAAGCAGCTTCGCGGATGAAGAAGATACTAGTAGATGGGGAATATGCAGCGGATTACCTTTATTACAAGGTGCCATGTCCCTGGATCCAGGTGAAGATGTTAAGGTTGCTCCAATACTTTCCTCCCTCAGGTATGTTGGCAGGCCACTCCGATCATTGCCTTGGGTACTAATAACCCTGCAGAGGATACGCACGTTCGAGAATTGATCCGGGAATCATTGCAGAAGATTCTAAACCTTGCTCTAGAGATGCCCAAGAACGTCCAGCAGAATAATGCACAAAATGCTGTTCTATTTGAGGCTATTAACCTTATAATCCATTTAGATACCGAGCAGGCCCTGATGAAGCAAATATCGACGAGATTGGGGAAGTTCATCCAATCCAGAGAGACTAATGTACGATATCTCGGACTGGAAGCCATGACGCATCTGGCTGCCAGAGCTGAAACGCTAGATCCTATCAAACAACATCAATCAATTATTATTGGCTCCTTAAAAGACAGAGATATCAGTGTGCGGCGGAAGGGTCTTGATCTGCTCTACAGCATGTGTGATCAGAGCAATGCGCAACCAATAGTTGGAGAACTCCTGCATTATCTTCAGAACGCCGACTTCGCCATCCGAGAGGAGATGGTGCTGAAAATTGCCATCTTGACAGAGAAATATGCTACTGATATTCAGTGGTATGTGGATATATCTCTGCGACTCATTGCCATGGCGGGAGACCATGTCAGTGATGAAGTATGGCACCGAGTTATTCAGATCGTCACAAACAATGAAGAGCTCCAGGTGTATGCTGCGCAAAATATCCTACAGTATGTCAAGGCGGATCACTGTCATGAGACTCTGGTGAAGATTGGCGGTTACATTCTCGGTGAATTTGGCCATCTAATAGCAGAAGACAAGGGCTGCAGTCCTATTGAGCAATTTCTCGCTTTGCAGGGCAAACTTCAAGGCTGTTCGTCGAGTACGAGAGCCATCATCCTCTCATCTTTTATTAAATTCGTCAATCTCTTCCCCGAAATCAAGCCTCGTCTCATGTACGTCTTCCAAGCCTACAGTCATACTCTGGATTCAGAACTTCAACAAAGAGCCTGCGAGTACCTTGCACTTGCAAGTCTACCAACCGACGACCTCCTTCGGACTGTTTGCGATGAGATGCCTCCTTTCCCTGAACGGCAGTCCGCCCTTCTATCCCGACTTCATCAACAGCATGCCCATACCAGTGACAAACGCACATGGGTTGTCGGAGGCAAGGATGCGAACACGAACGAGAAAGATTTCACTTTAACCAAGCCAGGCCTGATGCGGACACAGAGTATAAACGGATCTCTACAAGTCAACGGTGGCACGAACGGCACAGCTGCAAATGGTCACGCCAAAGGGGCGAATGATCTTGCTGGCTTGGACATGAACGCTGGGCCTTCTGAGCCCAAGACTCTCAAAGGGACTCCCAACTTGGCAAGCGCGGCACATCTGTCCCCAGACTGGGAGATCGGTTACTATAAACTGATGTTGAAGGGCGAAGGTATCCTCTACGAGGATGGCCAGATTCAGATTGGTGTACGCTCTGAATACCGGGGTCAGATGGCATGCGTCATTCTTTACTTCTCGAACAAGGCGCCCACTGCCGTGAGCTCGTTTACCACAACACTAGATCTTGATCCTAGCGAGAAAGACAATCTAACGTGGGAAGTAAAATCGTTACCGGAAAGCACAATTGGCGAGGGCTCGCAAAGCCAACAGATGATCATGTTCACAGCTCAGAACGTGTTCGACAAGAGCCCGACGATCAGAATCAGCTACATAGCTGGAGCGTTACAAGCACTCACTCTAAAGCTGCCAGTGACGATCCACAAATTTATGGACCCCGCGGAACTAACAGCGGATGACTACTTCAAACGGTGGAACCAGATTGGCAGCGCTCCTCGAGAAGCACAGCGTGTCTTCGGTGTCAAGGGTATGGATCGGGAGCTTAATGAGACCTTCGTACGGCGAGTAGTCGAGGGCTTCAGATGGGGCGTCCTTGATGGTGTTGATCGAAACCAGAAGAACTTCGTTGGCGCAAGCGTACTCCATATAGGTGATGGTAGGAAATTCGGGTGTTTACTGAGGCTGGAGCCGAATTACGCAAAACAGGTACGTTTGCAAACCGCTCTCTATTTCAACCTAACAAAATTAATTCTAACCCATTATAGATGATCCGTCTCACAATCCGGGCAACAGACGAGAGCGTCCCTCCCGTCCTAATTAAACTCATGGAGGAGCGATTAGCAACCGGTGAATCGACGCATCTAGAACCCATACAACCGCCAACCCGAAGGGAAATGTCCGATGCATTTGGGAATATTCTTGTCTCGTGAAAACAGGGGGAAATCGGGCATGCTAAAGAGTTATTGGCTAGTTCTCATGTTTTTTTCTAATGGATTTTTTTCGCTGGGTGTTGTCGCTTCGTCTAGGGTAAGGAAGGATTTTTTATTATAGTCATCGTATACTAGGTATAACCTGCTGCATTTTCAATGGAGTCTATTTTAAAGGATTCTCTTGAATCTGCCTGCCTAACCTGGGTGATTCATGCGCACTCCTGGACTCTCGTCGGTATAATCCGGCTTTTAATTCCTCCTCGGCTCATATATGGCTGTTATATCCCGCAACATGTGCAACTTGCCAACCAACTTATGCATGGCGTTCAAACCCCCCGAAACTAAATAAACTAACGGGACTATAGCAGCAAAATAAAAACCGCATCCTAAGGTAAACCATCAGACCTTATTGTGGCGGTGCTGAACGGAAAGGAAACACGTATTGTTTGCGAGAGAAGGAGACATTCGTTTCGGAGCATGTTTGATGACAGGTGAGGCGAGATGGGGTTTTAGGAAGGAGGAATGGTGGGTGGTATGATTCGGGTCTCAGATATATTCACAAGCCATAATATAACGTCAGCTCGGTATCGACGCCTGTGAGCAGACCAGAGAACGTGGCGACAAGGGGCGTAGTAACATGCACTCATCCATACCAGGGCACCGGGAATCCCCCTGGTAGACGAAAATTGACATGCTCTATATCCGAACTGCTAATGAAATTTTTGCAGCATGCCGTCAAAACTATATCGCTCAATCCTCTCAGCGCCCCCAGGATCTCCGGTAACTACCTGGGATCCACTTATACCTTTCTCCAATCAGTCATGCACCGTCCCACACATCCCAACCCGGCAACATCCACAACTTTCTCATGCCACGAGAGCAAAACACTCATCGTGCTGCTCTCACTTGCAACCGCAGGCCGTCCACCCATTTGAGAGAACCCCGCGCCGGTGCTCTGCGGCGAGATTGCGGAGCTACGGGAAGGTGAGTGGGATGATGATGCTGCCATACCTTTATATCTATCAATTATTATATTAGCTAGTTCGTGATTTTTGTTATTCAGTAGAGGGTGTTGGCAGAACTAGAGAGGAGGGGGAAATGTATGGGTTAACAGTTAGGAAGGGCACGAACAAGTATTTCATCAGCGCGTCCAAAGCCTCGCTCCCACCATCCGTTTGGAAGATCCGCTTTAATATCGGCGTCATTTCTGAGGCTTTGATAGATTGTAGGACGAGGATGACGGTTTCCGCATGTAATTCCTGCTCGTACTCCAGCGTTAGCATCTTCACTCCCAGTGTGGTCTAATATCTTCCTCCCTATCTGAGTAGCATCCCTCGTATCTATGATATGGGGTCCACGTATTTCACAGCCATAGATAAGCAAAACCATCTCAGGGTTCGTTCCATCGTACCTTCACAGCATCGCTCCCTCCATAAGGTGGCATCTCCAATGCGCCTCTCAGCGCCCCTTCGGCATCCCCGCCCCTCATGAGCTGTCTAATCTGCTGACCCAGCGTTCTTATCTCGTCGTCGCTAACGGGCACAAGGGGAGGGTGGAGAGTTGATGTGTCGAAGTTGGAGGAGGATTCGGGGTCGAGGAGGTCGATGTTGATGGTGCGCCAGTTGTCGGAGAGGGAGGCCGTGGTGACTTGTTGGATGATTGACATGGTGGGCGAAGATGGCGAGATTGGGATCTAAAGATATAGGGGGACTATATTACGACAATGGAAGAGAGCAGTCGGAGCTCAGTTGTTGCTGCTGGTGGTAGAGGGGTAGTGTCGAGAGCCTAGTGATGGTGGGGTGGATTCGACACGGAAGAGGAGAGGCCTTTTCGTAGTATGTGCGGGCACTTGGAGGGACGAGGGATGGATGAATGCTAGAAAGATTCAAGATCTGGAATCCTATCAAAGGCTCTCTTGTGGTTCTATTATGAATGGCGGGTTTGTGTTCTTGAGAGTTGTTCTGTACCTGTAGGTGTAGTCAGTAACCAAACTACCTATACGGTACTAGTACATGCTTAGTATGGTGGGCTCCTCCACCGCCTCAATCTCGTGTCACGTGATATTACCGTTGACAACGTGGAAGGATGGATGCTTTTTATGCACCGGGTACAATAGTAATGTCTCAAAATATTTAGATTCCTTTTTTTGAATTGAAGTTTGATTTGTTCTCAAGAGAGTTTCAGATGAGTCCATCTAAAATATTCACAGAGACAATAAATAAAACTCTCTATCTTGAGCTTCCTTAGCTTTGTTCCAGGATATACCTACCTATCTTTCTACACTACCTTACTGATGAACCTTGACACCACCACGCACCACGCACGCCAAATCCTAACCAGCAAGCCGCATACGCACTGCGCTGCATCCAGCGCCGTCGAAGTAGTAAGGACTCTATTTGCCGTGCGGTGCAGTGCAGTGCAGTGGCCGGCATCGTCCCTCCTGAGTGGCTGCGCACCGCGAACCCAACGGCCTGGGCGCTGGGAGTTCTGGAATATGCATGGAACCCCGCGGGGAGGGAAGCCGGAGTGATGCCCAGGTTCAGGTGCAGGAACTGACAGGAGCTGCCAGGAACTGCTGCAATCCCCCCGATGTGATGTGATGATATGGTGGAGGCGATCGTGGCGATAATGGGAGGCAAGGGCGGTTCTGTTGGCTATCTCCCTTTTTCGAGATGCGTGCAGATGGGATCATCATCGGGACCTGCCTCTCCGACAAGGCGGTCTGTTTCCTTTGCTTTTTGGTGTTGATCCCCACGAGTTCCGCTGCCCACGTCCAGCTGGGTTGGTTTTACGCTAGAGTTACATTGCGTTGGGCATCGAAGGATCAGTTTTTGTTTATCTTTTCCTTGATTGCTGCTGCGTCGTGTTTGCTTTTTTTTTTAACAGCACACATGAGTTTTCTGTTGACTGCGAATGAAAGGGCGCGCTTGAAAGGTGTGTATGCCCAACGGCCAGTTGTCAAAGTTGGGACGATACATTTTCATTTGTTTGCATGTGAATTATTTTTTTTGCCCTAACTAAAAATGAAACCAAACAGAATGTGATATATTAAGTTCATATTATCTATCTAAATACCGCTCAGTTCGCTCGAGCTGCTAAATTGCAACAAAAAAAATATCATCTGGTCTTCCTTTCCTTCTCACCTCTCTGCAGAGGATTCATGCAAGTCTATGATGGGTATGCGATCCTCTCCGCAGCCAACCAACTGCTCAACCATCCTCAAATCGATCAGGTCCAGCCCGAGAATATCGAGGTAGGTACCCGCAATGGCTAAGCCGTGTCTCCAACCGTGCAAAGAAGCAAGACCAAAAAAAAGGTAGAAACTAACACATAGAATACAACAGAAAAAAGGCTCTGTACAGGGATTCAGCGCAAGACGCAGTAGAGCTTTCCTTTCCTATACAACGCAGGGGGCTATCCGCGAGGACGCCACCCGCCCCAACATCCAAAAACAAATTTAAAGTGTAAACCATCAAAAGCAAGTCTATATGCACACCAAAAATTTTCCCAGCCTGCCAATTTTACATCCCAGATATTCCCATTTTGTGTAGCCCAAGAAAATGACGTGATGATACGAGGAAAGACAGATAGAACACCAAACAAAAAAAGAAAACCAAGGGGTAGTGACAAGTGCAAATACTCCGCAATGCTCAAATGTAATCCCAAAAGTGCAGTTCCGACTCTAGATATAACGCCCCTCGCTGAGTATCCCAAAGTTTTGCGTATTCCGATCCGCGATGAGACTTCAGGGGTGGATGAAAGCCGAGCAGTCTGTGCTGTGGTTCGAGACCTGCTGGCTGGAGAAGAAACCAATATGTTGCGGTGCCAATCGAGCCTCGAGGTATGTGGCTTCCGGCTGGGAGATTGCCGAGAGGATTCGGCGATGTGGATTGGAATGTGGATCGGAAGGAATGAGAATCGTCGCGGGTCATGGTAAGAGATGATATTATACAAGTCGGGACTCGATGGATGGCCGCGATTAATAAAAAAAGTTCTGTTCTCAAGAAAGTCTGTAATGGAGAATTGGAAGTGTGGTGCGAGGTTGCGACCAAGCTCGCAGTGGTGGTTTTGTGACGGAAGTGACCAATTTGGCAGCGTTGTCGCTGGCCGCAGAGGATCGCCGAAGACAAGACGGTGTCGGCAAGGTTATCGAGGCTTCGGTGGTGGAGGCTTTGGTAGATCCGTGGTATCATAAGCACCACGGCCCATGTTGAAAGACTGAACCTCTCTAGTAATCATTTTGACTCTCCGAAATCTGAGCAAGACATTGTGTCAGTCGCTGCAAGGGCTATCTTATATCCTATCATTCCTGACGCCACTGAATAAAGTATCCAGCGGTCATAAACGACAGGAGGCGAGGGGCTATCTGACTGACTCACGTTTCTTTGGTTGCTTATGGTGGGCTACGCAAGGCTGGATGCCTGCTGAAAGGGGCGCAAGTACTCGGAGGATATTCGCCGGAGTTCTTCGGTGCGCTTCGAAGATGGGTCGAGATATCCCTTGCTCGGGGTTACAATGGTTTTTGGAGAACGTCGAGAATTCCTACTGTAGGATAGCGATGGCCGGAGAGCGGTTATTATTATTTTTCGTCACAGCTAGGGCTGGTAATGTGAGACTTGATGAACAGGCTCTTTGCTCCGTCTGAATGTTGGTGGTGGTCGAGTGTGGTAGCCGATATAGATGCGCCGAGGGTGCCTTGGTCCTGCGCGAACTGCTGCCGGTAAGACGGAGGGTGATGTCCCAAGGTCCGAAATATAGTTGTAGAGTTGCAATCTGAATAAGCGCGAGGTGTGTGGGTGAGGAGCGGAGGAGGATATGGCCAAGAGGAGCCAGCAGCAGCAGCGACGAGGGAGAGGAGGAGAGAGGAGGCGGAAGGAGTTTTTACAGACGAAGAGCAAAAGATTAATTTTGTTGTGCGAAGGGGGCTCACGGTATCTTATACCAGCAGTGACTGCATGGCATGCTGCCACTGTGCGAGGCCAGGGGCAGATCTCTCCTTGGGTACTGGGTGGCCCAGCGCCTGCGGGCTAGGAGGCAGAGACAAGAGGCAGAGGTAGTGGAGGGATGTTGATGCTTGCCTGCCGTCTGTCGGGACTAGGGGAAGACGGAAGGAGAAAAGACAAAATAAAATGAGCAGGTCCGTTAGACATGAGCCAGTGCGATAGCCACCTCTAACTGTCACTACTTTTGCACAGGCTTGCCATGGGCCCGGGGCATGGTGTGGGGTGGACGAATAATAACAATTTTTAGACGAGCAAAAAGGAAGTGAGAGGCCCCTCTGGGGGTGCACCAAAGCCTGGTACGAGATGGACAAATTACCCCATTGGGGCCGAAAGGGGGTAAAATGAGCGGCGGGAGACGATGGGACGGGGGCATTGGGACACGATGGCGCCGGTCTCATCTTATCGGAGTCATGGCAAACAGCTTGGGACTGACGACACACCATCCGAGCAGATTCCTGGATGCCCCTGTTGCCATGAGCGTGGTATTGTAGGATCGTCCTCCTCCGTAAGGGATGCGGATGAGATCGCCGTTCCTGGCCCGGGTCACAAATGACACATCTGGTCGAGCCAGCCTGGAAATGCAGAGATACACCAGGACGCAGACACATCTGCACCGCAGGTTACACAGCACCGCGGACTGGTCGAGCTGCAATGCTAGAATCGCCTTGGAGCGTTGCGGGAGTCTGGGGAAGAACCAGAGCCAGAATTCCAGCTAGAATCCAGTCAGGAGCGGCCACCTGGGTAGGTGCATAAGATTAGCCCGTTCCGAGCCTAAATTCGAGCCCAACATAGGACTTAAGGCCGGTAGCCTGCCCATAGCCCTAGCTGTGGGTACAGAGTAGTGTTTGGCCAGTCATCAAACTATAATGCCACAAACTCCGTTCTCCGGATGACAACAGAAGTCCCGGGGATTGCTTCAAGATGCCACCCACTTCGCCGGCCGGGGTCTGCAAGGAGATGGCCCGGATAGGAACAGGAACCTGGACCCGAACGAGCCAGACAGGAACAGGCAAGGCACAGGCGCCGGCACAGTAGTTGGCGGACCGTCGCACTGCAGTGTGCAGCGCCGTGTTCGAACCTCTCTTCCTCCGTCCTGCAAACTTACTCTGTACTGACTGGAAGGCGTTGGGCGCTGCTTTGCGTTGCTCGTGGAAGCCGGGATGTCAGGATACCTGGATGTTTCTGCTCATTCTCGGCGGCCCTGATGCAGCTTAGGGCTCGATTCCGGGTGTCAGGGTCGAAACAGACTGTTGGGAGGCACTAAAAGGGGATCGCGCTCCTCGGGGAGACCCATCGTAATCTACCCTGGATCAGTGGAAGCCTTCCAGAATCCAGAGCAAAGCCACCGACTTTTCTGTCTGCCGACTCATCGTGTTTCAGGCGGTTAGCGGCGCCGAATACTGCCAGTCCTGAAGCCCATGAGCCTGCGTCGTTGGTAAATTTCTTTTGTATCATGGCAGTCGTACTGTCTGATCGAATACGGAGAATAGCATGGCAACAACAGCGCCACCAACATCCGAATAGGATCGCGCCCGCGGTAAATCCAAGCCTTACTTTTTGACCTCAAGCCGGCTCCCAACCCCAGGTACAGTAGGAAGTAAAGAAAATACAGGTTCGCAGCTCAGGCGTCAACTTCTACCTGAAAGCTGGGCCCCCCGTGGCGATGACATGTGTTGGTGCTGCTGTGGTACTCAGAGGCATGATTCTTGAGTCAGTACTTCGTAGCCACTCACGGTAATCTGCGCTTCGCTTGAGCACCGGTATTCGTTCTCTGTACCGGTATTTGCTGCATCATTGCCCCCGTCGCACCAGTGCCACGCTCCCGTCGATCCATTCGTCTCTGGGGGTAACGCCTCTTTCCTGCTCGACGGTCTGAACGAGTGGCTTCACTCTTCTATCTGTTTGCCCCATTGGCGGCGCGGCCATCGCAAAAGCACGAGTCACACTGACGCCCCGAGGCTCCTGGTATCAGATTCAGTGCTGTTGGGGAATGAGAGCTCGCTTTCAGGCGCCGGGCTCAGGGCCGTGTCACGGCGATGATCAAATGACTGATCGGTAGCCAGAAGTGATGGCCTAGCGACGGTTGACGATGCTGATCCGCGTAATCTGCCTGGAGTCCTGGACACTGGGCAGACTGTACGAAGTAGAGACGGCGTCAGTGTTTGATAGGGGTTAGAGAGAGCCGCTGATAAAGCCGAGGAGGCAGAGCCTCCGGAATGGGATGCCCAGGGGCATTCGAGGCCGTAGGGGTCATGCTGAGATGTCTGCCAGACGACATGAAGGGCATCTCAAGGTATCTCCTATCTGCTTCTTGCGCACAGGCGACGCAACGCACACATGGCAAATCTGCAGGCGTCCCGGGATCCCGACGCGACCAAGCACCAGGAATAGGATTGTAGCACGGAACTACTGTACATACTTCGTAGGAGGTACGATACCAGCTGAAATAATGCCTCTCGTTTCTTTGCAACCTCTGTCCGCGTAGCCTGGTAATACCAGCTGTCACTGTTCAAGCGCTGTGATCTGTAATATGATCGACCGGTTCCATGATACTGTACCTGTACCTGGGCTTACCAGGCTTGCTTGCGGCACTGAATACGACCATGCCGGAGCAAGGCAGTTGGCTCCGCTGAGTCCACTCACAGAGTCGCAGTACCAAAAAGTACTTCGTAGGACCAGCAACCAAACCCATGCGATGTGTAGGAGTTCGTGGTTCCGAAGGCTGTACCTGACAGTAGCGCTTCCGGGCGATCGTTTGCTGTGGGAATGTGAAATCTGACAGCGGGTGTGTGCTTGCCCGGCGGCGAGTCTCGGGGAGATAGCCTTTTCCTATGGACGTATCTGCGTACAGTAGCAGTAGGTATGTACTTGATATGTACTGCACATCTTAGATCTTTGAGCCTATGGTTGGGGTTGGGGTTGGGGTTGAGGTTGCGACGTTGAGGAGACTTCACCCCGGCCTCAATCGAGAGGGGTTTTTGGTTTTTTGGTATGCAAGGTTGGCAATTCTTCGATGCAGATGGGGAAGTTTCAAGAATCAAGAAACCAATATGGGGTTATGGGGTTATGGGGTTATGGGTTATGGGGTTATGGATATGGATATATGAATATAATATCATAAGGAATCTATAGCATTAACTTACCCGATGGCTATTTCACTTCGCTCGCCGCATGGTTGTGATCAAATATATTATCGCGTTGCATGCAGATAAGGCAATCGCAGCTTCTCGATGTCAATATGATATAGTATGCCATCTATGCTATCTTCGGTACTCAGCGGCTCCGCCTGTATAAGGTACCTATCCCTATGCCATATACACAGAATACCATTCTCGCGATGAAATAACTCGCTCACCTCATCTCGAATCATGCTTTACCACAAAATGGGTCGCTCACATCTCTCTACTTCGTGCAGACAACAAGTCAAAGCCAGCGAAATGCACGGTCTGCACGGTGTCCCCCTCAGAAGTTAGAGTCGTCGCTATGGCCGCACTGGCGTGTCAAAGCCAAAGATCGTTCAATAGTATCAAGTAGGCGGGTTAGGTCGTCCATCACCTTCGCAACATCCCGCATGCGTCGCTGGCTTGCCATGGCTGGGCCTCGTACGCCGATTGTTGCTACAGCAGCATCAATAATCGCGCGCCAATCCCTTTTTTCGCTATCGGCTGGATAAGCCGCTGAGTCCTATATTCCGAGCGCGGGTTCGATGCATGCTTTCGATGCATTCCATGCGTCTGGCACTCATCGTGGCGCTCGCGTGGAAGGCGGAAGGCGATCAAAGAAGCCTTTGCCTCGTTTGTCCCCCGGCAGCGGTGTTTTTCTAGGCGTGGGATGGAATATCATAATAATAATAATAATAATAATAATAATATTCGAACACACGACGAAGGACAGGGTCTACTCGTTGCGTAGGGCATCCTATATCCAGGACGTCGTGAAAATCATTCGACTCCAGAACGCCAGCGCCTGGGATCTCAGCCTTTGGTTTGTTGTTTTATGTCACGGCTCTCACCCCATTGGCGCCTCCTCTGGCCGCGTTGGCAGGTCCGCCAAGGGGCACTGGAACTGGTGGAACGCCTGTGGGTAACGCTGGAAACCGTGGAAACGGGCCGGGGCATGATATGATGACAGCCATGCGAGGTTCGTCTGTTGGGTACCGCTACAGGAGTGCTACTCCGTACGTACGAAGGACGCTGGAATCTTGCGGCCCTCTGTGGGGCATGGGGCACGGAGGAGTGGGAGTGGGACTTGGTGTCACCATCATTTCTTTCATCTCGAGGGCTTCCGTGGCCGCTGCGTCCTGGAAACTGCTTCTCTCCGCCATCCCGCCCAGCTCTCAGGTTAATGATGTCTCTACTCGCCTGTCTACTCCCGAATCGTGCTACGTACAGTGCTGTACAGCGCCTACGTCCGTGGTTCTCACATCTACAGTATATTCCACCGGCAGTGAACCCAGCAATGCAGCCATCCTTCCGAGACACAAGGTCCGAGGTTTGTTCTACGGGAATTCTGGAAGACCCACAATCAGCGGCTGAAGATTGGGGCCATCAGGGGTTTCAACCTTCCAAGACCTCCAACCACTACCGGCTTCTATTCCGGGCTTTTGGGCGAGCAGCCGATCGGACGGGGTGCCCCTGCTGCCATGAAGCAAGGCCAGGTCGAGCCTGTGTCTTTCAGCTGAATCAAGTATTTCGAGATGACAACCTCCGGAGTTGCTCAACGTCTTGACCATGCCATATTCCAGTTCTCGCAGTTCTCGCAACAGCTAATCCAAGGTCTCAGTCCAGCACAGATGATGCTCAGCCGCACATTTGGCATGATCCAGTAAATTGAGGGAGGTTTCGCTTTTGATCCTGTTAACAGGAAGCAAACCAACATCACATACTCCGTGTATGTAGCGACCCGACGATGTGGTCACTATCTGTCTCAGGGCCCCTTTTGGAAATAGCACGCGTGGCGGTAGGCCTTGGTCTGCCCATTACTTGGCACCTAAGTGCCGTTCGATACAGCTAGGGAGTATGGGGGCTAATCCCAGTTCCAGGATTCCGGTAGGAACATTCGATATGACTGAGCACCCAGCACTGTCAGCAAAGCCAGCATCGCCCAGCGGACCTGCCCTATGAACAGGAGGGCTGACTTATGCCTTATAACTTGATGTTATACGAAGTAGCTTGTTTTGGAATTCTCATGTTTGAGATTCAAGATCCAGATCGCCGTCTGGCAACAATTTTACCAGCCCCAAAGAGGGTACCTTAGTTATTGCGTATCAGCAGCATATTTCTCATCTGTGATACTTCAGTGTCAACAGTTCCAGGATGTAGGTGATACAGTGTAGCTTGAGGAACTATTCTTACATTACCCGCCCTGTTCCCGCCGTAGCAGGTGCCTTGTTGAGATATTGAAAGTCCTGATTCCATCATAGTAGATGGGCCATCTCACTTGTAGGAAGGGGGTCACATACACCTTCGGTCGATATAAGTTCATTGTCCTTAAGTGGGTTAGCTAGGTTTCTAATCCCCGTGGTAATCCTCAAGTGATAATAAACTTCTCGTGATCTTCACACTACACCCGTACTAAGAGTCTCTAACCCAAAAGTAAACGAACAGGCAATCAGTATGCAACCGTGCCTACACCGGAAGAGGCCGCAAAAAATATCCTAGTGATCGTGTCTGGGAGATAGACGAAACAACGCCAGAATAATACTTCAGCATCAAAGTTCAAGGCACAGTGCCGAGACGTCATTGAGCTGTGCTAGTTCTTAAAAGACTTAAATATCTACTCAAGCATTATGGCATATTGTTCATTCTCGAAGCTCGATGTGCAGAGAGAGAAGTCATACCTAGATTGAAGTTTCCCATCCGCTCAGGTGGTGTAGACGAAATATTGATGTACTGTACCTCCCTTTGTGTTCCGCAAAATCAAGATGTATTTACGATAAGCGGCACCTCTACAACAATCACCAAGCTCCAAATCAGCTACACCCCCAAAGAAAGGAAGGGCATGCTATACGATGCCCAGCTACACTTGATAGATGACTTGGATAGGAAATAGGAAGCCATAAGTCAAGATAGAGACCCAAATATGATTGCATGGGATGTTCATGAGCGATAGGAGATTTAATATCTTATGAAACATTTCAAAATATCACCTCTAATACTACTACTGAAAGCTTGGGCCGAGGCATAATGAATAAACATTGGGGTAGATGAAAATATCAGACTAAAGTTTTTTCTTTCACATAAAGTAGGTTTAGGAATATATGGTTTCTAGTCGCGACTCCGACAGAGTGCACAGCTCATCCCTTGGAGAAAGATATGTAGTTAAGAGTCTATGAAGATGCTATGGCGATGCCGTGACGATCTCAACAAGTTACCTGTTAGTAGCCATGCTAGTTGGTGGGAAAATCCGTGGCCATTGTAGGTTCATGCTTGCTAGCCACTTGAGATTTTTTCGAGGGATGTATCAATGTATCATATGAACAATATTACCAAGTAGCTCTAGGTAATGATACTCTTGCCGTCAATAATAAATTCCAAAATTTTGAAAAGGGTGTTAGTAAAAGTCCAAGGTTCGACGATTATAGTTGCCTCTTGAAATAATCGGTAGACAGACCAAACTCCAATATCATACCTTGCCGGATCATGGGGTTCCGGTTGCAGATTGATTTTCAGTCGAAGCAATCACATCACGATCTAAGCTCACTTCACTCTAAAATATTTGCTTGGATTATAGTTGGGATGGACTATCCGTATGCCTATCAGCCGGATATCGCCGCCCTGGACAGCAAGACCAGCTCGGGCTATACCTCGTTGACTTGAATGTGCAAGTTCAACTATAGCAATCAGAAAGTAATGAAGAAAGAGATTGAATATAATCCGAGCAAGATGGAAAACGGGCCCAAGAACATTAGAGGTTGCCATCTCTGAAATAAGTGTAGAATTGATATATCCCACTAAACAGACAACGAGGGCGGGGATAACGGCGGTGAGAGACCAAGCCATACCCATGCACCTGAAAAACAAATTGGCTATATTAAAGACAACAAGATGGAATGATGGAATTTGAAGGGAAACGCGGCATGGAACTAACAGAGGTTTGGGGTTCGAAAGTTAGCTATAGCTACAATTTTATATGCCATATTAATGATACCTTGATCTTTGCCATATTAATGATACCTTGATCTTTGCCACAAGGACTTTTTGTATTGGTTATCTCGCTCGCGTAACGAACTGGAACCGATATTGTAAGATATAACAAACAATAGGCAATAATCTGTTAAAATAAAACAGGTCGGATGGCCTGCTCGTGGGAAACTGGGGAATCTAGGGCCATAGCATCGTTGGGGACCGGGCCCTGGTAGCCGCAGGCCTTAAGCAGAACAAACGAACGCCTGTCCGCTCAAGGCACCCTCGAAATTGACGGGTACTTGTACCAGTGACCTCAGTCACCAAACCCTTTTTCAGCTTCGTTTTTTTCTTGATTAATATCTAAAGCATTATTTACTGATGAATGTCACCAAAATATTCGGTTTTCCTTTTTTCATACCAATTTCTGGTATATCATTCACCTACAAGTTGCAAGCAACCTCCCACTATCTCGAGTATCAGAGTCACAACTTAAGTAGTTGCCAACACAAATAAATTTATAAGTCTACAGTACAGCTACTGTATAGCTAGCTACCTGTCGACCCCGACTCAAATTATAGATTATATTGTAAACGTATCCTAGCTTCGAGCTCTTCGTAGGATTTGATCTGTAACTGAGTAATCAGGGGCATACTGACCCCATACTCCGTAGGTGAAGGCTAGGAATGCAGTTTGCTATTCATAGAACATCCGCATCCAAGAAGCTGGCTGCGGGCCCACCAATCTACGGCAGAATCTTCTTGGAGGATCAGACGGGTTCGTTTTATACAAATTTGCGGATAATTACAAGGAGTTTCAGCCCTACCTTACCAACTGCAGGTACCATCTTGGTGATGTTGGTCATTGGGAATCCCGGGCGCCACTCCATCGCTCCCTGTATCCTTTTCGGACGACTGGAAGTGAACCCGGTTGCTCCTCTTTACACGTCCCGGTCAATATAAAAAAACAAGATCGGACGCGTTGGTGCGTGGATAGGGTCGTTCGTTATCATTAGCTATACTTGGCGCCTCCCACCTCCAGCAACTCACCGAGTCCCTCAACCAACATGATAAGAAGCCGCTGCAGCGATCCATAGTGAAATGACGACGTATGACAAGGGGAGCGAATTGTTTTGTGATCGCGGTCAGGCTGACACGCCGGCGATGAGTTTCAGGTACAGGTACAGGTGGGGGCGGAGGTGAAGTGCTCAACTTACGCAAATGTACGTAGGTTGAGCTCTATGCCGCCATGGTCTTTTGCGCGTTGTGGCTGGGATTTGTATGAAACCAACATGTCGCATTCGGGGAAGAATGGTGTTTGCGTTGTTATGTGGCGAGATGTAGCGAGATGTACATTTCACTATGTGCGTAGTAGAGATACAAGAACAAGAAACTTGGAAGGTGAAAAGTGAAAAGTGAAAAGTGAAAGATGAAAGATCATCATGGGCTTTATGAATGCGGTGCAGTCCTGTTTCCGTCGATCTTCCGGGATCATGATAGGGACTCTTACAGTAGATGGGGCCTGGTGGGGAATCTGGCGTTTGGCTAGCAGCGGTTCTGGAGCCCTCCCCAAGGCCTTAATCTCTGGCATTGGCATTGGCATCTTATCTTATTTATATACTGTAGATAAGGTGTTTATTTATATATTTGCCCTGTCTGCCGCCGCTGCACGAGTCCTCCGTAGCCTATAGTCGCATGCTGATATTGATATCGATGTTCCCCCTGTCCTCCCTCTTCCCCCCAGCCGGGTGCACGAGACGAATATCAAGGTTGCCAGTGCTCTCAACCATCCACCACTTTTTGTTTCAACGTTCAACAACACCATCACCACCTCCGTCCCCGTTTGCTGTCGCGACGGCCGCGCTCCGCTCCACTCCAACGTGCGTTCACCATGGCCTACAGCGCCATTGCACAGGCTGAACACAAGCATTCCCAGGACGCCAGTTCAATATCTTCTGCATCTCCGGCCCCCGGCGACGCGCCGCCACGCGCTCGAGCACCCTCTACTCAGCTCGCTTCACCAGTCTTTGCGCCACGCCTGGGTTTGTTCTGGGACGACGATGGGAAGACGAGCAGCCACGACGAGAATGCTTCTGCGAGCACCAGCGGCCTTGGCCAGATGGTCCAGTCCTTCACGTTAACGACGCGGAGCAGGAACACCAGTGGCAGTTACGACCTCCTTGAGGGCGACGATTTCGCTCACGACGCTCCCGCCTCCCCAGTGACCTCGGGCCACGAGAAATTGGAGAAACCCAAGCCCGACCACCACCAAGGCTCACAACCTCCACCACACGATAGTTCGAAAGCCTCTGCCCCGTTGCACATCCCTCGGCCACTCCCACCGCCAATCTCACGCCCGCAACCCCAAGAAAGCGGCCGCACTTCAGCCTCGAACACAACCGCGGTCTTTGCTCCCTCACCTTCAGTTCCCCTCAAACCGATCATCAGGACGGCGTCGGGACGCAGCACGGTCTTGCGCCATCCTACACCCGATCTGCAAGTCCTCCAAGGCGCTTACACTGGCAACATTGAGCATCTCGAGCGCACCGCAGAGCGATTGAGTATGACTTCGTCGATAGATAATGCGATTAAGGAGCTCCACGACGAGCAGAAACGCTCCGACAGCCGGAAATCTTCCTTGATCTCCTTCCCGGACCTATCAGCGATGTCAAGACAGTTGTCGAATGCGTCCTCCATCATCGAAGTCAATTCTGCTGCCCGATCCGGAGGGTTCTCCCCTGCTGGGTTTGTGGTTTCCCCCAAAGGCTCCTTTACAGCGGGACCAGCAGGAAGGCTGCGGTCCGGATCGAAAAGCTCTAGATTTGGAAATCGTCCTGAGCCCGAATTGGAAGGCCGACCTCTTGATTCATTCGTAAATATGACCGCCTCAACGAGGTCCACCTCGCCGGTCCTTTCAACCGCTGCACCGGTTGACAAAATCGACGAAAATTCAGTCACGCTCACACGGCCGGTGGTGGACCTACTCGACGACTCTGATAATACGGCTCCACATAAGCAGCCCTTACAACCGTCGGGCGAGTATCGGCCGGGCACGTCTGCGTCAACAAATACATACGACGTTGCGCATACGATGTTCGAGGGCTTCGATGGTGTCCATACCGAACCACCGCTGCAGTTAATGGATTTAGTGGGGGAATCGAACGAACCTAATAATACACAACGCAGATTGTCATCTGCAAATCGGTTGTCAATGGCAAGACCTCAAACATACGCAGATCCTGATACCGGGCAGCAAATGGTCTATTATCCAGCCCCTGTGCCAATGATGTTAAATTTACCCCACAAGCTATCTAAGGCGCCATCCTCAATGGCAAGAAATAAGAGGAGGTCTGAAGTCCTCAGCAATATCCCGGCTGCCGCTCGACAGTCAGCCATCTGGCTTCCAGATGTGTTAGAAGATGATCTGTCTATGCCAGAGGATGTCGAGAACCAACAGCAGGAATATTTGCCGCAGCACCAGAGAACAACAATGGGAGGGAGAAGGAATACCCGAGATCTGGATCACCTGCCGCCCCAGTTGAGAGCGAGTACATTCTTCGATCTCCCTGCGCCAGCGGAGATCGTTGAAATGAAGGAACAGTCGGCAGTGGCTACATTAGACAGCATTCTTGATGCTTCCGCACATGCCCCTGTCGGCGCATTTACCGACCACACATTTGCAGGGCATCTTGGCGCGGAAGTATATGGGCGGCCGGCAGCAAAGCATAATCGGAGCAGCACTCAGCTACTTGACACCCAACAGAAGAAACGGACAAGCTCCTTTAATATACTTCGTGGGAAACGAAGCAGCAGCAACCTACTCGACGCAGATAAGGAAAAGGATCGCCCCGCAACAATGTCTGAGATTCAGGATGCTGGGAAACGGAGATCTCCCATCGAAGGGAGTGACGATGAAGGGCTTAACAATGATACGGCCCATTTGAACCATTCTGAAGCTGGTGATGGGCAAGACGGGGTTGGTAGTGGCGAATCCGCCGTACTAGATGAGAGCGGGGATGAAGAACAGGAAGGACAGTCGGACGACGATATTTACCACGGTCCTCCGACGACCCTCCTGGCCGAACTTCAACTGCGTAAGCAACAGCAGAAACAGCGAACGCGACCAACCGCATCGGCGTATCCCAATGGGATGCATTCCACGCTTCTGGAGCTTGATGCTGTTGCGCAAGTCGAGCAACAATCGCGGAAACAGAAGAGAGTCAATCTGGCCTGGGAGCCCCCAGCGATCGAAGAGCCAGACGACGGAGGAGATGATGAAGATGTGCCCCTTGCTATGCTTTACTCTAAAAAAGCACACGATCTTAATCGTCCCTTGGGGCTGATGGAACGGCGAGAGATCGAAGACAATGAGCCGCTGAGTCGGCGACGAGACCGACTAACTGGCCGGCCAGTGGCCGCCCATCGAGCTTCAACAATGATGCATCTGTCACCTGCGGTTGAACCAGAAGACGAGAACGAGACCTTAGCGCAGCGAAGCCGCCGTCTCAAGGGAGGGCCCGCCAACGGACTTCCTTCGGCTCGGCCCGTTAGTGGTGACTTTGCATCTGAGATGATGAGTCAGTTTGGTGGAGATGCACTTGATTCAGGGATCAAATCCGATGCCAAAGGCAAAGGTCACGAGACTGCATTTCTTGCTCCTGAGGATGAGACGCTCGGCCAGCGGCGGAAGCGACTTCAAGCTGAGCAAGCCAGAGGATCCGGCGGGGCATTGCATCAGAGACGCAGCATGGCAGACATATTGCAAGCTGTTCCATCTAATAGTGCGGACGTAGCCGCTTCCCAGGCCAGGCCATTGGGAGGTCTCCTAGGTCTACACGAGCAGGAGATGGCAAAGCGATCTAGTACTATGTTCAACCTCGACCCCAAGCAGCCCGCTGGGCCACAACGTAATCCTCCTGGCGGCTTTAGAAATGGGATGTACAGCGACGGCCACGCCGGCATCGCACCTCAGCAGGCCCCCCAGCAGAACATGTACGGCTATGGCGCGCCATTCCCGCAACCGAGTCTGGGCTTTAATGGATTTAATGGCTTCAACCAGTCCATGATGCCATTCCAGAACCAGTACGCAGCAGGCTTCCCTCCGAATGCTATGCAACTGGGTTATATGTCTAATATGCAACCCAATCCAATGATGCATATGGGTATGGGCGCTGGCGTGCAGCCTCTGAATCAGGGACAGATCGACATGGTAGAGAGGTGGAGACAGAGTGTTATGCAGTGATAATTCAGCTGTATGCATTCTCAGGGAACGCAACATTTGCTTACATGAGAGTTCTCAACTTGAACCATCTTGCAAGATCGATAGATACATGCGTACAACCAGGGAATGAAATATACAAATGGGCATAGCGCGGCGTTATGCAGATTGAGCGATGGGGATTTTAAGGGTTGTAATGTATATGTAGGAGTATGTGGACATGAGCATAGCGTGAAACCTTTTTTTCTGTACTGTTTATATTATAGATGCCATCATGGCATTCTATAATATTACATTTGCATTATCCTTCTTCTTACCGAAGGCTTAGTTAATAGATAGATGCGATGAAATTAAAAGAATTACTCATATAATCCTTGTTATAATTGCATTTGAACGAGGGCTCAAGTTGCAAATTCGAGGTTGGTACTACCGGTCTTAAAATCCCAACGGAAAATTCATACTGTCTAGATGGTTGTTTTTAGTATGTATACTATATCGATAAAACACAGCGTACTTATTCACGGATGTATCACACAGGGCTATTTAATAACAGCATTCAGAATTTCAAAGATAAGGCAAGGTCACATTTAAAAAAAGGGTTACCTCTTCAATCTATTAAACGTATCCGAACGGATCAGTCACCGTATCTTCTTACTTAACATTAAACCAGGCCATTTCCAGCAACGCATCCCTAGCATCATTATCCTCCCACTTAATCCTAATCTCCGTTTGCTCTGCGCCCCGCTTCGAGATCGCATACAGATTATCCCCCTTGAAGTATACCAACGTGCCGTTTTTGCCATTCCCTGCGGCAGTGATACGGTATAACGGGCCTGCAGAATGCAACACTTTCTTCTCGGGCAGGAATTGTAGGTCGTTTTCGATACACCAGTCTTCGACTTTGTGTTTGAATGTTGATTCTGGCGGTGGCGGTGCGGGTTGTGGTGCGGATGGTTTGGCCGGCGTGGCCGGTGTTTTCTGGGGAGGAGAAATGCGGGATGGGGCAGGGAGATGAGTAGCGGCTTTTGAGCCGAGATCTAATGCCTGGTTTATCATTCCGTGGCCCTTTTCGAACTCGGCTTGGATTGATGGCAAGATTTTGATATCTTCTGGGAAGACTTCGTCGCGCCACCATTCGAACCATTGGCCGATCTCCTCGTTGGGTCCGACGACTGTAAGCCACTGATGAAGGACATCATGCCACATCGGGAAGATGGCCTCGACGATGACTTGGCCTATGATGCGAGGTTTCAGGATGTCCTGCCAGGCAAAGACGCCTTGGAGGGCGGACATGTAAGGAGCTTGGTCGTTAGGGTCTACTATGAAGTTCTTCGGGTTCTTCAGGAATCGTGCCATGCTCGGGAGAACGTGATTCATGATCAAGGGCGCCCAATGGTCATTGCTTGAGCTGGGACAGAGGACCTCTTGCCACTGCCGTAAGCCTGGCACAACGCCTTTGTGGAAATCCCAGGAGTCGACAAGCTGACGGAACTTGCGTTTGACGTCGCTGACGAGACCGATTGAGCTTTTCGGATCCGCATGATGAGATGGTAGGTATTGGAGCCAGGGGAACAGCCATAAATGCGGCAATTCATGAGACCGTCTCTTCCTTGGATTCCAAGATGACACAGCTTCATTGAGTTTCCCGACAATAGCTTGATTGAGGAGCAATGTGCGAACAAAAGGCGGCAGAAGGCTGTCCCATGTTTCCAATAGAGCCTGTAATGGCGCCGGGTTGTGTACATCCCAGCTTTGGTTAATCGCTGACACAACTTTTGGGAAAATTATCTTGTAAATCATACTTTCGTATGCTGTTGTCGATTTACCCTTCCGATGGGAGCCATTGGGAATCCGGTTCTTGTCAATGTCAGTATCCTTCGATACTGCACCAACAATGTGACGGATTTTGAAGAGTTGTGGTGCCATGCCAGTCAATTTTGGATCCTCAAGCGGTTGCCAACCTTCCGTAGCCCGGCTAAGAAATGGATGTACAGCAGCTACTGTTGTGTTTGATAAGTCTTCGCTTACTCCAGATACTTGGAGTGCGTCTGCTGCTATGAGGGATTCGATGATTGGATCCCATTGACCATCGTTAGCGGCTTGTAAGATGTGCTGTGCTGCATCAACGAACAGCTTGAACTGATCCATGGCAGCTTGTAATTCGACAATGCCCTGTTGTTCCTGCAATATTTCCATCTCGGTATATGCTTTCCGTTCTTCAAGATTCTTCCATTCTTCCACGTGAGCTGAAAGTTCATTTTGAGCACGTCGAACTAGCTTTTTAGACTCGACTTGTTCCACGCTTTCCGTCCCAGCTGTCGGTGTCAAAAGTCCAGATGTGGAAGTAAGAAGCCGCCGACCGGGGCCTGACATATCCAGAATAGGAGCAAACTCATCCGGAATCTGTAGACCGGGGGCAACTCTCTTGACTTCCTCCAACGTTTGAAACTTGGGCTTAGGAGCTCTCCTGGGGGTGCTCACTCCACTCATCCCACTATCTGTGCCACTCGTTTTTGGCTTCCGGCGACGCTTCTTTCGCTCTTCATCAGAGTCTTCATATACCTCGCCCCGCAATTTTGCCTGGCGTTTCTCCTCCTCGATCTCCTGTTTTGACTTTTCTTTCACAGCACCTAGACCAACACCCTGCGGCCGCTGGACAACCTCAATGACACCACTCCGGCCTGTCCCTTCCTTCCCCAGACCTTGGCCCTCCTTGTAGCCCATCTTCGCCATCATCCTAGCAGCAAAAGAACCCGCATTTATTGCAGGAGTCGATGAAGCTTTCTTCGACGTGGTCGGCGTAGAGAATGCGCTTGGCCGTGAAACCCTGGGGGTCGAAACTTCTTCATCGTTGGTATTTTTCAAGATTGGCATGGCAGCAGACGATGGCACGAATCCTCGCCCAAGAGGAGTGCCAATCTTGGGGGCATGTTTTGCTGGAGCTGGACTTTGCCAGCCAAGTCCCTTTGCTCCGTATCCAAGCCCCCGGGGTGTTGCTGTCTCTTTGACTTTCTCATCTACTACCATATCCACATCCTCTTCCTCCGCATGTTGATCCTCTCCCTCTTCATCGTCGTCGTCGTTGTCGTCGTCCTCATCTAACTTCGACTGCCCCGATGACACAAACGACATGCCTTTGCCGCGTAGAGTCTTCTTCTTCCATCGTCCACGAGGCCCTTCATCTTCGCTTTCCGACCCAAAGACTCCCAAGGCAGCACTTTCTTTCGCATTGCGGCCTGTTCGTCGTCTCTTGCGCGGATTGTAGCCGGCGAACTCATCGTCATCCGGGTCGTTGGAAGGATGTAAAAAGTCTTCATCGGAGGACTCAGATGAAGAGTCGCGCGCAAACGCATTCATTGAAGCCATGGCCTAACTATCACCACGTGGCACCAGGAGCTATCGAGTCTATGCTGATGAGGTTGTGCCAGAGGTCAAAAGTTGCGCGAACTCGCAAGTAGAAGCGATGCTTGGGGTTTCGCCGTCGCCTCGCTTGTAGCCTTGCGCTTGGTCGGTCGATAGAAAGCGCGGCATGCGAGGCTACTACGATGCCAATTAGGAAAATGACATATAGCAAAATATTAACTAGAAAATAAACGGCTTTTTAAGGAGCTAGAAATGAGGGGGCCAAATAATCTACTAGTGTTCGTAGCAGATTTAAGAATTCTACCCACCATAATGCGTAAAGCGGTTTCAAAAATTTTCAATAGATAGGGGATACCATGTCCTTGATTATATGAATTCATGATCGTCGAAGAAGCTAGTTCTTCCTATACAAATGCTAAGCATAACGTTCGTGATATGTTCGTCCAACCCATAGCAAGAATCACGCATATGCAATGACACTGCCTAAATCAACTCCTCAACTCCCACGACAGCCGCCCATCCCACAAGATCATGAAGCAAAGATTCTAACATTCAAGTCAACGCTACCCGTTGCGATGACACACCGTATGCCAACTTTTTGAGGTTCACTCTTCGAGACTCCGTTAGGCGTTGCTCCGTTCTCCCCGTTGACTGGGGGAGCATCCTTAATCACGCCAGGAGCCCATCGAATGCAACTGACGAAATGGCCATGGGCGTCATCTAAAGATTTGACTAGCTTCCCTTCTTGGGAGAGGTCCCAGCATCGTAAAGTCTTGTCGTCCGCGACACTAAGAATGTATTTCCCACCGGGATGGAAGACTAGGCCTCGCACCCAGTTATCATGGCCGATCAGGGTCTTGATTAACGTCCCTCGAGCATCCCATATCCTTATAGTTCTATCCCTGGATCCAGTAGCCACAAATTCGGCTGAGCTGCTTGCGGGTGGGGGTTTCTTTAACCCCGCCAAAGTTGCTAGGTATCCGTAACTTGCTGGTGGTGCAAATACACAGCATTCAATAGTGTGTTCATGCCCCACCATGGTCGCTTTTGCCTCCCCGGAAGCAGCATCCCATATTCTTGCTGTCTGGTCAGCCCCAGCTGATAAGAGCCATCGGCCATCGAAAGATGGCGAAACGTCCCGAACCCAATCTGCATGTCCACGGATCGTTTTCACGCAATATCCTGTCGATACGTCCCAGATCCGTAGTGATTTGTCGCGACTTGCTGATACAAGGAGATTGCCGGAAGAAGGCGATCCAGCTGCTCCGCTAGGTATAAACCGTACGGCCGAAACCGAATGGTCGTGCCCAGGGAGAGTTCGAATATTCTTATATTCGTCACTCGGATCCCATAATTTGATGGTAAGGTCGCTCGAACATGATGCCAGTAACGTCCCTCCCCGTGGTCCACCAAAATCAAGGTCTAACACGGCCTTCGTGTGGCCCTTTACAGTCCTTTCAAGCTCTCCCAGTTCCCAGTCCCAAATTTTAATAGTAGTATCTTCTGAGCCAGATGCGAGTGACGAGAAAACCGGATGAAATGCCACGCATGCGATCCCGTCCCTATGCGACTGGAGCGTATGTCTTGCTGGCGATCTTGGTAGCCACGTTGTGGGGTCCTGATTTCGTTTGGAGAGAGATGTAGGAGTAGCAGAGTCTAGTTCGGCCTGCAAACTTGCATTCCTTGATTCGAGATCCATAATCTGTGGGAAGAAACGATCAGCTTGTCACTATGTGGGTGCGAGACAGGACCCTCCCACCTTTTTCTGCAACCGCACCACACTGGTCCATTTCTTCTCCAACAAGCCCTCATATTTCTTGCTGGTTGCAGCATCAAAGCTATCGCCAATATTAAGTCCTTCTCGTAGCGCCGTTGCGATCGTTGGGAGATTGACTGAGGTGAGGTATGCTATGATAGACTTGTTTCTGGCCAAGCTCAAATCAGTGTCTGTCTGTAGCATAAATAGGACAGTTACGCAGGCTTACAGCTCCTCCGCTTGCCGCGGAGTCAAGATCTGGGTCATGGTGACCAGGAGGGATGGCACATGAAGGCTGGGCCTTCTCAATTGTTTTGATGCTGTCAGGGAATGCGCCTGGCCCTGGCGGATGGCGTAGCTTGTTTACCGCCTATATCTGTTGCTTTGGGTGCAAAGGCGGAAGGGTATGCTTCCCTAGCTTCCCTACGCTTATGGCAGCTGAGGCAGAAGAGTGTTGCAAGGTTGGGAATATGATCTTTTGAATGTGTCCACAATGACGCTTTCCCATGGTGGGGAGGGGGTTTTATGATAAGGGGCTTCTTTAGTGTTGCGACTTTAAAAGTTGATTGATGCAGGGGTCGCCGTAGTGACCAGCCTTGGGGTCCATGTATTTGGTATTTGGCGATGCATCAACAACACATCAACATATCTGCATCCAAATTATTACGAGCAGAAACGGCACCCACAACGGCTGAAAGAATATCTTCTTTGCTTAGGCTGTGTCGCTCTACTGCACATATTGCAAAACGAACGCGTGCCAGACAATTACAAGCCCAAACCCCCTGCGCTCAACTGTTTGGCGCCCTTTGACGACTCCTAGAATAACCCGCAGACTTTACTCCTTTGTCTCAAGGTACGGACGCATTTCTCACTTCTCCTCCATCACCCGAATCGTGGTAGGACTGGCAGCCAGTTGCCATCGTCTTCTCTCGAATCCCCTGCTGGCGCTGGCCTCACAGAGATACTGTGCGGATGGCGGGGTCTCTCCATGTGTCATGGCGCAAGCTAACCCACCGTGTTCCAGGGTTGCGCAGACTGTCGAGAAAGAAACTCGAGACACCTGTTGCCAATATGGCTGAACAAGAAGAGGATTTCAGTTCGCTTCCTCTGCCCGATAGATTTCAGCACAAGGTATGCTATGCCGCAAGCCGCCCGCTCTGTGAAACACACCCACTGACCAGAATCCTTTCTATAGATATGGAAAGTCCGAAAAGCAGCATATGAAGATGCTGCTAAACAATTCGAAGCCACACCAGACGAAAACGATCCTGCGTTTCGACCGTTCTTACAAGACCCGGGGTTGTGGAAGGGGGCAGTTGCAGACTCGAACGTTGCAGCACAGCAAGATGGTATCGCGGCATTATGTTCATTTCTCAAATATGGTGGGCGAGAGAGTTGCACGAGGTATGCCATGAAGTCCCATATATGGTGTGTTTAATTAACAGAATCATCTAGGACGAGATCCTATACCTTGACACCATTAGTGGAAAAATGCCTTTCATCCACTAGGGCGGCTACGAAAGCTTCCGCGCTCGAGGCCATCTTGCTCTATATTGAATTAGATACCCCAGGGCCAATATTAGAAGATCTTCTTCCAGCGCTTTCCAACAAGCAGCCAAAAGTTATCGCGGCCACACTTGCAGCCTTAACAGCGATATTCCATAACTATGGTTGCAAAACGGTTGATCCAAAACCAGTCCTCAAAGTCTTACCAAAGCCTTTCAGTCATGCAGATAAGAATGTACGGGCGGAGGCAACGAACCTCGCAGTGGAATTCTATCGATGGTTGCGAGAAGCTATGAAACCGATGTTCTGGGGCGATCTAAAGCCGACACAACAAACGGAAATGGAAGCCCAATTTGACAAAATCAAATCAGAGCCTACGCCAAAGCAAGAAAGATTCCTTCGATCCCAGCAAGCTGCCATGGCACGAGCACCACCTCCTGGAGCTGATGGAGCTGAAGACGAAAATGAATTAGATGCAGAACCTGAGGAAATCGATGTCTATGATCTGGCTGAACCCCAAGATGTTTTGTCCAAAATTGCCCCTGATTTCCACGATCGATTAGGTTCATCAAAGTGGAAGGAACGGAAAGATGCCTTAGAGGGTTTATTCGGTATACTGAATGTTCCAAAAATCAAGGATGGTGATTTCAACGAGATAGTCAGAGGACTGGCGAAATGCATGAAAGATGCTAATATCGCGGTTGTAACACAAGCAGCTCAGTGCATCGAGGTTCTTGCAAAGGGGTTGCGCAAACCGTTCGGTAAATATCGCTCGGTCCTCATGAGCCCAATTATGGAAAGGCTCAAAGAAAAGAAGGCTTCCGTCTCAGACGCCCTTGGTGCTGCTTTGGATGCAGTCTTTATCGCCACCAGCTTATCGGAATGTCTGGAAGAGACATTAGAATCCCTGAAGCATAAGAATCCGCAGGTGAAAGAGGGAACGATGAAATTCTTAGTCAGATGTTTAAGGACGACGCGAGAAGCGCCTGCTAAACCTGAAGTGGCCTCCATTTCTGAAGCAGCGAAAAAGTTGCTTTCAGAATCAAGTGAGGTCTTACGCTCAGGGGGGGCGGAAGTGCTTGGCACGGTAATGAAGATCATGGGTGAGCGAGCTATGGGACCATATCTTGAAGGCCTTGATGAAATTAGGAAAACGAAAATCAAAGAATACTTCGAGACCGCGGAAGTCAAAGCTAAGGACAAACCAAAACCAAAGCCGCCGCCAGCTGCGGCTCAGCGTGCTGCGCCAGCTGGCGGAACCCGGAAAGTTGCTACGAAGAAGCCCGCGACAAAGAAACCTGCCGCAGCACCAAGCATCTATGCCCAGGAGGCGCCTTTAGCACCTCAACCCACATCAAGAAGTACCCCGGGAACAAAACTCGCGGCTCCCAAACCATCCGGGCTGGCTGCTCCAGGTGGATTGAAAGCTCCCTTGAAGCGCACCCTGCCAGGACCTGGTGGTGCAGCTTCAACTGCGTCGCCTCGGCGTCCTGTAGCACAGGCTCCGCCTCCAGCTGACGATGAACCGCCTGCTCCACCTCGTCTTGGTCTTGCTGGGCGTGGCCTCGCTGGACGTTCTCTAGCCAAAGCTCCTGCCGCCGCTGCTCCTCCTGCTTCATCCATGTCACCTCCACCGGCGTCGGGTTTGACTGCTGTCGAAAGAGCTGAGCTAGAAGAACTTCGGCTCGATAAAGATCGTCTACTTCGACAAGCTGATGATTTCCGTCAAGAGCGATCAAGGTTCAATTCCGAGGTTCAAGAATTGAAGAATCAAAACGCACAGTTAATCGAAGACCACACCAGAGATGTGCTTTCTATTAAGGCCAAAGAAACTCAACTTGTGCGTGCTAGATCTGATTGCGAAGCAGCAGAGGCGATGTGTGGACAACTGCGAAGGGAGATGGAGAGATTAAAGCGTGCTCTAACGAGCGCAGAGCGAGTAAACAGCCCTACAGTAGGTCTACCGAGCCCGAGTCGGGATGCCATGGGTGACGAAGGTGGTATCTATCGCGATACCGGTATGTACGGCGCGCCTCATGATAACAGGGCCGGGATGCGTGCTCGGATGTCGTACACCTCGACCCTCAGCGAGGAGAAAGAAAACACTGGCGATGCGTTCGCAGGTCAATATGGGCGCAGTAAATTAAGTCCAGAACCAAGAAATGGGAGAACAAGTGCTGCCAGTGGGAGCGTGGGAAGAAATAGCCCCACTCCATATACAAGCGCTCGGAGTGGTGGACAAAAGTCAAGCACTGATAGCGCAAGAGATGACGGCAACGGGGGCGTGGAGAGTTGGAAGAGAGCGGCCGAGGTTACAAGTGCTCTGAAAGCCAAGATTGAGCAGATGAAGGTAAGTGACTCACTAGCATGTTATAGAATCACATACTCACCTAGAACCCAAAACAGGCACGACAAGGTATATCAAGACCATAAAAGGAGTAGGACATTATTTTATGAGGTTTTCGAGCATTGTTGGCGAAAGGGATAGGTCATTAATGTTCATTGTCGGTGTTAGTCTCTGCTAACTAGACGCACTTGGTGACGGTCGGGCTCCATCTCAACTCATTTATGAGCTGCTGGAGGCATGCTGGATAGTCCAGCATTGGTTACTTTTGATACGAAGTATGAATTATGTTTTAGCCGAGTTGCTTATATACAGACTTGGGTTCTCTTCAAAATAATATATATGTCGAACAACTGGTTTTCCAGTTTCTTGGTGTCGACTTGAAAATTGTTCTACTGTAATTGGCATATTATATATTTGATATATATTTGCTTTCGTCCATCGCTTTCAGCGGGATTTTTTTTGGTTCACATTCTTGGTTTCCTTGTGAGTTGCAGCAGATTATGAAGAGTCTCTCGGCTTCCTACCCGGTAAATGCAGTTCCTAGGTAAGCCTCCCCATGGCTAACTGCCATTATTGTTGATTATGAGGAAGGTGTTGGCTGGGATAGGCCTTGAAAAGCCTAGCGTTTTGGTCCCACTCCATGGCGGTTTTCCTTTAGGGGCTGTCATGGCTGGTACCCTGATGCTCGACGTAGCGGCAGGAGACGGCTTCTACAGTTTTAAATGAGACGATATGGATGTCTTGGGTTTTTTTCAATAGCCACTGTAGAGTTTAACCTGCCCTGATGCATTGTAGTTTATGTGGCTTGCTATCATGTACCCACCTGTATGTATAGAGATCCGAAAATGAAAAAGAAATTTTATTTTCAGGGTCGTTTGGCGCCTGTGACTGTGATTACAGTTGCAGGTGAGTACCTCGGCATTTCAAAATATTTCAAAATCCCCAAGCTCTGGGACCTAATAACTCAGTCATGCCACTAGATGCACCAAACTTGCTTGGCCTTGAGGTTCGTGGACCCTGTCTTGACGGCCAGCCGACGATCATGTTGGCAATAATTGCTTTTAAGCCTCGTCTTTGGTTCAAATATAATCATGTGCCCGTACGAGTACCGAGGAACCGGTAACCAATTGACTCGGCCTGCCTATCTATAATGTTGGCAATGGTTTATTATTCCTACTTTAGCCTTGTAGTGGTTGAGCACAATCATGCGTACGACTACCAAGCTATTGGTATATTGATTGACGCATGACAGGCTTCTCTGTAGCTGGTTGGCCGCTGGGCTTAGGGGCATGGCCCACAACGAGCAGTGGGGGTCTTTAGCGGAAATGAATTGGTACGAGTGTGTATGATTATCCATATATGGAGAAAACTGCGAGATGAGTATAGTAGAAACTAAGAATAAAGGAAATAGACGCTCTGACAGACACTGTAAATTCAAGAAAAAGTGTCAGAACGTCGCAGAAAACCCACAGTGTTGCAACGCCAAAGTGACAAAAGCCATGAATGCGTTGATCCCGAGAGACTGGGACCGTAATTTCACATTTGATGTTGCTTTGCGGGGTGGCGCACCGGGCATGATCCGTCAGCAGCTTATTCAGTGTTGTATCTTTGTTGGAACTTGTTTCCAACAGGACTCAGCGGCCTTATGAGCGCCACTTGGCCTCTTATGACAATAGTTGTTACTAATTCCCGCTTTGTCCATAAGCCGCGTGTTATACCCATAAAGCTCGGGATTGGACGATGTGGAATGGCAACCAACTAGTTGACAATTGACGGAGTATACACAGGTATACAACGGCGAGACACTCTAAAACCTCATCACTAACGAGGCCAAGGAACCGAAAGCGGGAATGGCTCGATCAAAGGAAATGTCAGGCAACAGTTATTATAATGGCTAAAGCATACTCGTGTTATTAATATGGAGAGTGGACTATTATGATTACGTGGACTTAGGCGAAGTAATTCGGAGATCGGCCGATTTTGGGTTCAGGATAATAACGTGACAAGTGGACGTTATGACCCCAGATGAAACTCGGAAACAGGCCTGAACACGGAGATACGAGCGTTTGACTGCTGACGGCACGGTACATTCCAAGTCGACCTTCCCGATCGATTCTCGACGGGCCGTTCGGACCGTTACGAGAGTCGAGACTCAAGATATAGTACTTCCTACACTACTACTGCACGAAGTGTAATACTATAACGTTAGAAGGGCGGCTTAGACTACGATGACGACGCTGATGGCGGGCAATAAGCTGCATGTTATAGTGCCTCTACCATGGACACAGGTACTTCGTGGCATGCTGCGTCAAATAGGATTGCTACCGGGCCGCATACCATACCCTCTCGAAGTTTGGGTACCATGAACATAGGAGATTGATGGGCAAGACACCCTCTTTCTCGTTGCTGACGGGACGGCCTATCGAAATCGCGAAGAATTGCAAGTTATTACCAGAGATAAGCCTAGCAACTGCATTCAATTAATAATATATACTGATAGATTCGGCATCCCATATCAGCAGAACCCGGGAGAGCCAACGGCCGACTTCGCTTTCGAGAGACGGTTGTGTTCCCTCAAAACCTCCCAGTTATAATTGATTCGGGTCAGAATCCGGATTCTTTATGTCAAGAGAGTGCAAGAGAGTGCAAGAAGCTGCACAATGCAAGCCCCAAGCCCCAACCACCACGAATTACCCATCGTGTGTAACCAACAGTGGAAGTCATCTTACGATGAAGCCCCAGGCGACTTTGCCAACAACTTCAAGCCCGCGGAATTCGGCGTAAAGGAGAAGCCCTAAGATCGACAGGTTTGGCTGCCGGGAACCGATTATTCGTCCTAACTCTTCCCGTGACACGGCACTTGGGTTTGAGAAAGAGACTTGTCACAAAAGGCTATCTGGGATGCCTGCGGACGGGCAGGGTGGTGGCCAGGCGAGATAGCACTGAAAACGCTGTCCCTCTCATTATCTATCTCATGCCGCACTGCTGGATCTCCCATGCCAACCATCCATCATCCCATCATTGAAAAAATATTGTCATGCGGGGATATTCACACGACGGAGGATTTGCATGTGCCGCCAGCCTGCCGAATCTGTGCCAGTGCTATGTATGCGCTTCCGAGGCCAATCCGTGGGGTGGAGACTTCTAATGCTGGACGAAAAGAAAGTACTTCGCATATTCCATGTCTGATATACCGGAGCCTACCTACATAGGAACTTGTAAAGGCGGTAATCCCCGAGCAGATTCCTGTTCTGGGTGATTGCCGGGGCATTCTAATGTTGATGGAGTGCTACGGCCGACAGCCCCACGGGCGGCGGGCAACCGCCATATTCCACCAACACAACACAGACCAACGGCGCTTCAGCCTGCACCGCAGTCACAAACTATTCCCCGGGGCCTACTCGGAAGGTTTTGCCAGCCACGGCCAGTCGGCAGAGACACACTGAGCACGTATGGGTGCCAGAAGGGCAGCAGAGAGAGACACTGATGCCTTGCAGCGGCACAGAAAATCATATTTTCTTACGGAGGGATGGTCCCACGAGGTTCCCACGTTTTCCCAGTGCTCCACATCCGCCACTTCGAAAAGGAATATTTGGTGGGCCGTGTTGACCTCTCACTCCTGTCCTCCAGACTCGGCGGAACACAACGCTGTCTGGCCTTGTTGTCTCGGGATACTCCTGCGGTGAAGTGTGAAGACGCGTTGCCCCGATTCTCGGTCTGTGCCGATCCTGAAAAACCGGGAACGGGATTGGCTGCTGCTGTGTAACCACTGTCATTTCTCACCCAAATTTGATTGTGACGATTGCTTTTTGAGAGTGAGTACTGAGTTCTCGAGGTGACAGCTCTGCCGGACAACGTCGACGTCTGAGGCTTGTGTGGGATCTTGATCTTCTCTATTCTCTTATTTGATCTTGTTTCCTTTTTGTTATGGTGGCTTTGAGGTCTAGACCGGCTATGCCCTTCCAGCTTTGTGGTCAGAGGAGATCCGGCCAAACGTAGCAAACATTCACACGGCCCAGACCATTGGAGAGGATATGCTCATTCTCCCGTTCAAGCAGCTATCCGTTAGAGGCGGCCCACTTAAGCAAGGAGAAGTGCATATGCTGACGTATACTACTAGGCAGGGCATGGAAAATCCCATATTATGATCTGCACATCTAGGTCTTGAGTGTTGTAACGAAGGTTCATTGGACCTGGTTCCCGGGATTTTGGTGACGCTCGATACAACGGAGCTTCTGTGGCCTGCAGTAATGGGGAGCTGGGCTACACGGATGAGGAAAAGAGCCTTCTCGACCACTTCCCCCCACATCATGAAAGTTCGAGTCTGGAATCCGGGGAGTTCTCATCGCAAGGGCCGAGAATGGTACGGCTTCGGAATGGGTTCGGTTTGGCTGGTGTCCTGGCAGCCGGACAGGATGCCGTGTGAAGAGCGATCGAGAAGCCATCGGAAGAAGGGCCTGGTCGGTATCACATTGTACTGCCACACTTTCGAGCTGATAGGATGCTTGAAAACCATTGCCAGAGGGTTAATACAATGATTGATGTATGTACAACGACCCGTTTGTACGCCGAGTTAGTTCCCAAAAGTTGACAACCACCGCCCCACGTGCATTTCGTTCCAGGCACTGATCCCCCAATTCCGATTTCCTGAACACCTCATTGATCAATCGTCCATGAGCATGGAATGTCAAAACGCCGTTGCCAAAAATAAACCAAGTACCGTAAACACCAAGATCGCCTTGTCGCCGTATCCAGATCCCAGGGTGACTCCAAACGCTCTATATTGTAGGCCAAATCTAGGCTTGGATCCAGGTTGGTTTGATAGCCGGTGCACGACAATCCCCTAGTTAGAAGATTAGGATCCAGGCCCGAGAATAAATTTGAGGAGTTAAAACAAACCACATCGTTCATCTAGTCTAATGGCACCGTTAGGCATGAATCTTGCCAGCGAAGCAATATATATCGGATGAACCACTTACCTAAATTCAATCGCCACCACCGAAGGTGGGCATCGTATGTGTGTCGTCTCATAATTGGTACACCATGCTCTGACAGTCCAACGAACATGGCCGCAGCGATATTCAACCTGGGTGTAATTGCACATAGTGGTTTTGAGTTGTGACGGATCTGGTTGAGCGAGTGACTGGGTCCCCGAGACTGCGAGTTTGGTGCCCGTGAGGAAGAGGGACTCGGAATAGCGGGGAAGGTGTCGATCTCTTCCGGAGAGAACGACGGATAGAAGGTCCTGAGTATAAACCCAATTATGAGTGAGAGTGAAAGGCTCCTGAGGGGGTTTATGAGTAAGAGCAGAGTTTCAACTTGAAGGTCCAGAAGATATGAAGAGATGTAGGGTTGCTGAGCTGGGAGTTGGGAGTTGGAGTTAGCGTGCCGAGGGCCTGCTTATCGGGTCGGATCAAGAGCAGCGAGGAGCAATATAGAGAGGTGGATGTGCAGGCAAAAGCTGTGTATGCCGGTGCGAAGCTCTGAGGGAGGTGGGCACTACATATGTATGAGTGATGCAGCTCTCGATTGGGGTTCCACCCGGCTGATTCGGTGGCCTGGGCTATCCGGGATGCCCATGGACTGAGGACTGTGTCTGTGGAGTGTGGAGGTGGAGGTGGAGGAGGATGTCCGGTGTGGAGGTGGATGTGGTTGCGGTCGGTAGCCTGGGGGGAGCCCATAGCAGTGGCTCGACAGGAGCCCAGGGTAGTAGTTGAGGGTTTGGCGGGATGGCCGTCTAGGCCTCTGAGCCTCTGAGACTGGCACAAGCAGCGAGCCAGAATAGTGGGATGGATCATGGCTGGAAAATCAACCGCCAGTAGTGGGACCTAACTGGGTAGATAGAGCGACAAGAACCCCGGTCATGGACAAGGACATTGGCATAGCGACGTTATCAAGCCAATAATGCCAACAGGGAGCATAAATAAATGCCCGGCGTGCAGCACTGGGATCCCAAGGGTAGACGCAGGACCTGTTATGAGTCTGTAGTGGATGCTCCACACTCAGTACTTCGTATATTCGAATTAGTGAGGACAATGCGAAGTAAGTAATAATTAATCAATTAATTCCTCGGGAAGGAGAAGTAGAGGGATTCCTTACCAACGGAGCCCAGATGTGTGATAGGGTGGTATTGTCCAAGTGCTAGGGAGGAGCATAGGCCAATAAGCAATTCAGGAGCCCTCTCACTAACTCTTTGGCCACGATGGGACCCAATCAACCTGCTTAGAGGACATAAAGAGATTGAATTCGGATTGCAGAGCCCACAGCAGTGTCCATCCGTGGGCCGACCACTCCATACTCTGCCGAGTTTTGGTATATTCTGGCGCGGACGGCTATCAAAGACCCGTAATAGGCGGCGGAAGGATACTGTGCGTTTCCAGCAAGTGACGCCGAAGCAGATCAACCGTAGCCATACCTGCTCTTTGCGGTCCCCAACTCATATTCCGTGCCCACCTGCCCAACCTGATACCAGAACATAGTGCCCCTACCGATATCCCGCTTAGACGGAGTAATTCAAATCCACCCATGGTCTAACAAGGGCTACCGCCGTTACGGCGTTGCGACAAAGTGAGCTCCCTACATTGGGGGGCCCTAGCCGTCCTGAAGGCAGATCGATCAGACACTGTCAAGGAGCCCAAGATCCGAGGAACAATCCAGAATAAAAATGGCCCCTGATAGACGACAGGCCACTGGTAGTTATCCCTGTACTCCGTCCTTCATACGCCCGTGCTACTAGTATAACACCGTACTGTAGTATGGAAGAGGACTCCGTAGACCCTCAAAGGTGGAGCAGGTTCAATGACGGCTGTTCCCAGCTCCACGGCAGCACCAGCAGTAGTGTCACCGCCACTACCGGTATTTTCAAACCAACTACTTCCTTTTCCCCTCAGAGGCTCTAAAGTGATATTTGATGTTGACCTCCTGATTCAGATGTCGGCCCAGATGACGCGCTGATCCTCGCAGGTTTCGTTTCCACACGGTCCTTCTGTCCAGGGTACGGAGAGTCGGCTGCATGAGGGCGTACTTTCGTATTAGCTTTTCCAACCGCTAAAGTGGAATTACGGAGCATCGGGCATCGCCGCCTCGTGCCTTGCCAAATGTGGCACTTTAGAAGCTTCCATGGGATCAACGGCTCGGCACGCGTAGTTGAGAAGGGGAAAGTGAACGCAGTAGAGTGTGCCAGTAACTGCCATCAATCAGTTGGAGGCTTGGAGTATACAACTACGAAGTATCGGGGCTGCCACACTCACGTTTGACGCGAAATTCTCCATAGCAACTCCTGGTAATCGATATGACAGTTACTTGTACTGGTATGACTTGACGAGGAATCGTAAATGCCGCAGTGAGTGAGTCCGAAGGCTGATTCCTCGATCAATCATAAACCGCACGATTGATTACCACGAGCCTAACCTCCCTGGCTGGCGCTTCTAACAGCACCGCGTGGGGCCCTAGTCTCGCGACATTTGTGGCCAATGGGATAGCAAAGCAGTACGTACGTACATACTTTCGAAAGCGGTACTTCGTAGAGATCCCGCTCAATCAGCTTCTCGCTGGTGCTGCACGTTGAGTGGAACGGGAATATGTATGGGTCGCGATTAATGGTATCCCATTCGTTTAGCATTGGGATGTGGCTTGTGTATTGAAACGTTCTCTTACTCGGACCCTGAAGACGTGTCATGATCGGGAGGAGAGGAGGACGTGGGCGGCGAGATTCAACCCAACCCCAACTTATGAAAGATGCACAACCTATGTCGCTCCCCTGTGACCTGCTCCCTGGCAGCTTTCTCTGCCGGCATGCTCATCATTGGCTCCAGCCCGGCAATAGCTCGCTAGGCGGCGGCGAGGCTCGCCGCAAGTTACCGGTAAGATAACCCTTCGCGTTCTCATGTGTACAGTAGTTGTTCCCCAAGGTCGTCCTAGTATCTCGAAGGGATTCTTGAGTGTGTGTCCCCAGAAACGACGCGCTCGTCCATGGTCTCTGAGAGAGAGAGAGACTTGTCGCCGGAAGCCGGGTATTCCGTGCTCTGGATATAAGCTGGCTATCTTAAGCTTATGAGGATGAGTTTCTTATCCTTCCTTGGTAGTAGCAGCTCCCAGGCTGACCCACGTCGACAGCGCCCAAGACTGCGCCGTTGATAGAACACGGATAGAAGCTCTTCGCACGCCCGATCCGTCTGTTTTAGGCTGGCTGTGTCTCTTGGTACGCTCTGCTGCAGGGATCTTGTGGATTGATGCACCGCGGGCTCGGTTCGGTTGGGGGGCAACCGCGGCCACGGTATTGGAAATGCAGGTTGGTGGACCTCTGGCTGACCCGCAACTTTGGGGTTTACGGAGTCCTCTCTCGACAACTCCCCAGACAGGACAAGCAAACACCGTCTAAACACCAGAACCCAGGCCAAACGGGCCCTGAGCAACTAGCACAATCATCCCAGCCAGCATCTGGAGGGGAACCTTCCCCCAAACGTCCAAACCTGCACCAATATCGCCTCGAGGGCATTAAAATGCAGAATGACTGGGAGGATGGGATGCTTGCATCTCCTCCGTACCGATTGGACCCCCCACTGGACTGAATCCCTTGACTAGACTTGGCTCGTTCGTGAACGTCGGAAGGAGCCCAATGGAGAACCCCCCAGGCTAGACCAAAAACCCTTGCGTGGCCAAGCTCTCGGGGAAAGAAGCTATTCTGAAACGGGCACCTTCTTCGTAACAGTAAAGGGTGACTAAGGTGCCCTTAAAAGCTGTTGCTCAAACCTTCGCCGCCGTTATGCCGGAGACCCATACGATATTGGAATTGAAAACCAGGTCAGACAATCCCGACAGATGCACCTCGACTTCGTACGTGCTTATGGTATGCACGGTCGCGTGGGACCGCAGCTGCAGTAACAGGGCCTATAGATCTATAAACGCGTTTCGTCAGCTTAATCTTCACCTCAAATTGCTTTGATAACAACACGAAGAGCAGACTAGTCATGCCGAAGTGAACGCCATGTGGTGTGCGCTCCGGTAGGCATCTCTCAGCCCCGAATTCGCTGTAATTTCGAGGATCTCGGTTGGCTCCGAGACTCTGGCTTGTAACAGATCTTATTTGTCGTGGGGGTTTGCATTGACGTGGGTGTGCATGGCATGGTTCTCGCATCTTCCCGCATCAAGTACGACGAACCTGAGCTGAGATCTTGCTGCTGAATCCGAATCAGTGTGTGAAATGGAGAGTGTACTGTACATAGCAAAGCGTAGACGATATTTTCAGAGAGGAGGAGGCTGGGAGAATAAGGGTACTCGTATAATTTCGACCTGACATCGTAGAAGTTCTTTGTTAGCAAGGCGTCACAGCGCGATTATTGTTGCTTGGAAGTAGCGTTCAACAAAAAAGGCTGTGTCACAATAGAAAGAATACAGAAACTTCGTCGTTAGGTATAAACTGATTGATGGATAACTAGGTTCCTGGGTATCTATCAGCTCAACAAAAAGAGCCGCTTCACAGTAGAAAGAATATAGAATATGCAATCGTCAGATCTAAATCGATTGATCGATAGCTACCTACCTAAAGGTAGGTAGCTAGGTAGGTAGGTATCTATCAACTTGCTGTTACTGAACCAAACTCCAACCCAAGCCCGAAACCTCCAACACCCCGTCGATAAGCCCATTAACACCAAAAGCAAGGCTCCGATAGTTCTCACAAAATCCACAACAATACAGTATTATGAACGCCGGCGCATCTTTCTCGTTGGCGCCGGGGTGCCATTTGCTGCCATTCCAATAGCGATCTTGCTCCTAATTCTGACTCGAGGCGCCGGGGTCTGCTCCTCGTCCAGTGCTGCCTTTCGTCTCCCCTTATTTTTGTCGACCCCCTTCTTAACTTTGACATTTTTACCATCTATAATTTGATACTGGGCCAGTTCTTCTGCCCAGACGACGCTCTTCCGGCTCTTCCCTCGCTTCTGCTTCTGCAATCGATCGTCAAATACCTCTTTCAAGGCGCGTTGACGGGAGACAGGGTCATCCTTCTCCTCTGCTTTCTTTGTGAGAACATCCGCGGGAAAGAGAGCACCTCCTTTGTTCTTGCGTGTGTTAACACGCGTCAATGCAGCGAGCTCCTTCTCTTCATTCCTTTTCAAAGTGATGGTGTTGTCTCCTTCCTGACCTATCCTACGAACGGGGATGAAGGACGGAGCTGCTAGGGGCGCCTTGACTGGGAGCCTTGTCCTTCCACTTCGTCTAACAGACTTTGGTTGGGTGATATCGCCAGCGCTACTCGTGGGTGTATTATGCTTGAGTCTTTTGCTCGGGGACGAGGTTGACAGGCTCACATCCAACTCATCTTCAGCCCTCGGAGAGGAAGGCGAGTCATTGGTTCCGTCTGGATCCCCAAGGGGAAGCCGAAGAGGGGAGTGAGGTAATGATCTCTTCCTCTTTTGAGTGGTCTGCCCAGCATTGGCCGCCTTATTCGCCTTGACACGCGTAAGGAAGTTTCGCAGCATATCAGTATCATCATGGTCATAGCTCGGGAATGGCGTGTTTTGCGTGGTGGTTTCGGCAAGGCCATTGGTAGTCTCGGAAGTAATGGTACCGGTAACATTTGTTTCGCCTTCGTTCGCCGTTCCGACCGGTGACTCTGTTATGAATAAAAGAGCCGAGTTAGGCTCCGAGGATTCAAGAATCCTGGCCGTTGCCTCGTTATCACTGTGTTCAACGGAGGCAACAACACCTGGCAAAAAAGTTGAACCTGAATGATCACAAAGCTGGGCATCGGGTGCTGTAGAATCAGAAGATGAATCAAGTTCATCATATAACGTAGAATCCGTTCCCATTTTCAAGAAGAGTTCGTCGATGGAATTATGGTTGGAGCGGCTGCGGAATATGATGGGTTCCGGTTCGCCATGTGTAGTCACCTCCTCCGGGCTTTGCGCAGCTAGTTCCACGCCGATTTCGCCAGGCTCTTCGGCTTCAAGAGGTTCCAATTGGCCCTCGCAAGGGCTCTCGATGCTCTGTAGTACTGAAGCGTCAACCTCGCTCGCGTCTGGCTCAATAACCTTGAAGGGCTCCTCCCTTTCTTGATCCATTGGAGGGAGGATGGTCTGCAAAACAGGAATCTCAGCCGTATTTGGGGATTGGGGCCGTTTAATTTCGTCTGATAAACCCGCAGATGGCGAAGGACTGACTTTGATGAGGAGTGCGGCAGCTTCATTTCCAAATAGTGTACCCGCTTGGTGATAAGGTCGCGCGAAAGTTTCAGCTATCACGGCTTCTTGAGCGGCAATACATTCGGATGGGATTGAGCTGGTACGTTTTATTCTGGAGCTTCGACGGGCACTAAGCCGTTGGCTTATTCGTCTTCGTGGCTTTTTTGGGCCCGGGGAAATTTCCCCAGGAACAACCATGGCAGCATCTGCAACCCCGTCGAGAGATTGCAAAGTTGGAATTTCCTGTTCAAGTATTCCACATATATCTGCCTCTTCAGGTTTTGGAGGGGTGCTAGGAGGTGGTTCTAGAGAGGACGGACTAGACGCCTGATTAGGAGCAATATTCCCTACTTCTAACTGCCTTTTCTCCACAGCATATTGTTTCTTGTCTAGGGGTAGCCCTAAATCTAGTATTTCAGCATCCTTCACCAAATTATGGGTGGCGGATTCTGATCCCGAATGTTGGACTGGATCTTCTAGATTTGATTCCTTCGCTTTCGAGTCGTCTACGGGCAAAAGTTCTTCTTCCCTAGTTCGCTCATACCTAGCTGCTGGTGGGGTATTTCCCACAAGTGAATTAACCATATGTGTGCCAGCATTGATGCTAGCCTCAGAACTCTTTTGCTGATTAGAAACTGACTCCGCAACTTCCCTATCGACACTTTGACCGGCCCCATTTAGTATGTGGGGATACGCTGAAGTCACGTCACTTGTAGCCAAGACGCCAATAGGAGTTATCGCCGCTTCTTGCTCCACGGGTTGCTGCTCGGCCGTGCGAATATCTGACGGATTGAGCCTAGGGGCACTTGTACGAATCGATTTTTTTCTTTGCCCAGGCTTGTATATAACCGGCTGTAGGGGTTTAATAGGGCTGAGATTTGGGCTTTGTTGAATAAGAGGGATACTGCGTAGGTGCTTCCGAGGCGATATAAAACGATCGGCATTCGTCCGTTTTCGAGTAACCCTTTGGATGACTTCTGGGACATTACATCCTATGGAAACTCTTCCGTCCTCCTTTATGGTTCCAACCGAGTTATCTCCATGGACGCTGGGGTGTAATGGATCCAGCCATTGCGCATCACCAATATTCTCTTTCGCGCCACGTAAGCGCGGCTTCTTTCTTGACCCAGTCCCAGCCTTCACCAACTCTTCTTGCGCAGAGTCTTCATTCTCCTTGTCTTCGTAGGACTTGATGCCAACTTTCTTCCATATCTTCTGGCCCTGTAATCGCGGGGCATGTGCAGTTATTGGGGCACGTTCCCAGGGCTTGACTCGTCGTCGCGGTGGAGGCGGCGCAAACGCATCTTGGTAGACCTCCCTAGAATATTGTAAGTGGTCTATTCAAGATTGGAAAACCATAACAAAGCGGCGTAGACGTACCAATTCGAGCTAGAAAGAGGCTCTGAGGAGATGTCCGCAACACCCTCCATGGAGGCACAATCTGCAACTACAGCAGGTACCAATGATTTTCTGCAAAAAATAAAGGTTCGATTGTGTTCAGATTGTCACTGCAGATGTAGACATAACCTTAAAAAATGGGGTACTTGTATTAACACATTAATGATGAGGGACGTTGGTAGCGTGTGCACGATGCTGGTGGTTTGTTTACTTTCTGGTTCTCTTACCGGGGTAGCGAATTAGAGGTTGCGCTAGACCGAACTTGGCTTAGCGGAATAATTATTGAAGAACCTTGTCTGGTGAGAGGAAGAAGCCGCAACGACAACGACCCTCACTGCTTTCCTCCCATCACATTATTGGGCTGCGAATCTTCACAATGCCTCCAAAGCCAAAAGGATCTACTGCGATTGCGCCTATGCGCCTGCCCCCTCTACCGAAACTGCGCGTACGAAGACCGAACCAAACCGAGGCGAATCCATGTGTAGCGCTCATGAGCTCTGTCCTCAGTACGCACCTATCCAATTGCACTTAAATAGTAGAATATTGCTGATGAAGGGCTACAGCTTGCTGGGCATCATCTGGATACAATGTCGCGGGATGTCAAGTTTTAGAAACACAGCTGCGGACGTGTATGGATACGCCTGTAAGCTTTTCCCCCGATACAAAAATATGTCTGGACTAGTCGCCTAACCGCAATGTTATACAGAGGCCCAATTCCCAAAAGAAGAATACAATCAATCATCACTTGTCAAGATTTCGCCACCAGATCTCTGGTCCAAGGAAGAGGAAGTGAGCGGAACGTTCATATTAGATTGAGATTTATACTCAGACAGCAAGATGGATACCATGTCTATACTACGGCGTTTTGGGGCAATACTGTACAAATATGACTGTGACGCTCAGCTCTATGGGCACGTAGGCGGAATACGCGGAGGAAGTGTGTATGATGGGTGTGCTGTGTTAGGTGGAGCCACACCACTCGACTTAAGTCAATTTGTACCCGATATGGACAATAGAAGTAGCACTGCAAGAAGACTATGCAAGACTTAACAACATTCCGGCTTTAAAAACACGTATATTCTGAGAGAAAATATTTGGGCGGTCTACGTCCTTTAAATGTCGTTAAGCACCGCAAGTAGTTCCAGGTCATCCCTAATAACCTTTTTAAAGACCTCAAGGCATTCTATCAGAGGTTAGAGGAGTCGCAGCAAAGAGAAACATGAGATATGGTGCAATTAATATTGAATTGCTATTCGAGCATGGAGAATATGTGGCGGCAAGAGTCATGGACGTATGTGAATAGAATAGCTCGCGAACCAACCTTAAATCATTTGGTTGATATTTCGACGTGTTTTGTCGAGATTATAAGCACAGCGGAGCAGTAACAATGCGATATAAAGGCACAGATAGTTGTACTTGGAGTGTAAATTTCTGTAGTACTGATATATATAGACCACGTTATACAATGGAATGGCTCAGCCTCCAAAGCCACTGTATTATTCAATCGTAATCCTAACAATTTGCAATAGGATTCGTGGACTTCACCAACTCATATATCTATACCTAGTGCAAGTTTTTTACTGCCATCAGGATGGAACCGGTGCTAAAGCGTCAGAGAACCAATCAAAGGGGAATTGTGAATGTATCTTTGCAGCTACCTTTCTGTATCGCTAATTCGTATTCCCGAAGACATCTTTAACAAGCGCCGATCCATCCAGAAATCAGTCCCTAGTGGCGCCGTTCATTTAGAATGAGTAGGTGACGCCGAAAACACCTACTTAATGGAGAAGCAAAAAAGCCAACTGATCATGCCTGTCCTGCCGTCTCAAATCATCTCACGTGCAATCATAAATTCGGAATATCACCCTCGACAATTCCCCCGTAGTCCTTGAACCTTCTAATTCGGGACACTGAGGCAGAATAGCTCAATCTCTCCAAGCTGGCCGGCATGGTATTGGGCCTTCTGTGCTTCTCGCCACTCCTGGAAGGCAATTTGGACGTCATCATCTGATTCGATGGTGACAAAGTCCCCGTCTTCGTCGCGATATCTCAACCTCATCGTACCTCGTGCAATTGCGTTATTCGAAAATCGGCCCACTTTGGCGTCGATTCGATCGATTAGGGACTGGTATGTAATATTGAAAGCCACCACAAGCGTGACATAGTTTCCGTCACAGTTAACCTTGACTTTCAGTTGTGTGGGCAATGCACCATCGCTATCGCCGGACATGGCGCTGCCAAGAGGAGGCGACATTGTTCGGTTATCTGAATTTACAGGTATGGGTGCCATATTGCTTTTAGAATATTGCGGCCCATTAGGATATGGCGATGGTGCTCCTAGACGATCCCGCTGGGCGCCTGGCGATTGCGTATTGGACCTCATCGGCAGGCCGTTGGGAGAATTGTTCTGAGATCTTGGAATACCCGCGTCATAAGCTGGGTGCAGGTGAGCTGGAATTCCAGGCACTGCAGGAACCTGGCTATTGGGAGCACCATTGGGAGCGCGTCGAGCCCCATTTTGAGCGGTGATATCAGGGGTACTATAGGACCGACTCCGCTGTTGTGATAAACTAGGCTGTTGCGAGTGCGAAGCCATGGCAGGAAGTGAAGGCCTCTGGGGAGTTCGGCCATTCATCTGATACGCATCCATAGGTGTTTGACTGCCCCGTGACGGTGCACGCGGCATTGCAGGTGCCGTGTAACGGTTGTGATCTTCCCAGGTTCCTTGTGGCGTTCCTTGGCGCGGAAATGGGAACATTGATGAGGTTGTGCTTGTTCTGGAAGAAGCAGGGGACTCAGCTACAGGGGAGAAATACGAATCGCCCATTCGTTGACCGGGAGAAGGCATTTGAGTATTTATCTGAGTCTGTAGGCTAAGAGGCGGGTTCGAGAAGCCTAGAGGAAATCTTGGTGGTGGTGCCCGAGCGATCCCAGCTAGTGACTGTCCACTGTCACCGGTCGCAGCCCTCGAACGTAGACTGGTGCTGGAGGCGTTCCGAGGCATTCCTTGAATAGGCTGTCCTTGGTATGCTTGATTGTGCTCCTCATCCTCGTCCTCATCATCTTGTTGTGCGTAAGGGTTTTGCATTGCTGCAGTTTGATCTCGCATCCAAGCGAAATCAGGAGGCGTTGCATCAGGGCTGGTACCAGACTGGATGTTCGTATGCGCTTTCCGTTGACCATCAATTCCAGTGTACCACTTCTTCATTGAGTCATCATTCGAGAACCTGATAATGAAGCTTTCAACTCCGGGGTCGCCCTTCCAGAAAATCTGCACTGTATAAGAGCCTATCACATGTCAGCGGAGCTTCTTTTCCCCAAGGGGAGGGGAACAGTACCCTGCTTTGCGAGCGAGACAACCTCTGTGACATTAGTCATGAAAATTCGCCCCTTAAGTTGGAGTTTTGAATTCGGGTCCTTCTTCTTATTCTTATCCTTTTTGTCTTTCTGGGTTCCCATTATCTTGTCCTTTGGGCTGACTTCTTTGCAACAAAGAAGGATTCGCTCGAAGAGATATATTGTGTACTATTCAAAGGCAGGCCAGCAAGGCCCGAACAGTCAGCACAGCTTTTTGTAAGGAGGGGTGCGCCAGTATTGGGGCCCCGGCCCATCAACCTGTAGAAAACCATACTGGCAAAGAAAAAAGTCGCTCTTTGACGCTGGTCATGACTTTTATCTTGAGAGCCAGCGGCAGCTACTAATTGCCAGTGAGACTATAGTATCTCGCTATTTGATCATACTGCTACTTGTTGCGCACTTCAGACTCCGGCGCCTTGCGCTTGGGGTCTATTGCGTTTTTGAAATATCGAGCAGATTGTAGTTTTTTGTGATTGGGATGGGTGACATAGAGTGGGGTCGTACTTCTTTCTGCCCGTCGGTTTTGCCTGTGACTACTGGGAAGTGTCCATGCAATAACAGTTCTCCGAAGTGGTCAATCTGGTGGTGCTTCCAGTCTTCGACACGAGCTTCTAGGTTTTCTCGTGCCTCGCGTCTCAGTTCCTGGTCGACAGCTTCATTGGCTTCCTTGAGCACCCGATTTGCTGCTTCAATGCCCGTGGTTAGATCGAGTTTTGTTGCCTCATCGGCATTCGTCTTGTCACGTAGATCCTATAGCCGGTAAGTATATGTGGGGGCTTCATAGACGCGAAATATGTACCTTTAGGAGTAACGGATATTTTACTAAGCGTTGCATTGGCTTGAGTAAGAACCCATCTAGAGTATTAAAATCCACGACGACGGGGTGGTCTGCCAAGGTAATTTTGTGAAATTCCTTCTTGGCAATGTCGGCAGCCTTCCGCTGATTTGCTATGAATGGCTTGTAAATATTGAAGGACTCTTCGTAATTGGCAAACGGTAAGCCCCATTCTTGCTTGTCCTGGGGTTGAGAATTGGTTGTTTCAATTTTGATGAGAAACCGTCTTTGAAAATCCAGAATTGAGTTGATGTTGAGAAAGATATCATGTACCACATCCCCAGGGATGACCCCCTTTTGCTCTATTGTCTTCTTGAGTTCGTGCAGATTCTCCAAATCTTGAACGTACTTCCGTTCTGTATCCACTAACTCGCCAACAACGTGGTCTCTGTAACTCATCTGTGCTCCAGCAGGAGTTGTTGAAGTGGTTGTATCTGTTTGCACGACCCTTAGATTGCCTCGCACTTCAGCTTCGTCGAGGACCTTATTGATGATTTGGGTGACCTGTTGACCGATAAACATGTAAGCATGTATTCATAATAGTTCTCAAGCCTAGTGGCAACGGGTAGGGAGAGTCATCATCGCGTTCATGATGGCGAGGCCCAAGGCCCTTGCCCAGTTGGAGCCATATATGTGAAACCATGCCCGGGGGCACAGAACCGGCAAACTAAGGTAGGAAGGACACTGGGCCAAGGGAGACTTGAGGGCTGTGTTGCGATACGATGGATGATAGTACACCACAAACCGATGGGAAATAAAAACTACTAACCTTAACAAAACCTGTAGTATCATCACCAAAGAGATCCGTTAGAGCAAAGCATTCCCCAGCATCCAACTGCAACTCTCCCTTCAAACATGCCTCCACAAATTTGAACGCCGCCATCTTGGGTAGATTTTTAGGTCTCTTTTTCTCGGGTCCATTATCGACGGCTATTTGTAAAGGGACCGGTGGCCGAAGAGAATTATATATCGTCATCAAGGGAGTGCCTTTCCGCAGGCACGCCCATAACGATGACACCGGGTCCATATCATCCCCGCCCTCCTCCTCTTCCAATTCATTTAGATGGACATCGAAGCCGGGCACCTGTGCGAGACGATTCCGCAGCATAACACATATTTGGTATAAACTCCGCGACGCATCGGCTTTCTGATTAATGATATTATTTGTTGCGACCACTTGTCCCCCATTCGCCGGCGCTTGCATCGTGGAAGCGCTTGACATAGAGGGCAGTGACGTTGTGGAGGAGGATGTGAAGGTTGTCGAGGGGTTAGACATTTGGGATGATCTCGAGCTAGGCGTATGGCTCATGGTCTGCGCCAAACCACTCCGCGTCGGGAAGATGGGCGTGGTATTCGTCCTCGAGAGGGGTCCATGACTTTGGGCCATTCCGATGGCGATACCGCCGGATGACATTAATGGGGAAGGCGAACAGTGGAGCTGGGCATTCAGGCCGTCGGCATAGAGCGGATACGGCCAGCCGTGGCAGACGGTAGGAGTACAGTTTATTCGAACGGGCTCGTTATCGGGTTGTTGTTGATGTATGTTGTTGTCGAAGTGCTCTGAATCCTGCTCCTGTCGTCTCACGGGTTCGTTGGAGTTGTCTCAGGTAGTTCAGGAGGAGTTTATGCGAATCGCCCATATATATGCACTATGCCCAGAGAGGCAAGGCGCCGGAAGGGCTGAAGTGGCGGACCCTGCAGGCGGGCGACTTCGATGCGGACACGTGACTTCCACATCAACCACTGGTGTGGCTCCCTTTCCCTGTTCACGTCCGAATGCCCTCATCACCGCCTTCGAATTTGGTTCCATATCTGCTCGACCGTACAAGTTTCCCGTGCTGTGACTTTGGATCTGCGTTCTAGTGTGGCGCAACGGTCTTGTCCTACAACGCCCATCAGCAGCGACTCAACATTGCTCCCCCGATTGGCGATTGAGCAGGCAGCCGGAGCCTGATTTACACTGTCAGCCCAGCAAGCACCAAAGCATACCTAAGCAAACTTCAGCCTCCTCGTATACAGAGTATTCGGATTCCCTGTAACGCAGACAGATCCGACGTCTATCAACAGTAACGCGCCTATCTCTCCTCCCCTTGGCACTGCTCTAAATATCGAGTACACTGCTGCACCATTACCACTTCTACGCTCTCTAAGGCCCAAAATTCACTCCGCCAGCATGGCGGTGTACGGACAATCCCCCCAAGATGAAGGCTACAGCGAGGATCCCTTGACGGTGGGCACTGTGTCTCCGCCTCCACTCCCGCGGCCTTCATGGCTTTCCGCGATGTCTGTACCGGAACGTACAGGTAGGTGTAGCCCCGAATGTAATATCACGTTTCCAGAGAGGCTAACTCCCGTCTAGAATATGTCATGCGCCTCATCGACCAGCTCCCCACCTCCGCTGTTTGCGAGATAGTCGAACGTCTAAGTCCTCGCCTCTACATCAACTTCTTTCAGTATCTTCCAGCTGAAATATGCTTGAAGATTCTCGGCTTCCTCGACCCGCTGTCCTTGATAAATACAGCCCGTGCTTCACGGGAATGGATGTTGTTGGCACTAGACCGGAAACTCTGGGAAGAGGTATATATGCTAGAAGGCTTTCGCGTCATCCGATCTGAGGTACAAAAATTCGAGGAGGAAATCAATGCCGACAGATCAAGATTTGGTGGGCCGAGCGATGAAGAACACGCAAGCAAGCGGAGGGCTACACCCCAGCGGATTCTGCCGAATTTACAAGTCGATGACGATTATGAAATGGTGGATGCTGATATCGAGGTACCGCACGCGACATCCATATTCGGCCCATTGACAACCGAGCCAAAGAACTCACGCTTCCACGAATCTAAATTTGATTCTGATGTACATATGGCGTCCTCGAAAACACCCTCTTTATCGTCGCAATGGACCAAGACCACAAGTTTCCCGAATCGGCACGCCACCAAGACGCTGAGCAGTTCAAGCCATCGAATATCTGCCAGTTCGGGTTCGACAAGTTCACGGTCCTCAGGGTCATTGTCGGACATGTCATCCTTGGTGGTCGTCGATCGGAGTGACGGCAAGAAAAAGCTGAACTGGCAATATCTATACTCCCAGAGGAGAAGGTTGGAGGCGAATTGGGAAGCAGAGAAATACACCAATTTTCAGCTACCTCATCCTAACCACCCGGAAGAAGCCCATGAGGAATGCATATATACCATCCAATTCTCCGGGCAATATCTCGTTAGTGGTAGCCGAGATAGGACACTCCGCATCTGGGACTTGAACACCAAACGGCTTGTCCGTCCTCCCTTGCGGGCGCATAATGGTTCAGTTTTATGCCTTCAGTTTGACGCGGATCCGGAAGAGGACTTGCTTGTTTCTGGGAGCAGCGACGCTACCGTGGTCCTCTGGCGATTTTCCACCGGTCAGATCTTGCAGCGATTGAGGAAAGCTCATCGAGAATCTGTCTTGAATGTCAGGTTTGATAAACGGGTTCTGGTAACTTGCTCCAAAGACAAGACTATCAAGATCTTTAACCGAAGGCCCATATATGCCGGGGAATTGGATTATCCGGGGACTATCAAGGGTGTCAATCCGGTCCCAAGGTATCTTCAAAATTATGGTTACAATCCCGCTCCTACTGCAGGATTACCTCTTGTGCCAGCGTATTCAATGATCGGGTGCCTGGAAGGCCATGGCGCAGCGGTCAACGCCGTTCAGATTCACGGGGATGAGGTAGTGTCTGCTTCTGGGGATCGGACCGTTAAAGCCTGGAATTGGCGGGAACAGACTTGTACCCGAACTTTCATTGGCCACACTAAAGGCATTGCATGCGTCCAATATGATGGACGCCGCATTGTAAGCGGTAGCAGTGACAATGAAGTCAAGGTTTTTGATAGAGTTTCTGGACTCGAAGTTGCCAGCCTCAGGACCCATACAAACCTGGTTCGAACTGTTCAAGCAGGGTTCGGCGATTTGCCATATAGCTCGGAGGAGGACCAGGAGGAGGCCCAAAGGACCGACCGCGAATACTTCAGAGCAATTGAATCGGGAGCGATCTCACCGCAAACGCAGCCTCAACGAGGTTCCTCGAGAAATGCTGGCTCCAGGAGACCTGAGGATATCACTGCTTATGGGGGCAAGATTCCCCCAGGCGGTGGGGGTGGAAAATTTGGGCGTATCGTTTCTGGATCATATGACGAAACTATCATCATCTGGCGTAGAGATAAGGAAGGGGTCTGGCGCGCGCAGCACACCCTCCGACAAGAAGAAGCAGCCCGTGCATCATCAAGAGCTGCTAAACAAGCCAACGACAACTATGCCAATGCCCAAGCAGCTGCAGGTTCAAGTTCTCAAACCACCAATCCCTCAGAACCCCAAAGTTCGGTAACAGACAAGAGTGCGGCTGAGACATACTACGAGCAACTAATCGACATGATCGTGCCTCAAGGCCCAATGGCACTGCGGCAGGGTTTACAAGCACATCCCCAGATGCTTACAAGTAGCCATCTTGAAGATGTGATCCAGAGTCTACCTGGTGGCACGCGGCATGTGATGTCGGCGATTGTCGCCCAGGCACTACAAACTCAGCAGCAGATGCCTGGATCTGTTGCGGGCATACCCTTGCCTGTTCCTGTACAGAATCTCTTGTCACCGACCCAGTTGCCTCCAGTACCTGCGCCGATGTCAGATGCCAACCCACAGATGTCTACCGCTCAGGGTTCTACTTCACAGGTACCTCCTCCGCCAACTGCGCCCACTCCAGCGATAGACCCGAATTCCCATACCGCCGCGGCTCCTGCTCCTCAGCAAGCCGTGCCCCCTGTGGCTCATGTCACACCGCACCACCACCTTGTAGCTAATATGGCGAGAGTGTTCAAACTGCAATTTGACGCGAGGAGGATCATCTGTTGCAGCCAGACTTCCATCATCGTCGGCTGGGATTTTGCCAATGGAGACTCGCAGCTTATCGAAGCCAGTCGATTCTTTGCACCAGTTGAATAAGAACCTCACCATCCTCAAAGTGTCCAAGAGTAAAAATCATATCTCTTCAGTTTATAGTACGAAAATCCCCAGGGTGGGACATATACGAGCCGGGTTTTCTCCGCACATATTAATTAATCATCCGAGGCGATATGGGCGTCGGCGAGGATCGTCGGCATCTCATCATTTACTCTTCATGAACTTTTACGGCTTGATGATGGGTTGGAATTGGGGGGTTTTTTTTTGGCTCCTGATATTTGATCGACTGGTTGGGTCATAACCAAGCTATCCAGCAGCGTGCGTCCGAGTTTTGGAGTCTTATACTATGGAAGCGTTGTAACGGCTTTGGTGGTGATATATAGGATTGGGATGGAACGGGATGGAGTGCGGCTATTTATATATAGGTAGATACAAATAGAAGACGTATTTCTATTTTATGAATTGGTTTTGTGCACTGTTAGGAAACACTTTGGAGAGTCCTATCATGTGGAGGGTGTGAGCACCCTGGTGATTATCGGCTTCACGTGCTAAGAGGAAATGTAGCTTAGGTAGGACGAATATTAAATCGAGGGGGGGAAAAGTCAAATAGTCTATATACTGATATCCGCTGACTGGGGAGTTTTAGGAGAAACGAAACTAGAGAATTGGTGATGGGAGGAAGAAGGAGGCCACTCCTATATTCCTACCGACCAAAGCCAAAAAAAAAAATGCAAATCCAATCTATTATCCGCCAAAATTCCACCGATTAAAGCAAATTAATCGTGAAACAAAAAAAGAGGTTTTTGAGTTGGGGGTATCGTCCATCCGTCTCATCCAAGCATCGTCGTCGCTGCACGACCACATCCACCACGGCAAACAAAAAACTCCGGAACCGGAATGTCAAAAACAAAGATGCTCAGTTCTTTTCAGAGGAAACCTCCTTAGCCGGGGCCTTCGTAGCGCCGAGGAAGGAGTTCAACCACGCCCATGAATCACCAGCGACCTTGAATCCCGTGCCGACGGCGGCCTTGCCATATGTCACGACACCCTCGCCGCCGACCTTCTTGACCTCGCCGTGATATGTGTTGAGCACGTAATCTTTGCCCTCAGTGCCCTTCTTCAGCGGGAAGAACACCACAGACTGGGCATCTTGGTATAGCTCGCTGGTGGACTTCTTGACGACGGGGAATTTGGTGTCGAGAGACGAGAGTGTAGAGTCTCCGAGGGAATCCGCTTTCTTCACGTAGGGAGAGACGTATTCGTATGGCTTGGAGAGGTAGGGGAGGAGGGGCACGCCGAGCTTTTCGTAGCCTTGCGATGTGAGTTGTAGGGATTTGGCGCCGTAGGGATGCGACTTGAAGGAGGTGATGCTGTCGTTGATTACTGGATAGGAGACAAGATGCTGGTTGGAGCGTGAGCAATTGACCTTGTGAAGGGAAGGAGGACTTGACTTGACTTACTGCGAGGAAGGCGGAGGAGGGGGCGGGGTCGCCGTTGACTTGGGGTGCCATTTTGCGGTTGCGGTTGCGGCTGGATTTCTCTGCGTGTGGCATTTATATGGGTTTCTGCGAGTAATTGGTTAGTACGAAGTATAGTTGATTGCAATGGTGTTGGGAAGGAAATGGTGGATGTGGGAAGAAGCGGTAGCTGTGCTGTACGGTGCTGAGCTATGCTATGCAGCCACCCCTTGCATGTGAATGTGAATGTGAATGTGAAATGTGAAGCAGCCTATACGGTGGTGGAGCTGGGTGAGATAGATACCTCGAGAGATAAGGACTTACTCTTGTGATTGGGAGAGTGAGGAGGTCAAGTCTTCGTCAAGCTTGAGTCACTAGGTAGCTATGATAATCGTAGCTGATGAAGTGGATTTGCGTGTGCTGTATGTTGGTAGCAGAGTGAAGGCCTACGGGGAGAAGAAGAAGAAGTAGTGGAATGGAAAACGACGGTGGTGTCTTGGGTTATTAAGTGATGGCTGGGTTAAAATCTGGATAAGGGAGGCAAAAGGCTTCGTGGGCCATGGTTGGAGTGTTATAGGCGCAGCAAGCAGCGCCCAATCAAGGAGAATTTAGCATGTGAGTTGCGTGCTTTCATGCCTCATGCTTCGACGGGACTATTGTATTGGGAGTGGGAGAGTGGATATGGCCGTACCGTAGCTGTGGCAGGGACTGGATTGCTGGGACTGGTGGCAGCGTGGGAAGGGCGATCCGGTATCAGTCTAAAGCCAGTCCCAAGCGTCCAAAGGCGGGCCTCACGAACGTGCTGCAAGGAAAGCCGTCCAGGAGGGAGACGAGACAAGTGATAATTGGCGCCCTGCAGCCGGGAAATATGTGGGAGGGCAAGTCTGCTAGCGGTGAAATGGTGGTGATAGGTGATAGGTGATAGGTAATAGGTGATAGCGGTGGTGAATGGTGAATGGTGTTTCTGACCGTTGGTTTTTGGCATGTGATCGTGATCGTGTAGTGTCCTTGGTCGTGGAAGTTGCGTTGCGTCACGTCACCAGAAATGCAAATACTTTCTCCGGCGCGAACTGTTGCACTGTGCTTGCTGATGACCGAGCATTGTTGTACTGCCACAGCACCAGCCACCAGCCACCAGCCACACGAAACCAGTTCAAGTACCGTACTCCGTACCAACAACCAGGAAACCGTTATCACCCCATCCCTACTCGAGTATTGGTGTTATTACTACTGCGGTTTTATTATACCTGCTGCATGATGATACAGGTATGAACAATTGCCCTATCCTTATCGTTCGACGTTCATAGCTCCAAAGCTTATCTATGGCATCGAGGGAATGAATGGCGCTTCCTACAATCAATTCCTGTGTATTATATATATATATATGTGTGTGTGTATATATTATGCGCAAGCACGCCTCAATGCCTCTCGGCGCCCCTATTGTGTCCAGCAGTGCAAGATATATATGTCTCCCAAACCTCCGGCTGGCACCTCATCTCCATCCTCCATCCTCCATCCTCCGTCCTCTCTCATGCTTTCATCCTCACCAGCCACACACCCACACTGTCCTTTCGCCCTCCAGGTCAGTGCTCTGGCATGTGAAGATGGCGCCAATGAACCAGCGGGCGAAGTACGTAGCAGGTACAGTGCGAGGTAGTCGCGTACCATGTACATGTCCCATGTACCTAGGACCTAGGTTGGCCAGCAGAGGTACATTTGCCACTACCTGTATCAGCTCCTCAACAAAAGAAACAGACCCTGAAAGGCTTAATCTCAGTCACTAGTGGCTACTCTCTCCCTCTTGGCTCTGGGCAATAATCACCAGGCAGACCGAGGAGCGGCGAATATCCAATTTTCCTGTTCTTACCTCTGTCCTACGTTGCACCTCACTTCGTCCCTTTCCTCGGCCTCGTCCCGATTTCCCCCATTCAACCATCCGATCCGCAGCCTCGGTCTCCTGGAGTTGCATGTACGTGTAACCTTTGATTCGGCACCATACGATACACGATACGCGACACCCGATAATGTCTCGCTTCTTCTCGTGTTGCTATTCTAGGAACCTGTCAGAATCCTATAAAAATGGGGACTGGCGGCGACTTGGGACGTCTGGCCTTGTCGATCCACAACGCCCATCATCTCCATGTGGCGAAAACACTGGAGACTGCAGCTGGCTTGCACTGCTGATTTGCATGTGATTTCCGTTCGACCTTGAGCGGCAGATAAGGTACCTTCAGCGGTATCATAAGACTGTCCTAACCCCCTTTTGTTTGGCCGTTTCCATCCTTCCAACTGTCTCTGATCGTTAACTTCCCGATTTTTTTCCTGGAAGGGCCGAATCATGTGACATTATTTATGTCCGATCACGTGTGTTACCCAACACCGGTATCAGGTCGCGTCTGAAATCGAATGGAATGGCAAATCATCTCCTGATTCGGGCAGCAAAACCTTACAACTTATAAGGTATGGCAGACTTCCTACGAAAGCATTACGTGGAGCACCAGACAGCTCTGCAAGGCTAGGGCTTTGTCTTAAGCTCAAACTCTTATCAAGCTGTTCCCGTCCATTGTGCGAAAACGGTTATTTTATTGCTCGAGGCCTCCCATCCCCAAGGAAGCCCTGAATTCTCGCAGCGAGTCTTTTTTTTCAATCTAGCATTGAAGGATGACTTCCCCTCTATTCTCATATCGATTAGCTACTCGCCTAGCTCTCATTGCGACGAGTTTGACTCTGTTGCCCTCCTGCCAGTGCTACGCATGCAGATCCAGAAGTCTGGCTCCGTGTCAGATAAAACGCAAAGTTCTACTAAGTACGTGTCAAGCATCCTTAAATTGGTGCCAAGTACCTATACAAAGTCCGTGTGCCAACCACTGCGCATACCGCTACAAGTCAAATCCCAAGGCCTACCAGGCAGTTTCCCCTATGAAATAATTGCATTGGCATTTGTGTCTTAAGTTAAATCTGAACTTAAATCTGACTTCAGAATATACCCGTGCGGTATATGTCATGGATATTGACGTAGCACAACTCACTTTTGTTCAAAAAAGGTTTAACGTCGGCGTCCGTCCCAAGCAAGCGCCCGTTCAACACTCCATCATCATGATGTTTTCATCTCCATAGAGATATACTCCGTAAGACCCGCTATGCATCATCCGTGGGTCGTGATCCAATTCCCTGCTCCTCCCCCATCATCCTCGACCTATCATACTCTCGTGCATCCATTCCTAAGTAAGCATCTTCCTTCATAATTGGATGCGGCGTGAAGCTACCGGAGGTTCTAGTCAAACGGACAGCTAGTAACTAGTAATAAGGCAAACTTCCATAAGGGGTCCAGCTCGTTACAGGTTTGTGATGATTATGCCTTGCAAAAGTTCGTCCTTTACTTTGTAGAACCTTGCCTTACTTTCTTATTCTCTTATTTTCTTGTGCGTTGAATCCTGTCGTCTCTGTTACTCATGAAACCCCAACTCCACCACCTTAATTACTCCTCCTAAAGCATTCGGAGAAGATGATTCCCACCCGGTATCGAAATGTCTTCTTCCTTAGCATCCTTTTGGTCATCGTCTTCTTAACCACGTACTTCCACGGCCATATTAGACGAGCTTCAACTCCCTATATCGAGGATATCCACGACAAGTTCTACCCTGACCCTGACCCTGACCCTGACCCACCAAAACCAATATACAAGCACAAAAGCCAACTTGTACTCCCTCCTGTTGTCGATAATTTTCCTCTGGCAGCAGCCGCACACTCTGCCTCAGACCTCCCACCGATTCCAGCATGGAACGCTCCGCCATCCGATCATGTCCCTGAGAGGACGCCCCTCTTCATAGGCTTCACCCGAAACTGGCGCGTTCTCCAGCAATGTGTTGTGTCATACATCACAGCCGGCTGGCCTCCCCAGGACATCTACATAATAGAGAACACCGGGGTGATGAACTCGAACAAAAATGGTCTTCTATCACTACAGAACCCTTTCTTCCTGAATCATACGCGCCTTGAAATGCTCGGCGTCAACGTTATGATCACACCTACCCTCCTCACATTTGCTCAGCTCCAAAACTTCTTCATTTCCACCGCTATCCAAAATGAATGGGGGTACTACTTCTGGTCACACATGGACATCGTGGCTCTCTCGTTCGAAAACCGCTATGACGATGCGGTACGCGCTGGCAAAGAGTCCCCGGATATTGCCAAGGAGCCATTCAAATGGAAATCGCTATACGAGAACTGCATCGACACACTGCGTCGAGCCCTGGCTCTTCCTGCCGATTCCGAAACGGGCTCCCCAGCGCGCTGGGGAATGCGATTCTTTTCATACGATCGGCTTGCACTAGTGAATGTCGCAGCCTTCGTAGACATCGGCGCTTGGGATACGATGATACCCTTCTATATGACAGACTGCGACATGCATTGGCGGTTAGAAGTGTCAGGGTATAGCATTATCGAGGATCCCGTGGGGATGATCTACGATGTAGCGAGCAGTCTGGACGATTTATTGGTTCTATACCGTAAGGTAGAGGCTAACCCCAGTGGGGGGGAAGTACCAGGAGTGAGCTTCACGGATCCCAACGAGGTTGAGAAGAAACTAGAAGAGATGGAGCAGTCGGAGAACGAGCTAGAGGCTGAACTGAATAACAGAAGCCTCGCAGTGAGGAGCGTTCAGCCCCGCGACGAAGCATCTACAAACAACTCCGCTTCCACATCGGTAGTCACAGCATGGCAAGAAGATAACCCCTTTCCATCACCCTCCCCTCTCTTCCTCAACCTTCTCCACACGCTTGACTCCATGGTAGCCAGCAAACACTCCTCTAAAGGCGGACGCAATACCTGGCAAGGGCGGGCGAAGGGCGGCGAAGGCGACCCGTTTTACAGGGATAGTGCCGGCTTCGAAAATGCTATTCTAATGACTATCGAGCATGGACGGAGAGTGTTCGCCGAGAAGTGGGGACATAGGGATTGTGATCTGGCCGATGTTGGGCTGAAGCCGGATGATGCTTGGCTGGTGGAACATGATTGGAGGGATTGAGTTCTTTGGTTCCTAGTACTGGGGGATGAAAATAATGACCGAAAAGTAAAAGGGAATACGCTGGTGTTATACATAACAAGGCGTTGGCGGAAGACTTAGATACTACGGAATACTCAGCATTGGGGGTTTAGAAATGGCGTGTGGGCGGGTTATGTACTTGTATATACTGCGGAGGGTACGCCGCTTTGTATATCAATGGCGTTTTTGGCGTAATATAGAGAGGTATTGTAGTAGAGCACGAATACACTAAACAATAATATTAATAGAGTCGTGAGCATTTTCCTGATCCTTGATCATTCCCGTTGCATAATATTTGATTGATATGTGAGGCTGGTCTATTAAATAACGGGAAGGAGGTACAATGACTAGAGGAACATGTTTACTTTTATACTTAGCCTTAAAGCGCAGCACAGATTCTCATCATGTTAGGCTAGCTTGGGTTTCGTTCTATGAGGGGAATAATTGATGGGGTTATTTATCTAGGTAGAGGTAGGGTGGAAGGATAATTGTTGTATACAGATGCATATTCAAGTATTGTTTTTTACTCTAACATCAGTAAATAAATTCACGGACAAGAGAATTTAACATAAGTCGAACCATATATCTTGAGATTCGGGTTGGATTTCTGCTTTCGGAAACCCTATAGTTCTAAATAGTGTGTATATTATCGAAATCTAACTGCTAGAAGATGCTCAGGACATAGTGTTATAGTGTATTAGTTCTAAGCAAATCCTATTACGAAAAGCGAATAGTCTCACAATAACCAAATCTAAGATGCGGCGGGTTCGGTGCTTATAACTGCGCATGTAATCAAGGAGGCGGGAAACCAAAAACCATCGATGAGCCTATTATTCGCGCGATAGAACTGACTAGGGTTAAAGTTCAATACCATATATATATTCCGCCATATTATCCATGCAAAGGAAGTGCCTACTCGAATTGGGGCTATAATGCATTCTGCCGTTCGGTGATCCAAATAGCGATTATTTCTTCCCTTCGTAGATTTGCAGATTTCTAATGTTACGACCGCTCCCGCAGCCAGTGCCAAGTCTGCAAACACTGGGACTATCAAGCTATTTCGCGCGGGCTAGAATGGGGGAGTTTGTCCACGTTGGTGTCAACTTGTTCTTCGAAAATACAATTGAGGTTAGCGATGCTGATCCAACAGACCGTGGCTGACAGCTATGTGGAAGAAAAGGGTCGACAGTAAGAGGATGGCTGACAGTTAGGGATATTTTGACAGTATGAAAATGAGTGACAACAGCTGGAAGTCGCTGTTATTTCAAGCACTAAAAGGGCAAGGGAACTCCGCGCTGTCGGTAGTAATGAAATATAGCCCTAACTGTCCCGAGTTACTTCTTAGGGAGTAGAATGTATGTGGTCGGTACATGCCGATGAGCCCGTAGGTAGAACTGGGCTTAGCCTTACAAGCTTCGTCCTGAACAATGGTAGTGGGATGTGTGATAGTTCCCGCGATAGCTGGTTTTAGGGCCATAGCTGTCGTATAGAGAACTACGGCGGGAATAGGTTTACGTAGGCTATAGCTAGTAGTATGGCCACGAGTAACAGTTCTAGAGAACGAAGTTCTAGATCTATAACCCGGAGGGGCTGAGCCAGGGCCGGAAGCACGGCTAAGACTAGAGCACGATTAGAGCCTCGAGGGGATGGGCTCCGGTACAATGAATTTGACAATCTTAATCTAAGGAAGATATGGAAAATATGAAAGAACGTTTCGAACATAACATATTCAGACCTTGGCTTATCCAGATCCGTGTGTAAGTAAACTAGAGGTGTTGAGTTGTAGGGGGAACATATATGTGACGGAGTTACCGAGAGCAAGGGTCGGATTTGGGGTGACGGGGGAATGGCATAAGGAGCGACGAGTATATAAAAGGGTTGATTTTGATCTTCTTTATGGATGTCCATTTGAAAGCAGACGGACATGGGCCACGTATTTTTAAATCACCTCGTCAATACTCCAATCTTAGGTGAGGATTAGGCTTGATTGCATTCTGGTATATCTGAGGCTCCTGTTCCTGATCTAGTAAACGGGCGATGCCTGGCTAAATCTGAGAAACAAGGACATCCTGGAGCTTGATGATATTGAGAAGGAGTACTTGGCGTGCTAAAGTAGTGCTCCTAGGGAAGATTTTGGGATGTTGAAGGAGAGAACCGAGAGACCCCAATGGAAATCTCGTGAACGGACAATGTTAAACATTCCTGAAGGCGCCGCCTCCCTTCGCCATTGCCGAGATCAAGTCAACTGCAAAATCCCCCACCTCTCGAACAAGATCTTGAAATAGTGGCTCTTGAACAAATTCATTCTGTTGTAAGGATGCCGTCTCCACCACGACTCTCCTTGTAGCAGCTGTGCCGATGCCTGTTGACGTCGAATATACCTCCCGTATACAATCAACAAACGTATCACTCATCCAATGCTCTTTTAGCTGGAGCTCGAACTTCTTGCACGACAGGCTTTTCAGGTCCTCCATCTGCATTGCGTCAGCGAGAGCGTAGACTCGAAGGTGCCTAAACAGTTCGGGATCGTCATCTGCCCTCTGTTAGTTCTGATATCTCAAACGACGGGGAAGTAGACCTTCGAGAAGCAACTGAAGTAACTCAGCCGGTTCATCAGCGTAATCCCCAGTGTATATGTATTCAAACACTCGCCAAAGAGCGTGCGGGTTGTCCTCGTCAAATCTAAGCCCAATAACTCCGCATTTTTGGGGCTGCAGTTGATCCTCAAGGTATGGGCTGCGCATGCCCAGGATCAACCGATGAGCTGGAAGCGGGATATCTCTAAGGTACACGGTCAAATCTGAGTATTTCTTATTATTAAATAAGCTGTAGCGGAAATTAGTTTTGCCATGGCCCGTTTATTATCGGGCGTGCCTCACCTGCCAAATTCCCTTCTTGGACTCGAATCCGGCACGGTAGCGGGCATTGTTGCTGAGTTTGGTGGCACAGTAAGAGAGAAGGCGTTATTGGAAGGTTAGGCGGTATTGGTGATCGTTCTACGCGCAAGCCATAGGGACAGTTGGTGCTGAGTTCGATCTTGTGCTGATTGCTCGCGGCGTCGGTTTAGTTCACAATCTCGTGACGACTGGTCCCGTCGACGTTGCAATTAAGCTCTACTTGGTGTCTGACTGTTATTTCCCATTCGGCTAGACGTCGTGATCGTGGTTGTGGTCGTAGTAGTGAGCGCGGTGGTTGGATTTTCGCTGCGTTCGGCAGTTGAAGCATCCAATAGGTAGGTATGGAAAAGTGTCTTTGCGTTTCAAGGCGCCTTTACATATCAAGGCACCAAAAACCTAGAGCTTTGAGAAGCCGTCATCACAAGCAATCACTTTGACGATTAGTTGAGGGGGCTGGTTGCTGTCCGCCTGCTTATGATTTGTAGTCAAGCACACCTAAAAACACCCGAAAAATCAAGATTATATTGCATTTAAAAACAGATAGAGTGCATGAATAACTCCCACTAAGAGTTGTCTCGTTGGATATGTTTGTGAATCGACGTTGATGAACTTCCACTTGGATGGTTCAGAGATCACAGCTAGTGATAGACTGCAATAAATAGTGGAAATGATTCAGCAAGGACAACAATAGTAGTAACAAAGCAGGGCCTATTATATCAGCCGTCTGAGATTGATTCTGTCGCTTGGAATGAACAGCAACCCGCTACCTAACGCCAAATGCTCCAATACTCCACTCCGGCACCCGTCCCCTATCCAGCAGCTTCCTTAACCTGATCCGACTTCTGCGGCGGCTCATCAATAAACTGCGGCACCTCGTCAACCATAAAACTCGGGGTGCTCTCGGCCCCCATATTCTCAAATTCGACCTCCTCACCCAGAGCTTCTAATTCGGCATCTAGCTCCGACTCATCTACGTCCTCGGGAATATCGTAGCTCCGACTTATACTCTCCTGAATATCATTTCCGATATCCATCAGATCCGCCATTTCGTCTTGCATCCTCTCAATCTTGTCGATATTTATCTTGCCGTACTGCTGTTTCAGGCTCTTATTCGTCTGCTTCATTGCATCCACGGTCGTCATTACGTTCTTCAGGTTGTCCTGCATCATGCCTGCTTGTTCCATGTTCCAGGCTTGTTGTTGCAGCTGATCGCGCTGGCCTTCGTACATTTTCCGCCGTTGCAGTACCTTGAGGGCTTTTTGCTTGATGGCTGTTTTGCCGGGCCCATCTCGCATTTTGGAGAGCTTTGTTTGGTAGCCTTGGAGTTCGCCGTTTATGGCCGCGAGTTTTACGTCGATGGACTCTACTCGGTCGTCGGCCTGAGGGATAGTTAGCAGGAAGACTAGAGGGGAGAGGGAGGTGGGGAAACAATACATTTTTTATGGCACCGGTAAGAGTCGGCTTTGGCGCCGTACTCTTTGCACCAAAGAGACGGTTCATCTTGGAGAGAGTATACTCTGAAAGGCAGGGCAGCTACCTCGAAGGGGTATTTGAAACCCGCCTGCTAGCTGCACCTGGCGTGATAACCCCCTCTCTCACAGCGCTGTATTGTTATTCTTTGGATAACCTGTTCAAGTCTCCCAGCGGTTTGCGAGTCTCGATGTGCTGCTCCGAATCGCCTGTGGAATATAACCTGTTGCCCAGCTGAGTGGTTTGACCAGATGTCGAGCTTGGCGCGGCAGGTGGACTTTGGATTGAATAGTTTCGGCGTGTCTTATTCGTACCGGATCAGGATATGAATAGGTAATGTAATGGTGGGAAGATGTGTGAGCAGCAGAAGGTAGTATGATATGGGTTGCAAGTAAGTCGTAAGTAGTATAGAGGCTCGTGGTGCTCTCCCTCTCTGTCTTGTATCTCTCAGGCGCCCCGCGACGGACTCGTCTCCTCAGTCGTCATCCCGGGAGAATCTCGGACACCGTCACGTGGCGAAAACGTTTCAATGGAGTTTTGATTGTTTCGATTCAGCCAAGATGGTCATGGCCCAGAAACCATGCACGACGTGGCAGAACAGAGCCTGACACTGACAGAGAGCCAGAGCCAGAGCCAGCGATAGAGCCAGCAGAAGAGAAGCCCATGTCCGACGTATCCAGGATCAATACCTACCTTACTTTACCTTACGGACGAACACCTGGAGACATTCACAGCGTCCACTGTGAAAGCGCATGCTAAATAAAGAACTCCTGATCCCACATCCTTCACAGGGAGAAAAGGGGCATTTGTCGCAGGGATTACAGCCTCTGTACTTCGTAGTTTTCTGTACGTCGTACACAGTTCCTCCGTGCGCCAAAAACATATCATCCAAGTCAGCCCAACTGGCACAGAATCCAAAACACCCATTCACAACGACCGCCAACTCCAGCTCAGCTCCAGCTCGCCCATTCACCGGACATTCGCTCCATTGTACTTCTACACCCTCTTCACTTCTTGTTCTTCTTTTGATACCCTTCATACCTTTCTGCCTCATTCTATTCCGCAGTACATTACATTCATAATCCGTCGGAAGTGGAAGAGCAAAAGCCGCCTTGCCAAATTACGACAACGCTTCAACACCACCAACCTCCGTTTATCAAACCTAATATCTGCAACGCGCCACGACTCAAACCCTCCGATTGTACAATACATCTATCTGGGTCATATCTGTATGTCTGCGTCTCCCCCTCCCCCGCCACAGCCTTCATGGAGATGCGTAGCCGGCTCGCAGGCTGGATCGTGCCTGATCAATTCAACGCACAGGCATCAGCGCGTGCAGAAAACTTGAGCTGGTCAACCTGACTTTACACCGCTAATAATCAGCGCTCCAGTATCCCCCCACGACCAGAGCACCCTTCCTTGAGAATCACGTTCTGGGCACGCGTAGGATACTGGGAGGATTCTTCATCGACCATCTGACGCGGCGCATTTGGTCGGGAATCCACACCACACTTTTGCGGCTCCTTTAGCGACACCCGATACTCGCATGACCAACTACCAGCTGCTCTTTGTACCAGGAACACATTGTTATCTCGATCCGCCACCAAGCCATCGGTGGCAGACGACCGATATCACATAATTCAAGATGTTCTGGAGATTTGGCGGATACGCCAATGTTTCTGCGATCGATACCCTACTCGAAAAGCCCGACGTCACACTCGAAGAGCTACTGGACGAGACCGACCTCATACAAGAGCTAAAGCAACATAATACAAAACTGATAGAGTATCTGCGGGAGGATACCATCCTAGAAAGGCTGCTCGAATATGTAGTAGCCCCAAAATTAGAAATCACAGCAGCTACGGAAGAGCCCGAGGTAGAAGACAAGGGCAAAGAACCAGAATCCGCGGCCAGCGAGGGGGTTACATTCTCGAAATTCAGCGCGTCAGAAGAAGCCGATGATGAGCGCGAGAAGAAGCGAAACCGCTACGCCTATGTCGCAGCTGAAATCCTCAGTTCGGACAACTGGTCAATTTGCGAGGCTTTGATGGAAAACCAGACGATGCTGCGCAAGTTCTGGGATTTCTTAAAAGCACCTCCACCTCTTGATCCCCTTCAAGCTAGCTATTTTACCAAGGTTAATGAAGCGCTCCTCGACAAAAAGACGGATGAGATGCTCGCACTGTTTAAGTCTATCGATGGAGCGGTTAAAAGCATGCTGCAGCATGTCGACTCTCCTATGGTGATGGATCTGCTCCTCAAGATCATCAGTCTCGAGAAAGTAGATGGAGGCCAAGGGATAGTTGATGTAGGGATATGGCTCCTTGGATCAGGACGCATTGCTAACTTTCAAACTACAGTGGCTCCATTCCCAGGATTTAATGCCTATTCTGCTCTCATTCCTGTCATCTGAACACTCTTGGGCAACGCAAACCTCAGCTGGTGATTTCCTGAAGGCTATTATTACCATTTCCGCCAATGCATCACAAAACGAGCAGTCATGCATAGGTCCAAACGAGTTAACCCGCCAACTCGTCTCCCAATCATGTGTCGAGAGGTTAATCTTGGACATGCTCAAGGGGGGGAATCCTCTAACGGTTGGCGTTGGTATCGTTATTGAGGTGATCCGAAAGAACAACTCGGATTATGACCCCGAAGTTGGCGCTGAGGGATCTATTCCCTCGAATCGAGATCCAATCTACCTCGGGACCCTGCTACGACTATTTGCACAACACGTCCCTGACTTTATGGAACTTATCCTAAGTCCAAACCACACCGTGGGAGGTGGAGACGGACCTGTGACTATTAAGAGAAAGGAGTTACGAGCGGCCTTCGGTTCCAAGATTGAACCCCTTGGGTTTGATAGATTCAAGACTTGCGAGCTGATGGCCGAGCTTCTCCACTGTAGTAACATGGGGCTGCTGAATGAGGTTGGCAGCGAAGAGTTTATCAGAGCAAGAGATGCCGAGCGTGAAAAACTAAAAGCCGAGGGCAAGCTGACCAGTTCAACAATGCCAGCCGGCGAATCTGATGAGGATCTCACCATGAAGTCCTCATTACAAGGAAGACTTGGATCCCCTGAGGGTTTAAGGAAACTTGAGGTTCAGAATGCTTCTGATGAAGATGGGTTTGAGGAGGTTACTCATTCAGCTGATCTGGGAGATGATTCACAAGACGATTTTGACGAGAAGCCGGACACTGGAGACTCGTTTACTCCCACGAAGACAGCAACGCTACTATCTTTTGGAAAGGATGACGATGAATTTGTGGACGAACCTCTAAGCTCACCTCGATTGAATATGGAGAAGGAGTCTGACCAACCTCAGCAAGAAGAGCCCCACATGACTACGACACCGCTCTCACCAACATCAGATCTTGCCCAACAAGTTCAATCGTTTGGATTGGAGAAAGAAGACACTCCTATGATTGATACACCAGTAGAGGAGAACGAAGTGTCAACGCCTGAATCGAGTAATAACTTGCCAGAACCATCAGTACCAGCCGAAAGCCCTGCGGTGGTAGCTGACAAGCCTGTTGAGAATATGCCTGCAGCAATTGAAGCCACCCCCCCTCATGAGCCTATGGATGAAATGGCCCATCCTGAGGATAGGCCTTCGCCTTTGTTTGTAAAGAAGACCGAGCCTGCACCCGCTCCTGCATCTGAATCTGAATCTGAATCTGAATCTGATGCTCCAATCGGGGCCTTAGATGTAGCACATCAAAGCACTTCTAGTATTGAAAGTATGGACACGACAATGGGAGAAGCTGGAGACAGTTCAAACTCAATACTCATGGGAAATATGGAAGAGGATCCCAAACAGGTTTTGGTTGATGCCCCTACAACGCCAGTTGTCGGAGACTACTTAAAGATGCAGTTCGTGGAGCACCGAGTTGTTCCAACTATATTAGTAAGTGATCATATTGAGAAGTAATTTCTAGACAATTAACCCCGTTAGGATTTCTTCTTCCGATTCCCGTGGAATAATTTTCTTCATAACGTCGTCTATGACGTGGTGCAACAGGTCTTCAATGGTCCTATGGATCGTGGCTTCAATCGCTCCCTTGCTGTCGACCTTTTCGAGACTGGAAACATTACGATGCGTATCGTTGATGGGCAGAAGAAAAGCGACGAGGCACAGGAGAAGAATAAGATGCGCCTTGGTTATATGGGTCATTTGACGCTGATCGCTGAGGAGGTCGTGAAGTTTACCGAGAGACATCCACCTGAGTTACTATCGGAATCGGTCTTGGAAAAGGTCATGAATGGGGAATGGATCACATACGTTGAGGTGACATTGGCAGAAACACGCGAACGAGACAATGCCATTCTCGGCGGCGTCAGGCCGGACGTATCCGTCGGCCCACGACAAGCAGTTATGAACGCAGTAAATGCGGCCAACAATTTCGGAGGAGCTTCATCAGCATTAGCAGATGCAGGTCTAAATGGATCAGCGGGACTCGACAGCATAGACCTTGCGAATGGTAATGGCACGTCTAACTTCGCCCTAGGCGGGACTTTGCTCAGCGGATTCGGAAGTTCAAGCGACGAAGAAGACGATGAAATGGACGAAGATAATGACGAAGATGGGTCGAGGAATAATGGTAGCGCGGCTGAAGTGGGTCATTCTGTTCCTCCAGCCCCCAATCTCGATAAGTTCGATGACGAAGAAGTCGATTACGACTATTTGGATCGGCTTGATCGCGAGACCCCTCTGTTTCCGGAGGCTGACGTCCGCTATCAATAATCAATATTTCTTGTACATTATATTATCATGACCGGCTGTCCTATTCGGAGACAGGCTTCATAATTATTGTTTCCCAACATGTTTTTCTTTGGGGCTTGATATCTCTTAGATGTAGTGAGCTTCACAGCTCGGGAGTTGGGTTTTTCTCATTTTCTTTCTCGGGGTTCATGAACTAGTCATCGAGAGGTGTATCATGTACTGACTCTCAATTATAGTTCTCTCGCTACATTTCAACGCCATCAACGACAACAGCAACAACCGGATCTGAAATGGAGCCCCCATCAGCTCCACCGCCCCCGCCACCACCTCTTAATATCCCGCCTTCAAGAGCACGACGCCAACTAGCTGCTCGCCTCGCCCTTCACTCAAAACAAAATTCCGAGAAGAATGCAGAGAACGGAGAAGAAGGTGAAAAGGACGGCCAACCGAAGAATATAAATCCATTCGCTGCAGACGAGGATGACGATTCTGATAACGAGGATGCTGATTTCACCATCGGTGACCTGGAAGCTGAAGAAGATGAAAAAGGACTCCTTTCGTCAAACACGCAACTAGGTGGCAATGACGACACAGGTACGAATGCGGGTCTACTCCCAAACACTATTACTCTACCTTCGAACAACCACAAGGCAATAAGAGCTAGTTTCCCCTCCATGTGGCCGTTTGGCAATAGCATACTCAACAAAGGGCCAAATGATTTCGCTGTTGGAGAAGGCGGTACGGAGTATAGCAGCAATAGGAGCCATTTTGGAGGCGTTAGTGCTCATTATGGCGACACCCACAGCTCCGACGGTAGCGATGACTCGGATGAGGGTGGTTATGGGGGTGATGGACGTAGACGCGGAAGGAGGCGGTTGAGCGTTACGACCGAGGCTAAGAGGAGAACGAGCCTCGAGGACGATGATGAAGATGAGGAGGTGGTGCACGTTGCCATGGCGGAGGCAGAGAGGCCAAGGGAGGTAGAGGCGGATGACGAGGAGTTGATTGAGATTCAACCTGCTGAGATGCAGGGTGTTGAGGCGGAGAGTGGCAAATAAGCATGCTCCACGAGGGAAGAATTGTACGATATTTTGCATGATTGATCGATTGATGGCATGGTGGAGTTTTGAAGAGAAGAGGGGTTGGGCTTGTACAGTATAGAGCTTCTTTATACCAATCCTTTTTTTGACGCTTACCTATCTCGCTGTTCTGAACCTTACGCCATCGCTGTTCTGCACGTTGCGGTGAGTAGCGAGGCGACTTGACGTGACGAGCGGCATGATGCTAATAATGAACTCGAGTACTTCGATGCTTACAACGCTTTGGGGACATGTAGGCCTAATGATCTCATATGCATATTATTTGGACGCTACTACGAAGCCATATAGGTGCTTTCTAATATGCTGCCTGTTGCCTTAACCGGACCATGTGACTACTCCACGGGAGAGGCCGACCAGAGCTGTCCAAATTCCTAACTCTTAGTATCTTCCTGGCATCCTCTTTGAGGTTAAACACAAGGTGACTTAAGGCCAATAAGCGGCAGATAACTCAGAGGGAAAGGATGCCGCTGCGCCTAGGGGGTAAATATTAAAAGATAACTAGTTGAAACTAGGCTTTAGGATATATACTGTTGCCATGGCCCAAGGCCTTACCGGCGGTCTAGTCATTTTCGAGGCCTCCAATAGGAGGCTTTTAGAGGAATTCGCAAACGAGTACAAGGAGGGATAGTTCAGCCGTTTCTATTAAATATATTCTTACTTCGGCATTAAACGATTTAAAACAACAGCATCAGCGAACACAACAACAACACCCCTATTTCAACCAAAACACCAAGGCAAAAAAAGGAGAAGGCCGCAATCCCCTTCCTGACGGACCATCATCTAGCAACCAATCTGCTCGGGGTAACCAGATCAGTGTCGGAATAGTCAGTGATCAGGATCGTGATAATGAGTTCACATGGGCTGCCGATGATCCAGATGTCATTAATGTTAAGACTGATAAGCGTGCCCCGAAGATTCGAAATTACCGCGACCTTGCTGGTGAGAAGGAGCAGATCTGTACCCATTGGGACTATTTGGCATCTATGTGGGAGCCCAATCAAGGAAGGATCTCCGACGGACCCCTCAATGATAATCAGGGAGGCCGCAACAGCTAATATGTAGTTAATTTGAGTGTTTCTAAGCCAACTCCTCATCTGCTGCCAGCCGTTTCTCTGTTGTCAAACTTTCCTCTATTGCCAAGGAAAACACCACCTGCTGTTACAATAAGTCATAACCTGAGATACAATAATCCGGGACTTCTGTCTTAAAGGCGTGGCCTAGATCCATTGCCATACCAAAAAACACGTCGTACATGCAGTAATTGGCGGGAGCTTGATCAAATCAAAGTGAAGTGTGGATTGAGTATGCAAAGCACTAAAAGCAAAGATAGGCATGGTCACCGGCTAAAATACATGTAGGTGCTTGGTGTGCTACAAGCAGGCCTAAGGTAATAGTAGTACCTTCCCGTTTCTCATAGTGCGTAGAAGTTACTCGTCCCAAGGCCCTGGTATATCTTGTCTGGGTTAAGCCCGTATGGTCTGGGTCGAGAGCGCTACCAGGTGTGTGTCCAGTAAGCGCTGCCGAGCCTTTCCGACGCCAGCCGTGTAGTTGACCCCCCTGTATAAGTTATATGTAGGTTTCGTCAGCTGTTTTGATTCGACTGAGGCTCTGCTGATTTTGGTAGAGATCCGAAATAGTAGTCGCTCTCTTACCTCGTCGTGGCTGACATGCTTTAACACTAAACTAAGCCGCCCTGCTATTTATTTGGTGTGGACGGGAAAGTTGGACAGGAGACTATGTATCTTAAGACCCCCGACGACGTAGGATCTTAAGATTTATTTTCCAAATATGCAGTTTAGGGCTGTGGTGGAGGTTCGGGGCAGTAGTGTTACTAGTGTATAACTCTGTATATATATTAGTAGGTCCCCTTCGAATTACATCCGATATTTGGTTGATGCCACCAGGATCTGGTCTCGCCGTGCTCGTTTTCCTTGGCGGGAGTTTAGAGATAGACAATATACTAAGTCCGCGAGATCTATAGCATACCCTTCCTTCTAATCCAACCTCGGTGTATTGCATAAATCCTTTAGGATTTGAACGTGAGTCCTCGGACTTTCATACATTCATAGGTATCTTAGGTATATACATAACTATATACTTTTCTCCAACCCCCGCAATCCCTTCTGAAAGATGGCGTCTCGCACGCTCTCCTATTTTAACGGCTAAGAAGAAAACGCTTTTACGCTATTTACAACACGGGAATAAATGAAACCGCGAAGGAACTTCGAACAAGCAGTTGCCAGAAAGTCACTTTTTTATTTCATATCATCGTTCACTGAGGCTGGGGCTCTGGAGTTTGTCCCTCTTGCACCCAACTCCCCTTTTTCGTCAAGTTCATGCTGCCACTTCACATTTGACCAGGCCCGATCCCTGTAATCCACTTACACACGCATTCGCCAGTCTCCTCGTCCCATACGAGTCGCATTTCGGGAATGCACATCAAATGACCACAGTCCATAGGCAGGGGCGTGGAATTTGGTGGCTTTGTAGTGGTGAGTCCTTTTGTTATTGTTTCCATTGTTGTCTTAGAAGGGGGAGACGTAGGTGAAGTTGTGGCTGTGGTTGACGAGGTGGTCGATTTGCAGACACAATGCGGGATTTGATCGGAATGCCACGTTGGCGTCTCGAGAGGATCAGGACAGGGCACATAGTAGCATGCTGGGATAGAGTCGAGGGAGGCTTTCATTAGGGTGTGAGTTGGTACCGAGGCTGTGGCTGTGGTTGAAGAGGTAGTTGATTTGCAGACACAATGCGGGTTTCGATCGGAATACCACATTGGTGTCTCGAGAGGATCCGGGCAGGTCACGCCGTAGCATGCTGGAATAGAGTCAACCGAGTCGCTAGACTCTGGGAATGGGAATGTGATGCAGGTTGTTGTCGAGGTTTCGGTCGGGGCGGTAGGTGATGGTTCCGTGCCAGGAATCCAATCGCAATGGCATGTTTCTGATGTGGGGTTGTAGACGGAAATTGTGCCTACTACTTCGCAGACGGTATCAGGGCAGTGAGAGTTTGGTGGATAGGGAGTTATGGAGTGGGTAGGTGACGGGCTGATGGTGGTGGTGGTCTCCCGCTTTCCTTTGATCGGAGAACCTTTGCAGGAACAGGTGTCTGAGGTGCTGTCGTATGTTACCTGCTGCCCTTGGGGGCACCATAGAGTTTCGCAAGGCCAATAAGGCGGTTTTGGTTTCGAGGATTGGGTAGGGAGAGGAGTGGGGAAAGGATCCGGAATTTCGCAGGAGCAAGTTTTGGATACCGGATCGTAGACTGGATGCTTCAGGGTGATGCAAACTGTGTCTTTGCATAATTCTAAATCTGAGTCTGAAGATCTTTCAGTGACGCTTGCCGGTTCCAAGCCGGGAATCCAGTAGCAGGAGCAATTTTGAGTCACAGGGTCGTAAACGGGATGTTTCTCGGCGATGCATGCCATCATTGGGCATACGTGAGGTGGACGAGTTTTAATGGGTGGAGTTGGTAGTGAGAGTGAGGCAATGGGTGAGGGTTCCAATCCTGGGATCCATTCGCATTCGCACTTCCCAGAAGCACTGTTATAGACTGGATGTTGTTCCGAGATGCAATATATTCCCTTACAAAGTGATCCTCCGGGTTTAGGCGTTGGCGTTGGGCCAGGTGTTGGAGACAGCCCTGGTATCCATTCGCAAAAGCATTTCTGGGCCTCTTCGTTCCATACTGGCGTCATTTCGGCAATGCACCGGATCAAGGGGCATGTACGTCTAGCGGGCGTTGGAATAGCAGTAGGCGGAGGCGTCGGGATGATGGGAGAAGAAGCGGCAACTTCCTCTTTCTTCTGAAAGAAGGACGGGAGCCACTCGCAGTAACACCGACCTGATGTCATGTTATATATTGGCTCCATCTCCGAAATGCACATTGTGTCGGCACAAAGTTTGTGTGGAGTGGGCTCCATGCCCGGAATCCATTGGCACTCGCACTTTTGCGAGGTGCTGTTGTAAACCGGGTGCTTCGTGTCGATGCAGAACATGTCATTACACTGAGGAGCAACAGGCTCTGGGGTGACGACATCTCTTTGTTCGAGGCCAGGGATCCACTCGCAGTAGCAGGTACTGGACGAGACGTTATAAACAGGCTCTTTCTCCGAGATACATAATGTATCTCCGCAGAATGGGGCTGGGCCGAGTCCTGGGATCGGCTCGCAGCTGCAGGAATTGGTGGAAGCATTGTAGGTCGGCCGCGATTCAGCGATGCACATCAGGTTTGGGCAATCGGTATCGCAGCTACACTTTTCAGTGTCTGGATGGTAAACAACATGGCGGCCCTCCACACATTTCATCAAGGGGCAGGTGGAGGGAATCGGGTGATCAACTTCGCAAGTACATGCCTTGCTCTCTGCATTATAGACAGGAGAACTTCCGGCGGCACAAAAATAAGGGGGACGACAGGTTGGTGGCTCTGGCTTGTCGAGCTCGCAAATACAATGGCTCTCCCCTGGAACATAGAGCGGATGATACCCGGCCGCACAGCGAATAGTTGGACATGTTGATGGATCCACGCTAGTAGGAGAAGATGGAGTTGAGGCCGAAGCTATAACAGAGTAGATATCTATTTAGTAGGTGGTCGAGCAGGAGATGCAAAAGCAAAAGGGGAAGTGGGAATAACCTACCAGTACTAGCGCTGTCCCCGGACAACGGGTTCGGGAGCGCGAGCGTCCCGATGCCGTTCAGCCCTATGGCCAGGAGGCAGAGCGAACGAAACAACATCATATAGTTGTATTAAATAAAGGTATGCTAAAGTAAAGTAAAGTAAAGTGGACTGGGCTGGAGTAAAGTACCCGATCCCAGGCTCGAATCTTGAATTGATTCACTTTTACTTTCGAGACGTCAGTGGCTCCGAGACAACTTATTTTCCACTGTCGTCACCAACCCCTTATATCTTGAAATAAATTGAAAAATTTGTCCTTATTAATATTGTAGCCTGCTGGTTAGCCGTTTTTATGGCGCGGTGACACGGAGGATTTGCCGATACATTCCAGGCTATTTTCTTATCGTGATACGAGGGTTGGCGACTGGGAACAATATTAGCCATAGATACCCGCGTGGCCACAATTTGCAGCATAGATTACCCTGGTTTTTCATTGGGGGGACTGTGTACGGATAGTGGATCGTAATAACAGCCTAGAATGGATTTCCCTTCTTGAAAATATTGATCAGCATCTTGGCCCTCGGAAGTACAGACCGAAATTCTATTTTTATAGGCCCTGCAACTATTTGCTAAATGGCTGGACGTCATGGGATGAGAATGCTCTCTTGGATCGTTCCATCCGAAAATAAAAATGGAGGGATAAAGTGGCAATGTATGTCTTGGTAAACCGTACAATAGCAGAAATCTCGAAGTCTGGACTGTGACTGTTCTGCCTATTGAACCGTACAGTCCTTGTTTAATATTATGTGCCGGGTCGACCGTTAGATATAAGCGGTACTTGAAATTATAGAAATTGTTGAAAGTGAGAATAAACGCAAATCCATTGACTCTAGTTGATTCTCTGACTGAGCGGAGCGGAAGCTCAATCCTGACTCTAACGGTACGACGGAGCAAGGGGGGAGCATGGCGGGGTTGGCGAACGGCTTAAGGTTGAATTTAGGGGGCTTGCTAATGCAAGGGGCGAGCCTAATAGTACATCGGCATCAAACTTGGCGTCAGTAGAGCAACATTTAGCTGGACTTGGAGATGCGAACAAACAAGTACTTCCGGTATATGTACGTAACTGTGTCATGTATACTGGCGATAGCCCTTATCCAAGTGAATACGAGGCTCTGGCATGGTTAACGGGGGAGATCTCGGTTGAAACCAGGAGGAAATTGACGTAACTCATAAGGCGGAAACACATTCGCCCCGCCTTTTTTCAAATGTCCATCGGGGAGTAGGTCTCCGGAGAGAAAAGCTTTATAAAGGGAAAGACTTTCTGCTAGTGTGGCTGGGTAAAGGTCGTAGACTCGTAGTCAACTTTACCTCTAGAGCCATGTTATTCTAGCCTATCTCAAGCCCTGTTTCCAAGCTCTGTGACAATTTGCCGCGAATTCTGATAAATTATTTTTGCATTTGTAAAAGACATCGCTGCGCTCTTTAGCTTGGTTGCGCTCAAGTTTTCATTCCTTGTGTTGAGACGCGACAGCTCTAGGCTCTGTAGACATGCAAGAGGTTAGAGCTCTGCACGATTTAATCACTCCGGTTGAATCGCCTGCTCTTGCATCGAAATTCACTTTCCCCAACGACGAGCGTCGCTCGTTTGAGGACAGCCAAGCGAGAAAGGCCAAAAATAAAAATAAAATAGAGCGGTTAAAGAAAGAAACTGCAAAAGAAATACCCAATTATCAGTTCCAAATGGGATACCGAGAAACTCAAGCTTTTGTTATCTCTGGCGGAGCGTCCAGGGTCATCCTAGGTTGTCTGTTGATCGGTGGTTCAACCTCGGAAAAGCGTTAATATCCCCACTGTACCAGCAGGCCTAGTCGCCTGTCTCCAGTTGTTATACGGTTTCTGCTTATTATGTTATATATAGGAGTGGTCTGAGGTGCCACCCCAAGACTGGCCACAGGTACACTAGGACGGGCTCTTAGAGGGACCCCAGGTTCCTATGGCACATCATGCTAATATCTAGATTCCGTTTATGATTTCTGGATCTGTGAAGCTTGGGAATTTCCAACTTGAAGGGAGCATACAATTCGATGAGTCTTTGCCATTCGAGAACGAAAGCTTACACAGAGCTATGAGTAGGTGAAAAATTTGCGCCGCTTCCAAGACTTTCATAAGTGTTATATTTTTGAAACAGAAGTAGGACTGTTTGTTATCTCCCTCTTAAACTTCTCCCATGCTCTTAAAATACGACGTACTCTCTTGACCATGACTTCGGATAGGAGCTACCTATTTTCCGACGCTTCACCCTCGGCCCAAGTCGAAGTATAGCTGTGTCAGAGGAGGGGCAATCCGGTTGTATCCATTCTGTACTCCACATATCCGCCGTCGCACTTCAATGGTATAATGAAATAAAGCTATAAATGATTTCGAACTGTCTCATGCGCGGCTTCTTTTTGGGGCTAAAGCAGTACTCAATCTAGAAAGTGCAAGATACCTTGAATGACGTTCATTTCCACGCCGCACTATATCGTTTGGCTGTGGACTTGGGGGACCTTGTCAGGTCGACCAAAACCACAACGGCTAGCACCAGCTGAAAGTGCGATGAACAGGGAGCTAAATGCCGTGATATTGGCCAGCGCCGGATTCACATTAATATAAATGACATTTGCTTGTTGCCTTGGTTGCCATTAGTAATGGCCAGCCATATCCGCTTAGAAATGAAAGCTAGGGCAACAGGTTAGACAGTTCTGTCTATATACCTTAACTATATCACTCGTGGCTCAATATAGTATTCGACTAGCAGCAAGCTAAGGTATATTGGATTTATTTAACCTCGCTTAAATGCAGCGAGAAGTCTAAATAAATACCCAATGGATGCGTGAGATTTGTTTTGGGCATTGAACTTGCCGATCACATTCTGCAAATATACTCGCTCGTTGTCCCGGCAGGTCTATAAAGGGCCAGCAGACTTGCTCCCCAAGCCTCCCTTCTGGTATTCCACAATTACTTCGACCAGCGGCTAATTTCGGCATAAACTCCAATGCTTGTTTTGTTGTAACCCCCCCCCGCATACAGTGTAAAGGATACTTAGATAGGAAGGGAAACTTCACCGGAACGCGAAACACAGTACGGAAAAATGGAGACAGCTCGCGATTGGTTATCTGGTAATGGTAGTAACATGGAAAAGCAGGGTGGAAAATCTCACAATCACGGCGAATAGAGCCCAAAAAGAAAACCGAATAAAAACATTATCATTTAACATTATATTACCCTGGAATAAAGTGTTACCCAATGCCAACCCCGTCCGGCCCAAACTCCATCGCCATGCATTTCCAAACGATATTAAGGTTTCATAGACCTATTAATTCCATGTTCTGGGTATGTTCAATGTATAAGGCAAGTCGCCCTCTTGATCCGACATGTTGAGTTTGACGACACTGCCCTGACTCGTGGATCGTAAGCTCCCGCTGGACGAACTACTGCTCCCATTATAAGGCCTCCTGCTCTGTGCAAAGCTATCCGCACTAGGTTTCCTAGATACCACACAGTTCCTGCTTCTAGGTGTAGCTGGTGCGGTGCTGAATATCGAGCGTTTCATCGGTGAGTTTCGACTTGTGTCTATAGCCCGAGATCGTGCCGTTCGGATAGTACCTTCACTTCCGCTGCGGCTCGTTAGGCTGCGAGAGGATGCCAGCGACGGGCTCCGAGGAGTTTTGGGGGTCGAACTCAATGACGCATCGTGATAACTATTCCCTTCTAGCTCGATACCAAGACTTCCGAGAATTGGCGGGCTGAGGGGGGCCATACTACGCAGGACTTCGGCGAATTCATTCATGAGGACCCGGAAATTATGTTCGCTAATTGCGCGTGAACCAAATCGTGCGCATTCATAGCTGATCAAAAACTGGCCGGCTGCGGATGTGGACGTAATCACTCCAATGCTAATAAGATGTCCAATGTAATCCCGAAGGCCCACAGAAGCTGTTCGCTGTAGTAATTGCACCGCTCGTATATCAGGCATTGGTTGCTCGGGGTTTGATTCGGTATCCAATGGTGCAAGCGAAACAGCCCTTGCCTCGATAAGGTGAGGTAATTCCAATATTACTATGGTGTACTGTAGATTTGGTAAATCTGGAGACGTAGGTGACGCCCATCCATTGTGAGAGATCTCTCCCCAGACAGGCCGCGGAGGGAGAATATCGATTGTGTCTTCCTCCTTTTCCGATTGTAACTTGCGACGGAGCCATCCGCTTTCCCTGTCCTTGCCTTCGGAATCCGGCAGTTTGGCGATTGAATCTCGAGCATCTGGCACAGACACAGTGATGGCTGGTTGTGGGGATATGCGTGGTCGAGAATCCCATGCTATAGCGGCGCTTCTGTTCAGACCTGCAACGATCATTCTCCTGACATATTTGGTTACCTCCCCCTTCTCCACCGGAATCCATGTCTTCGGTATGCCACTTAGAACTGCCCTGTTCGTATAGAGCCTTGAGGCGTAGATCAGAAATGCAAAGAAGATGGTGATGAAGTAGCACCCAGCTATCACGAAGACATTGTAGAGCTGTTTGTTGGTGAGGGCTTGTCGGATGGCATCGGCGGGTGTAATGGTCAATAGCCCAACCAAGACGATACAGAGGATGGTGAAGAATGAGGTATAGAAGATGCGGAATAACAAGCGGAGGTTCATCGTTGGGGCATGGCCCGCAAGAGCTTACAGCTCAGGCGGAAGCTTGATCTCGAGATCGCGTCATTGATTTGATTTGTATTGCTCGGGTTCTCTTCCCATGGGCAGAGCAGCAGCCTTGGAAGATTCGCAGTAGATAAGGATCTGAATGAAGGGACCAAAATGATTCTCTATCAAATTGCGGGTGTTGTGGTTGTAATAGAGGGAGATGAATACCTGGCTCGAACCTGTTTGCGATGGCTCGTGAAAGCACTTTGTAAAGTCGCGAGGCACTTCACCAGCCTCGCAACTGACAAGGGTCAATTTCCCGTGTGGCTGGTGCTCGGTTATGAAAAGGGGCGCGAGTCGGCAACCGACCACCTCTTGTGACCTTCCATTGGCGACATAGCCATAATCACCGACCTACTCCGTACTTAGGTACGTAGTATTATCCATTTATTCCCAATAAGTTCCTAGGAGGCGCATTGATTGAAAAAAAAAATCCAAGATTATACATTGACAGGCGGATGACAGGTTTCACAGCTGCGTCTATACCTAAGTCGGTACCTCGAGCCGTCGCTACGTGTCCATCCAGACTGCAGAAGCAAAACTCAACGCAAGGATTCCAGGCCTCCGCAAAACAAATTCCTTAGAGCTATATTCCATGCGTCTAAGCAGCGAAGATCCTTGGAGCTAAATCGTCACTAGATCGAAGGTCGATAGAATCTATCCAAGCAGTGTCCCCTGATGTCACGTAGGTGCAATACTTCAATTAAACCCCTATAGACCCAAAGCAAGCTTACTTCCTTAGAAGGCAGGGTTTCGCCGCTGCTTAGGGACTTTATTTCGTGAAGAGCAACTTTGTGAGCATCGTCAGCGATATTCTACGCTTGTCGTCCGATGCTTCAGCCGAATTGGCCGCGAAGCCGAAAGATAGAGCTTCGGACTTTTGCATCGGCCTAGCCTTGGAATTGAGGAACTCCGCCACCCTCATCTAACCATCGTCGCCATCCTATGCCGCTTGTCAGTTGGCAAATATGATACTACGTAATAGCGAATTAATGTGATCATAAGCTCATCGGCAGTCACGGTTATTATACAGCAGTAGTACAAGTAAGTGGCTGGAAAATCCTCCACAAAAGCAATAAGTGCCCACGTAGTCGCTGCACGTACTTTTTATCACACCTGGGGATATGCCGGTAGGTGCGGAGTACGCTTACCTTAATCTAGCTACGAAGTATTCCAACCCCTAATAAGTAATAAAATATGAAAAAGGAATCCAAGACTATGCGCCGTCACTAACCCGTTAGCTGTCACAGACATAGAGGCTATCGTTTTCCTCGTGCCCCTGACCTAGACGCGCAGCCTCGCGTAATATGAAGTTCTGATTGGCGTCCGACCTCGCTCCTTGTTATCAACCAGCCGCACCTTCGATCTAGACCATACGGAGAATCGCCGGGTTTAGATTTAATGAGGGTTAGGAGCCAAGGCTTAGGGTTTGTAGCTTGCAGCTTGTTCATTTGTATTATGTACCTTTGAGCTGAACGACAATTGTTATAACTACAGCTGGCATCATGGCCTGGCAGGACGAATTTCAACTGTACATATATATGTGTCCACGTGTGAGACAATAACGCTAAAGCGAACACAGGAACGTAGCAACATAGAGGGGCGTTCTGGGGTGGTCCAAGAGGCGACATGAAACATAACGTGGCTGGGCGAGAAGCAAGGCAATGGGTGAATCGTCCAGGTTCGAGTTCAGGTAGCCGAGTATCGTAGATGGCTCCCCTCGTATCCAAATGCCCTTGCTCGAATCCCGCTCTTCCTGTGTTACTCCGAATCCCCAAGCCCTTAAATCCCGAAGCCCAAACTCCTCGCTAAATCCGATTCGGCCGAGGGGCTCATTCGTAGTACGTACAAAACAGATGGTCGATTCACAATGACGAGCCTTTGGTGTTAGGGCGAGGAAGAGGCTTGAGCCCGGTCATACTATCCGACTCTTCTGAAAAGCTTCGATTCTGAGTTTTGTTGGGGTATGATCGTGTAGCGCCATGGTGTTCTGCATCTACTTCTGCGAAGTTCGCCCTCCGACGACGGGACCTGTATTGCAAGGGCCTCATATTTCGTATGCTGTGCCAGAGCTTCCTGCATGCCTTTGCACTGGTTATGGTGTAGATAAGTGCATTCCAGAAGCCTTGCAGTGGGAGGACAAGGGCGGATGCATATTGGAGAGGCAGCGATATCTGTCCGGGGTGAACAACGGAGTAGACACGGTTGGCAGACGAGGGAATCCAGGTGATCATCATTGCGACGAAGAAGAGAAGAGAAACCTTCGTGTATGCCCAAGCAGCATTATTGGCCTCCATGTTGTTATGCTTGCCGCGAGGTTGGTGAGAAATCTGTACAGTGGGCTCGATTGGAATAATTGACTCCGTCATCGAGGCCCTCCTGGATTTCTCTGGGTAGGGGTAAGGGTTTACGACATTCCCTTGCGCGCTAGAAATATCCACGGTGAATTCATTTTTCGGATTGGCTGCTGGAGCTGGATACGGAACTCCGGAGTCATCGCGACGCTGGGAAGAACTTGAGGTTGGGCCCCCAACGTTCTCGTAGTTGACAGAAATATCAGTCGTTCGGGTGATTTCGTTAGGTCCCGCGAATGGGTTGGTTAGGATGATAGGCTCGGACACCGGGGTGTGGAACTTGAGGAGCTGTTGCCTCTTTACATAGATATCTTTACCAGCCCGAAGGTATATAGCCAGAGTGATGAGGATAGAGACCCTGGCAAGTGTTAGCTGCTGTAGATGGGGTACAAGTGGCCTCACATACCAGATCGGTCCATAGAAGCACGCCACCCTGAAGATATCCCAGGTACCTGCTATCCAGCACCAGAGAGTGGCATTGCCATACATGGGGCCTTTGGCCTCGGTTTTGATAAAGATGAATGAGAAGGCGAGGATGAATGGAAAGCCATAGCAGGCTGAAAGGTAGTACTTTTCTAACTTACGAAGTCGAGCCGCGTCGTACTTCTGGTAAAACGTGAGCCACACATTGCAAGCCATTGCCAGAGTCCAGTATGCATCAGCGGACATAAACCTTGGGTCACTTGTTAGCAAGACTTCGCCGACTATCAATGAAGGAACGGCCTTACAATTGGATCAGGAATGCTTGTAGCTTGCAGACGCCTGGATTGTCCAACGCATCTCTAGATATAATGGTCGCAACATTTGTGAATATGTTTCCTACTGACGCATATAAAACTAGTCGGTTGATTGGCTTGTGAAAGGCGTTGGAGACCGAGTAGGAAACGATGATGAAGACTATTCCAACGAGAGACAGCGACGAGGCAGCACGCTCTACAAACTGGAAATTGTTAAGATGGCGCTGCTCGATCTCAGCGATCTTCATCCTGGCGACTGATGCAAGCGGGAGAGTGGGAAGAGTAGGTCGGGAAAATGGTCAGATCAGAGTCTCGACGTCGACCGTCTGACTTGATCTGACAGTGACGGCTGTGTGAAGCAGCGAAGGGTGGGTTCGGCGAGGCTCGATCTTTAGTGATAGAATAGAGTTTATACACCTAGAGACGAGAGTATTGGGTTTCGAAATGTGTTGACGAGTTCTCGATCCCTCAGCGACCACAACCTCACGGAACCGGACAAGAATCAAGTGGCCTGGTTGGACATGTACCCAGTAGCGATACCAAAGGCGGCGAGGAAGTCGGGTTTCAAGTACTTGGGGGTTTGCCCACGACCACGAACCCCACAAACCCACACACTTGCGAGATGGAGGCTAAGGAGGCCGGAGATCTCTGAAATGTCTGAAATGTCTGAGGGCGACGCGCTAAGCACGAGATTCATGGAACATAGATATTGTAGCTAGTGATCTTATAGGTATACAAGGGCTACCTGCATAGCTGCAATCACAATGCCGGGGCCATGACCGACCTGACTTCGACTTGGACATGGACTCCTGGGGGCCCACGGACGGGAGGAGAGCCAGGAATAACGAGCAAGGCATGGAACGGCTGCAGGCCTGATGGTCCCCTGGATCCTTCGTCCATGTACTGTACCGTACCTCCGGCTCTGATGGGTGGGTGGAGGGAGGAGCAGCACGTACGGCTGTGTCCGTACGTGTACAGTAGTACTGCGTCAATTCTTGCAGCTTTCCCGCCCTGCCTCGCGCAGCAGATAAATAATTCGATATCAGGACGACAGCGGCCATGTGGAAGCCCTGGACGGGAGAGGAAAGGTGGCTCGGAGACAGCTGATGGGCCGCCACACGGAGGATATCAGCGCCACTTGGAGAACAAATACTCAAGTGGCGACGGGTCATGGCGGGAGAGCACGAAGGACGTCGTAGTACGCCCTCGGTACGGAGGTACACCTTGCGAAGCATTGTTGGTTGGTCTGGCTCGTACGCCGCGAGCAGTGAAAAGACTCGAGGCGGATGGACCGTGTGGCCATGATGGATAGGGATCATGGGCTGACTGCTTGCTCAGGTTGGCTGGTTGACGGCGACTCAGTGCTCGGCCAAGAGGATGGCTGAAAGGCGCTGCTCTCAGCATCCGCATCCGCATCCGCATCTGCATCAACATCAACATGAACATGACAGAGCTTCCCTGTTGTGACGGCACCAACGGTAGTCTCTGCTGCCGTGAAACCCTAAGCTCGGGTGGCACCCGATGCTCCCTACGTAGATACTAGACAGGTGCAAAGAAAGACCGTCCACCATCAGCCACCCTAGACATCTAAGATATAGTCCGAATAGGTACGGGTAAACCACCATTCGAACTTCGAACCTCGAACTTCTGTCTTGGTAAATTCTGGAAAACGTCTTCCGCGTCTCGCTGTCTGTCTGGCTCTTGGCGGCACCGTGAAACGCCGTGATGCGCGTATCGACAAACTTGAGGACGAAGAGCTGAGTACCAAGTACTACGCCTCCGCGCTGCACGAACACCTTTGTCTGTCTACGCGAGCAGCGCCAGGGCCCAGTTGCCATCGACTGAACCACCTGCTATCGATAGCGGCATTCTCAGAAAATGAGGGGAAGCTCGCATCGTCCACACGACCACATATATGAGGATCGTCGAGTGCCGGCCCTTTGGTCGACCGAGTACGCAGAGTGGCCCATTCGAGATGGATCCCGCCGTCCCAGGCTCCTGGGAGGCTTGTCCAGGACTCCAGGTCGATGCCTACGGCGTCTGCCGTGCAGATTACCATCAATTCAGGGGAAAAGTGGTTCTTACGGCCCCGCTAAATAGGATTACAGAGTAATAATGAGGCTGGAAGCTCTTAGGCCCGTTAGGAGGAACCAATGTTAGGAAGACCCCCTCGGGGTAAGCCTCCTAGGGGGAGAAAGGCTTGGATCCTTCACCCTAACTTTGGAAAAAGGACTCGCTCCCAGGCTGCTCAGGCTTCACCGGCCAAGAGACTTCAGGTCAGCAACGACGAGGGCGGGTTACAAGTTACAACGATGTTGTGGAGTCCCACAAAGGCAGGGCGAACCTTCGTACTACTTCGTACGAAGTACGTACTGAAAGTCATCCCCAACTTGCACGGACCGTGATCTTCCTTGGCCGTCCGCGATGCAACAGCCCTTACAAGAATAGTTCACAAGCAGCCCAAGTCGTCCACACCTGGCCCACACCGCTGAATTACGTGGGGTATTAAGGGCAGGCATACAGAACGCCTCCAGGAACGGCTACCACTCCCAGAGACTCTCAACGCCGCTGAATCCCAGGACGAGAAATTAACAAAATAGTTTAATTGATGCAACTCCCGAATGGGACTGCCTTAGCAGATCCAGATCGGCAAACAAAGAAGAGATACCCCGCCGAAAGGCACCCAGCAACGGCACTTGATAGATAGTCGATCCTGAACATCGCTATGGCAGCAAGAAATATCGAAGGAACAAATAGCCGAAATACCAGCTGAGCTAAGCTGACACGTGGCGGGCTGGGTAATTGCGAAACCCAATATTATTGGCAACGATATGCGGCTCGCAGCCTTTCTTACGGAGAGATGCGTACACCATTCCGTAAGGAGGGTAGAATGAGATGTTGGCTTCGAGAGATTATCAGCCCAGGAGATCTCCCAGTTGGGGTGGCTTCAAAACCGCTCTAGGAAAATCCTCCGGTCGGATCCCCATCGAGTGTCGTTCCCAGACGGTTCACAAATCAAATCAAGAGCCACAAGCCATACTAGGATCTCTCCCTTTTTCCTAGCGTGTTCCCCGCATTTATTGGTCATGTCGTGGGTGGTGCTGTGCGCCTTATGCGTGGACGTTGCCTTCGCGAAGTTACCAACCGAGCCCTGCAAGTCATGGTGTTGATACTCCGTACTGCAGCAGGCATGTCGCCCGTTGGCTGTTGGCTGTTGGCTATGGCCAGTTGACTGACCATTATTGTTTGCTCGGGGGGACGACAAAGTACTTCTCGGTACCAACCTCGGAACTCGGAATTGATGCCACTCCTTGGCCTGTGGATGACTATGGATAACTTGGGGGGTGACACAGCATCCCGAATGTCACCCTCTTCCACTTTTCCTCTAGGATTAGACCAAGCTTTATTGGTAGCGCGAGTGATGAACCGCCTGGGTGTCACAAGGAAAAATCTCCACATGTAATTTGGAAACAAAAGCAAAACATCCAAGGGAAGTGCCGTGCTGGAGATTTTTTTGGTTCGTTCGATCGAAGCTTCAGACGATTGCGTCTTCAAGACTGCGCACGCCGTACGGCAATCACTCCCTGGTGGATAAGGGCATACGTACGTGGCGAAACATAGATGGCGACCTTCAAACTACAGAGCATCACCTGCAGAGCGCCGGGAACTGTTGGATTCTGCAGGCAGCTTCTGCCTCAATTCGATTTTCTTCTCTGAATCTCCGCGGGTAGCTAGGTCCTAGCTTCTTCTCACCTTGCCCTTCACGCATCAGGGACCTGGGAGATGAAAACAGGGGCCTACCGTATTAGAATCTCAACAAGGCAGTTCCAACATGATGATCTGTGTGTTTCTGAACCTGCCATCATTTACAACATTCGGGCCGAGCATTTCTGCCATCCAAATATCCCCAAAGCTACCTCGCAGGCCGACTTGTTGGTTATCAATCTAATAGTTGATGGTCCTATTACTTCTACGATACACTGGATTCCTTTTTAAATGTCTTGCGGCAAGTGGGTTTGTGGGGATTCTTAGGCTCTTGGTATTTTGAATTCCTGGGATTCCCCAGAATCTGGTGGAAACCAGATAGCCTCAAGAAATCCTAACTTCACTCAGATTCCACTTCAAATGACCGGCAATAGGTTCGGTTAGTAGGAATCGGTACTCCATAGAGGGCTAAGTTAAGTCTGGACTTGGGCTAAGCCACGCCAGAAGCCGGAGACTGACCTAAAAGCCTCATCTCCGAACCCAGTACATAACGATTCTGACTTCAGCATCTCTGAGCCCGATCTCGACCATCGATGGTGTCAGGGGCACTTCGCTACTACCGTGGGCCTTGAGGGTCCCCATACTAGACAGCACGGAGTAATACTATACGGGCGGCGGTACTCGAGGTAGCACAGAGTCTGCATTCTCAAGATTTGTTGGTGGGGCACCTCCAATAACCTCTTATTTTCTGCAGGCGGTTTTGATGCTCCTCAGATCATGGGAAACCCCATCGAAATGCCACTTGTCGAAACATATGTTGAGCTCCATATTTGATCGTGACAAGGGGACAGATAAGAATACTACGTACAGAGTATTGCAATCGCGAGGCAACACTACCCGGGTCATCCACGGCGCCGCACCGCAAGCCCGCAGGTTTATCGTCTCGAGCTGTGCCACCTTTATCGGTTTCATCGCGAATCTTCGCGGGACGTAAGAATACGGGGGATTACCAGCGCAAGACGTCGGAGACACATGGTGTAAGCGGTCGTAAAATGCTAGATGTGATTGGATTTTCACCTCAACCCACGATTACGTATAGACTGAGTTACGGAAGCAGCTCGTCAACCCAGCAAATGCGCGGACGATGCGTCCCTCATATCGCATACCCTCCAACAGAAGCCAAACTCTGGAGAAACGTATTACTGTACGATAAGATAGGAATATCGTCACCACATCCTCGAATACTGTGACAACGTCCGTCCGTCGATACAGCCAGGCCAGCTTACGGCTCATCGCAAAAACGTTCTGTTTTGTCTCGGTTCGTTCGGAGTACATTTGCTGCAGGGACAACGCCGGCTGGGGAAATTCATATACGGTGGTGAGCCGATTGGATTGATGCCTGCGATCGCTCGGACCGTCCCAGAACAGGTTCAACAGGAGGAGCCGCTTCGGCTTGGACCGGGGCACTGTTCAGACCGCTGCCACTTCGTAAGTGGGCTCCAGTTTTCGACACAGCCCATGATTACCCTCGAAATGTTGAAACAATAATAATGCTGGGCAACCTTATCAAATGCTGAACAATCACCCATCCGAACTACTTAGTGGAAAAATAGCAAGAATACGTGGGGCTACTTGGCGGTGAGGAATACTATGCTGGTCTCGTCCCAATAATCACGCACACTTGGTACAAAGACAAGGAAAGAGGCTGACTTCAAGAGGCCCGTTCTAAGCACGTGAATCCTCATATCCCGAGAAGGAATAGTCCATACAACTTGCTCTATCGATGCCTCTGCATACGATATTGTGATTGAGATGCAGTCTTTCTCTCTCCGAGCTCACGAGTCAATGCCGACCTCCTACGATAAGAACGCCATTTTTCTCTCAGTCCTCCACTGGGCCGTTTGCTTCCGCTACTTCGTTTTGTGCACTGATCACTTTTATAATCATATACGTAATGCAAGCGCACCCAAAATGCTTCGAGTCGCCATGCCAATTTGATCAAGGAAGTGCTTTGTTGGGCTGTATCAAATCACCTTCATTGCACCAGTCATAGAATATCGGTACCCCGCTATTGGAGGTTCACATAGACCACAGCGGGGTGGCGGTTTACTCGATCTCTGCACTTCCCTTGTGGCTTTTCATCTCTGATTACAAGGTGCGAGCTGTGGAGGCGTCCGATAGCTCAGGCAACCGAAGTCAAAATCTCCGTCGCAGTCTGGCTCGCTCGGTCGCTCACCACTAAAGCTACGATAAAGTGGCGTTCTATAGAAGGTTCTGACAGCACCGTGCTACCCGACTTGGCGACTTAGTCTACAATATTGCTAGTAGACACCGCCGCTATTCCACTTTGAAAACAAGAGCGGAGGTCTCAAGAACAGACTTCACGGACAGAATCCACATTTCAAGCCATGACGGTTATGTGCCAGACCCACATTGTCATAACGTTTTGCTTCCTGTACCCGAGCCGCTAGGACCGGGAAATATGTGAATGTATTTTCCTCTAGACTCTAGATTTCGTGTGCCGCAGCTGTACGCGTGGCCCAAGCATACGGTGTGAAGAAGCGAGAGCGCTGTCATAGTAATAAACTTGGCAGCAAGTCTTCATGTCTCCACCATACGCTATCGAATAGGGCTTCCTTTTCTTTGCTCTTCCTTGTTCATGCTTTGACCTTCTAATTCCTTCTTCTGCCGCTAAACTCATGCAAAAGGTTATCGTTTTATGTAAATACTGTCATTCTCTAGCAGTCTACCTCTAGTGGTAAACGAACGACTAAATTTACATCAATCCCAGATCTTCATAAACGGGAACTCAAACCAAAATCTCGGAGATAATGTTTTATCTCCCGCGATAATGCTACAATTTAGACTTGGTTATTATCGAGATAATTGGAAGAACAGCCTTTTACTTTTTAAGTTCATCTCAACTTCCAAAACATTTAATAGCTTTTCTAGGAAACCTTTAGTTCAATTTTCTTGTTCAGTAAATTGGTAGATATAATCTAGCTTGCTTCTTTAATGCGAAAAAGTATTTCACATGTGCTAACTACATTCGTCCGGTTATACATGCACTGCCCTGTAAATAGGACTTGTTATATTGTCGTGGTTAAATACTGTTGAATGGGGTTATCTACAGTTGGTGCCAAATTTCCACACACAGTCTAAGTGAGACTTGAAGGATATCATCTATGTACCTTTCATCCTACTTCTAGATATTCAAGAACCGACATTACCCCAAACGACCATCTCCCTCACTAAATGTCAACACACGATTATTCCACTACCGGTTCGGCATACATATATACGAATGAACACCATCCCACTCCCTCAAATTTAAATTTGAATTACTCGCACGCGTCAGTACAACCATATCCCAGAATCAGATATGTGATCCCTCATCTCCTTTCCTAAAGCCTCGTATGAAGCGGTAAGCTGCATGATCGTCGGAGACCTGCCTGCATACCCATGAATGTATGTGTTGCCTGTAAACACGGGAAGTGGCATATTGCGTTGCAATCTAGTGACGTCGGATAATAACATTTGGTACTTTAGTTGTTTGCTTCCTATGTACCTAGGCTTAACTTAACTTCCTCGGAGTGACGGGATGCTATTGAGCATCGAATGTTTTTGCAAGTATGTATCAGAGTTCTAGGTACGTCTTTATTAACTAGGGAACCTCAAAAGTTCTATACTACATGCATAAAACATGAGATATGTTTCTTCTGATCTTGCGGATTGATCGATAATAGGCACGAATAGATTCCATATCAACGCATTTACGGCCCTCGAAGATAACATAAACCTCTTTACAAGACAATATACATGATGGCCGTTACATCATATCATATATCTACCACGCATACTTGCCCTTCTACATGTGGCACTGTGAACAGCGGAATAAATATAAAAAGGGAATCAAGTAAGTTACTAGCTCCCTATGAGCGATTTAAGTCAGGTCTCATATCTGCTTCTACACTTTTGCTACAAGAAATTCACTAGAGTTTCGGATTCGGCTTGCCTCTACTACTAACCAAAACGAAGCCTTTAGGGCTATGACAGTTTCAATGGTAAACATTACACGAAACCCGCCTAGAAACTGGCTGAATTGGTATGTACCTCTAAATTGATATAATCCGTGGCCTGGGCTTGATGCCATTTAAGCTCCCAAAAAAGACTTCGTGACAAGGTACATGATTTTACACTCCCAGTAGGAGGATGGGAAATATAAGACGTGTAGGTTGGATGAGTTAAACTTCGCTAAAGGTATAGGTGATCCCAGTGGTTTATACTTTTCACTAAGTAGCCACATCGTGCCTATAGCCAACAAACATATGCGTCAAGAGGCACTATGCCTTGGGTTCCGTACGATGGTCAAACAATTGGATGACATAGACGGTCTTATCACACTACCTATTGCTATTAGCGATATATCGAATCCGATCTCACACTGGGCATGTCCCCGAACACCTATAAAGCTGATCTTGAGCTTAGTTCCGATCAAGGAATTATAAGAGTAGATATCCGTGATTTCGATTGCAAGCCTTTGGAAAATTTGTTGGTTTGCCGAGTGCCTAGAAGAAAAGCTGTAGTCTCCTAGGGAGACTAGGAAAATATGGGATGGGGGTTGGCAAGCAATAGTATATATAAGGTATACTCTATATATATATTCGACCTTAGTCATGGAATGTATAACACTAGCACTATACGTATAGTATCTAGATACGACCTTGGCAGACGAATTCCAATTCAGACGGACAATAAAGACTGAACTAGTGTTTAATTAGTGTATGAAGTTAGAACTTTACCGGAATACTAAGGTTGCCCTTCATATTCGTATTCAGTGACTTCCTAGAGATTACCGCAAATCCTGATGAGGCCTCGCTCTCCAAATTCCCATAATTAAAATCAAATAAGGCTATCTCCAACTCCGCGTATAAGAAATGTAGGATATATTGTGATTAGGAAAGCGTTCGTACTGGCAATAGATTTCCCGCCATATATGTGGACTACCGAGCAGCTTACACCTTCGGAGTCGACACCACCTTTTAATTTGAAGAGTTGAACGGTTGCTAGAACAGCTTGGTTTGGATCAACAGTTTTATAAATATACACGATGCATCCTCTTCTCATAAGGGTTTTAAGATGCCCCAAAGATCAAATAACACATTCCATTCAGCACTCAACATCAGCACTCAACATCGGCAAACCACTTGTGCGCCAGCGCCTCACGAGCAGTAATCCTCTTGACAAGATCAAAATTGGTCATTCTCCCAACTAAATCCATAAAATCCTGATCGAACCCCGGCTTCTCAACCTTCCAGAGGCGAAAAGGCTTCCGTCGGTTCTGCTCGTTAAACCCGCTGCGGACCACGGTGAGAATCTCGCACCACGGGCTCTCAGGGCCAAGGTGGCGCAAGAGCGTATCGAACGTGTCAGGTTCGGCGAAATAAGAGAGTTGACGCTCCAGAATGATAGAAAGAGGCTCCATCTCAGGGTCTTCCATCTCTTGGGGGCAAAAATTACGGTTTGGGAAAGGGCGTATATACACTAAGAGGAAACATTAGTCTCTTAACGCTGTACATCTGAGGACAATGCGGAGGGAATGGTTGCAGCAAACTTACAATTATCCCAAAAGAAAACATATCAGAAGGTGAATTCACAGGACCTTGAGCATGAGCCTCAGGGCTGCGCCAAAGTTGATTGCCAACCTTAGATCCCACGATGTCACTACCAGGAGGCACATATGCAGCATCCTCGAGATCACCAAGCTGAACACTCTTTACAACGATTTTTCCGTCGACGTTCTCATAGTTAACTAGGATATTGTTTTCTTTGACATCTATCAACGATTAGTTCCTTTGCAGTAAACGGGGGTTTATTCATAAAAGAGGACGTGCCAGCATGAACGATATTCTTGTTATGCAATACTGCAAGGCCACGAAGAGCATCCCCCAGGATCCGTTTCCTTATAGCGAGTGGGATTTGCTTTTGGGCGAAGCTGAGTAAGTGGTCGGTGGCATAATCATATATGAGGATCGATTGCTCGAGAATAATGTCCCGCATGAGCCGGAGATAAGGGCTACGCTCTTGCGTGATGAGGGTTCTCTGCATATCGTAGGCTAGCTTAAATATCGAGGGGGGGAGGTCCTTGAGGACAAACTTTTGTCCGTCATCTCTGCTATGTTTTGAGAAGGAAATAAGCCTGCTGAATGACCAGGGACAGGGAGCTAATAGAATACTCAATCACGTACGAGGCAATATAGACTATCTCCGGTCTATGGTCTTTCTCTTGGAGCACGCATTCAATGGAATACTGGCGCCCAGACTCGCTAGTCAATCTTGAGCCTACAACTGGATTATTTGTCTCGTTTTGTGCAGGTGAAGGCGTTGAACAGTCAGGTGGCATCGTAATATGCCACCGCACAGGCCCGTTTGAAGGGTAGGAGGCGCTGACGTGTGGGGCGGCCGAAATCTAGGAAGCTGAATTGCTCGGCGATGTATTGCATTAAACGTTGTAGGGCATTTGAAAAGCAATGATGAGGACTGAAGAAGGTATTGGACGTTCCTAGGCCTAACTCCAGCCATTACTAAAGACGATGGGCAGGTTGTGGGTAAAATGAATTGCAAAGGACTTAATTATTTGACATTCAAAAAGTTGTTAGATGTCTAACACTTGTTGAATGACGTATAACGGTATCCGATGTTTGTTGCGTACAATACAAGCCTAGACTTCTAGCCTCGTCATGGGAGGTCATAGAGCCCAAGGATAGCAAAGCAATCTCATATGTTACTGCACCAATAACACCATCGCCGACTTGATTTCCCCGAATCCGGACTTGCTGTTGAGCATGGCGCTGGAATTGGATACGGTATATACTTCGTATGATGTTGTCAAGTTGAGCCACACGAGCCACATGGCAAATTGCGCTTGTTCTTGGCGAAACGAACCTGCCACTACCCGCCCCTTTAATAACCACCATACACCAGCATCCAAGTTCCAGCATCCCTCTATCCAGTCCATATCGATTCACAACCGTTCCGTGGATAGTCCCTCATCACGATGCTAGATCACGCCTATTCTTCAACACTCCGCACATGGGATATTCCCCGCGGCGCAGCTTCCGCGCCCACCCTAGGCGCCCGTCCGATCATCACATCCGACATAGAGAGTGAGTAGGAAGAGGTAGGCTATTGAACGAAATTCTGTCGACCGTATAAATCAGCCAGGTTCTAGCTTGCAATATACCGAACTCTATATGGGCTGGCTATGTAGTTTGAACATAGGCTTTGTACTCCAAGGAGGTAGTTCAAACTGTTAGATCAAAGTTATAGATTGGTGCTGTCCGAAGTTAGACGGCCGTACCATTGTGACACTCCTTGGATGTGGTTAAGGTTAATGGGAACCGCCTCCAGCTCGAGGATAACCGGAGGAAAGAAAGCCATCATAGTTAAAAATGATCGATTGCCCCATTCTACCACCAAATCACTAGAAACAAACCCATCTCGAGCGGGATCTATACACTTCCAGAGAAATATCTAGAGAATGGAAACTGCAAGTTCGAAACTAATTCTAAACTGCGAAAGGGAGAGTGAGGGGGAGCCGCGAATCCATCCGTGCGTCGAGAATTTGAATGGAGAAGCTACCTTGGGTGCCTTTTGCGATCTTGAATTTCAGAGGCAGGGAGTTGAGCAAGCCGGCCAAGTATATTTTCCTTGATCTTTCACCGTCTGCATCTTTCAAAGTACTAGCTGTAGATGAGTGCTATGATAAGTGATTGGCAACTCTTCATTCTCACACCCCACTGTGCTAACATGCGCCTCACTCTCCAGCATGACCATCATTCCTGTCACCACACTGAAGTTCACCCTCTCTCTATTGACCCCACAACATCTCTCCTCTCGCAGTCTCGACTCTCGGGTCCCACAGCTCAACTCCCATACGCAACATGCGTCGTTAAGCCTGCATGGTCTTGCTAAAATTGTTGCCGCCTAGTCGGGGATGAGGAGAAGTGGGCCAAGTCGCCGACGATAATGATATGTTCCCAGTGGCACGAGGGGAATAATGATTGAAAACGCCACCCGACGGCCGGTACCACCTTGCCGGGACGAATAGGAAGCTGCAGGGACTAATGCAAGATTGGGATATGGGGTACGGGGCTTAAAGTATCGAGAATAACAGCGTGATTGTGGGGTAGAATCGGAAGGTAGGGCGTCTGTCAGTGGCACAGCAAGAACTTATACTGTCGGGCCGAGCTTTGCTGATAGCCCACGGCCCGCCTTGCTATGTGCTATTGATGAGGAGGAAGCTGCAAGATACCTGTGCCTAAGGCAGCTCCGAGGCTTATCTTGAAGCTAGACTTTGGTGGCCGATGAACAGAAATCTTTCGTTCGTTGAACAGCATCCAAAATCAGTCTTCCTTGTAGTTTGGAGGTCAGCTGATGGGGCTCGAGACCATTGGCGACGGAGTTCTTCCCCAAGCCCTATCGGCACTGTAAGGGGGTTGCAGATGTTGAACCCGTACTATCTGCCCAGGAGCGGGGGCTTTAGTCGGCGGGCTATACCGCTCATGTTAATCTGGGGTATTGATCAGCCCAACTAAAACATCGGTCCAACGATTCCTTTTAATTTCGAATCATCAAGCCCTTTGATTGGGCCTTCTCCAGGAATTAGGGGTTTTTAATCCAATACCACGGCCTGCTCCCATGTTTAGTCGAAAGCTTGGATCCTCCGTTAGATACCGCATCCCCTCCCCCTCCCGGTCCGGTTCCCACTCCGCTGGAACCCCGCATATTTGGACTATCGATCATAAGATGACGGGCCGTCAAACACCAGTGGCATTGTGTAGCGTGAATATGTACTCATTATTAGGTACAGGTAGCTAGTGTCCGTATTGTGCCTTGGCTCTTGGGTCGGGAACCCTTGGCTAACTGAAAATATTCCAAGATCCTTCTAGCCGCTTAAGATACCGAGTAAGTGGGATGAATCGCCAGAGCAGCAAAACCTCAACAATCCTACTTGCGCTCCATCCGCCACCTCTAGCTTTCGAAGATAGGTGCAATTGACCCTTTTGCTCTTGATCTATGGCTCTTCCAATTTCATACTTGTATAGCTCTATGTTATAATCCGATTAATTAATCCCATCGCCTGTCGGCCCATCCATCACATGGCACCACCTTCGGCGGCTCGGTGTTTGACGGCCCGAGGCTCTATCCGCTAGGCGTTGCGCCCACGAGGAACCCGGATTTTCTCCCACATACGGCCTCCTATTGGCCACACCCCCCCTCTGCTGCCTTCGCCGCTCGCTAGACTGCTATTCTCACCAATTGGTGCATCGATCGGCCAGGTATGGAGAACTCTGGAGACAACTATCGCGGTCCCCGCCTTTTCAAGGATCATCAGGTACAAGGGATGCAATTTAGGGGCAGAAAATAAAAAGCTGCAATTATCCCCAGACTTTTCCACCTTTCTCCACGTTCCAACGATCCCACGATCTCCAACTCCACCCTCCCCCATATTGTGAACTATAGGCATTGGAGCTATACTTCGTAAGCAGAAGCAGAGATGGCTTCAACCAAGGCCACCCCCGAAGGCGAGACCGGGGCCCCCGAGATCGGCAAGGCCGATGCAGCGCCTCTGCATTTCCTCCCCGAGGATGAGCTCGAACAAACCAAGACCATGAACGAGATCATCCGCAATGCCAAATCCGCCACTGAGAATGAGCAGAAGATGACCCTGCTACAGGGGATCAGGTTGTATCCCAAGGCCGTGGCATGGAGTGTCCTTATTTCGACCTGTATCTGTATGGAGGGCTATGATATTAGTTTGGTCAACAACTTCTGTGAGTTGATGTCCACCACAGTGAATCATAAATGCTTGATTTAGTGGCATACAGCTCTAACCGTACCCTCGCAATTTAGATGCATTCCCACAGTTCAACAAAAAGTATGGAGAACAATTACCAGACGGCTCGCACCAGATCCCAGCGCCCTGGCAAGCAGGTCTCAGTAATGTAAGTAAAATGAATGGGATGTGGTTTTAGTGATGGTGATAGCATCTTACTCATATCTCTACTCCAGGGTGCCAATGTTGGAGAGATCATCGGCCTTTTCATCAATGGTTACGTTTCTGAGCGATTCGGATACCGCTACACAGTCATGACTTGTCTCACCTTGGTTATTGCTTTCACGGCCATTTTCTTCACTGCAAAAGATGTGATCGCGTTGGAGGTTGCTGAGATCCTTTGCGGTATTGTAAGTGTTCTACCCTTATCCTAGGTAATGAATGATTCAGTGCTAACAAATGCAGCCATGGGGAGTGTTCCAAACACGTGAGTTCAAAAGAGCCATTGCTTAGAATGAGATAAAAATGGATTGTTGACGCTCTGTAGTGACCATTACATATGCCTCGGAAGTTTGCCCTGTCGCCCTGCGTGGATATCTCACAACCTATGTCAACTTCTGCTGGGGCCTTGGCCAGCTGATTGGAATTGGAGTCCTCAGGAGCATGTTGCATCGAGATGATGAGTGGTCCTATCGGTATGTTCATAGAACCGGAACATATCCACTCTGCGTGTTTCTGTTCTGAATGCTCATGAACACGAATTCTAACAATTATCTAGCATTCCTTTTGCTCTCCAATGGATGTGGCCTGTTCCACTTCTTGTAGGCATTGCCATGGCTCCCGAATCACCTTGGTGGCTTGTTCGAAAGGGTAGAGTCCAGGACGCGAAGAAGGCCCTTCTTCGCTTGACCAGTCTAAATAGGGAGACGGATTTCAACGCCGATGAGACTATTGCGATGATGGTTCATACAACTGCTTTAGAAGAGAAGGTAAGTTTAAGCGAGCGGATTCCCTTGTAGTATATGATACTAACATCCAATTTTCACCCTAGATCACTTCAGGAGCGAGCTATTGGGATTGTTTCAAAGGCACTGATTTGCGGAGAACTGAGATTATCTGCATGGTCTGGGCCATTCAGAATCTTTCCGGAAACTCTTTCTCAAACTACTCCACGTACTTCCTTGAACAAGCTGGCCTTGACCCCGCCAACGCTTATAATTTCGCCATGGGCCAATACAGCATCAACATGGCTGGTGTCTTTGGCGCATGGTTCCTCATGTCTTGGGGAGTAGGCCGAAGGTAAATTTGAATAAATGAAATAATTGCAACACACTTAGAATACATGCTAACAACCTCCACAGAACTCTCTACCTTGTTGGACTGTGTGGTCTCTGCACCATGCTCTTTATCCTTGGTTTCCTCGGTCTCGTTCCCTCAGCCCAGAAAAAGGAAGCTTCTCTCGCAACTGGGAGCATCATGTTGGTCTGGGCATTATGTTACCAGTTATCTGTCGGTACCGTGTGTTACTCACTCGTGGCTGAGTTATCCACCCGCCGACTCCAGATTAAGACCGTCGTTCTCGGACGAAACCTTTAGTATGTATCCTCTACCATTCTACCTTCCCTTTAACGTTCTCTCAATGAGACACCCAATCATCGATTTAAAAAGAGCATCGAGCCTGATACTAACGGCGTCACAATAGCAACATCGTCGGAATCATCTGCTCCGTCCTAACACCCTATATGCTTAACCCCGGCGCTTGGAACTGGGGCAATTACGCCGGTTTCTTCTGGGCATCCATCTGCTTCTGCTGCATCATCTACACATACTTCCGCCTCCCAGAACCCGCAGGTCGGTCCTTTGCCGAGTTGGACATGTTATTTGAGCGTGGCATTAGTGCACGCAAGTTCTCTAGCACCAAGGTTGATGTTTTCCATGAGAATGTTGATGAGAAGGTTATCGAGAACTATGAGTATGAAGGAGTGAGGAATAGGGATGGGGAGAGCAGAGCAGGGACTCATGAGAAGGAATAGATGCGCAGTGACGCAGGGAGTCTACGAGTTAGCGCTGAGTGGGGATTCCAGATTATTAATGTTCGATCTGGTGATGTTTAATAGCAATATTCAAGTTCTGAATATATATAAGTTAACGCAAAGACGATAATGTAATACTTATCACACTGAGTTTCCAGGGAACAAGTTAAAAACACGATCCGGGCTTTGCTCCGGGATGAAATTAATAGCATCGCCTTTCACATGTAGACGTTAAATTAGCGAGCCCCTTACTGCCACGGTGGTGAACGAAAGCTCGCTCCCTTTGGTACACCAGGTGTCACGATTCGACGTATGGTTCGCTCTGGAAATTTCGCTTCCACCCTTTTGTGATTAAGCAAAGCAGCACCTGCGTACGGAAACTCCTATCTTTTATATCGATGGACAAAAATAACTGGGAAAAAAGCGAAAGGAAGTCGTTATGCTTTCTCTTGGTCAGAATTAAATAAGTATATTCAATTTATGAGGGCGCACCTAGCTACCACCGAAGAGATCTCTAGGCTAACCGGCAAACGGTAAACAAGTAAAATCTAGACGCCCGCCTTAAACCCCACACTGAGCTTCCCATATGATGGTTCCCTGGAAGGAATTTCCCAACCATGGCCCCTTAGTCATCAAAATTTCTTGCAATAAACGCCACTCCGGGGTCCACTGCTATGAAGACCGCCTTGCAATATCAGACCCATAAACTCAAATGACGACCTCTTTCCCTCAGATCACGATCGTATCGTCAAGCTGCCACCACTAAGCCCATTCTTCGTTGCCATTTGACCATACCTGTGCCTTGTTCCATGGAACTGAGCGGGTTGATCGTTCTCTCTTCATATTGCCCTCCATTCTCGTCGCCTCTTCGGTATTGGCGCCGCAAGGGCCATCGGCTCCTCGAGCATTAGAGGTGTATAGGTCATCAGCCCAGGCTGATTTCCGTGTCTTGCGCAAAGTGCTCGTATTATGCTGTGCCCTCTGCATTGATAACATCTGTTCCGATGAATAAGGGGTGTTGGAGAAGGGGAGGTACAAGAGCGACACACCACCTGATTCCTCTGAATGCTCGATTTGTCCTGGTCGTTCTAAGTCGTCTTCGCCTGGTTCGGTAAACTTTGCCTGGTGTGCGTTAGGGAGAAGCAGAGAAGTTGATGGCGTTGGAGACATAGGTCGGAAGAAGTACTTCGGAGCTGCTGTGGTTGGCGATGGTGAGCATGATGAAGAGCTTTCCTTCTCTGGGGTTGAAGAGCGGCAAGCCTGTTTGTTCACCAACACCCCTCCCTTCTCCGTGTGGTCACTGTCGTATCCTGAATGATCATTTCTTTGTTCAAGTTCGCCTGGCCTCAAAATCATTGCCTTTGCACCATCTGGGTATCCCGGACGGCGGTTGCTGCTCGGTTCAAGTCGATCATCATCCCGATATTTCTTGTCCGTGCGACGATGGATGCGCTCCACAAGTTGTCCGTAGCCCTCCATTACCCCAACAATGCGTGCGCTTCTATCATCTCCCGTAGCTGCTCCATATTCCTCATTTACCGACTCTAGAGGTAGCACAGCTGCCGAAGTGGAATTGGGACATAGTTGCCATTCCAAATCGCCTTTGCATCCTACCGACATTGTCGCCTTGCCCTTCTGCTTCTCCGATGCGTCCCACTGACCCCATTTTACAACACCGGCATTCGCGAGAGCCATGGTACAAGTGGGGAAAAGCTCTTCAATTTTCTGTTGTCGGGTAAGGGAAGCATGGCTCTCCATACCCCATTGGAAGGACTTGCATACGGCATCGGAGGGCTGAGAGTGGTTTGGGTCTTCAATTTTGCCCCTTTTCGGAACGATATTGAGACTCGGGGGATGAGGTGGGCGGGAATGGTGAGCGGCATAAGCAGACTGCCTGCCCTGAACCAGATATTGTCCATTTCCCAACGCCAGCGAGCCAGAGGATCCTATCTTGTCTTTTGCTCCTCCATGTACCACTTGTGCCGATTGAGAATCAAATCCCTCCTCCCGTATATATGAGGATCTCATCATGAGGGGCTCACCCTGGTGTCCGTGTTGTTCAAGATCGAAAGGCCCGCTCTCAACATGAGGTTGGCTTTGAGGTGGATATCTGGAAGCAAGTGAGCCCTGATACGTTTCCCACGCTGAAGATTCGGTTGTCATATCGGTGCTGTTTGTAAGGTTTGAACTGCGTCGCCGGGTTTCCGGGGCTCGGTGGATATTCGACGGGTTGGGCAAAAGATCGGGAAAGTGAGTTGAGCCGCCCGGCATCGACTTGAAAAAATGATCATAAGGACCGATCATTATTGCCAATATCTCGAGAAGAGGCAGAAAGGGTGAGTTTGTTATGTTTGTCTTGCGTATGGATTGGGCGGTGGATGAAAAGAGGGCCTTTGATTCACTCTCGGTGAGAATGTTTGTGTCGAGGAGTGGTGAATACCGCGGTTAAGGTAGTTAGGCCTGGTTGTCAGATCGAAGGCGGTGAATAATTGACAGGTAGTGATAGTTTGTGCTTGGTAAATGGGATTGTAACGAAATAAATCATCATTTAGTTAGCTCTTGCGTGAAAGGTTAAAGGTGAAGGGGACTCTGAGAGTTAGCACAGATGTTATTCTCCCCTATCCATAACACCTATCCATTAAATCAAACTCATAACCAGCGAACGTAGCCAATTCAGCTTCCCACAGCATCTTAAATTACTGCCCACACTACTCATCCCCAGGCTCCCTCTGTTCCCTACACAGCTCCCGCTCAACACACCCATTTGGGCCAGCTTGTGCCCGTTTCGCCATCTCAGCGGCTCCCCTCGCCGCCACAAACTCAGTAGTAAACTGAGGAGTCTGCAATGCCGAATACAGATCCACCTTCCCAAGTTCACTCAAGGCTTTCCATATAGTATCCAATAACTGCTTGTTCTGCGCACTCTCTCCCATAAGAACTAGCGTGTCGAGACTTCGTGGATCACCCCCAGCCAGAGCAACGAGCTTGATCCGATCACCGACTTGCTCCCAATAGTCTTTGATGCTGTCAGGATTGTGCAAGGGACGATGTGAAGACCCCAAGGCGGGCGTACGATCACGGGCATCACGGTATATCCAATACGCAGTAACGGAGGTAGAGCGCTCAACGACAAATTCATCGGCGGTATAAGAGATGGTAAGGGTATGCCTCACTGGCTGGGATACTTCTTCCGAGTCACACTGTTCCACATTGGACCAGTGCGTGCATATTCCGTAGCCCATCCCCGCAAATGCTGTGTTGAATTGGTTAACCGGGCTTGGGGTGGATTTGTAACTTCGCAGGCGAGTGAGATTGACCCAGCCCAGCGCTTCATCGAAGTCGCCAAAGGGGAGATTTGGGATCTCTGGGAGGCTGGGGAAGACGGCAGGAGGGATTGATTCGGGGGTGCTTTCTTCTGCAAGGCGGTTGAGTTGCCCGAGGAAGTGGGAGAGGGTTTCGATATCGGGAGTCGAGGGGAGACCACGTGATTGGCGGAATCGTCGCTGGGCTTGGTCATATTGCCATTGAAGACGGTCGCGAATGTTGTCGAATGGTGGACTTGGAATAGGTTGTCAGAGGCCGAAGCGGGAAATATATATATATTACAGTGGATGTGGCTTACTATTTGAGATTGTATGGTTCGGCGAGCCGGTTCATCATCGCTTTATAGTCATCACTACCATTGACCTGTGGGAATTTCATTAGTTTACCGTAAGAGTGTGCGAAAATGGTGACCACTCACTCGGCCAACGCTCACTACCGTTTTGTTGTGGTATCTTATGGCCACAGTCCTAGATTTACTTAGCAACTGAATGAGGGAAGACACAGATGGCGGAATAGCTACCCATATGTGAGGGTAAGATCAAACCCAACCGCAGGTGCAACAATCAACTCTCTCGGAACACATTGGTCACAGGTTGGCTGTGTTGTCAACACCGTTTGAAAACGGTTCTGCTGAGCTTCCCCATATAGAAAATTACTCCACACAGCGAGAACGAGGCTGCCTAAACTACCCCGCATGTTTATAAGTCTGCGTATACTTCCTTGAGCGTACTAGAATTTCGAATTTCGAAAGTACGATAAAAGAGGACTTGGGAAAATAGTGGAAGCAAGCAAATAAGGGAGCAAGTTGGTATCTATAGAGCCTAAGATTGGGGGGATGTATGAGTAACAGTTGGTATACAACCCAAGTTTGGGGGCTGTATACTCTAACAGTTGGTTGGCACAGCCTCAGTCCAGGAAGGATTGGGCAAAATGCCTTGCCAAAGTACCGCGTTGCTTTGGCCTCTCTCTGTAGGGCTTCGCTACTGTGATTACCCCTGGAACGAACTGTTTCATGGGATGCGGGCAGCCTACGGGAGGCATCGATAAGTTAGTTACGTCAAATACCCAGTCGTTGGGATCTGAACAACTCGTTCCCAGTACCCAATCCCGCTAACCACTTGGTCGGGCATTGTAAGGGAAATGGGATCCAGTAGAAAATGGACATAAGTTTGGGGGGAGTTGTCGCCAACCAATTTCCGCACCTACATCGATTGCAGGGTGGGGAATTAAGCAACGAAAGAGAAGCACTCAAATAAGAGGCCTAGGTCATGACCATTATTCATTTTTAGATAGAACTTATAATCGAAATGCGCATCCCATGATGTCTACCCTGCCTGCCCGATCCATCCGCCCACAAACGCCGGCCCTCGCACACACATAGGTACCTCAAGGTATCATAAAAGCCCATCACGCCTGTCGTTCAAATAACCCCAAATAGAAAACATCAATATCCAACATAGCCAGCCTGAGCCACCATGCCTGGATCTGCGTAACCTCGCTGCTGAATAGGGATCTGTCCTGGAGGTTGCTGCTGGTGGGCCATCCGTCCGTTTAGATCGTTAAACCAAGGATGTTGCAACGCATCATGAGCAGATATCCGCAACTCGGGTCGCAATTGGAGCATTCTCTGCAACAGATCAATGCCAGCCGGGTCGATCTGGGGTAAGATGACGCGCAAATCTTGCGTGGCATACATCTGAAAGTTCTGCTTATATTCGGTGTACTGCGAGATTCCGGGCCATGTGCGTTCAGATGGTGTACCCATGATACGGAAGATTCGAACAAGCTGGTCCTCGTTCGTGGTGCCCGGGAAAAGTGGGCGACCGGTGTACATCTCTGCCATGATGCATCCTGCCGACCAGATATCGATGCTAGTGTTGTAGGTGCGACTGCCGAGGAGCACGTCTGGAGCGCGGTACCAGAGAGTCACAACCTCGTTGGAGAATGTATTGACGGGAATGCCGAAGGCACGGGCGAGGCCAAAATCAGCTAGTTTGAGTTGGCCCTTGGTGTTGATGAGGAGATTCTGAGGCTTGAGATCACGATGGAGAACACGATTTGTGTGGCAGAAATCAATGCCCTTCAGCAGCTGGTGCATGAAGGATTTGATGGTGATGGGGTTCAACGCTCCGCGGTCGCCTTGGGTGTCCATATACTTCTTAAGATCTTTGTCCATATACTCGAAAACGAGCATGAGCTTGTTCTCAGTGTGGATGACGTCGTGCAGGCTGACAATGTTATCATGCTTCAGTTCCTTCATCAACGAGATCTCGCGGATCGCGGTAGAGGGTGTGCCCTCTTCTGAATCGAGGTGAATTTCCTTCAAGGCTACCAGTTCGCCGGTCTGCCGATTTCTGCCTTTGAAGACCGTGGCATAGGTCCCCTCACCGAGCTTCTCCAGCTGCTGGAACGAACTCGGGTGTCGCTTATCCATCTCTGCGGGTGCTTCGTCTTGGGGGTTGAGGTTCCGTATGCTGATTGTACTTGGTAGAGAGGACGGAAACGTTTGCGCCTTGGGCGTGGGAGGGAAAGTTCGGCGGGGAGGATGGACGGAGAGTCGTAGGCGCGAGGTGTATCTTGGGTCAAAAAGCAACGAGGTTGGTGTGCAAATACTAAGGGAAATAGCAGACGCGTCCTTCGACCCGCGTAATGAAGCCGTGGTGACGAGAGGGTAGCAAGTTGTTACTACTTGCAAGACAAGATGGTATTGAGCTCAGGGAGAAGGAGAGGGAGATCTAGAGGACCGACTCATTCAACTGCTGGCGCGGCCGGGTAATAATTTGCCCACCAGAGGAACACGGAACCTTAGCGAGCGTCAACAGGGGTGCCGTGGGCGCCTATGCAGCGCCTGATACTGGTGGCCTGATGGTTGATACATGATGCCTGAGGATCTCCAGTAATGACGAAGCTTGTAATCTGTAGGGAGAACGGGTTGCCGCGGGGTAGGAGGTACGTACCGCAGCACTCTGTACCATACGCGAGTACCTGATTACCTGATTAGGCTTCGGGAAGTCATCCTACATAGCACCGGGCCTTGTTGACACAGCACCTAAGCATCACCACATATACAGGCTCTACTGGACTATGATGTGAACAGCTACTTTGTTGTCTGCCGATACTCCATTACTCCCTCCAACATGCGACCCATGCCTGGAGACGATGCCTTTGGAGGGCGGTCACGTAGTGGCAGCGTGGCCGATAACGACTTGACACCGCTCGTAACTCGGTCCCAACAACCACAGATGACATACTTCTTCGCAGACGAGAAATCGATAGAGGAGTCCGACTCTAACGTATCACTATCGCCAGCGTCCTGTTTCCCCAAACAGCGAGATCCGAATACTCCCAAGGGGAGCATGTATGGCGTTGAGAGCCTGGAAACCACCACAAGCTCCCTGCAGATCGACGACCAGGAGGATGAACAAAGGATCCAAAAGGCCCGCCATAGCCGGAAAAATAATATCGGGCTATCTTCCTCCAGACCGTCCGAAGAAGACCTGTCTGATGCTGCCTCTGCATATCCTTCTTGGAAGTCCTCGGCGGATATCAGCAGGAATGTGTCCCCCTCTCACCAGCGACGGCCTTCTCAAACAGGTATTTCCAGACCGATCACGCCTCTATCATATGGTTCTCCGGCGCCTGCTTCTGTCATGAGCAGCCCAGGTTCTCGCAGAAATTCTGATGCCGGCTCGTATATGGATGATATTGCGAGCCAGGCTATTATATCTAGCGGGGATGAGGAGCGAGAGATTAACCCCCAGTTGATGGATAGTGGGAGTGCTCCCCAGCTGGTCATGCCTAGTATAAAGATGCCTAGCAGACGTCCATTTACCGAGAGCGGAAAGAGCATGGGCAGGCTGAAGGTGTTGATTGCAGGAGATTCTAGTAAGCATTTCCTGTGTAGGATGCGGCTTTAGCTAACAGATTAGGCGTTGGCAAGACTTCCCTGATCAAGGCAATCGTCCAGACCTGCGAAGACATTGTACACGTTGACCCTTTGTCCCCGACCGCCATATCGATCCCAGAGACCCGGCGGAGGAGTTCAAGATCGTCCAGGAAGGGTTCCTCCAATATGCAAACTACCTCTCAAATCACAGAAGTCTATGCGAGCACAAAGCCATATCCTGCTTGGTGGTCTGATTTGGAGGATAGCCGTATATTGCAGAGGAGAAAGAGTCTGGGTGATTCGGTCTTGGAGAGGAATTTGTGTTTTGTCGACACGCCAGGATATGGCAACAAAACCTCAGTATGTGTTCCAAAGACTCTGAACTTATCAGTTGCTAATATTGTAGTGCTTGGAATGCATCACCCCAGTCATTGATTATATGGAATCCCATCTTAGAAAAGCTACGTCTCCTGAAAACATAAGCGAATCGGATATGATAAGCATGCTCAGTGGGAATGGAGGATCGCAGGTTGATCTCGTTCTATATGTGATTTTACACCGTAAGTCTAACGGCTTGGGTCACAAATTGTTTTTAATGGTGTTTCAGGCATAAAACCAGTCGACATCGAATATTTACGGCGCCTATCACACCTGACCAATGTCATCCCACTGGTTGCGCAAGCAGAGCACCTATCCCAGGACGAGTTATTGTCTATCAAGGAACATATTAGAGGTTCATTGCAAGAAGCTAACATTCATCCTTTCCATTTCGCCAGTGTTCCGAAAGGGGCTCACTCACATCCCGAATCCCCGTATGCGATATCTACTACCGCATCCAAAGACCACGAAAACATGGATGCAAGTCTTCTGATGTCCCCTGACTATGTCTCACCCCTTATTCCATCAGAGTTATCTATTCTGGTATCTCAGATATTTGATCCATCGAATATCTCCTGGCTCCGCCATTCTGCTGCCAAGAAATTCATACAGTGGCGCGATTTCAGCACACCTTCACAATCCATTTACCAGCCAATCGGTGCCTCGTCCTCACCAATATCAACGGCGCCAGTCGGTGCAACTACTTCATACGCACTGGCCCGAATCACCGACCACGCCCAAAGAGAAGAGCGCATAGCGCAAGTCCGGCTTGCCAACTGGGCAGCAGACTTACAACGAAGCCTGCAAAACGAGCGCGCGCGGTTTGATCAACTTGCACGAAGTGAGAGGGCCGTCTGGCTTACCGAAAGGCTCGGTGAGTGTGTCCAAGATGGTAGCATCATCCCAATTTCACAGGCACGCAAGCAGGATGATGGCTATTCATGTTCTCTGATTAAGCAAGGTAGCTACTCGAGACGTAAGGAGTGGTCAATAGGGCCGCAAAGAGACATAGATGTACATGATCCATTGGGTTTGTTGCAATTAAATGTCGAAATGAAGAAGAGAGGTTGGGTCGCTGTTAAGTTCCTCGGTGGGTTTGGAATCCTCGGTGGGTTGGCGTTCTGGCTGGTGAGGACATGGCAAGGTACGAATATTTGGGGAGTTCCGGGAAAGGACTGGGCTGAGTTGGGCATGGCTGATTGGAGATAAGCCATGAACAAATAAGGGTTTCAGTTATAGGATCTGAGGAGTTAGAGGCGGATGATGGGCGTTTGGATTACAGTTCGGAGAACCTTTCTTTTCATTCATTCGGAGTGGTGGTAGTATGTCTACGGACTACTTGCTGAGAATATTGTTTAGAGTGATTTGGTTGGGTGTAAGGCGTTTTCCCTAATTTAAATCACCACACATAGCGAGCATATAGGCAACTCACAACACACATACCAATATTAAATCTCCCATCCCCCAGAATGAAGCTTGAAGCTTGATTTTCCCGGTATAAATCATATCATGCGAAGGCTAAACACTCGGGATTTCTAGGATATACCCTTCCACCTTTCCTCCGTAAAACTAAAACCTATGCTATAAAGTAGAATTTAAGCATCTTGCAAGGAAGCCATGCACCAGACCTTTGTAGTTCACTGACACTGCTAGGCAGGAAAGCGATATATTAACCTACCGCTCTTGCTGTAGCTGAGCTGGACGTAATGAGAGCGAAGTTTACCAGCTATTACTAGAGGTGGGAGAGAGCCGATATCAACGGCGAAGAATATCGGTAGTGCTAGAGCAGCGCGGCGTTATGGCTAATGACGGCAATTAAAACACTCCAGCCCCGGGCGACAATACTCCAAAGGTTGGATTGGAGCTTCGTGCGCTGGGCGCTGGGCGCTAGAATAAATCAGCATACTTCGTATGGTGCTCTCGACTCGAATAAAGGGTTTAGCTTCAATCAGTAGCCCAAGACAGAAGGCATGGTCTCCTGTTGTATCTTTCAGCATTTGATAGGGATGCAAAACGTTTGTCCTCAACTATCATCCGCCGTGGTCGGTGAATCTAAGCCCTCGTGTGTACCAACCGCAACTTGTAGGTGCCTGGAGGGACCCGCGCGGTTCTTCGCCTTTTGGGTATCCAGACCACTCCTCTCATATACCCAGCGACCCTTTGTCTCTCCGGGTATCGCGTACAGGTAGGTGGCGGCGGGAAAATATTTTCCGACAAATGGGGTTTTCCGACAAATGATTTTGCAAATTTGTATGGGTTTTGCTATTGACCTCGAAGTTTCTAGCAAAAACCCTGGGTTTACAGCTTCATCGCTCAACAGTCTATCTCATGCACATGACTCTCTTGATCACCTCTAGGGGTTTTCAGGAAATTGTTTCTTCGACCAAAGATGCTCGGCGTCTCGGTCCCACTCTACCAATAATTCAGGAGCAATCAGTCCTGTTGGGTGTTTGGACCATCCTTTCCGAGCAAGGGTAGTATTCTGCGATCAGATTGGTATATTCTTCCAATAAAGGCGACATGTAAGTCACGTCTGGAGCCATCTTCTTGGTTGGTGCACAAGGCGTCGATTTATAGCTTTCGAGGGGTATTGGGATATCGTAGGTGCCGTAGGCCCTGAAAGAGATTCCGACTGATTCCTTTCGGTCGAGGATCGATGGTAGGTGAGATATGGCATTGCCAGAGGACCCTAGCCATAGGAGTCGACCTCGAAGTGGATGGCACTACACTCTATATCGCTGAGACTAGAATGCGCGATTGAGACATAGATCATGGAGGATGGGACTACGAATGATCTGTCATTTACTAGACGACGGTATTTCAACCTGTTCGATGGGGTGATAGGGACCGAAGCTTTCGTCTACCAACTTTGAAGAGCGCTCCAGTCTCCAAGCTTTTCCTGTCTTTCCGTATCTTCTGGTTTAAATTAGTTTGTCTCGATTGGAAAGGGAGAAGTTTCTTAGAAGAGATATGCTTTGGCAAACCTCCATCCATTTGTTTTAGACTTAAGATATTGACGAGTGAGCGACTTTGGTCATTGAGGTAGGGTCTCGAGCTTCTACGAACACGCAGCCGGGAAGAATTTTTGTTCTAGCGGAGGCATACCTAATCTGGGAATGCCTCCCTTCTTGGGGACATGACAAAAGCCCAAGTTATCCTCCCGGCCTCGTATCCGCGGAACGATGTTGATAGTCCGTTTGAACTATCCCGAGCTAGTCGCGCTATTCGATGCCCGAGCCAGGAATGCGAAGTGCGCTTTAAAATTTGGCGGTTGATTATTTGAACACAAGAGATTTATTCGGTGGCTCATCCTCACTATCGGAGACCTTTGTGGCTTTTGCTTGGCGGCTTTCTTGCTTTCTTGTTTTCGTGAAATCTCGGCCTTTTGGACCCCAAAACATTTTGTTCTCGGCCTGGCCATCGCCAACTGTGGCACAGATGTTTTCATCGCCACCTCGGAATCTTCGCTATCCCGGTCCAGATAATGCTCGGGGAATGAGATTATAGCCAAGGGTTCCAGCCATACTGTTGAGAGTAACTAACTAGCTTGGAGAAAAGGAAGTGGTGAATGAGCTGATCTTGACAATTGGACAATTCAAATAGCACTCGGCTTTTGCCGACGCACCCATATTTGCTTCTTTCGGTATATAGAATGATCTGCGCCAGCAGACTCTGCGACTTGAGATCGATGGGCAAAGTGCAAAAGGGGGTTTCAAGCAGGAGTTCACATGAGAGTTGTTGGAGCGGTGTTTCATTCAAGTTCCGCAGCTTCATCTCCCTTGATACGAAGCACTTTAGTGGCCGAAAGACTTTGAGACTTCGGCTTTAGCGAATAGCGTCAATGAATATGAAGGGCCGCTAGAGTAAAATCACCTGCCTGTACTTCGTAAGTGTAAACTGATCAGAGCCGCGGATGTTTTACGCGGGGTTGGAGTTTATGTGGAGATGTTGGCGCCAGGCCAGCTGCCAAGTGAACCCCTCAATCACGCCTCTAACATTCCAAGTCCGCGTCGTCGAGTCAGCATTCGACTTACGAGTTATCTTGACATACCGAGTTTAGGAATCGGTGCCAGAATCACCCCAATCACCCTCAATCACTCCTAATCACCCCCATGCCCATGATAGGGGACTCTGTTTTGTTGCATATCGCACTTTTGCGCTCGACTCGTGGCCGTCTCACGTATTCTTCCAAGTGTGGTTGCAATTCCGGGGCAGCTCTGTGCTGTGCCAGTCCGCTATTAACCGCCGTGGATATCATGACCCGGTTGAGCTTGAAGGATGATTCATCATTGGGGAATTGAGGCTTCCCGTCCTTACTCGCCGGCCCAGTTGTGGCCACTCCTTTGCAGTAACACCTCTAGGAAAGTAGACATTGCCCTTCTGTTAGGGAAACGTAGCAACACGCGGCCTCCAACAACTAATACCGAGAGCCTCAAGATTGCAGAGCTCTTCTTTGAGCACGGATTATTAGCTCTTCGGCGCCCCACCAAGCAAGCAAGCAAGCAAGCACGCAAGCATAGCTCGACTCTCGACCCTCGAGTCATCAGCAGCTGAATCGTGGATCGGAGCTATTGCTGGAGGAACATGACTCGGAGAACGAGAATAAAGGGCGTCGGCGCGGCGCCGCTGCCAAGCGTAACCTTATCCCCACCGTTTTGCTCGAACGCGGCGGAGATGAGAGGTCCGCCACCCAGAGTAGTAGTATCCCGCGGCTTTCACTCCAAAGATAGCACGCAGTAAGTTTGCCTCTTAATCTTAATTGTTTTTGGGCCGACTTTGTTGCACTTCGCAACCCGCCGGCTGTTGAGCCGGATCGCTTCGGAATAGTTCCCCGTGGTCACGGCGGGTTTAGCCATTGCTCGCCGAGCGGCTGCGGTACGTACCTTAGGGATCGGATTTTTCACGTTATATAATTATATAATATTGTAAGATTTACGTTATTATTATAGGAGGTGCTACGTTATATAATTGCATAAAATTAAGTACAACTCTTGCATAGCTATGCATAAAAAGACCTTAAAATCAGGGCAAAAACTAGGTAAAAACTATGCAGCTCTATGCCTCCAAGGCCTAGGAGATTTTGGTATTACCTAATAAAAACTAAGCCTAATATAGTATACGTTAGTCCTAATGCGGCTAGTTTTATCACGTGGTACAATTACATTATAATAGCCCAAATCGCACGTTATTATAGTATAATCACTAAATGAGCAAATTATATATAAAGGCCGATCCCTAACGTACCTAAAGGTGCCTTACGTAAGGTAAGATACCTAGGTACGAGTACGTGCTCTACATATCTTAGGACGGTGTACGAAGGTCCTGTGCACTCGCGCACTCTGTATGGACATGAGCGGGCTGTACCTAGGTACCTTTATGCAACCGCAAACCAAACTCAAACATCGACATCGACATCGAGCCAACATGCGAACAGAACACCGAGCATCGCGGCGAAAAACACGAGGCGGGCACAAGCCAACTCTGGCCCATGCGCAACCATGCGTCAGTATTAATTTGTTAATTATATCATGATGTCGCGAGTGGAACTCAGTGGCCGCGGTGGGACCCGCACATGTCACTCCACGACTCGCTGACGGGAGGTGACCGGCGCTGACTCGAAATCCCAACCGCGGCATGGGGGGAACACAACATAAATGCGCCTTGACAAGTCGGAATCCGAATGGTTCTGACGCAGAGCCAGGTGTCCGAGTAAGGTGTGCTGACGGTCGCTGACTCTGGGCGATTTTCGCGACGTGCAACAAAATCGGCGAGATAAGATGGCATAGGGTGAATCATTTGCCTCAATGGAGAGCTATCTGCTGGGTTTCGGCTAGGAGACACCTCCGGAGATGGTTATGGAAATACTGGTGATTGGGCATGGGATTATGGAAATCAGTCAAGGCGCTACTCGGCCCAGAAATGCGTTGATGGCATAGCGCGCCACCATCGAATGTGTACGAAGTCGTGCACTTAGGTGGAGATGTAGAGGCACCACAACTCCATACCTTTCTGTGTTTTCTTTCCTTTACTCCACTCCTTCCTCGCGTTCCACATTCCCATGAATTTCATCCTCCTCGGTGCATTGACCGCGCTGATTTCTAGCTCCTGTCTTACACCACGTCACAATACCTATATTTTTCTGCCAAGAGCTTTTATCCTTTAGTACAACACAGACATCATTGAAATATTGCATATTTTTCCCATTCTGCGGTGCTTTTGAAATATTATTATACAGATTTTATGGCATAATGGCAAGCCGGGAGCGGGTATCCTTTAGTGTACTGCCTGCTGGAAATTCTCGTCAAGTACTACACTCCTCCCTCAACTATTGAAGCTGTTCGGTCGCGAATACCTTTTAATACCGAACGCTGTCAAGTACTAAAGCCATTTATGCGTAGCTTCCTAGACGGGGTCAATCTGTACGCCGCAATACTGACAAGATTGTTGAGTGCAGTTGTGCTGACAGCCCTTCAATGCTGCAGATAGCTGCAGATGACTGCTGACATCGCACTAGTGACGGGTGTCAAATATCGCCATCTTAGTACAATATGTACCTAGGTACCTACAGGATGATGGCTTTCTGATCGGCTAAATGGTTCATTGCAGCTTTGCTGTTACATCTCCGTACATTCCTTGGCGTGATGACCCCCACCAATATCTCATCGAGTGATGGTTTGGTGAACATTGCTACTGCTAGCGCATCACGCTATTATACTGGTGCTAGAAGTCAATAGAATTATAGTTGTTTCCTAAGCTAGATGCAAAAATACCGTGTACCAACTATATGGTGTGTATGAGGAAGGTCGACAGCTCAAAACATATGGGACGGGTAACGTTGAAGTCTACGTATTGGCTATCTAGAGCCCAGTTCATTCTGATCTGAGAAGGCTTCGGGAAACTGTATCTGACTGTACAATAAACAACCCATTATTTATCGCAGTCATGTTAGTTGTCAGACTTAGTGTCGGCTTATTTCGATCCTGAACGCATACACCGAAGTCACATCGGGTAAAGGATGTCTTTCTCCATTCCGAGGTTCAAGGTTTCCTCTAGAATGTTTCCTTGTTCACAGTTGTTCTGCGCAGACACACTCTATTATTTAAGCCTGCCAGAATGTGAGGAAATTTCCAATCGGAACTATTAGTCCTGATATTTTTACCTTATTTTAATGGGTCGAAGACACAACCCTCGCAAATACAACCTCACCCGAGAACCTTCAGCCACTACCTTAGTATGCCGTACGTACTGTTGAAGAAACCGCCCCCGGAATGTCGGATGTAATATTAAAGCTCCTTCTCACACCTGCCATGTACTGGGCCAGCTCGCTTCGATTCCATATCTTCGGCGTCCTCGATCTTTTCCCGCAATACCGTCTCTACACCCCTGAAGAGATATCCACTCGTGCCCGGGTAACTAAATGGGAAGTTGTCAAAGGGGGGTTGATACAACAAGTCTTACAGACTACCGTAGGTCTGTTTGCTATATCACAAAATGCCACCAAGTTGTGTATGTGGGAAAGGAGGAAGACGATGTTGCGCCGTGGATATAGAAGTTCAGGCTCTGGCGGAGAGTGATTCCCACCTCGCGCTCATGCTACTATAGGTGTTGATGCGAATGGTGTAGCCCATAGGATTTCGGGGCGTCATCCGACGCTTGCTGGCATATTACTTGGTGGGCAGTGAATATTATCCCAAGAACTAACTTTCATGTCCTGGGAGCTAGCTTTCCCTTGCCAAGGCCATATACAGAGTCGGCGTCCCTATAGCAAAAATCGCCATAGCTATTTTCATTCTTAGTCTATGGCAGTATGCAACTCAAAAGCTTTATGCATACCAGACAATTCACGCACTCTAAGTGTTACAATGCCCTGTGGTCATGGAAGCATACCAATATATATAGCCCGAGTCCACGGCATCCACTTCCGTATCCACGCCCCCTTCGCCTTCTACGCTCTTTATAACCACCCCTTCGGGGGTTTCCTCCTCGACGCCACAACCGCATCCGCAGTCGCCCAACTCACTGTCTGCTTAGACATGCTTTTCCTCGCAATATCAACACCATCGACGATTGACGACTAGTCCGGGTATGCCTTCCTTTCGGATCCTTTACAACTCATGACGCCTAATAACGCCACATATCATGAAATTCATCACCGGAATTGGGGGATTCAGACAAATTTCTGGCCGCCGCTTTTGATCTTTTAGGATCGATAGTTGGGAACTAAGTGAAGGGTGACACGACGGGGCTTCGATTGAAGAACGTTGATATAGCTAAGAAGGTTGTGACAGGGGAAAAGCGTTGGTCTGAAAGGGGTTGAAGATTACCACCAGTTAGGCCCATAGGTGGTCGGAGACGAACGTTGAACGTTGAACGAGGATAAGGTACGAGAATTTTAAAGAAAGTGTTGGTACTAACGTTATGAGTAGTCTTATGATAAGAGAGCATGTTAAGAATCAGCTATGCATACTTTATACAGATAGAGACCTACCATTATTCAGATGTATAGTAAGTTAACGAGGCAAGGGGCAGCAAAATGGTATGGCTACGAAAATGGGGGGCTGGCTAGGCTTGGTGGTGTCGCAGGCAGTGAAGCAACCTACCACCAACCCAGATCACCCACCGCCCAATGAATACAGATAAAGAAGATAGAGCTCAATACAACAAGCAGACTATTGAAAGCAGCATTGATACCTTTAACTTTTGATACGAAAAAGGGCACAAAGAATTGAAGGGGTTCAGAGACAACCACCATGGATATAAAATATAAACTACACCATAGCCATGCCCATGGCTGGCAGGTTTTCTTCCTACCATATCTAACTTCCACGCAGCAACTTCATACTCCTACTCGCCATCGCCAAGCAGCTCTATTCGTGTAATAGTCCTAGAACCCATTCATTTCCAGCTATAGGTATCAACCATGGCGCCCGTCAGGAAATTATCAGAGACTCTGGTGACCCCAGTACGACGACGAGAGAACAAGCCCACGGCAGGAATATCGAACAATTCCCGCTGGAGAGTAGGAAAAAATACCCGCAGGGCTCCCGGCCCCAAAAAGGATCCGAATACTGGCCGTTTCGTGTCCCACAGCAATGCTAGAGACAAACAGCCCCATAGCCTGCAGAACAAGCTTATCAAAATGCAATTGCAAGAGCAAGAGCAGGAGAAAGAGAAACAAGCTATGAGTGAAGAACTGGCACGTCTCCAGCTCGGGAAACAGAAACTCCAGAGGATAAACGAAGGGTTGAAGAAGAAACTGGAAGAGAGCCATAAGAAGCTAGAGACTGTTGAGTCACAGCTCAGTATGGAAAACGAGGGGCTCAAGGATACCGTACGACAACAGCATGAGGATCTCAAAGACTACGTAGATCGCTTCGGCAAATGGACTCAGGACGAAAACAACGTCAAGAAACTTTGCAAGAATCAGCACGTGTTTCCATACACGAAGGTGAAGGTCCTGATGGCAATCTGGAAGTCAAATGATCGGGAGGCCTTCACGAAAGGAATGGTTGAGGGCTTGGGCAGGGTATTCAAAGATAACTACAACTATGAGGTCAACTACTTCAAGATTCCTGATCAGGATTCGAGTACTGCTCTGTCAAAATGGGTCTCAGATTTCATTGATGGCTCGCCAGAAACACTGCTCATCTTCTATTATACCGGTCATGGGGGCATATATTCAAAGGGTGGTGATACTTATAGTTCCTGGTCAGGGTATGGGTTCGTTTTAATCCGCATTGCCGATCATAGCTAACTGAATTTGTAGAACAACTACAAGTCCAACCATTGCAGCGAGCCCTATTCAACGCCTCTTCGAGGAAACTGAGTCGGATGCGCTGCTGCTATACGAGTCTTGTCATTCCGGGACTGGACGCACAAGTGCATCAGCAACAGTTCGTGGAGTCACTGAGGTAATAGGCTCTTGTGGATTCGAAGGCTATTCCTACGACAGCAAGAATAACTTTACGCATGCGCTCATTGAATATCTCAAGACTGCGTCAAAAAACGCTGTCCCTCTCTCCGTTTCAGAAATCCACCATGCCGTTTTGTCGAAACTAAAATCTAGATCAAGGCCGCAAACTAAACATATCACAACCCCTGTTCATTGCAAATTGAGTTACGAAACTAAGGGGGACATTATCATTCACCCGTTGGATCTTACGAGTTACCCAAAACGAAATGCCCAGGAAGTTGCCTTCGACACGGAAGGTGGTTTTGATCACCCTGAATGGCATAAATTGGTGTCGGAGGCGCCGGTGGAAGCGAGTGAAGTATTCTTCTCACAACCTAGTTTGGCTAGGGACGATGCATCCATGTTCGAGGAGGATGAGTGCTACCAGTCTCTCGTAGACTCTATGGTTGGGGATCCTGAAGCTATGGATGTGGATGCTGAGAAAATACTTGAGGTGGGGATGATGAGCCAAGCCACGGACAACTCAACGCCTACAATGGCTACTAAGCGGAAGGCCGAGCAAGACCCGGATAGTGACATGCGTTATCACCTTCGTCGTAGGCTTTGATCATTGATATGGGGAAGACAGCCGCCTTTGGAACATCTCAGAGTCGGACACCAAGAAGGCGGTCGAGACTTGCCTGGAAACAGAACATTAGATCGACATAGAGGCAGGGCTTCGCTTTTGTTGAACTTCTCTGGCCGCTCCAATCCCGCGCTCAACGCCCACACAGTCCACTCCGCCATCAATGCCACGAAGAATGCTAGCCACATTCGAACCACGATGATTTTCTCTCGGGGGGTGCGGTGCATTGATACAACGGACGCATGTCAGAACCGAAAATTTCAGCTACGTTTTGCCATATTTCGAACCATAAATTTTCATTCGTCTCCTGTCGTATCACCTCACATATATTTTAACCAACGGAGAGAACACCTTATGCACTGGGGAATGAATATCTTTGAGAACTAGAAACACCACTTCCCCGGGAATCTAGCGGAGACAGGACCGCAAATGCATTTGTTAACAGGATGGTTTATTCGTTTTTAGTGTTAGGACTGGGTAATAGACTGAATGATGATATTGATATTCTGTACTTAGGTAGCTAGTAATAACAGCATATTTCTTCAAAATGAGACCAATTACTCTTGGTAACTCTATATCCTCTTAAATATTAAATCGAGCATAGATCCCTTCTACCTGGGATGTAATACTACGCGCCGCTTTTTTCATCAGCGCATCTCCCGCCCCTTCATTCGCTGAGCCGCAAGAACTACCAACACCCCCCCCTTTTTCCCACCAACTAAAAAGAATCTAGCGGGAACAAGTCCGCAATTCTCTGATACCCCTTCCCATTAGGATGCAAATAATCCCCACCATCATAAAGGGGATTCAACCTGTCCACATGCGCCGGATCCCTCAGCCAAGCATCAAAATCCATCACATCATCGAACGTCCCGCTCTCCCGAATCCACTTATTAACTCTCTGCCTAGTCTTCTCGCGCTCCTTATCGCTATACGGCTGTATCGTCTCATTCCCTGGCGCAGCACTAAATGGCGTAATCGTCGCCGCGAAAATAGTGATATCGAAGGTCTTTAATCGAGTAGCCATTTGCGAGTATGCTGCAATGAGGCGGTCGCCGAGGTTTTTCTGCGCAGCGGGTGAGACGGACTCGGTTCCAATGTCGTTTACTCCTGAGAATATCATGGCGTACTCTACGCCAGCTTGGGCGAATACATCGCGATCGAGGCGGGCGATGGCGTTGGGCCCCAGTCCATCGTTGAGGATGCGGTTTCCGCCTGCCGCTTGGTTTACAACTGCAATGTTGGATGTGGAGCCACGTTTTTGCATCCGGGAGAGGAGGCGGTCGGGCCAACTGGAGAGGGAGTGAGTTAGTGATGATTGGGGGGGAAATGGATCATAGAGATGTCTAACCGATTGTTCTGGTCGTTGTCGCTGCCACGGCCGTCGGTGATGCTGTCTCCAACTATAACAAAAGTGCTTGCCTCTTTAGAAGCAGTAACTTCGACGTTGCTCAGGAAATACCTAAACAACAAAGGGGGTTAGCCATTATGCCACTCTCCAATATCCTAAACAAGGAGTGTTGTATATATTTACCAATGGGCAGCATTAGCAAGAGACTCCCCACTCAACGCCGCCTCCTTAACCTGATTCCCAAAAGTCCACCAACTCGTAGTTCTACTACCTGGGTGGCTGGTAATCATATTGGTCTGCTGACCCCCGCTCAAATACAGAGTAACCGTCAATATACTCTCCGGCTTAACTGGGAAATCAATTGGATCCGATACCACAAGCCCCCCTTGTGGGACAGTGTAATTGGCACTCCCGCTAAATGTTACAGTTTTTAATGTATGGGCTTGGATTTCTTTGATGCCGGCTGAGCCATTGACCGGAAGTGCGACGGTTACAGAGGTTATTGGGAGATCGGTAATTCCAAAGGCGTTGGAGAAGCGGAGTCGGATTTTGGAGCCGCCTATGGAGGTATGGATTGTCTGGCGGATTGTGGAGTTGAAGAATACCTGGCCGGTTTCATTCTTCAAGATAGGATTAGATTTTTTAGTGCATGATTCGGGGAATCTGTAGTTCAACTCACAAATGGTGCTGAAGGTAGATTTCCTGGCTCTGTAAGTTGCGGCATAGTACCCCATGTTGGGATCCAACGGTCGGAATTGTGACGACGGCCATCTATACCTTGGAAAACGGCCAATAGGCACGTAGCGAGGAAAAATACATTCATTCGGAACGCCATTTTGACTACAACTTGGGGCGAAGGAACGGGAACAGAAGTTGAAAAGTAGATATAAATTAGAAGACGGGGACTCTTATAACTAACCTCCATCATTTTCGCGTCCCAGCAAATATCTAATCTAAATTGGGATGAGGGGAAGGAATAATATTAAGCCGGTGCTCTAATATACAGGCTGAAATAAACACGGGAAGAGACGCGGCGGCGATCATTAAAAGGAGGGACTATCTTGGAAGTTTTCCTTTCATCCGTATGAACTCCAGGCTCCAACAGTTGCAGAGTGGTGTAATGATGTTCATTCTCATGGAGATGGGTGCTGATGTACCTGCGTTATCGCCACGAGGTTATCCTTGCCTCATGCCTAGTTAGATGTCTCGTGTCGATGTTACTTTATTATTGACAGGTATTTGTTTTCTTGGCAAAATCCGAGGTATTGGTTCTAAAGCGGAGTTGTTGACTTGAAAAGAGCCGCGGATTTATCCACAGTAGCTTAACCAGTAGCGGGATAGTGATATCAACCCTAGGTTGAGATGCTCTCCTACACTGCTGGCACTCGCCAATCTACGTCACCGAGGTTAGCCAGGCTTATTAGAATAGTATCCAGCGTAATTTTGCCTGGCTTTAATTGTAGCCGCAGGAGGGGCGACAGCACGTTTTATATTATTGATACAACACGAAGTCACAGCAGATACGAGGAACGCAAGATAGTGTAGCATTTTTTGCATTTGATTCTTTATCCCAGCCAGTCTGCGCGCTGATCTCCACTAAGATACATGTTTTAGAGAATTATGCTAGGGCAACGTTGCGCATGACCAACCAACCAATTCAACTCCAGAAAATTCCCGCACAAACGCGCAAAAATTAAAAGTGAAGAATCTAGTCGACCTCCTCCATGGCGGTCTCAGCAGGGGCATCGGTTATCGCCTCATCAACTGCCTCGGTAACCTCTGGCTCCTCATCGACATTCAAGCCGAGAGAGACAAGCTTGTGGATGCGCTCTGCAAATCCAGCAGGCTCTTCAATAGTGAAGCCGGAAACGAGGAGGGAGGTCTCGAAAAGCAGTTGGGTGATCGACTTGACGGTTCGGTCGTTCTCACCATCAGTCTCAACCTTCTTCTTGAGCTCCTTGATGATTGGGGAGCGGGGTGAGATCTCAAAGGTCTTCTTGGAGGACATGTAAGAGCTCATTGAGGTGTCACGGAGAGCTTGAGCCTTCATGATACGCTCCATGTTGGCGGACCAGCCGAATTGGCCAGTTCTGATGGCGCAAGGTGCACCGATGAGCTTGTGGCTGACAACGACCTTCTCGACCTTGTCACCCAAAACGTTCTTGAGTGCCTTGGTAAGATCCTCATACTCCTTCTCCTCAGCCTCGCGCTGGGTCTTCTCCTCCTCGGTCTCCTCAAGCTCGAAGTCCTTGGTGATATCAACGAGCTTCTTGCCCTCGAATTCTTTGAGCTGAGTCATGGCATACTCATCAATAGGGTCAACCAAGAATAGAACCTCGAAGTTCTTCTCCTTGAGAGACTCAAGGAAAGGTGACTTCTGAACGGCCTTGAGGGACTCGCCAGTGATGTAGTACATGTTCTTCTGGTGCTCTGGCATGCGGGTGACATAGTCGGAGAGGGAGGTGATGTCATCGCCTGACTTGGTGGAGCTGAATCGGAGGAGTTTGGCAAGAGCCTGTCGGTTTTGCGAATCCTCGTGGATACCGAGCTTGATGTTCTTGCTGAACGCAGTGTAGAACTTGTCGAACTGCTCCTTATCCTCGGCGATCTCGGCGAAGAGCTCAAGAACCTTCTTGACGATGTTCTTCTTGATGACCTTCATGATCTTGTTCTGTTGAAGAGTCTCACGGGACAAGTTCAATGGAAGATCCTCTGAGTCGACAACACCCTTGACGAAGCTCAACCACTCAGGAATGAGATCGGTGGCATCATCAGTGATGAAGACACGGCGGACGTAGAGCTTGATGTTGTTCTTGGTCTTCTTGGTCTCGAAAAGATCGAATGGAGCGCGCTTGGGAACGAAGAGGATTGCGCGGAACTCGAGTTGACCCTCAACGGAGAAGTGCTTAACCGCGAGATGGTCCTCCCAATCGTTGGAGAGGGACTTGTAGAAGGATGCATATTCCTCGGGGCTGATATCTTGAGGATTGCGGGTCCAGATTGGCTTTTGCTTGTTGAGCTCCTCCTCCTCGATCTTGGACTCCTTGATCTTCTTGGTCTTCTTCTCCTTCTTCTCATCTTCATCCTCTACCTCCTCAATCTTGGCCTTCTTCTCGTCATCATCCTCTCCCTTGGTCTCTTCCTCATCCTCATCAGGAACCTCAGTCTCGGTCTCCTTCAAGACATGGAGATAGATTGGGTATGAAATGAATTCGGAGTGCTTCTTGATGACCTCCTTGATCTTTGCTTCGTTCAGGTAGTCGGTCTGCTCATCCTTCAGGTGGAGAATGATCTTTGTGCCACGTCCAAGAGGCTCGCCCTCGGTGTCTGGGGTGAGGGTGAAAGTGCCACCAGCGCTGGACTCCCAGATGTACTGCTCATCATCATTGTTCTTGGAAACAACGGTGACGCGGTCGGCAACGAGGTAGGCAGAGTAGAAACCAACACCGAATTGACCAATCATAGAGATATCAGCACCAGCGGTGAGAGCCTCCATAAATTGCTTGGTGCCTGATCGTGCGATCGTGCCCAGGTTGTTGACGAGATCCTAGTTTACAAAGTCAGCAAGATCGCTCTTCAACAGCCATTTTGAACAGATTATCTTTTCACTTACGGCCTTGGTCATACCGATACCGGTATCGCGGATGGTGAGGGTCTTGTTCTCCTTGTCTGGGATGATGTCGATGCGGAGATCCTTGCCGGACTCGAGCTTGCTCGGGTCGGAGAGGGCCTCATACCGGATCTTGTCGAGAGCATCGGAACAGTTGGATACGAGTTCTCTCAGGAAGATCTCCTTGTTGGAGTAGACTGTGTTGATAATGAGGGAGAGCAGCTGAGAGATCTCAGCCTGGAACTCGAAGGTCTCGCCAGACATGATGGCGGTATTATCTTATCGTAAGATCTGAAAGAGAATTGGACGTTAGCAAATGGCAGCCGACTGAATTCTTGCCTTTGTTGATGAGATGAGATAGGGTCAATTGAGATACTGCAGAAGGTAGCAGCCCAGCTTCGTGCAAGATCTGCAATGCGGTGAGGCTGACCAGAGCTTCAGGCAGAGCTATGCTGTGCAGGCGGCAACGAGAGTCGGAATGGAATATAGATAGATCATGCAACTTACCTAGAGGGGTTTATTCTAATTCGTGAAGTCGTAAAGGGCGAGATAGTGTACACAAGCTGAAGTGCGGGTATCGTATTGTGGGTTGGAGGATGGAGAAAGAGAATTTGTGTTTGGAGGAAGATGGAGATTGGTGGTGGTGGAAAAAATATACTGCACGCAGTTGTTTACGGGGCTTCGATTCGATTCGATTCTGCGCTTTTCTTAGCGCCGTTGCTATAGTCGCAAGCTGTTCTCGCGCCGCGCCCCTTTTTGCAGCCTCGTTTCTAGAGCCTTCCACCAGCCACACCCAGCTTCCAGAGGGCTTCCTTCGTAGAGAGGAATGCTCGATGTCCGCAAACCACAGAGTCAAAGAATGAAGGCGATATACTGTATATAATATATCATTCTTTGCAAAGGCAGTACTCGCACGGAGGCAAAATTCGGTCATCGATGCTGAGACTAAGGTAAGGTAAGGTACATTGACGTGTCTGGTATCATGTGATCATACGCCGCAAGGGGCCATTTCAAGGTTTGCGATCTATCTATTGGAAAGACTCATTAATCAAGGCCATAAAGCTCTAAATGGGTGTGTGCCCGACTCCTAAATTGTTAACGGCATCCCCATCGCTATCATTGTGCCCGTTCTCCAGAGCAAGTGAAACACCACACAGCGGCCTGGAGGTCCGACAGACAGAGTGAGGGACATTTATGTGGTCTGGCCCTTCGAATCGCCCTAAGAACGGCACTGGTGGCACTGTCAAGGAGTCTCCTAGGAGTCGTATGACGCTCTAAAGTTAGAGTTCGGTCGTTCCTATAACCCTCAATGAGTTGGGCCCTTATTGTATTTGTGTTGAAGAACTATATTATCATCATCTAACTCCTTTCATGGTCTATTAATTGTCATCGTCATTATCTTCTTCTTCCAACCCCAACTCTATACTCATTTCATAAATAATATCCCCCATTCTCTCTAGATCTGGGTTCCTCGGCCCGTCATATAGCAGGACACCCTCTTCTGCCTGGTAAGCCCATCTCAGAGCTTCCCACTTCTTGCCCGCTTTCTTGTACGCTTTCGCAGCCCACACCCACACATCGGAAATATGGGCGTACAATCTCTCTTGCTCATACATACTTACCATCGTCTCTATCATTTCAACCTCCGGGACCTCACCATCCTTCTTTTCACCACTAAAATTTATGCGTAGCTGGTCCCAGATCCGATTAATGGTAGAGATTCGACCGTCTGATGCATCAGTCAGGAGCGGTGTTTGTGAGCAGTGAGAGCAAGTGCACTCAAAGCCCCATGAATTTTGTATCCGCACTTGCCGATCTGCTCGTGATTCTAGAGGATCAATATCTGATAGTTTAAGTCCACAATCAGTATATGTTTCTAACTCTCCGAGTCTACATTTTGATGCCTTACAAGTGACTGTGATCTCTTCTCCCGCGTTTATTGTGCGCGATGCATGCGTATAATGGACGAGGGTTTCCGAGTCAAAGTAATACATCGTACTAGAGAGTAAAGATTAGTTATTAGCGGATGATTCTTCTCTAAGAATGGGGGTTTGGATGTAAAGCTCACTTCGGCCTGCAATCATGATTCATCCTCTACCCCGCGTTAGCTTGTTGTTTCTCCAACCTTCGTCGCCAATCCTCGAGTGATCGACTTACCGCTGTCTCTGGCACTACAATGCTATGCTCCTCGCCTCCGAAATCCTCTGCAAATGCATTCACATCCAGCTTCCCTACAAGGTCATTTTTCGCTCCTGCCTTCCCAATCATTGCATTCACCCGCTCCCTGGCATCGTCTGGTAGTTGATCCACCCCTCGCTCGATCAATGTCGTCCTCAACTCATACTCTTCCATCTCCATATCCAAAAATGCATCATTATGGAATATGCCAACGATTGGACGGGCGAAAAGACGCTCGCCGCGGAAGATAGTTCTGTTTGCGATGACGCCCATCCCCTTCCCTTGAACGTATTTAATCTCAAATGGCGGGGGTGCGCTTTGAAATAGTTTTGGGGCGGCTCCCAAATTGAACACTGGCATCGACATGATTTGTCTTGCAATGGATGGTTTCGTTAGGACGGAGATGCCTCTTCCGTCATAAAAGGAGGTGGATGTGAAGAGACAGTATGGTTCTCCTTGCTCTGCAAGCAGTGATTCCGCTCCCCAAGACGTTCTAGTTGGCGTATCATAGGATTCTGGTAACCTTGTACATAGGGGGATGTGCGTCGAGGAATTCTCGGCACCGGCTGGCCATTTTATAGGCTCCGTGGAAACCTTCGGGCAGGTGTGAAGAGAATCAGCCAGCGGTACATAGTTGTGTTGGTCATGGCGCTGGTGATTGAGGGACAAGAGTGCTATTTGGCCAGCTTGAGCATGCAATTGACAAATATGGTTGCTTCCGTTGTAGTGCCCTGGCCCATCGACGGAGTATTTCAGTCGCAGATCGCTTCGTCCTCCAAATTCAATTTCGCTCCCTCCTGCCAGCACCGCTGTCACGCCCAGCACCTCGATTACGAACAGGTAATTGAAAAGCATAATCGCCAGCGATCTTGAATGCAAACGTCGGTATCAAAGAAAGAAGGAAAGAAAATTAGGAAATGGGATGTGATTGTAGCAGTAGAGTAGAAGCTCTACTCTAGATTCATAGAGGAAATGGAAGGAACCTTAAGCAAGTTAAGGTTAACACAGTAGACCCATCCAGCCCGGTCTTTGCAGGAGTGCATAGACCTGCGACACACATGGGGCTTCACCTGCCTATCGCACGCTTCGGGGGCGTTGTATCAAACATCTCTGCCCCGGGTTTCGCGTTTCAAGTCGCCGGAGTCAGGTTGCTATGACAGAGGGTATTTCCCGCACAGTGTTCCAATTATAGCGCATTCTTAGGCGACCTTAGTGCAAAACTCTTTTTCGCCAGTATTATACGGCCCAACGGCTATTACCTAGATATAAATCTGATATCGTGTAAATATCTTACTAGAATTGAGATATTCAGGTTATATAAATATCTAACCGAAATTAAGATATTTACACTATCTAGATTAGTGTATAGAAATACTATAGAAGCTCGATATCGGAGATATATATAGGTACATAGGGTAGGTACCTAGGTAAAGGCTGTAGGTGCCTGATATTTCTAGCGAAAAGCGCTTTGCACCAAATTCGCCCAAGAATGTGCCATATACCGAGCCTTCGACAACATATTCTCCCCCTCTCGTTTCCATTGCATCTTATAATCAGAGTTGCGAGGCTGCGGACTTGGACAAGCATGTCCCATCGAATCGGCTTTGCAAAACAAACCAGTGACTACCAAAATGGGGTACTGCTGCGTCTGCGGACTGGATCTGAATGGTTCTGGCGATCCCGCCCTTGGCTTGGGTGATGTTCAGTTCATTAATGGTGATGATGAGATGATTCACGACGGGGAGGCGGACGACTTCTCCCCGGAGCTGCTTGACGTTCGTATGCTTCCGCATATCAAGAAAGTTTGAAATCGATGTTGACGGCGCTGACAGTGGACGCAAACCGGCCACTGTGCCCTCGGCAAGGAGTCATTCGAGTAAGTTACGGGGTTTCAAAACCTTGGGTATTACATTCCTAATAGGGAATTAGACTGGGTAGCAACCGGTCAGATGTATTTGACTGCGTGTTTACCACTTTACAAGGCGAGGAGGTGGCCATTAAACGCCATCTTTCCTTCAATTCTGAAGATGACGAATACCTGCCAGAAGATTATGATTTCCAATGGTTTCCCGTCCATTTCCGATGCCTTACGCTTGTAGAATACGTTCTAGGTAGTAGGTTACGGTTAGAGCCCAACCGACCGATCTCAAGTTTGGCTGTCATTCAGCGCTTCTACCAAATTCTATATCTCCTCCGCAAAGACTTACGGAAAGCAAGACCTCCTCATGGGCTCTGCTACAAGGGTGTTTTATGGAGCCATGGATACTACGGGGCTCTCGGCTCTTGGTATTACCACTATAACTACTGGGATTTCCTGTCTGCAGACCCTTTCAACATTCCAAATCTAACAGAATACGTGCTCTCAAGCTTGAAGACCTTTGTTATAAAGGAATCAGAGCCTCAACTGGAAGTAGTCACACTCCCCCCAAGATCGGACCAGGGTATCAAACGTTCAACACTACAGATGTTTCCAATGGAATTGCTCAACAGGATAACATCAAATCTACCATGCTCATCGATCCTCCGACTCCATCGCACAAGCCGCATCATGTCCAATCGTCTACCTGTCACCCAAAGCTTCTGGCGAGATCAACTGCTTTCTGGAAATTTGGTACCCTTCCTTTGGGATCTCGATGCTACAAAGTGTCGTGAACTACAGCGCAGCTTACGGAGGGGATTGGGACTTGACTGGAGAACGCTAGTTCGTAACTTGATAGAGCACCAGTTCATCGAATGCGCCGTGCAAAGATTGCTCAAGGTACCCTTAAGAGGTCATTTGGTTGCCCGCTACACAGCATTCTGGGAACAGTTCAGCGCGAACCCTAAGAGGACGATGACTGGGCCTGCTAAGACACCCCCAGGATTGATTAATCGGATACGGATGATGAAGATCATTAACGATGCAATAGAACTTGGGGATAGTACCGCTGCATCAAAGGTCTCATGAGGCTAATCTCAAATCACCTTTGCCTTATATATGTAGAGTCTTTTAACAATATTTGGTGAAGTTGGAGCTCATTCGTGAACCGCAGGTTCAGTTTTGGCATATGTTGCGGGGTAAATTATGCCATAACTCCAGATGATATCAATATTAGAGTGATTGGAGCACAAGACACTATTTCTTATCAACATTCGCTTTACCTCTTCTGTTCTGCGTATTGCATTACACCATTCCTTCTCCCACAGTAGCAGCCATACCTAAGTTACTTCATCAGATAATCCATCATTGAGTTGGAGGCTGTCAGATCTCGCCCCTCTGTTCTGTAAAGGTGGTTTCATCGATGGCAAAATCTCCTCGTAGATATGTTCCACTCCACGGTTTCTATCTTTCATACTTCCTTCTGCGTCACAATACCCGAGTTTTGATGCAAGAGCCACTAAGTGATACAGGATGTCTGATCTTAGTTGAGAGAATGAGTGGAATTCTCGCTCGTTTTAAGTTTTGACTTTCCTTCTATCTTTCTCTAAATTTCTATAGCTATCTGCGAATGGGATACGGGCAGGATATACGGAAATATCCCCGTTCTAGATCAAAAACCACCGCTCAGAACGGTAGAGGTAGTTGGCGATGCAAGTTACAGCATTTGTCTAAGATCGAATATATAAAACGTACAACGACGGAAAGTAATTAGAGCAGTATCGGGAAGACATGAAACTAGGTTATGATAATTGCACCGGGCTCTACAGCAATCAATCCGATTATATTTCTGGTCGATTTGAGAGATATCCGATCACTAGGCCAACCTAGTGTGTAAAGGCAGATCTAAGTTGGAACAACGCATTCAACTTGACATCGCGGTACTCAGCTTTGTTATTGGAACAACAGTTTTGAAATTGATATTACTGATCCTGTCCCATACAATATGTTTATATACAAAGAGCGAACATCGCAGTTCTCTGACAATGAAGCACGGATGACTGGTTCCTCAAGCTTGATACTTCACCAACCCCCCCTCCCCCCGACCTTCTATTGGTTGGAATATATTCCTCCTTTCCTATCCATGCAACCGCAATTCTAGCAATTTAAAAGTTCCAGAACCTCGATCTCGCGAGCTTAGGTGCAGCAGCCACCGCATCAACAATTGCGAAATCGACACATGATTCGTAAGTCTGCCTAGCTCCCGTACCGTACCACCACCATTGGAGGACCTATTGATGAAACTGGCGTTAGTACTAGCTTTCTAACCGCCATGGGTTTTCAAGATGCCAGTTCCCATCCTCCCCAAAAATTCGAAAGGGTAAGAGGTAAGGAGGTTAAATAGCTAGGAGTACTTACACAATCTCCAGCAACACGGCACTTCCCCCCAAGATCTGGCACTGTCACCGAGAAACTGGTTTGGTTCGCTGGGTAATTAGGTTTCACCTTCTCATCCGCGTAGTCCCCCCAATACAGCAGGTTACTGCCCCCTTCGACATAGGTGTCTGTCTTGGTATCAACGATACTAATATTCGCCGTGCCCTTATGTGGAATCCGGATATAAACATCAATGGGAACCTTTTGTCCTGTGGTCCATTGCTGCACGTTGTCCTTATTATCCCCGAATTGAAGACCCTTGCAGAGCCATAGGTTGCATTGGTCGGCGTGGTAAGCCTTGTCTTTGGCTGCGGCTTCGGGAAGCCCTTCCACGTGTGACGTGTTGTCACCTTTGATGTTATTGACTACGCTGGCACCACAAGCGGCAAGGGAAGCTGCGCCAGGTGCACGAGAATTGGGCTTGGTGATGAGACCGTGGGAGAGAACGGTAGTTGCCAAAGCTGCAACGGTGCTGACTGAGAGGAGACGCATGATTGTGAGGGGATGGAAATTTTGGTAGGGTAAATGTTGTTATAGAAGGATGGAATTAGAGGTTGAAGCTTATTCTCGTGAAATAAAGGAGATGGAGCTGCTGTAGTATACTTATACCTCGCCGGGAGTATTTCCCTTCCTTCAACTTGCTATAAAGATTCGGCGTTTTTCGGATCAGGCTGTGCATGCAACCGGTACTTGAGAGGGGAAGCCAAAAGGTTAGATGTCACTTGACTGGCGGTCAGATATAATATGGACGGCACATTGGAGCCGGAATTGATGTTTCCGTGCGGTCGACTACAGTGAGGGAGCATTTCGTTCCCGTTGAGTTCGTGGATATAGATTGCAATTTGCTAACCCGCCAGGGTCCCGCATCGGATGTACCCCGTCATCAAGATGCTTGGTACGGAGTATTAGATCTCAGATTAACAAGCATTTGGGGTTAGAATAAAGTTATCCGTAATCGCTAGGAAGTGTCATTCCAGTATAGGATAAAGAGCACCATGACAAATTCTCTCGTCATTTATCCAGATTGACACTTGCCGGCCAAGTCCTCATGACTGGGGAAACAATTGAGCCGCGTCAATCTTCCTAAAACTTTTGTACATTCATCCTGGCCCATAGAAAACTTCTGACGAACGCTTCCGCCATCCTTCACGTTACATTTGCACATACCGAGATACCATCCATCAAGAAGTAAACCCTGCCGCTAGGCAGGTTATTAATAAGCCTTATCACACGAAGTCGCATCGCTCGCAAGGCGATCTAATTATTGCCGCAATCTCTACGTTGTAAATGTGGATAGTAAAAGAAGAATGCTAAAATAATATAGCGTTTGCCAGTGGGCTGTACTAACGACCCCAAGCAAAGCAGTAGTAAACCGTAGATAAGTCGTGCGAAAAGTGCTAAACGCAACTCCCGGAAGTTTCGATATTCCTCGAAAGAAAAGAGCCATGTCAAGAGATATACAGAGTAGGTCTCCTTACAACGTCCCTTGACTTTTGTGTTCGGTTGCCGGAGTAGTGGTGACGAGGTGAAGGAGTGGCAAGGCAGGAACTGAATTTTGAGACCCTAGTGCGCTGATAACATTGTATTATGTACTACCTTAAGTATACGGGCTGCGCTCGGTAAAGTAGGTACCACCGTACGACGACATGCGTATGTTTCAGATCAAGAAAACTCTCGCTCGAGCCCCGTCCATCACAGAACTCAGGGCGCTATGGACCAATCAATTCAGTTCACGGATGAAAGAAAATCGAAGGAGAGTTGAACTATATGTCTAATAGTCGTAAGAGCCTAAGAGATCACATACAGAGTGGTATAGTAAGGTAGGATTTCATTCATTTTCTTTTATTGTCGACCTATCTATGCCTTGTGACGTAGAAAGAGGCAAACTCTCAAAATGAGAAAACGCCCCCTTCTCTGTCTGATGGCGGAAGATCGAACTAAGTTGGCATAACGCAACCCCGTATGTCTGGATAGCCTTCCTGTTTTGCGGCTTCCTTCCATATCTCAATGCGAGCCGGAACCATTTGCAAATAACCTCTCTAAAGCTGCACTATTTCTCCACCATTCCACGACCCACCACCTGCTCGCTCACGGCATGTAGCATCCAGCAGCCATAATCAAGTTCATTCTCGTAAACTTAACCTTATAGACTGGTGTCTTTTTGGTTGGGAATGCGCTAATTTGATCAGGAGTGATAGTAATTTCCTTCCCCTTCTTCTTGCTACCAACTCCAGCTGCAGTAGTAGGTTGTGATCCAGCAGCAGCGGCGCCAGTGATTCGAGTTGCATCTGCCTGTCCTCCAGTACCAATAACCTCGCTACCACCATCCTTGTATGGATCGGTAGGAACTTCGACATCCCAAACGCGAACAGTGCCATCGGCACCTCCAGACACTAGAACAGTGGATTCGACGCTGAAGGAGAGTGACCAGATTCCACCTTTCGCATGGCCTCGGCACCGCTTGATTTGAGTACCCTTGGCAAGATCCCAAAGAATAATGCTTCCTCCAATATCTGCCGACGCCAATATCTTTCCGTTTGGACTGCATTCGAGGCTGGTGACGTTCTCCGTATGGCCTGTAAACACTCGGACGCAATCTCCAGTTGTAAAGGCCCACATACGGACGGACTTGTCAACTTGGTCACTGGCGGAGAAGACATAAGCTCCATTTGGATGCCAGGCGACCTGACTGACGCTTGAATCGTGACCGACCATCATGCGGAGGTAGGAAATGTGATCCTGGGCCCAGACTCGAACTGTATGATCCCAGCCGGAAGTTGCGAAGTAATGGCCAAACGGTCCCCAGCGTACATTCCAGACTGGACCCTCATGGCCCTTGTAAACAACTAGGCAAGTCCAAGTCTCGAGGGACCAAAGACGAACGGTCTTGTCAGATGATGAGGACAAGAGGAGTCTCGGGGCAGTCGATGGTACAGTGTCGTCGGCATCCTCGGGACCGAGGATTGAGGGAGAGAAGGAGACACTGTAAACGGGGGCAGAATGGCCAATAAGACGGCGGGAGCTTGGCTTAGTTGTATCACTCGGCCGAATTGAAGTGAGAACATCGCCATGCAGGTTCCAAACACGGATATAAGACTCCTCGGTACCGACAGCAGCAAGGTTCGTATCATCAGAAAATTCGATGCAGGTGATACTATTTGTATATGAGCATGGCCAATACTTGCTTGGATAGAGGGCAGCTTACCTGTCAAGTGTATTATGGAAGGTAAAGATGCAGACAGAAACGCCAACTCCAACCCCGCCGGTGCGACCCTCAATCCTAAAGCGGTCTCTATTTTCTTTGACCTTCTGAACCTCCATGACGACGTCTCGAGCACGCGATGGTGGCAATGGAATTTCATTGCGGCTGGGTGCATCGGTGCTTTCTTCGCGTTTAATGTTCTGATCAAATTCCTCAACCAAGGAAAGCTGACCAGGTCCGGGTGCATGCTTGGCATCTTCCTCCTCCAACTCAGCTCGAACATCTTGTGCAAGTTCGGGCTCCATCGGCATCATGCCCAGTCGGAGAACGTAAGTGGTATTCATCATATCCCTGTTGATAACCCCAGTGAATGCTCCCGGGATGCCTTCTTGAAAATCCGGCTCGTCGCCCTCAACACCCTTAGATTGGTTGATGATAGCCTCAAAGCTGAATTGGTCGATAGGGCCTCGGCTGGTTTCGCGCACTTCGCAGTACGTCTGCAGGAGGTAGAGAATCACGGTACCACCAACCTTGCCGTTAGATTCCAGGAAGGTGACAAGATTGTAATAGCAGTGGATGTTGAGTGGTATGCGGTACTTGTTGTCCAAATAGAGCTTGGTGGTAGTGTTCTCAAGCACGTGTTGAGGTAACTTGACGGTCTGAAAAATTTGGAGTTCGTCATGGTGATTCTTTTCAAAGCGGTGAGAGAATTCCCGGAACAAACTTTCCCCAGCGGTGGCGAAGCCATGAACTATTAAGTCGAAGTATGAATAAACGAACATCGGCCATAGAAGCCGGTGTAATTCAAACTGCTTCATTTTAGTATGACGATGACTAGTCCATGGGGTCACAAAAGCTCACTTTGTAGACGTCGAGGTTTGAATCGACCCAATTGCTGAGTAAGTGAAAGGCTCTCGCGAATTTAGCAGTACCCAAATCCTCGACTCTCTCGTGGATGGGCTTGCCATCTTTGTCGAGATGCGATGACTCTTGGCGGAGGGTCTGCTCAGTCTTGGTGTAGCCCTTTTTGATGAGGTACTCGATCACCTGTTTGTCAATTTTAGCTTGTATTTCTTTGTCGCTAAGACCTTTCATTGAAGTTGAAGCCATTTTAGACATGTAGAATGCTGGGATGTAAAGGGTTAAGGAGGGTTGAAACGTGAGGAAGCCGACGACCAAATAGTGGAGTGGCAACAGGTTTGGGAAGGAGCAGGCTCGAGTGAAAAGCAAAGAGGACGCCCAATGGACACAGAGATCTCGGCGGAACAGAGCGGCGACTTCATAGCGCTCATGATTCAGCGACAAGAGCCCCCCCCCCTCCCCCCCTTGACTTGACAAGCCTTTCCATAAACAAAAAGTAACAGCGAATGCTACAAGACAGCATATACGGTATAAGTTGTTTGCCAACCGCAGCAGGGCAGTGGGTAAAACAGTAGGAGGGTTTGCTAGCGCACATATTTGAGGAGGCTGTTCTGTTTTCAATGGCTGTCTTGATGCGGAGAGCATGGTTGCACAACCATATATGATCTTATCACAAAACAGTCCCACTTTGCAGGAAGGAAATGGAAACCACATAAGGCTGCACTTCCTGAGCCCTTTATTCCTTATTCCAGGTCTGGGCCACTTTGCTGAGGCTCAAGTGAAATAGCATATTGTGGTTTGGGATACCAAAAACACAACAAAATTGCTTTGTCTAGTACAAAGTCCCAAATATGGCTAATATCAGGCTTACTTCTGCACTTGCTTCCGTTGAGAACGATGTAGCAAAGTATTCTCGGCATGTTCTGTGCTCAATAAATTCATGTTTAGGAAACCGGAGATCTTACTATTTGATTTAGATTCTGTGATGACATGTTTTGGCCTTGTGAAGGCTGCCCTTGACCACTGGGTTGGTGCTGGATCCCCATTCCAGCACTTGGAGGACCATTGGCCGGAGGCGGATGATTCGACATGATGGCACCGTCCGCTTCACAATTCGCAATTCATCACTGATCTGTCGCTCACAGTTTAAACGAATCCCTCCGCACCCCCCCCAGTACACCCGATACAGGAAGGGATAAAAGAGTTCTTTGCCCGGTAATTATGTCCTAGGCTAGATGTAGATGCGCAACGTGGTAAATAGAATTTATGAAGACATGCAGGATGGATGCAATATGCTTTTCCGACTGTGCTCGATGTTGGGACCCTAGTCGCGCTAATGTACTTTCCCGCAGAGCCGCATACGAGTAAGGTAAGCGACTCCAGCTTCTTGGTCCCACGATCTCCCCACATTGCCTTAAGATTGACAAGCCTGAGAAGCTCTCTCTACTCAACGCTAACTACGCGCTCCCGGTCGTTTCCTCCTCCTAAGAACTATGTCTCTGCTGGTTTCCGGAGAAGCAGAACCTCCTGCCTTCAAGCCATTTACCAAAGCTGAACGAATCCAGCAGCTCAATGATATCGACAAGGTGAACAGGAAGAATGTCACGATGAGGAGAACTGTATCTAAATGTCTATAGAGCATAACCCAACTTCTCCAATCTGCTGGGCTGGCGCTCAAGACACTCACTTCCGCACAATCAGCGTCAAGGACATCCGAGCGTCGCGAAGCCTTTGAAACAGCCTCAAACGCCTATTTGAGAGCCCTTCGGACTGTCGATGTAGGGCTAAAGAGACAAATATATGGTTTAGAAGAGGCAGATATCATACCCGCCGAGAAAACCAAAGCCAAGGGGAAACAAACAGATGATGGCCCGGCAATGGGCAGCGCTCGCGCAACTGTACCTACCGAGGCAACTGTTGCCGAGGGCGGAATGGGGAAGTTGGATATTGGCTGGCTGAATAGTAGGAGCGGGCGAGTGGAGAGAGATATGGAAGCTGAACTCTGGGGAAAGGCGAGGGGTTTCGTGGAGGGCTTGGAGGGTTCCCAGAACGGATTATCTAACGATGCCGGAAAAGAGAGGACAGAGGGAGGCGAGGATGAATATATGGCCATCTGAGTAGATCTGCGCTCAACAACGTTGGCTTCAAGCACGGTATATGCGCATTGCGGCGAAGCGGGCGCTTTATTATTATAGATAATAAGCACTGTTTCCAAACTGTTGAAGACAAAACAACCATTTAGCTTTACCGAGGTACCTACTCTCTACGAGAGAGTTTAGTCTTGTTTAAGCACTTGAGTATAGCGATAACTTCTCAAGTATAGCCCGCTAATCTTGTAAAGCATTTTGATAATTCTATTGCTTTGTTTACCGCATTGGAGCTCAGCATGTGCTACATACTACGTACCTGCGCCACAGAGCCACAATCAGTCTTGGCGTTACGACGCAAGCCACCATCCCCCAGCCGATCGACCAGAAGCTCCAGAATCAACATTTCGCCACTTCACCTTGCTTCTATCGTCGCCCTCTACAATAATGGACATTGACGTCGGCGGAGATTCGCCCTGGGGCGGTATGTAAATCCCTAAAATCCTGAATCTAAATTAGAATCCCACAAATTGCTGACATGTGTTCGAAGATGTTCCTTCACAATCCCCCCCAACTGCCAAAGCTCCAGAAGGCACAGGTATGCAACGAATTCCGGCATACAAGTTCCTCTAACCCATTGTTAGACTCATCCTCGAAGTCGAAGGCGCCTGAGCCTCTCGAACCAGCCTCAACCCAAGCCATAAAATCGCCCTTAGGACGCGGACGACAACCGCGTACACCCCGCCGGGCAGTCGCCCAACAAGTACACCTTGAAGCACTCGATGATTCTCTAGGACCTTTGGGACCACTAGGCGACAATGCGCCAACGACGCAGCCGGATGAGCCCCCGATACCACCGCAGAAGGAGCAGGTGGTAACGCACAATATTAGGCAGCCTATGGCGTCTTCGCAACCTTCGATAGGTAGGAGCATGTTGGACTCTGTAGATTTGAACGAGGACCTCGAATCGGCCTCTACTGGGTCGAGGGTTCCGCCTCCAGTTCAACCTTCACAGGGCACCCCCGTGAAAAGAGAGACCCAGCCTAGTGTTACTATCGAGCAAGCTGCGAAGCCTACATTTGAGATTACGGTTGGGGATCCACACAAGGTTGGAGACTTGACAAGCTCGCATATTGTATATCTTGTTCGAACGAAAGTAAGATGCATTTTTCATAATATCGGACTATGTGAACTAATAGATTACAGACTACTTCAAAAGCCTATCGGCAACCTGAGTTTGCGGTTACCCGGCGATACCGGGATTTCTTATGGCTTTACAATTCTTTGCATGCGAGCAACCCCGGAATCGTCGTTCCCCCGCCACCAGAGAAGCAGGCTGTTGGTCGATTCGACACTAATTTTGTTGAGTCAAGAAGGGCGGCTCTTGAGAGAATGCTAAACAAGACTGCTACACACCCTACTCTTCAGCACGATGGTGATCTGAAGTTGTTTCTCGAGAGTGAGGCTTTTAATGTGGATGTGAAGCACAAGGAGCGGAAAGAGCCTGGCCTTAGCGAGAGCAAAGGCATGTTCAGTGGACTGGGTATATCTGTTGGCGGCGGAGGGAAATTCGTGGAGCAAGATGATGTAAGGATATTTTCTAAGATTGAAATATTCTGCTAATGCCTGTAGTGGTTCCATGACCGCCGGATATACCTTGATGCTCTTGAGAACCAACTCAAAGCGCTATTAAAGGCAATGGATACTGTCGTCACCCAACGAAAAGGAATCGCCGAGGCAGCAGGTGACTTTTCTAACTCTCTCCATGCACTCTCCATGGTTGAGCTCTCCCCATACTTATCAGGTCCATTGGAGGGACTTTCGGATTTGCAACTCCGTATAAGGGAGCTCTATGATCGCCAAGCACAGCAAGACGTTTTGACACTTGGTATCACCATTGATGAATACATACGATTAATCGGAAGCATCAAGCAAGCCTTTGGCTCTCGCCAGAAGGCATATCATTCCTGGCATTCCGCCGAATCAGAGCTGCAAAAGCGCAAAGTTACGCAAGAGAAATTGTTGCGTCAAGGGAAGACCCAACAAGATCGACTAACCCAAATGCATGCAGATGTAGCGGATGCGGAGCGCAAAGTGCATCAAGCAAGGCTACTGTTTGAGGATATGGGTCGTTTAATGCGGAGTGAACTTGAACGATTCGAACGCGAAAAGGTCGAAGATTTTAAGAGCGCAGTGGAGACATTCTTGGAAAGTGCTGTTGAGGCACAAAAGGAGGTCAGTTTCGATCATATCTTTCTTATTGGGTATTGCTGACTTTCTCGCCAGCTTATCGAACTATGGGAAACTTACTTAATGCAACTCGATGCGGAGGAAGATGCGAATGCCTTTTATAAACCCCCTGTGGAGCCGGCTGCACGTGCATCGGCTGAGAGGCTCTCCGGGGAGACACGCGTAGATTCGCAGCAACGGGGCGCTGTTGCGACGGGCGAGGAGTCGGATTGATAAATTGCTACGGGGCATGGTTCACAAGATGTATTCCAGTTAGTTCTAAACGGAGGCTATCTCCTTGATGAGAATCAGGCTCTTATTCAGATGGGCAACCAGGATGAGATACTGTCTTCGGGGGAAAATAATCCATCCATCCCCTATCTTAAAAAAACGCCTTCCTTATGTATGCAATGTGCGATCCTTGGGCTCTCTTGTCCCCCACACTATTCTTTGCGACATGGTCTCTACTCATACATCGCTCCATTGTGCCCATCCGCACATCCAATCCATACACCATACCAATCGTACAGTCCTCCTATCCTATCATCCTAGCACTTGTCCGAATGATCGTTACAGTACCTCACTTCGAACCCTTCTTCCCAGTCGCTTGCTTAATCTCGGTTTCCTTTGCAGGCTCCGCATTCCCTGAATCCACCTGAACACCCGCAGCACCACTGATCAAATCCATCAAACTATCCTCATGGAGCCCAGCACTCTCCAATTTCGCATCTCCGCTACTGGAATTCGCAGCTTCATCCTCAGGGGCGTCTAAATCCCAGCCACGACCAAACCGTTGTCTAAAAGCCCTCAGCCGTCCGGCCTCATCCTGTTCAATATTCTTCAACGACGCCATGGACGGTTGCCATAACACGGTATTTCGTGTATCTCGTGTGCTTCGATAGATGGGCGCTGGTGATGTGGTACGTGTTAGGTACGTGGATCCGTCTGAGAGGGTTACCAGCTGGGTGAAGGAGTAGGGGATGTGTGGGCGGTGGAGGAGGGTTGCGTGTCGGAGTTGTTGGTGTTGATATGTTGATGATGGCAAGATGCGTGCCCGCGGCAGCGCGCGAGTTGGCAGAGACATTTTCGAATGATAGGAGTGCAATTGGGTTGGGCGTGAGAAGAGTGTTGGTGCTGAGGTTGTGGAGGAATAATTATTCTGAGCTTGTACGGTGACCGGTATTGACCGTAAATGCTGGCAATATAATTTTGTTTTTTTGCGATAGCTTCATCGCTACGCTCGACTACGCAACTTTCGCCATCCCTGCAACATCTCCAACGTCGGCGCTTGCTTAGTGCGGGAGGAGACATATTTCGAGCTACAAGCTCGAAAGGCCGCGGAGATCAATGATTTTCCCCAATGGTGCAGCCCAGATGGCTGTCAATTGCTCGAGGGCACGGTTGATACCTGCCGGGAGGGGTTTCTTTGAGATGTTCTATAGGTGGTCTCGATCCAGATGTTGGTTATCACTGAGGCGAAATCAGAGCATGTCTCCTCCAAGTCAATCTACTTTTTGACTGACTTCTTCTCAATTGATAGATTCTACAAGATGTCTGCATACAAAGACCATCGACCGACCAAAAGCCCAATCAACCACCGTCGGCCATCACGCTAGAAACCAAAGGAGACAACAATCATCTTCAGCTGTAGCAGAAGCAAGACCACAGATACAAGTCGAGGAGCCACAGCTCTCCACCCACCTCCGCAAAATAATGCGCACTCTCCCACACTCCGTCGTCGTTCTCACAACATGTACCTCCCCCGCTGTTTCCACCACGACACAGGGCAGCAACACTTCAGGTTCGAAATACCGGGGCATGGCGTTGTCCTCGTTCACGACTCTAACTTTAACACCGTCTCCAATCATTACATTTAACATCCGCCAACCGTCCCGCACCTTGGATGCTCTTCGGGAAAGCAAGCATTTCCTGATTCATATACTGGAGGCCAGTAAAGCGGGGAGCAAAGTTGCGCATGGTTTCGCTCAGGGCGGTGGTGGTGTAGATGGGTTTAAAAAATCGAATATTATAGAGGAGCATGTTATATTGAAAGAGATGGAGGGATTAGTATTGCCTAGACTTAATGGTGATGGTGTAATGCAAGCTTTGAGGTGTGAGGTTTTGCGCAATGATGATGGCGAATGCAAGGGCATGATACGAGTAGGAGATCATATGCTTGTTCTTGCTGAAGTGACGGAGATTCTGGGTGATGACCCCATGGCTGAGAACTCATGGCATGGGCTGTGTTACGCCGATGGGAGATATAGGTTAATTGGGGACACCATCGAGGTTGACCGCCTTGACGATTTGACTGTACAATAATAATGGGTTTGCACGCCTTGGTTACACCGAATTTGGCATGGACTAATGCCGACAGTTATAATAAATACCTTCAGGACAGAGGTGGCACCTTACACTAAGCTGCCGTTGCGTTACATTCTAGAATGTGTGGAGTTATTAAGGATATACATGTCGTCTGTCGAACTCTCATCTTCGGAATTCACGACAGCTGGCGAGCTCCTTGACTTGTGAAAGCCAGCTGCGTCTAGAGTTCATCAACAACTCGACAGCCCAGATTTGGAAACGGAACTATTATACTGTAAAAACTCTCCACCCACATATACATTGCAACTATTGGCAAAATGGGTTCATCACTGAAAAGACCCCAATGGATCGTCTCTTCAAAATTGCCGATTTTGTCGGCACAGATTTACGAGTCCCGAAGACCTAAACAATTTACTGTCGAAGGACCATTTTGCCAGCTGGCTTGCACGCTACTTGTAACATTTACATCACATATCCATGCAAGTCGTAGCCAGAACCGGACTTTAAGTCAGACGAGGCAACACGCTGTTTGGAAGCGATGTTAAAGCGATATATGAGAACATACCGACCTTGCTACTTGAATGAAGTCACTGAGCTGCACCACCCTCCTTATTCCGGCATCCGACTCGTGCTAAGACAGGCTGCTGTATTGCAAGCCCATGTTTATCAATTGAAATCCTCCCACTCACTCTCACCTCCGGCCAGCCACACTCAATTCCCAACAAGGGTTCAGCACTAGCAGCATTCAGTCTTGTCGCAGCCCGGATTCGAGGTAAAATTCCATCATGGAAAGTCTTACGTTGACAAACTCATACATCGGAAGTTTCAAATCCAACGTCAATTTTCCGCAATATAACGCTGCCACTGGAGCTACACTTGTATTTCTCGGCTTTTGATGTGGCTTCCTCGACCAGAAAAATTTGAGTAACCGCCATGTCCAAATATACCGCTTCGATTCCTTTTTCTCAATCAGGCCCTGTCATTTATCATGAGCTTCTCTTTCCACCGGATCTGATTTTATTGAATCGGTTGCAGTGGCATCTACCATATAGATTTATTGACAATCTTGATTGAATAAGGCTCCAGGGCATGTTACGCAATGTTATTATTTTTGCGTCGTTACTGGTCCACAAGGCAAGGTACCAATATTTCACCTCGTGGAACTTGGTAAACGCGTTGCTACCATCTCTAGAGAAGCTTGGGCTCAGAATCTATACTGGAGTAGAGGGTAATAGGACATCCTAGTAGGATTTGCGGACAGGTGCATCAATATACCTCAATTTCGAAACTACCAGACTTGGATGCATCAAAATCCGAGAAGCAGACAATAGTACAGAGCGATGATGCTCTCATCCTGGCTATGCCCAGGTTCTCCTGAGACACTAAAGCGGAAACTACTGGAAATTAGCCCTAGATTCTCCGTTGTTGGCCCTACCGAGTTGATTCTCTTGTATCTTACTTGGCTATGGTACGGGTGTTCAAATTCCGGATTAACATAAAAGGCATGGTTTCTGCCAATCTCAACTCGTTAAAGAAATACATATGGCCGAAATGGAGATGCCCTGACTAGATATTCCATTTTGAGTGATAAATGTTATGGCAGGGACATTCTCTAGGTGCAAGGCCCCATCTACGCTCATGTGTATACTGTCACATCGGTAGGCTTCTCGCTATAGGAACTAGGTTTCTGAAGTTTAGGTTGGTGGCCCTCATAGAAACTACAATACTCTCAATGTAACTAATATAGTGCATGAGATGACACAAAATACCTTTGCTCAAGCTACAGCCATTCACTTAAAAGTCGTTGCGATTGTTTACACAACAACGTACCGTCACCCCTTTTCCGGCCGCCCACGCTCAGAACCCATTCACTGCACTTAAACTAGTGGGGGTTAAATAAGAGCGGCAGAACAGAAGTATATCTTCCTCATCTTTCATCGCGACTGCATAACATACAAAATCTCGAAACACCCAGCTTTAGGTGCTCTATTCAGCCCCCTCCCTTACACCAGTCTTCCTCGATTGCCTACAAACCTCAACGATGGATTACGACTGGACCCAAAAATCCAAACGTCCTCGGTACCTCTTCCGCGTCATAACCCCCTTCAGCAACACCACCTGGGTTCCCAAGGTCGGATTCATTGCCGGGGACCTAGCATCTAGCTACTCCAAGACAGTCTCTATGAATCTGTTCCTCGCATCTGTCGATGCACATCGAAACGGCTACCAAATCGCCAGTCCTTACATATCATGCTTCGCAGATATAAACGAAGCCGAAAGTTGGACCCTCGGAGCTGGACAGCTATATGGCAACGAGAACTGCTACATGGCCTGGTTCGATACTACGCATGAGAAGCTAAGAAATGCAACAATGTGGCTCTTTGAGGATATTCAGAAGAAGAGCGCTAGTATAGCTAGCAACTATCCGCAATTTGGTAAACTGGAGGTTCCGATGAGGCCGCTTTGTGCATGGCCTGTAAATTCAGAGTGGTTGATTCTGCGGACCGTTCCGGACGAGGCCATGGTTGGTTGTACGCTCGTGAGCGGTATCCTTGCAGGTATTTCTTTTTTTCATTCCTCATTCCATTTGTAGATACTTGGGTAATGATTGCAACTAATACTTTATAGCGCGTGCCCGATCTATGCCACCAAGCCAACACCCGCAGCTTCCGCTGGCTAATGGAATAATTCACCGTCCCTCTGCAGCTGGGGCTAGACGACTGCCGGGCGTTTTGATACCACCGTTCGCAGATGAGGGACAGAACGAACAGTTCTTGGACCAAATGTTCGCCCATCATGGTCTTGCCTTCCAGCCACTGCCACCACTCGCATACCATGAGGGGCATCATTTGCACCCGTCGGCGGCTCGTCGTGCTCATTCATTGACCAGCTCTACACCAAAGGATCCCGTGCAGGACCACATCCGAGAGCATCTTACCGAGAAGAATCATGCCATCCTACAGTTTTTGCTGAAGAATCCTGATCTAGGCAGCACTGTTCTTCTAGATCTTGTGCGGATGGATCTTGCCCTAAGCCGTCGTGCGCTCATGACCCTTGTAGAGATAAATCCTCCTTTGGATAATCATAAGGCTATGGATATTATGCGGTTGGCTCCTGATATGGGCAATCGTGCGTTCATGAACCTTATACAGATGTATCCTGTCCAGAGCAATCTTGTACTCATGAATCTTATTCTGACGGATCCTGCCCTGTGCAATCACGTGGCTACGTATCTTCTCCAGAGGGGTCCTGCCCGGCGCAATTGTATGCCTACGCACCTTCAGCGGATGGACCCTGCCCTGGCTGATCGTGTGCCTACGCATCTTCAGCAGATGGATCCTTCCCTGGGTAATCGTGTGCCTATGAATGTTGTACATAAACATCAAAAGCTGGATGGCCCTATGCTGGGCAATCGTGGGCAGGAACACCATAAGCTGAACGATCCAGCACTGATCAATCATGTGCAGACGCACCTTGTACAGAAACAACCGTCGCTGAATGACCCTAGGCTGGACAGCCGTGTGCAGAGCCATCACAAGCCGGAAATTCCTGCTCCAAGCAATCATGGGCAGAAACACCATAGGCCAAAGAATCCTGCCCTGCTGCAAACCCCCCTGCCGCAAGTCAATAGGGGAAATCAGCTTGCGGAGTTGGCGAAAGAGGCTTTGCAGATGCTTGACGAAAATTATTGAATCGGGTCTAATGGGTATATTGGGCATGTCAGGTTGGTTATCGTCACTGGAAACATCTTAGCTTCCAACACACTGTACCTAGTTGAACCCTTCTATGAGGCTTGAGAAAGTCGAATGCCAGGGGATACCTCAGCCGCCCGTTGCCAATTGTCGGATCATGTAAAATAAACATCATACACAAACCATGCCAGACCATTGGAACTAGTCACCATTACCTCAAAGATACTAACATGTTATCAGCTGTGATATTTTGTGGTACCTTATTATGATTTCTTCTCGTCGGGCCACCAAACCATGCCCCAAAATTTAAACCCTTCCCCACCTACACACTCCTTCCCGTCTCTCCCTGCTTTTCCCTTCCCAATAACCATCTCCTCCACAATCTTAAAGCCACACTTTGAATAAATGTGCATAGAATGCTCGGTTGTCGCCTCAAGCCAAATCGGCACTCCCTCACGTGCCGCAGTCTCCTGCCAATACCGAATAATGGCTGAGCACAACCCCTTTCCTCTTGCATCTTCCCTTGTGGCAACTAGGAAGACATAGTAGTAGTCTTTGCACCCAGCAAGTCCTTTCTCTTTACAGGCGTCGGCCAGGGGTGTAAATTCCCTTAGCATGCGCTTCTTTTCGTTAGCACTCCTCCCAACGTCTCCCTCAAAGAGTCTCAAAGAACACGAACCATACAGCCACTAAACCCGACATTCCACAATACACTCGCAAATCCGGCAGGGATGAGAGTCCAGAAATTGTCCACTCGCTTTCCGGGGGGGATTAACCCACCACACGCCTTCCAATCCTCGGCTTCAGGAAAAGAGGCGCCGTTCAGGCTCGCCGCGGTGGCCAGCCGTTCAAAATACTCTGGGAGATAGGCGATGCGCTTTTCATCCGTCATGGTACAGAGCAAGTATGTAATCATAGGATCATCTTCGAAGGCTTTGGCGAAGAGAGCCGCGGCTGGTTTGACGCGGTCTAATGGGACATGGGTTAGAATTCATTTGAGATAGTAATCACATGGTGCATCACTGAAGAACATACCTTTGCCACCAACTGTGATAGATATTTCTCCCGCCATTTCGACCAGTTCCATTATTTACTCGAAATTGGATATATTGTCGGGGTAAAAGATGTTCTAAGAGCCGGCTTCAGAATGGTTCCATGACTAGATCGCTATTTTAGATTCTTATATCCCAGGAATTCCTTTGTCTCTCTCGCCCCGGCATATCGGCGGAGCAGTTGTACGTAGTAGGCGGGAGAACCATTGCACCGCTCCCTGCGCACGGTGGAGTGGACAAAAGGGCAGGTGGCCAACGCTATACCAAATTGAGTTGGTGTAGACACTTTGTTTGGACGACACCTCTGCAACTCCAATAAGTGCTAATAATATGGCAGAAACGTGCTGAGCGCTCTCCCGCCTCACCCAATCACCCGCGCTCACCCGAGCAGGGTGAGGAGAGCGGGCGCCGCCGCCTTCGAGCAGACCTCAAGTATAAATCCATCGCTGCTTTCCCCTCAGTCCGACTAGCTCCAGAGTTGCTTTCCCTTCCCAACTGTCAAAGATAGTGGATCAACTTGAAGGCAGTTGATTGGTCACAATAGGTCATGGAATTAAAGTAATTATATTAATTAATTAACCTAATACCATGGGACAAAAGCCAGGTATATATAGGCAAATGAGTCTATAAGTCAGGTGATTGGAATGACCCAAGCTTGGTAATTCTTGTGTCTTTGAGATGCGCGATTTGTTGTTCCATCATCGCGGGTCATACTAATTACTAAGGAGAGTAATGATTGTCTTTGATTCTGTCATTTGGAGTTCATACGTAAGAATTACCACTGATCATCGTGATCTCCAATAGATCCAAGAGGGGCTGTAACCGGCACTTATTATCGACAAATAGGTGCCTGAGGCATACTGACACCAACGCTGGATCCTTACGCACCATGTGAATTCAAGGTGTAACAGTAGTGGGAGGGTGTGAGACTGATAAAACGCTCAGTGAAGAACGGCGGACCCGTGGAATGCGAAATGACATCAGAGGCGTGAGGGAGACGCCATGCTAAAGGAGATTATGATCAAGACAGGCGCGGCGCCTTGATAACGTCTCGAGCTCGCACTAAGGATTAAAAGGGTTTCTGTGGGATGCGTGTATTATTGGAGAAAGAGATGGTATTCTCAGGAACCCAGCCCTGGTGGGGATCACTTCCTGGTAAGCGAGTAAGCTAGCTAATTAGAGCGTAGTGCAACAGTTTCCACTGTAACGGTACAGTCTACGCTACTAGTAAGGAACGGTGGCTTTATTACCGTTTCTCGTGAGCGTACTAGACGGCGACCCTCCCTCTACTCATGTTACTATACTACGCCGCACCTGTAGAGATAGCCACCACTTCACCTAGGGGCCTTCCTCACATCAACGGCCAGCTGTGGGACATCACTAGGACATAAGCGAAATGCTCCAACAAGTTAGTTACATCCTCGACACACTCAACAGAACAGGGCTAGGCACATCCTCGTCAGATAGCATCCTCGCCTATGTTGTAAAGGAGTGGAAGTGCTTGACTGTGAATCAAGGTTTTGGAGTTGTAGCTGCCTAGAGAGAGAATAAGAATACACGTATGCCGAAGCCCCCTTTATACCCCTATTCCCCCCTGTCGCACGCTCACGTGATACCTTGCAACTCCACCCCACCACACTCCCACTCTCCTCGCACTTTTCTACGATGTCCCCTTAGGTATAGAGATAACTATACATAGGAGCCCTAGTAAGCTACTGTTCTTACCCTTTTTACTTCGGAATTTAATCTAAGAGCATAAACAGAAACCTCGCTACCGTTTCCGCTAATCCATATACCGTCCCACAAAACACGTCGTAACTCGACCCCTCAAACAAAGATTAAGATCCCTCTAGCTTAGAATATTCTGGAAAAAGATGTTGTGAAGGTTGTTGTAAGTGCTAGGCTGGGCGGGCCAGTAGTGAGCCAGCCGCTCGTTACATCTCTAACCACGAACGTGATCAATGATCCGATAGATTAGACTGTTAACGACGTAGTGTGGAACCTCTGCCACGAATCCTCCCTGTCGCTGCTAACTCTCGATCTCACAGCATTAGCCGGGACCCTAAGGCGACATAGAGTGAACAGGAAGATCTTGCTCTACTATATCACCGCCACGTCTGTCCACGAAGACCTGAACGTCTGTAACCTTAGCTAGATTAGTTCTATTCTAGAGCTAGTAAACAAACTAAGCAAGGAGAGCGAGCAATATTGTGCTACACTAAGTTACGCTCTTCCACGTAGTATGCCACTAGAGTACGATACGACGGAGAGGGTATAGTAGCTAGAGGCAGAGTTACGTGAAGTATAGTCTGCTTTAGCTTTAAAAGAAGAATATGATGGCACTGTTATGTCTTCACGTAAGTGGCGCCGTTCGCCTATGACTTTTAAGGACGATTCTACAGTATCGTGGCCGTAAGAGCTACAAGAGCTTTACTATAATGTGTAGAGACAACAGGGTATCCTGCTCGTACACAGTGATGTTTTGAATCAACTATAAGAGGATGTATCCTATCTACGAGCAGCCTAGGGACGGCGCGATACTTAGGAAAGCGACCTATAGCAACTCTCGACTAACAGAGCTAACAGATCCTAGAAGCTCTCTCCTTTACTCTCATGCGCAGACCACCTTTAATTCCCTACCAATTTATTAGCTTCACTAGTGGCTTAGTAGTAGAGATAACTTACCATATTCAAAGCCGCAAGCGGCTCGTATTTCTTATGGTTATCTGTAAGGAGCACATCAAAATGGTCGAGTATTGCAGTGCTGATAGCAATACCCTCATACGTGGCAAGAGCACGTCCGAGACAGCTGCGCGGTCCAGCATTCCAAGAGTGATATTCTGTGTTTGGCAACGTCAGTACCGCTCACATAATACGAGGTATAACTGACTGAATGGGCTGTACGAGACTGCATCCCCATTTTCATTAATCCATCGGTAGGGGTCAAAGACAGCAGCGTCATCTCCCCAAACTTGTGGCATCCGAGAGAGCACATAATTCTGATAGCTCACGATATCACCTCTGCTCACGGTTTGTTAGGATTAATTTGATAGCCCTGAAGGTAAACATACTTCTTAATATAGCGAGGGGGCATGTTGAGTTCGGGCACTGCAGGGAGTATGTCATCTTGGGCTGCCTCCATTTGGCCAGCAGGAGAGACTGTATCCAGGCGAGCTGTCTCGTCCCACATCGCATTGGAAAATCGTAATTTCTTGAAGACGTTTGGTCAGTGGTCAATACTTCAAAATTGGGTTAGGCAATTGACATACTGGCGCATCTCCATAACGTAGATACTCATGAGTGAGACCAAGTTCACCAGCCTCAGCGCGTATCTTATTTGCGGCATCAAGATGTTGATTTTCGCTATGATGTATCTCCTTCATCAGCCACGAAAGACTGAATGCGGTTGTATCGCCTGTATTTGAAAGAGAGTCAGTTGCTGGGTGCTTATGTTCCATGGCTTATGACTTACGTCCGGCTGATAGGAATGAGAATGCCATTCCGCCCAACTTGTATGGATCAGTTGTTGACTGTGCAAAGAGATCTAGAAGATCAACTCCGGCGTCGGGGTCAGGCGTATAGCCATTCTTCATCGCATCAAGACGTTTCTTGATGAGACCATCGATCTTGGCATAAAAGAGGTCTGCGGCTCTCTTGGTAATTTTATCTTCACCAGATAGCTTCTCGCTAATTCGCCACAATGGGTCACGTCTCCTCCGATCAAAGCCTAGAAATGTCAGATCTCACTGCGGTGTCATATGTGGAAAGACCACGACGTACAAAGGGCCGCTTGATCGAATGCCTGAATGTAATCAGGGGTGGATTTAAGACAGTCGGGGTCTTTCGACAGAATATCTCGGCCAAGTTTGTCCTCGTGGAAAGCGATCTGCAAGAACAGACAAAACATGAGTCGCCCCATCAGTTCTTGAAAGTCGAATTCTTTTTGTTCTTTGGCCAGATTTGAGAGCAGACCAATCAGGATATCGAGCCAGTGGTGAAGGGACTTCGTGATGTGAGTTTCAAAGTTCCGCTTACTGAAAGCGCGTGTGGCTGCTTTGCGCTGGAACTGCCATTCTTTGCCGTCAACAATAAAGATTCCGGATCTGTGAAGTGGTCCGAAGACGTTACGGATGAATTTGCCGCGTATGTAGTTCTTGCTATTGTGCTTCTGGATATGTTCAAGGTAGGTGGGGTGATTAATGATGTGCAAGCGAAAGAAGGGAATGGTCATCTCATAAGCAGGCCCGTATCGTTTGTACAGAGAGTACCATGCCTTACAGCTGGCAGCGCCATTGGTTTGGAGCTCTCCAGAACTGCCTTTGAATAGCTTCCCCTCCGGCCCGGGAATGAACTGTGAGTTGGCCGACGACGAGGACCAGAAACCCCGGTTACGGTACGTCCAACAGATACCTGCGATAATAACTCAGTATGGAGGGCCTCAGAAACACCCCCAATTCAGCTCACCCGTTACTGCTGATAAAATGAGCAGTGCGACAATCTCAAACAGCGCCAGGATGGAGAGTTGTTGGACATGCTGGTGGAGAGCATTCATGTTGGCCAGCTTATGCCAATCACGATAGACAGCGTTCGATGAAACGGACAAATTAATATAACAGTATCTCCTATAACAGACCTGCCAGTCTTGAAGTGTTCTAGAATACAACTGGGGTATTGACTTTTGACTTTATAGCTTAAAGTGGGGGCTTGTCTTTGTGGAAGTGAAGGTGTGCGAAGACTACAGTACGCAGAGTACTACTCTCTGCCCATACATAACCAAAGGGCGGTTCGTACGGAGTAGTTCAGATGAAAGTGGGCCAAGCCGAGCCGAAAGCGTTGCTCGAAACTTCGTGCCCTTAAACACCGAATCCCGAAATTCACGTTGCCGCCGCAAGTAGATAAGCGGCACACGTCAAACCTGTGAAGTCCTATCCAGGTGGCTATTTGAGGACTTGGGTTGGGTCATGCCGGGCTGATCTGTGCGTGTCGCAGGGCCCTTTGTTACGGTGATTGCTCTGCGCTAGCGTTTTTGTCTATGCCTTCTTCTATGCGGGGTTGCCCCACAATGATTAGAACTTGCATTGGTCTTGACATCACCGCTTCATTTGTATTTAGTTCAGGCGATCACGGGTGAATTAACAGCGAGACGCTAAGAAGCTAAATTATACTGAGCTTGATCTTTTCAATGCCTATGGGCGTACCAGAACCGCTCTACCGATCGCGTCAGTCATCATTGTCATAGTAATGACTTGCCACTGCTTAACTTCATTTGGTAGACAAGTCTGCCCTTAGTTGTTTCATCACCAAATGGTAAATAATACCTCAAGCTCAAAGCAATGTTCCAAGTGCTAAAACGTGGTTGGTAGGATTACACCATTCTACTGACACCGGTTGGGTACTCGCAAACTGTCTAGTAATTGAGACTGAATTGGCAGAGAATTATCAAGGCAATTAATTAATCGCAATTAATCATAGAATTGAAGTGATTGTATTGATTGAAGAGTCTATTATTATAAGATAAAAGCTCCCTATATATAGGTAAAAGAATGTATTGGTCAGGTGACTGTAATGAAATCCCCTGTGTTATCCCCATGATAGCTGAACTTATTCATCATTACAAGCCATATTGATCTGTAAGCTTTTTAATGATATTACTCAATTCAGCTCATATTTGACTCATAGCTGAGGTTTTGCTCTTTTGGTGGGGGTGAAATGGAGGTTCTGGCTAAAGTGGCTAATATATTGAAAATGAAACGCAGAAACAAAGACTCATGTTGTTTCTACATGATAGTTCCACCTGATCGCCAATTTCGGCAGCCATATTGACATCGATGGACTCTCATAATCTGTCAAATACTATATCATATAGCGGAATCCAACTGGTCGGGTCTCAGTTGAGGTCGTCTGCGCCTCTGGAACACCTTCCCAACCCTCATCTTCTTCTAACCGTTTGTTTATTTTGACGTGGACAATACGGATGGCCAACGCCACGAGGATGACTAGCAATGATACTCCAGCGGTTGCAGATCCGCCGGGAACATACCGCGGTCCTGTTGAGGACGGCCACATATAGCTGCCGTAGATGGAAGCGCTATTGCCCACAAGGTTAATAACAGCAATTGCCCCTGACCGCTTGACCAGCGGCCGAGGAAACGAGTTCGCCTCCCAAGCAAGGATGATCTGACAGGCCGATACGGCTCCCATTGGCATTCTGAGGTAGTCAGTCACAAAGTTTCATAGCTCTTTCAGGGCTGAAGACTCACAGAAACATGGCAAAGAACCTGGCACCAGTATTTGTTGTCGCAGTGGCAATGATGCTTCCGACGATAGTAACAGACATCAATCCGATAATATGCAGACTTCGATCATTCGTCTTTCCAGAAGTCCATGTGACTAGAAGTGAGATCAAAAACGTTGCAATCCAGACGGGTGCTGTGATCAAGAGTGTTTCGACGCTGTTATATCCCAAGGTCTTTACAATAGTCGGGAAAAAGTATTGAAAGGTCTGCGACAGAAGCGAAGTGTGCAAAAGCAGCATAAAAAGATATACACGTTTGTCGGCAAAGACCATCTTCAATCCCTGAACGATGCTGACAGAATCTGGATCATCAGCTTCCTTTGCATCGTCAAATAGCCGCCATCGGGCGTAAGCCTTCTCTTCATCGTTCAACCAGGAAGTTGTGGCAGGAAAATTTGGAAGGAAAGAGCTGGAATGGTTAGGCTCGGAGCAAAATGATAACACACCGCGCAGACACTTACGCTGCTATGAAGGATATACCAACGGTAATAGATCCTTCAATGATGAACAGCCATCTCCATCCAGCTATGCCATGAGCGCCTTCAAGAGTTCCCAGCACTCCGGCACCTATCAAACCTCCAAAGGCGTTTGCCAGTGAACTTCCGGAGTAAAACCACGCGATACGATGGGCCAGCTAGTTCAGTCAGACAAAGTAAATTAAATATTGAAAGGAATGCTTACCTCTTGTCTAGTATACCAACTCGACCTGGCAATAAGCGTCAGTCAGACCCAATACTCGACATCTACAAGGGGCAACTCACATCAGCATGACAGCTCCTGGGAAGAAAGGCGCCTCTACGAAGCCTAAAAAGAACCGAGCAACAACGAATCCCGCAAAAGATTTTGTAGCAGCTTGTAAAGCGGAAACGAGTCCCCTGATATATGTATCAGTATTAAGATGAGAAATATGGTGTTGATTGGGCCTACCACAAGGCCATGGCGACGCCTAGGAAACGCGAAGGCGGAAGGCGAGTGAGTAGAAGATTAGAGGGCAGCTGCATGAGCAAATATCCAACAAATAGAATGCTTGTTGCCAAGTTGAAGTCTGTACCCGTCATCCCGAGGTCTTCCTCTAGTGTACCAAGCCGTGCTTGAGACAAGTTGCTATTGTTGTCAACGCGATGGCAAGAGGATTCGACGTAGAGGACATGTCTTACTTGCGGTCCAGAAAGTTCAAGAAATACATAACGACGAGGAATGGCAGTAAGCGGAAGTCCACTTTGCGAAGAAGGGTCTTCGTCATCTTCTGATGCCATTCCGGGCTCTTTGAAAGGTATTCCAGGTAAAAGGGTTCCTGCAGGGGGTTGGGGCCAACCTTGTCTTGACCCTCCTCAATATGTTCGGCGGTTTTCTCAGCCATAGTTCTGATGCTGGGGTGGTCTCGACCTTCGTGAATGAAACCCAATAACTGTAGCCAGGCGGCGATGCGGATTGAACAGCTATGTATAGTAATGTGTATGGCGCTCTATTTAGATTAGACTTATTTTATCCCGATCTCCGTAGAAAGATGTGGGCATTACCACAACTTGGTAGTTCGGGAGAATCAGCAGCGAGCTGAGAGCGTCTATCCTAACTTCTCACCCGTCGGGAGGCGGGTGGCACACGAACTCCGTGATCATCATCAGCCTGCCATTTAAAACTGTAGGGACACGGGAAGTTCTCCATTCACCGACTTAGTTCGTGGAACAGAACTTCAGAGGTGCGGTGTCTGCCGTACCAAGGGTATCCGTTACATCTCCATTATATAACTTTTATCTGTAGTTTAAATTGCTCTTTAGGCTAGAATGGATACCTAAGGCCATTTTTGCTGCCTAGTTTAACTTCCTTTTCTCTAAAAAGAAAAAGGAGAATGGGGGGATTTACTCTCATACAGATGCTCCATTTCAGTAGTCATTCCTGTCTTTATTTTGCTATGTTTCTTTCTTGAATTCAGTATTGCGATAGTAGATTTTTAACATGCGAACTTTGGTATAGAGATTGTTTTGGTTTTAATTGGATTTTATTGGGGTTCTTCATATCATAGTGATCTATTTCTTTATTGCTCGACCATGAACCACTTACAATGAGCGAATGTGGACGGTTTGGCAGTATTAGGATGACTCTATATCGCCGAGATTTGGCACTTCGTCGCTGCCCTTGGCAAATAATAGCGGGATATCCTCCAGCTCAATGCCCGGTATTTCAGGATAGAAGAAGTAGATAATTAGTATCCATGTAACGGGTGTGAGGCCACATGACCGTACAGGACCCGGCCCCGAGTCGGTGGGTTACCGTAAGCGCTACGCTGTTAGGCCCACGCTAGTATAGTTATAGGGTCGGTCTCTAGGAGGCCTAGTCGTCTCGTGTAATAGGTGATTAGGTAAACTTGCCGAACGACTATCATCTAGAAGGTCAAGAGAACAGCGAACAAGCCCTGTAATGCGAGAGGAAAGCGCCACTGAGACGCTGTGTTGTAGAAGCTGGTTCCAAAGTCGGTCCCACTGACGGAATTTAGCCAAACCACATGGCAAGGCCAGAAGGGTCTTCTAACCAGTACTCAATGACAACACCAAGAATGGTCACAGTCCCTTGCAAGCTCAGTACTCTGTAGTGCCCCCGGATATTTGCTGGCGAGAACTCACTTTGATAAACCGGTCTGGTAGAAGAGTTCATGCCGTTGCCAATACCAGTAACGATTCGGCCACGATCAACTGCGCAACGGTATAGGAGGACGCCAATATTGCACAGCCGATGGCCATAGTCAGACCGCCAGTGATAAGCATTGTCCTGCAGCCAAAGGTTTCGCCTACAAAGTAACATATAATAGAGCCGATTACGCAGCCGATGTCATACAGTGCTATGATATTGCCCTTCCCCGGAAACTATGTCTATGTTAGCCCCAGAAGTCATCTCCAAAGTTGGCCTTGCATCGCCGAGGTTAGCAACTTTTGCCAAGGGCATACCCCAACATATTCCCTAGTTCCCCCGCAACCCTTCGGCGTAGCGATCGGGCGAACGGTCCACTTTAAATTCCCGAGACAAACCCGGAGTAAGATGTGGAGTTGCCGTCACGACGAAATTCTGCTAGGCGACGTTGACTAGCGACGAGGTAAATATGTCTGGTACCCGGGTTGTTGTTAGAAGTGTATCTGTTACAAGGATTTGTCTTTCCCCGCAGTCGTCGGCAGATATTGGCACGAGTTTGTGGTTGCTAACCGACCTCGACATGGCAGCCGTACCTAACAACGAATAGTTCCTGGAGTTCGGCCAAAGCTCTTTTATCCCAGCCACATTTAGCAGCATGACAGCATTGGTAGCATTCGCTTTGACTTCGCTACAGTAGGGAGATATGATAACTAACGGGGATGACTGCTAGCAGAGACGGATTTGGGGAATTGACCTTGACAAGATGTAACCAAGGGGCTAATCGCCCAGCTGCATGCTAAATATGCTTTCGTTTGAGATTAGCCCGAAAATAAGACGCCGAGAATTCATAATAAAAAGTCAACGGGTAGCTTCCTAAGTCACATCAAGCGGTCAAAATATCTTGAATTCTTCTACATTGTTCTAAGAGGCCAGCAATTATCCGACGGAAAATGTATGCCTCGAGGCTTGGTGTGCTTTGGTTGGGCTCCTCCTAACACAGGCCGAGGCGTCAATTCATCGACGGGCAGTCGTCCAAACCCACAATGTGAAGCGCACTGCTTCAGGTTCTACCCCTCTGCAGGGTGGCAACGGGAACTTTGCTTTCAACGCTGATGTCACACTAGGCACAACCCGTTCACGGGCCCTTCACCTAGAAGATAGAAGACTGTGTAATCCTGCTTGTATAGAGCTAGCATATCATATGTCGCTTCGCGCATCTCGTCGCCAGATAGCTCTGACTTTCGTTTTATCTTCTCCACGATCCTGTCCCGTTTAGGAATAAGGAGGCATAGTCGGCTAGCAGCCGTGTCAACTTCCGATAGGACCTTGCCTCGAGTCATGATTTTCCAGCGCCTGTGCTGCTTGATCTATTCCTACCGGAACGGAATAAACGCCTTCTTCTCGAGGCGTTTAAGCAGGTTTGACTAGCTCTTCCTGGGTATAGCAGCTTTATTAGGATGTTTGGCGGCAGCTTCGATATCCTTCAACGCTACTATTTCCGGGTCGTTTTTCAGCTCGGCCCTTAGAGCGATAGGAAGGAACGTGGGCGCCCCCTCTTCGCGGAGCGTCTCGAGACCCTAGAAGAACTTATTAACGCTATAGTCAGGACTCCTGCCAAATAAAGCGCTTTGCCTATTAACGGATGAAGTCTACGCGACGTAGCTCCTTCCGAATACGTGGCGGTCGGACTACGTTAGGTGCTAGGAACGCTCCACCTTAGTATACCGCTCTGCCACGATGTTAGCGGGAAACTTATTTAACTGACCGGGCTACTTGCCATCGACTTTCTTCCCTAGGTAGCGACGAATTATATAGATAGAAGCGCTCTAGAAGTGCTCTATATATACACCTAAACGAGTACTCGTCCTAGCCTCTTTTCGTAACGCCCGTCTCCTTACTATAGTGACGTAGGATTAGCTACTCTAGTATTAAATCGTTCTATATGTAAGGGTAATACAAGGTAATTAGTGCGATAGCACCTAGGCAATTGATATCACTGTGTTCTCTAGATAACCGCTAGCTAATAGCCAAGTACGCAAGTTATGTTGTATATGAATACTAGACTTGACGCTAGAGAGCGTCAAGTAAGAATTAAGACGGGTAGTCGCATATATTGTAAAGGAGTAGAACGTGCCGTCTATGTGCATGACAAACAAACAAAATAAAACCAGTAGTTGGGGGTAAAAAGGCGTATGTGTAAGAAGCTACCCTGCTACTAACTACAAGCGCCGTCCATTTAAGGTGCGCGGGCCGGAAAATCTACCTACCCGAAGGGCACGTGAGTGCTCGTACCTGCAGTTCCTCCCCTGTGACCCACCACAATATCTTATTCAGCTGGCTGCCGGCCAGCAAACCACGTCAGGTGACCTCAGGAGGGAACCCTGTCATAACAACAAAAGGGTACATTCTTTTCACTATAGCAAAAATAGGCTTATTCGAGCTATCTAGGATTTGTTATTTCTAGAAGTCATCTAAGTAATCAAAGCCGTAGAGCGTATTATTAGCAAAAGCGAAGGCAAGTAGTACTCCTTATAGTAATTAGTAAAAGGAGCTCAGCTGTCACTCGGATATCATCGGGTTATTTCATTCTAGTCACCTGACCTATACACTCACTCACCTATATATAGGAGCCATTTATCCCATAGTATTAGGCTCCTTAATCAATACAATCACTTCAATTCCATGACCTATTGTGACCAATCAACTGCCTTGTTTTACATCACCAAGTTGATCTACTCAGGTTAACAGAAGTGCTACTCACATCCACAAGGGTGTTTGTTGGGGGCTCACCCGCAGCGTCACCCCGGAGAAGTTAAAAGCGGCACGCTGCGAAGCGGCCTTACCTAAGGCATCACCCTGAGAGGCCTAAAAGCAGCACGTCGACGTGAGTGGCTGGGGGAGGCGTTCGCACATTTTTGTTACCTTAACGCGCCAAGAGAGCAACAACTCTCTATCTACAGTATATTTATGGTAGTATCCTATCAATGCGTTCCTGGACCTGTCGAGATAACTTTCCGGAGGCCTCGGATGGTCGTACTTAATCCTGACGGCGGAGTCGACATGCTACATTGTACCCCCCACTACCATCCCTAATACATTTTGTTGACTCGTCCTCCCTATTCAAAGATTAAGAAGGGTGCAGTCCAGGTGTATTTCAGCTATACATAAATATACTAGCAAGAGCATAGTTGCTAGTCACAAGATTCAGTCTCAATGCATGCAAAGCCGCACGCATATCTTTAAACCCCTTATTTTAACAAAATGCACCGGTATAGCGATCATCCGGCATAGAACCAACGTGAAATGCGATTGCAATTGTCTATTCTAGCTAAGAAGCAGCTCATGGAATCAAGTTCTAATAACCTTGGATGGAATGTCTTGCTCTACTCTCAATAACAGTCACCGCCTATCCGTCGCCCTTCCGCCCGCCAACTGCCGACTAAGAAAGTAGCCCTTAACAAAAGCAAATGAGAACAGCAAAGGGAAACCTTAACCATATCACACCTCCCACACCATGAAACATCGACCAGTTGGCCTGTTTTATTGGGCTCCCCAATCCCCGAATGGATGCTTTGGCTCACTCGGCTTGCCCTTACTCTGGAGATTGGGCTCAGACTGCTTTTGATTCTTTTGAAGGGTACGCTCCACCACTTTCTGTTTCTTCCGCGCATCCCTCACTTCGAGCTTTAATTTTTTCACCTCGTCGGCCAACCCTTCATTCGACTTCGTCAACTTGTTCTGGGAGCGCCTCAGACTATTAAGTTCCTTATTTAAAGTCTGGACCTCCTCGTTTTTCTGCTTCGTCTGAACCATAAGTTCGCCTACCTGCGCGAATAAATAGTCTTCCTTACCGTTAACCGTCGGAGCTCTGTTTCCTAGTAGCATCTCGATCTCGGTTGTTGAATTTGCCTCAGCGATCTGAATATTTAGCTGTGCCTCTGTCTGATTGCCGTCATCAATCTTCTTCTTTGATGTTTCAATACTACGCTGCAGCAAGCTGACCGTCTGGTCCCGCTTGGAAATGCGTCTTAGAAGCACCTCGATCTCGGTTCTCAAACCTTCCTCGAGGTTACGAGCCTCAGCGATATCGGTTCTCAATTCTCCCTCGAGGTTAAGGGCCTCAGCGATCTGAATATTTAGCTGTGCCTCTGTCTGATTGCCGTCATCAATCATCTTCTTTGAGGTTTCGAGACTGCGCTGCAGCAAGTTGATCGTCTGGTCCAGCTGGGAGATGTCGCTCTGTGGCAAGTCGCTGTAGGCACCAGGTAACACCATCATCTCTGTTAGAGCCGCGCTGTAACGGGTGAAGAGTGCTTGTTGGGTGACAGTTGGCCAGGCAAATTTGTTAAGTGGCACGCCGCAAAAGGGGTCGCGGACTATGACCTTTAGTGTTGACAGTCCATGGGGGCATCGCCTTTGCTTACAGAACATCTCCCATAGCATCCGCTCTGTCACATACTCCCTTGCCTCTTGCATGTGGCTAGGCAATAGGCTCTCAATGACTTTCTTAGCAACCGTATAGTGCGGCTCAAAGTCTATAACTCCGCCCCGGGCGACCTTCGCTCTTAGCTGAGCAATTTGCGATACGTATTCGGCCATGCCGTAATGTTCCGGCCGTCGATGGAGTGTAGGTGAATCGTTGAATCGTTGAAGCTTTAGAGGGCGGTTGAGTCTAGTGCGAATATGCGTTGTATAGAGGGCAGCTGTATCTGTTCTCACTTCTCATGGGGTCGGTAAGTTATTACTCATTTTTGAAGAAATGGAGAAGGAGGGCCTAGTGGTATGCATACCATGATACCGCGTATCTAATTCGCGTTGGGTGGTAAATGAGAGGGCCTCACCTTCAAAAGTAGATCAATCCTGATAGTGAGCTCAATGTTATTGACCGAATTGTTTTGTGGTGTTTGAAAATTAACTTGTATGTATCGCCGTGTGTAGTCGACCTCCCTGCCCACGGCAACCACATTACGGCCAGGCACGTGGCCGGGCCTTGGTTTACTCTCCTTTCGCCCCTTTGACTGAGTGGCTTATTTTAGAGCCTCCAACCCTTAGCGGGCAGTTCAATCCTATCATCTCATACTTCTATGGCTATTGTCACCGGGTTGTTCCTGCTGACAATAGGTTCTAAATTAGAGCCAACCACCTTCCACAAATGTGGGAGTTATATTAATAGCTAGGCTGCCCTTATTATGTTTTGTTTATTGAAGGGTATAGGGACTAGGTGAGGAAATTGCGAGGCTCTGCTAGAGAGTGGAGCAAAGGGCTGACGAGCAACATGGAAAGGGAGCAAACCTCTCTCGAACTGTTGCACAAACATGTGCCTTCTACAGACCTACATTGATAAGTCGCTAGGGAGCTTTCTAGGAATGAGATAAGCATTGAGAGATATAATTGCTCGCTCTCTGCTGGACGTAGTTTAATGGATGTATGTCGAAGGGGTAGTGTAAGATAGAAGTCGGTTAGCGCCACTCATTGCATTTTACTAGATAATTTACAAGATAAAGAGTTCCGGGTGAGTAATGGAGGACTATGCTGGTATTCTTTGCTCCATTCTACAACAATCAAAGAGCGATACATGCGGCTATGGTATAACCTAAAGCCCTAACTAGCATCGTCCCATCATCTCAGGCCCGAACCGCTCTCCCTCATCTATGGTGATGTATTCATTGGTTCGCCCTCGATTGATGCAGCCGCCGTCGTAGCAAAGAATCGAACATCAACATCGTCATCCTTCTGCAGCTTTTCTAAATTCGGCAAGATTCTCTCTTGGATTAACACCTGGCTTCTGGCGGAGGGCTGTGTTGACTCGCCCGATTTCTCCAGTGAGTAGATCGTTCCCTCATCAGGCAGGCGTTTAAGGACCGAGATCAATTCGGAATATGACTTGGCGACATTGAAACGAATATTTGGGATGTCGTCGACAACTAGTTTATCCATCATTGGGAGAATAGATTTTGCGACCACATCGAGGCTGACTACTGGTGCGAGTGTCTAAAGTAATTAGCTTGACTGGTTTGCGGCAAAGAGTGAAAGACATACCGTAATCGCAAAGCAGGTCGTCATTCGGTAGAGATAATTGGGATGTGCGCCCATAGCCATAACCTTTGGAATAATGGCTTCATTAGCCCATTCGACACCAAATACCTCAGTAAGTTTCTTGAGATTATGTGTTGCAGCCTCTCGGATAGAAAACACTGTGTCACCTAGCCATCCCATACACAATGCGGCTAACTTCTCGTCGAAGAATTTTACACCCAGTTGACTGGCCAGTAACGGGATGTACTCGATGATTGCCAGTCGAACTCGCCATTGTTTATCCTCGGCGAGTTGAACGATGGCAGGGAGAAGGGATTGCGAGAGGAGCTCAATGCCGATGACTACTCATGTCAGTTTTCGTTGAATAATAATTTTCAAAGTGCATACCTTGGTTGACCAGTTCGAGCTTCGAGATGATATGCAGACGAACGTCGGGAAAGTCATCTTTGAGCATTTGCAAAAACATGGGGAGAAGGTGGTCAATCGTCCTAGGGTCTTGTTAGTCTAGATGAGACTCGGGCGGAGCGAACATACTCTTGCTTCCCGAGGATAGGCGCGAGTCCGCTGATCTGCGTGCCAAGAGCGGCCCGAACGTGTTGAGATGTATCGGAGACTAAGTCCTCTATGGTAGTCATGATATCGTTCAGAAGAGTTGTCCGGTCGACCAGCTTGCAGAAGCCTGGGATTTGGCCTGCAATTGCGGTCCGGACCTCTGCTTCGCTGTCCTTGAGTAGTTTAACGAAAGCGGGAACAAGATCTCTGGCAACGACCTCATCGTCTACAGCCTTCGCAATCTGTTCCAGTTAGTAACTAATCGCTGAATAAGGCATTTCACCAACCTTCTCAAATCTGTCTGCCACCATATATCTAACTCTCCAGCTTTTGTCCTCAATCAAACTTCTCAGTGCTGTGAGAAGGACCCCATGACTTGATTGTTGCTCTTTCGGGACAACCTCGGCAATCGCTATCAATATCTCGACGGTCAACAACCGGACGCTATCCTGATCGTCGCTGGCAAGATGCTGGAAAAGGGGGATCATTTCTTCGACGACAATCGTCGCAGGCATCTCCTTTACAAATTTTGCTAGATTGTTTGCAGATGCTCTCCGGACCATGGGGGTCTCGTCATGGACAAGGAGCCCGAATTGATGTCGAAGTTGCTCCTGCATGGGAGGTGATGCCTTTTTGTAGGGGACATTATATAGGCCAGTCGCAGAAACCTTTGATGTGAACCAGTCGGCTTTGGACAGTCGAATCGTGAGGGGAATAAAGTATTCTTCGACCTGTTTAGAAGAGAGCTCGTCGCAAATTGTGTTCAAGGACTCGACAGCCTAAGAATATCAGCAGAGAGCTTGGAAACTCCCCGAAGGAATACCGTACCTTGTCTCGTACTAAAGGTTCCTCGATTGCTGCAAGATTCTCAAGCGGTGAAAGCAGGACATGACCCCACTCTGGACCACCAACATATTCGACAAAACCCCCCAGTTCCTCGCTCAAGGCCGTCAGGACTTCATCTTCATCTTCAACAGATTCTATGAAATGCTATCAGCTCGTGTACAGCAGAAGGGCGATGGCGCCTCGGGCATACCGTCTAGGAAAGGAATCAATTCGTCCCGCGTGCGCTCAGCTCCCAGCGCGAGTGCGATAGTTGAGAGGCGATGGATCGCATTTAATCGTAGAAGAACATCATCATGCTAGATTGCAGTGAGTAAAGGCACTGAAGGAGCTTCCCTATGGGAATATTATGCGAATATGCCCGTACCTTCAACTCGTCAATGAGCACGGCTATTGGGTAGAGCTCGTCCGTCTTATCTGGGCCATCTGCCATAATGAAGGGATTCGAACGAGAATCGCGATGACAAGAGGCTGGCAGAAAGACCTGAGGACCCAGGCTTTGGACTGTTTATGTGGGGTTTGGGTAAGGTGATCGCGTTGGGTGGTCGTGCTCGAGCACGCTTTGGTAGACCAGGGAATAGCTGCTCTCAAGCTGAAATAGCAGGATAGTAAAAGTAAAACCTGCAGGGCATAAGCATTAGCAAGAACTATTAAACGCGCGCAAAAACCACAGCTCGATGAGCTTGTAGCTTCGAGGTGGGAGTCTGTTGATGCGTTCGTTCCAAGACAGGCACATCAGCGGCGACCCGCCGGGGCGTCAATTGCACATACCGGCACGACAAGCTGAGATCGACAGCGGTGACGGGGCGAGGAAGGTTGTGGGCGGTGGGATGCGAGCGTAAGGTTGTTGGTGGGGGAGGTTATGATTATGATTCCTCGTAGTGCTTCTCTGACCGAGTACTTGGTTGAGAAACGAGGCTACAAAACGGTGTCCACGAATGACCACAAGCGCAACTATTTTTCGGCGACTCATACTCTAAACTGTAAAATGTGACTCCAAGGCCCAACTCCCATCTCTACGCCAACCCCTCCACAACATCCTCGACTGCGAAATCCGAGTGCGCAACGAGTCGGAAGAACTGCGAAATTGGTGATCTAACCACTCTCTGCCGCCAAAATGCCTACAATCGGCGTGGACAAGGCTGCGCTCTATGAGGCACTGGGCCAAGAGTAAGTTTCGTGGCAATCCGCGAGACGCCTATTGACCCTCACAATAGATATACCACTGAGGAATTCGAGACTCTCTGCTTCGAATTTGGACTGGAACTGGACGAGGATACTTCGAATTCGGAGCGGCCGATTGTCAATGGCAAACAAGAACCTGCGCAGCTCAAAATTGAGATCCCCGCCAACAGATATGATATGCTTTGCTTCGAGGGCATAGCTCTGATGCTCAACATCTTCCGCGAAAAGACCCCACTTCCCAACTATCGATTGATTGCGCCCAAGAGTGGGAAGTTGGAGACCATTACTGTTCATCCTGATACGCTGAAAGTGCGACCATACGTCTCCGGGTCTATCCTACGGAATATCAAATTCACACAAGAAAGTTATGACTCCTTCATATCATTGCAAGACAAGCTGCACCAAAACATTGCCAGACAACGGACTCTAGTTGCTATTGGTACTCATGACCTGGATACCATCAAAGGCCCCTTCACTTATGAAGCATTGCCACCCAAGGATATCAACTTCACACCGTTGAACCAGTCGAAGTCGATGAACGCGGAGGAATTGATGCAGTTCTACGAGAATGATAAGCATCTAGGGAAATATCTACACATTATCCGCGATAAGCCAGTATACCCTGTGATCTACGATTCCCAGCGGATAGTGTGTTCGATGCCACCCATCATCAATGGCGACCACTCCAAAATTAGCGTGAACACAAGAAACGTCTTCATCGAGATGACTGGAACCGACCGGACAAAGTTAGAGATTGTCAACAACATCATTGTAGCAATGTTCTCGCAATACTGCGACGAGCCGTTCACTATTGAGCCAGTTAAGATCATTTCGGACCACAACGGCGAGACAAGACAAACACCAGACATCAGTCCTCGGATAGCCGAGGCGGAAGTAGACTACATCAACAACTGTTGCGGACTCTCTGAATCCCCCGAGCGCCTATGTCAGCTATTAGACAAGATGTGCTACAGAGCGACACCTTCCAGCACTTCAAAGAACATCCTCGAGGTCTCCATCCCCCCCACCCGCGCGGACGTCCTCCACCAATGTGACATAATGGAGGATGTAGCGATTTCATACGGCTTCAACAACCTTCCCCGCACTTCCCCCAATAAGGCCTCCACCATCGCCCAACCTTTAATGATCAACAAGCTCGGCGACATTGTACGGATGGAAACCGCCATGGCAGGCTGGAGCGAGGTCATGCCTTTAATTCTCTGTTCGCACGACGAGAACTTCGCCTGGCTCAACCGAGAGGATGACGGATCCACCGCCGTGAAACTCGCCAATCCCAAGACAGCTGAGTATCAAATCGTGCGCACATCCTTACTGCCAGGTCTACTAAAGACAATCCGGGAGAATAAAAAACACAGCGTCCCTATTAAAGTCTTCGAAGTCGCCGACGTAGCATTCAAAGAGCTTTCCTTGGAGCGCAAATCCCGCAACGAGCGTCACTTTGCCGCTGCGTGGTACGGGAAGACCTCCGGCTTCGAAGTCGTGCATGGCTTACTCGATCGCATACTTCTCATGCTTAAAACCGCATTCTTAACTAACGAGGAGGGTATTGCTGGTAAAAAGAGCATCGACTATGACGTCAAAGAAGTACCCGCAAAGAAGGATGGGTATTGGATCGAGGAGATTGACGAGCCCACTTTCTTCCAGGGTCATGCCGCGGCGGTTTATATTAGGGTGAATGGGAAGGAGGTTAGAGTCGGGGAGTTTGGCATCTTGCATCCCACGGTTTTAGAGAAGTTTGAGTTGAGGTATGCTATCCATTCGCCCTCAACCCCTGTGTCGTTTTCTCTAGGTTATGAGGAGGGTGCTAACATTAGTACCAAGGTATCCCGTGAGCACGCTCGAGATCAACCTTGAAGTCTTCTTATGATGAATGATTGAACAAAAACAAAGTATTGTAGAGTAAATAGATTAGAAGTGTATACTTCGCTATCTTGGCCTAGCCTAGTCTAACAATGAAAAAAAAAGCTAATTGCCTACCTCGTCCGTAGATGACGAGGTGAAGGCAAATGTTGATCAGAATACAGATATGGACACCATGGAAACCGCTTCGCACGACCATCCGCTCCCGTGTCTTCTATACCTCCAATCCAGAAACCCGCTGCCCCAGCGCCTACAATGCAAACATAAATGCACCGCTCGCTATTCCTTCAAGACGCCTTCCATCATAGTAGCTTCAAATTATAAGCACTGCCAAAAGCCCCCAAAAACAACATCATTGCATCTCAACCTCTAGGTCCTTCAAATCACCATTCGCAGGGCTCTTCCCCCCACTTCCAGCAGAAGTTCCCGCCGCTCCTCTCCCCCTTCCAATGCCTAATCCTGCGATGCCTTCTCTCAAACTAGTAAATGGGCCAGAATCGTCGCTGGAGGCATCTCTCGTGAGAGTAGATTTCGCTGTAAGGGTAGAATAGGCAGTTTCGACACCAGTGAGCACGCCATGGCCTACTCCCACGTTGCTATTGCTAGGACTAGGAGCTAGATACCTCTCGGTAACAGCATTGCTAGGACCATTCATCTCCTCTTCAGTACGATTGAAGACTTCATTCCACCAGCGGACTTTGTCCAATCGTGGGAATATAAGGCGTTCTTTACCCCTAATATTATCGTCGATTTCGCCACCATCGTACTCGAGATTCGTGAAGTCGCCGCGACGAGAGAGGAAGTAACCCCATACGCTGTGGGTTCGCTCTTGGACTTTAGCGTCTAGGCGGGCTTTCTCATTATTATAGAGGAAAGTCCCGTACTGGCAAGAATAGAGATGATAGTAGAGTCTGCGAAGGAAACGCTCATTGAATTCGAAGCGTGTGGGGAATTGACGGAGGAGCTGATATGTTGCGTCGAGAAATTGATGGAATACGGGACTGAGGTCGTTGAGCTTTGTGGCTTGTGTGTCTTTTGCACTGTCGCGTTTTGCTTTGGGGGCATCTTCTGCGAGAACCTCGCCATCTGATTCAGATATGGGATCTGAATTTTGACTGCTCTTGTTAAAGAAACGTTTCGCACTTAGGAGGGCGTTCTCGATCGCATCACTCCGCCCATCGCCGCTCCCGCCGGGTTGAATAGCCGATCCAGCCAGAGCATCGTTCTGTACTTTGAACCATTTGTCACTGCTTAGAAATCCGCATCGAAGCTGGAACATATGTCCAAATGATAGCCAGTCTTTCTCGATCAGGACCATAAAGCCATCAATTGTCCTGTAGTATGGGTCTAGTAATAGCTGTGCCAAAGCACTCAGCTGACTGGTACGGTCCCAGCCATCAGAACAGTGTATTAAGACATGAGAGTGTTGAATTCCGACTTGTCGCGCGATTAAAGACGCACCATCTAGGATCCCAGTAATATGCTTAATCCATCCACTCTTAGCAAGGAGGTCCCTATTGGGTGGTGATTTTGAGATATCAGAATCCTTGATAGCCTCAATGACCTTGTTTAACGATTCCCGCATGACATGGATATTGTCAATACCTAGGTATGCCTTGGTAGCAAACTTATAATGGTCCATGTTCTCCGAGCCGAGGCCAACAGCTTGCATAGCTAATGCATTGACGGTAGGCCGCGCGTCCACAATGAGGTTGTGCTGTTGAGCTCCATAGACAACCGGCTTATCTGTGACAATTTCAAGAGTCGAGGATGCAATCATTTCATCTTCTAATCGCTCCGTATCAAACTCATCATCTGCAGTCGGTAGCTCAAGTTCAACTTGGCTAGATGCTGGGCTGGTTCTCGAGGTAGTCGAAGAGTTAAAATCGGTGTCACCACCGGGCGGAGATGCAGAGAAGCATGCACTGACGAGTTTCTCATCCTGGATACTGCGGTTTCCTCTTAGACCAGCGAGCGGCTGCGAGCTTCTCGTTATCGAGCAATTGTTGATAGGGTGAAGGTACGTGAGTACTGGAATGCGGACCCTTGAACGGTATCGGCCAGCATAGTTTAGGGTGTTGTCTGAAATGCTGGATGGAACGGGGAGAAGGGCCGGATAAGTTGGGGAGAAGCCATAATCTATATTGATCCTGGATATTCTCCAACCTCTGTCCACTCCTTTGTCGCTGATGCCTTGTCGTTTCCATTCTGCCTTTGCGTCGTATACCTCCCAGCCGTTTATGTCATTCTCCGGTCCCGGTGGCTTGTAGTTGAAAGCATGCAAGTTTTCAATATCCCGCAACTTGCATGAACAAGCCTTCAGGCTTTCAAACACATCCCTAGCTTGTTTATCGTCGATAAAGTTGAGCGTCACGAATCGGTAGTCCCGACACCGTAGCCGTAGAGAGGAAGAGGTGCTGGAGGTTGGTGGAGTTGGTCGATAAGTACATAAGGATATCAACGGGTAAGCTATCCATATTTCTTTCGGCTTTGCTGGGCGCTTTGGAGGAGACGCCCCGAGGGGTAAGCGGGGAGGGGCCTGAATCAGAATGAGATGATGTGGTGTCAAGTGCAGAGTGACAACAGATATCTCTCCTCCTGCTAGTACTTGGACATCCTCCACCTAGGATACAGATATCAGCTTACTGGAACGCACACATGAGCGGGTTCTTAAGAGTGCCAACCTTTGCGATCTTGAGCTTGTCAACCATTGTGGTGCTGGTAGTGTATATGTATTGATTGTACTGGTGCCCGCGGCTGACGTCGGAAGCTCAGATCAAGAAGACAAGGGCGGCCTTTCATAACATAATGGGCGGTGCTTCGCAGTGACGAAGATAAAAATATGCAGCCCTGATGGAGGACTATTTGGCATTCAAAGTCCCTCTCGAGACCTCCAATGCAGCTTCCTCGAGATGTACTTTGGGCTTCGGCGCGCATTTACTTATCGCCTAACCCCTCGGTCCCGTGACCTGCGCTAATCGATAACTTCGAAAGTGACAGGGCTAACGACCAATGGCGATAAGCCAATAAGCGAGCCCACCTCCGTGACCACACAATCAAATACTTTTACGATTTCCATAACCACGGACGAAGTTGACCCAGGACCTCATCGACGACAACGACATTGAACCTTACACACCAGGTTCAATTCGACAACACAAACCAGACACCATGGCCTCCGGAGTACCAGGAACCGCAATGTAAGAAAATATTCCCCCTTCAGCGTTCCTGCGCAAGTCGAAATGGAAACAAGGCTGACTGAACTCCCCTCACCACAGCTCAAAGCGGAGAAAGTTCATCGCAGATGGTGTCTTCTACGCCGAACTGAACGAGTTCTTCCAGCGCGAGCTGGCTGAGGAAGGCTACTCGGGCGTCGAAGTGCGCGTAACACCCACCGTCACCGACATCATCATCCGGGCAACACACACACAGGAGGTTCTAGGCGAGCAAGGACGACGTATCCGCGAGCTCACATCGCTGATCCAAAAGCGCTTCAAATTCCCCGAAAACTCCGTCTCCCTCTATGCCGCCAAGGTCCAAAACCGCGGTCTCTCCGCCGTCGCCCAGTGCGAGTCCCTCCGCTACAAGCTGCTGAACGGTCTCGCCGTCCGACGAGCATGCTACGGTGTCCTGCGATTCATCATGGAGAGCGGCGCTAAGGGCTGCGAGGTGGTTGTTTCTGGCAAGCTCCGTGCTGCTCGTGCGAAGAGCATGAAGTTCACCGATGGTTTCATGATCCACTCCGGTCAGCCCGCGAAGGATTTCATCGACTCGGCAACCCGCCACGTTCTCCTGAGACAGGGTGTTCTTGGTATCAAGGTCAAGATCATGAGAGGCTCAGACCCAGAGGGCAAGAACGGCCCCTCAAAGAGCTTGCCAGACAGTGTTACGGTTATTGAGCCAAAGGAGGAGCAAACTGTTGTTCAACCCATGAGCCAAGATTACGGTGCGAAGGCCGCGGCTGCACAGGCGGCTGCTGAGGCTCAGCGCAGCCAGGAGCAAGGCGACGAGGCTGCTCCTGCGGCTGAGGAGTAGATTGATTTGATCAAGCGGAGTTCTTTTGTGAATTATGCGGGAGATCTGATCAAGATGGATGGGCGTGTGGGAAATCAATTGCATGCAAACGAGCTTTCTCGGCACTCTATTGTGGGCTTGTAATTCTTGCCATTAGAAATAAGATACAAGGCTGTGAATACCAACCAACTTCAGTCCTCCATGAGAAACATCAATAACATCAGTCATGGCTGACATGTGACTTAATGACCTCCTATTGAATTCTAGCGGCTAACTTGTGTTGTCCCGCCCCCCAGAATGCAACTGCACCTCAAATACGCATAGATATATCATACAAGATGTGTGTCTCTTCCCTTCCCGTTGGCAGTACAGAGATGCCCAGCCCCCAACGCCGAAACCCTCATGTATATCGTACTGTAGTATGAAAATCCCAATGCGCGCAGGCCATGCTGCACCATTCCATGCCGCTTTACATTAAAGCCAGAGTCTCCAACCAGCCATTCGTTGACCATATACAAATAATGAGAATATATCAAAAGGGACGTCCCGTTAACTAGGGTCACCGAGGTAACGGTGAGGCCTTTCTCGACAATGAGCGCTCTTGCTCTACTGGGTCTGCGAAACTCCTCTTGCTCCCGTTCCCATTACTGTAGACCTTCCCATTTGAATGCCCCAAATGATGTTCGTCGTCGCTGTCTTCTGCCAAGTCAGCCAGACCGAACCCTGTATTTTCTTCCTCGTCGTATGCGCGGATGAGTCCTTCTCTATCGCCCCCTCTGCCAAATCCGGCACTGCCCACACTCATTCGATGAGGGTCCACGCTTCTCCGGGATTGCATGCTCCTTCTTGTCTGTAAACCAGAAATTCCGTCGGTGGCAATGCCATCATGTGCAGTGCCATTAATCATCATATGCCCATTAGGGTCTCCGCGTGAAAGATTAAGGAGGTATACTCCAGTGAAAATTACCAAGAATCCTGTAAGGAGGGAAATGGTGTTAACTGCGTCCGAGGTATTAAATCCGCCGTAGAGGATGAATGAGGCGCAAAGCGTGGCAGTTGTAAAAGTAACATAGTATAATGGGTTAACGCTGTGGTGTTAAGTTAGCAGACTACTCGAGCCCCGCGGTTCTGTAATTGCTTACATTGAGGTTGGGAACTGGCTGAGCGCCTTGTTGAAATAATTCATCTGCGTAAGAATGCAGATGGTGGTTAGGATAATGAAAACGTAGGTCGAAGGATGCGTGAACTGATTGTTTCCCGCAAATGTCAATTTTACGGCAATTCCAAATGCCTTGACTGACATGACTGACACCGAACCAACAGTCGAGCATATTGATAGGTAGATCAGCGGGTTCTTCTTTCCGTACTTGGGTGCAACTCTGTATATCATAACAACGGAGAAGACTGCGACAACCAGGGAAAACAGTAGGAACCCTATTACAGCCATTAGATGAGTTCACTTGTAGCACAACACAAGAGGAACTTACCCGGCTGAATTGCATAATGGAGAATCTCGTCGATAGTCTGAATTTCCTTGTCCGGAGGGGCATGTAGGATGATTATGATTGATCCGATCAAGCAGATCGCGCAACCCAACTTCCCCAACGTCCCTAATTCTTCATCCAAGAAGTATGACCCTAATACTGCGCCGATCAAAACGCTGAGCGCCCCTAGAGGCGTCACTAGAATTGCCGGTGCAAAGGCGTAGGCCGCAAAATTCGCAATTTCTCCGATAATGACTGCGATGAAGGGTCAGCTAGCAATCTGGCAGGGAAAGCTTTGGGTTGCATACGAGCTATTATGCCAGCCCACCATATGGGACTCTTGAGATATGTAAACCCCTCTCCTTCAAAGCCATGTCTTCGCTCTGCATCTATCAGGCCCTGGAACAAACTGTCAGTGCCCGCATTTCAAACAGGAGCCGCATTTCGCGTTCGATGAGGTGTGCCGCGCAGTCGCTCTCGTACCTTTTTCGTAATGACAAAACTCGTCCCTATAATGTTGAAAATCAATCAGTCCACGTAACCAGGTAATAGACCACCAGATTTGACTCACCTATTGCAAGAGTAGAGGTTATGGCCAATGCCAGGCCAATGTATCTGTCCTCAAGCGTCAGCCATTATCCCCCGCTGCGCGCCAGCTGCGCAAAATCCTTCAACATACTTGTCTTCCACCATATTCAACATCACGGGACAGCTGCTGGAGCTGTTCTTCCTGTCGACTCCAATGCGTGCTTGTTGTGAGCTTATGCTCGTCGTGTCGCAGGCTGCCTACAAGATTCGAGACGCAACGCAGTCGCGCAGAATGTATTCGGTAACGAGGGCCGGCGCCCTTTCCTCGTCTTGATCTTAGATGTGCGCGCCTCAGCAGACTCGCTCCTTGCTGAAAATAGTTGAGATCAATTATCGCCGTCGCAAGTCTCGTCGTGGGGATTATTCGATGTGGTTTCGGGCCCCTGCGCTGGTCATGAGGGTGTGTCGTTGTCGATATGAAGATCTGCTATCGGGGGCATCCCTTACACGCCAAGCCGAGAGGGAAGACACCACGCGGGCGGACGAACTGCTTCAAAGACAGGACCGCGGCACCGTGAGATTTCGGTAAATGGCAGCGAGAGAATTTGCCCGCAAAATGGTGTTGGTATTGGGTGGTGGTGGTGGTGTTGGTGTTTGTGGGATTTGTGTTTTCTGTTCCTGGGCAAGATGTGGCCTGAAACGCTGGTTAGATTCCAATTACAGTAGCAGTCCTCACAATCTCGTGCTGGGCTGGACATTCGACGAATTCTGGCTACGCCGTCGGCCGTCGTCCTACGGAGTACGAAGAATGCTGCCCACAAGTCTCCTGCCCAGCGACTCTCGGCACCAGGGTCAGGGGGGCGTATTACGAGTAAGGAGACACTGCGCAGCCAACCACGCCTACCAGCGTATTATTTTTAGGCGCGCTAGCCTGGTATGGCCTAGTGTGTCGAAGAAGTCCACGTAGGCTCCTGTTTCGGAAGTACTTTCTTGGAGGGTTTGTCACGTGCGTGGGTGGGCTACGCCAAGTTAGGTAGCATTAGCTTTGCTCAGCCCCCCATCAACTCCGCTGGGCAACTGGAGCGGCTGCGGCCAAGGACGATGTAGACACATTGGAGGTTATTATTCTGGCACTGTACATACCGTAAGGTACCTAGGTATGTACAGTTCGAGGTACGGACTCCGTGGATCGACATAGGCCCATACTTCCAGCTTACTTATTTACCGGGCAACAAGAAGCAGGATATTAAGATTAAGATCATGTTTTGCTATAGACGGCCGTCAGCCTCAGTTATACGGTGATCCTACAAATCAGAGGCAACGAATGGCAGTAAGCCTCAGAGGCATCCGAAAGTCCATAGTCCATCTCCGTCCACACTAATCGTATAAAGCAAAGCAAGGCAGCAAATCCTTCGCGCTGAGATGCCTCTCCCGAACCCTCAGACCAGACTCGCCTAAAAACAGCCCCTCCAGCAAATAACGCCCCCGTATGTTCCCTTTCGGCCAGATGTGTGCGGACGCCAAAAGAAATGACCGTATGCTATGCTAAGTATCGAGAGGTGCTAGAGCTGTGTAAAGTGTAAAGTCGGTTTGTACTACGGGAAGATGGTGTGGGGAATAGGGTTGGAAAGGGTTGAGCTGGAATATACTTATTAGACCTACCGAGTGGGGTTCCTATATCACATTAGTAGAAGCTGTAGAGTTCCGGGTGGTGGGGAGTTGTAATAGATCCGGAAACATATCGAAATGTCGACATGCAAAAGGGATAGGCCGAGGAATAGGAATAGGACGAGAAGTCGAAAGGGGCGGCATGTGGTTGGCTAGACTACTCAAATAGTCGGTATAAGTACCACAAGATTCGAGTCCCTCAAAGTCGCCGAAATCATATCACTTCCGCGAGGAAGGTTCATGACCGAGTGCGTTTGGCTTCTGGATAATGGTTAGCGTTCGTCCTCTCAAATTAGGGACCCAGGACGTACCTTTGCTAGTCTCGGCACCTCCAGTCTCTAGATCGGACAGAGGTCTTTTTAGCCCTCCCCCAGCCATTGATGGAAGAGGGTTCTCTGGTTTGGTAGAGCTTTGCTCCTTCTCGTCCTCTCCATCTTCATAATCGATCTCGTCTTGCTCTTCATCGACCACGTTATTGGTGACAACCTCCAACTCGTGAACTTCGTCGGTTGGTTTCGGTTCGTCATTGCCATATTCATCGATATACTCTTCGTGTCGTGGCTCATCTACACTTAGGGTAGCACTTGACTCAGCTATATCGCCAGGCTCCAGACCGCTAGATGCGGGGGTTTGTCGGTGGTCTTCCTCGTATATCTCGATTTCGTCTTCGGGATCCTGGTGGTTGCTTTCATCATCATAAACAGCCTCTTCAGCATCGTCTCCGTTAAAGGCTATCGCTATGCCGTATTCTACGGCTGGCTCGCCATTCTCCGAATCTTCGTGAGTAAGGGGTTCATCCTGATACTTCTCATGCACACTCCCACCATCGATGTTGTCTGCCCTTAGGCCTTCGTCCCCAGCTTGCATGGTTCCATCGTCAAATATTTCTTCCGCTCCATCCTCACTCCGTGCTTCATCCTCGGCGCCGTTGTGGAGTTCTTGGCGTTTTTCGGCGCCAAGTGGCGCGATATTCCTAGAAAGTTCAAGTTGACTCTCCTCGGCGGCCGGCGATACGGAGCGTCGGCGCAGTTCCTCGTTGATTTCTTCGTATTCTGCAAGTAGAAGATAGGCGCATTTAGAACAAAAGCATGCATTAGGTTTGAGACATGGGGAAAAGAAATCTGTAGATGTACCATTATGTGTTCTCTTTTGATCAGCTGGAGGCTCAGTGACCTCTTGATATTCTTCATCTGAATAATCAATCAAATCTTCTTCTTCAACATGCCCCGCACTAGCATCTAGGTAATCGTCCGGCGGAACTCGCTGGTTTGTTCGGCCCAAGGTACTAGTGGCTGGCCCTTGATTGGATTCCTCATGAGCTCCAGGCCCGATATTGTCACGGTCCAGGTCAAGGCTAGCCTCTCGTCCTAGGGGTTCCGGATCGTTGATAAGCGGAGATGTTCGGGATGTCGATACAGTCATATCCTCGCTCTCGGGGATTGTCTTCTCCATGGTCTTACCTTTCCCGGCATCGAGTTCTTCGAGACTCGTTGTTTCAGCAGTTTCCTCGTATCGTTCTACGTTATGATCTGCAGCTTCTAAGTCGTCGATGCCTTCACTGCCATCATCGAAGGATATCATCTCAGAGAGGCCTTTACCTTCAGCAGCGCCCGACGTAAGGACTACAAGCCGCTTAGAGAAATTCGGCCTTGCTCCGATGCTCATATACAAGGGTCGGGAGGACTGCCGATCATCGTTCGATAATAGCTTATTATAAACACCAATAATGTCTCCAAGAGTATGCTCTCGAAATAGGGTAGAATTCTGCTCCATTGTGGTCAGCTGAGATAAATACATGCAGTTTGTAGGGAGACGGACCTCTTCAATTTCAAGCCCAAGGTCCTCCACAGACAGGCATAACTCATCTTCATCAGCGAGGTCTTCATGGATAACATTCCGAATGTCCTCGAAAAATACGTCTAGGGAGCTTTCAAGAACTTTTAAGTCCGATAGGAAAAACGAATCCGGGTTATCGTCTTCCGACTTCGAGAACAAGGAATACTCCATAGACTGATAGACAACAACTACATCAGGAGCCGTAATCGGGCTGTTTGCATTTGTTGCTTCATTTTCATTGGTAGTTTTGGCGCCTTCTTCAGGCTCGTGATCGTTAGCTGTATCAAGTTGTTCGGGCACATGTGGGTTAGCTGTTTCGGCGTCATGGTCAGAAGCTGGGCCGGGGGACAGTGAAGGGACCTTCGTAATAGATGCTGGAGAAGTTCTGTCTTGCGGAGTGGGTGATGGATCGCTATTCTCGGATACCAGCTTGGCAGGTTCCTGGACATCGGAGTGATCAACATCATGACTACCTGTATCTTCAGAGCCGTCTTTGGAATAATTCACTTCGACTGCCGTTTCGGAGGTTCCCTGCTGATGCCAAACAGCTTCAACCACCTCAGTTGAATTGCCCTGGACTATCGGTGTCTCTGGATCTCTGGTGGAATGCAGTGTATCGGCCATTTGATGTGGCATATTATTTGTTTCTGGGCCCCTGGATGAGTCGGTGCTTGCTTCCGCCATGTTACTCTCTTCTGGTTCCGCGGGTGCGTCAGCCATCGCCTCCTGCACAATATTTGTGTCTGCGTCCATTTGCTGGTCATCGCCATCAAATTCAACGTCTTCATCCTCCATTGTATATGCCTCTGGGTATTCGTCAACCATCAGATCATCATGAGTTGCTGGCGAGTGTTGTGTGATGGGATCGCCTCCAAAGCCGGCGGTTGACCCGGTATCTTCAAGCATGTAATCATCGTCTGCGTAGCTAGCGGTCAAGTCGATGTCAATATCTATTTCATCATCGGCGCCGTGATGGCCATGGTCTGATGAGATCTCCATGGTATCGTCTCCCATCATGGGCGATATTGCGGTGGCTCCAATATGGGAGGCAAGCATGTGTGCGAGATCGGAATATCACTAAGCCCAACGGGCCAAGGGCTCATTAAAGGTGTTAACTCTTTGAAAGCAATAGATCGATAGAATAGTTCCAGGGTTGGCTGAAAGTATTATATCAAGGTCGGCGTTTGAGCTCCAGGAGGGACAATGTGTATCAAAGGATTAAAGAACAAAGGCGCCACCGTGCGACTTATCGACGAGCGGTCACAAACTGACGTGGTGATATTATGAAGTGAATTCAATAACCTCAAATAGTATCTGCACGCGTGCAGACCATAATAGTATTAAATCGAGTGGCGATTCGTGTAGGTTCCGACGCTGCGTTGCTGTTGAAGTGAATAATTTCCACAAAGATACATGATGGACCGAGCCTTAGCGCGAAGGCAGGGGTTCCCAATCAAACCACGCTAATCCATAATCACACAAGTTACAGGTCACGTGCAAGGTTCAGATCCCACCCGCGCTTCACTCACACCGGAAAGCACACTCTGGACATCTGAAGATTAAATCCCACTTGACCACAGATCCTCCAATATCGCAAATCGCAAGCTTCCAATATGGTGCGCATCTCTACTAGCTTTCCCCCTCCCAGAGTGAAATTTACTAACTGCAATCAGGTGGTTCTTGCAGCTTCAATCTGCACGAGGGGAGGAAAAGCTGTCCTCTCCAGACAGTTTCGGGAGATGCAGCGGTCGAGAGTCGAGGCTCTTCTTGCATCCTTTCCGAAGCTGGCAGACAGTGGAACGCAGCATACGACGGTGGAGCAGGATAATGTCCGCTTTGTGTACCAACCTCTCGACGAACTCTACATGGTTCTCATCACCAATCGCCAGTCGAACATCCTTCAAGACATCGATTCGCTACACCTATTTGCACAAGTTGTCACCAGCACATGCAAGACTTTGGACGAGAGGGAGATATTGAGGAATGCATATGAGCTTTTAAGTGCGTTTGATGAGCTGGTAACCCTTGGGTACCGGGACAATCTCACACTCAGTCAAATCAAGACATTCTTGGAGATGGAGAGTCATGAAGAGAGGATACAGGATATCATTTCCAGAGTATGTTTCTTTACTACCCATGATATGTGTGGAATGCCTCTAAACTTTTCCAGAATAAGGAGTTGGAGGCAACAGAGGAGCGGAAACGGAAAGCCAAGCAATTGGAAATGCAGCGCAAGGAGGTTTCGAGAAGCGGCAGGAACGCCATCCCTCGCACACCTGTCTATCCCACATACACACCTCCCGCCCGGTCTTCAGTTACCGATACCTACGACTCGTATGAGGCCGAGAAAAACAAATCCTTCAAGTGAGATACTCTCCACGCCCGTTGAAAGCCCTGTTATTAACTGTTTATCAGAGCAACTGCACCAAAGGGGAAAGGCATGCAATTGGGCAAAAAGTCGAAAACTACCGACATGTTCGAGCGTGTTAAGGGCGAATTAGGCCCCGAGGCAGAAGAGAGGGTGGCATCTTCCTTGGTGCCGACCCACCCTACACAAGCACCTGCTGAGCACGCAGCACGTACCTCTACTTCCCTAGATCGTGACGCGATTCACATTACAGTTGCAGAGACGATAAACGCAAGACTATCGAGGGAAGGATCCTTGGATTCGTTGGAAATCAAGGGTGACTTGCAGCTCAAGATTTCAGACGCGACACTCACAAAGATCAAACTTGATCTCGTGGCCAATTCGAGCCACGGGGTTCAATTCCGTACCCATCCCAATGTCGACAAAGGTGTCTTCAACAGCTCTAAAGTCGTGCAAATGAGCAACATAGCTAAGGGATTCCCTGTGAACAACTCTGTTGGCGTTCTACGATGGAGAGCTACACCGAAGGCAGATGATGCTAGCGCCGTCCCTATAACATTTACGGTTTGGGTAAATAGGGGCTCGGATGACACGTACAACATCACCGTTGAGTATGAGCTCACTGGAGGTGATCCGTTGAAAGATGTGACCGTCATAATCCCCTATGCCACTAGCGAACCATCAGTGTCTAGCTTCGATGCCACGTACGAAGTCTCAGGCGACAGCTTGGAATGGACAATTGGCCAGGTTGATGAGGACAATGCGACTGGCTCATTTGAATTTGAAGCACAGGCTGGGGATGAGAATGAGTTCTTCCCAATGCAGGTGAAGTTCAGCAAAACCAAGCCTTTTATCGATGTTGATGTAAGTCAAACTCCGGTCCCCGATTGACCCCTGAGCATACCTAATAATTCTACCTAGGTTACCGACGTGACACTTCTAGAACTGGACGAAACTGTTACATTTTCAAAGGAGATCAAGTCTGTCGCTGACTCATACTTGATTGAATAAGAGTAAGGGGTAGCGAAAATTCAATGGGTTTCCAAGCGCATGGCGTGGGATGGACGGGTGGCCAGACATAGCCCTGGTTGATGATAGATTAGCAATAGCGAACTTTTGAGATTCTAAGACGGGGTTCACAAATTAAATTAAATATCCAGACTATGTTGGATCTTGCTCCTATATCACTTATCCTGCAAATCCATATCCACCTCAATGGTCAATGTTGAGTTGGGTGGTCATGTGTTTTCCCGACTCGCTTATGATTATGATTTGTACATCGCGACTTCACCAACGCGACGAAGGTCTTGCCGCTTTTAGATCCTGCAACCCACGCGGACTAATAATACTTGAAGAGCGGAGAATGCCAGAAAGTTATTTTCGAACGTGCGTATGAAACCGTGTGATCGAAAGACGAGGCCAAGATGGACGAGCCTTCGGCTCTCGAAGCGCTCAGCGAAAAGACACTTGCCCATGCAGCAGATTCTAGGCTCATCACGTACTGCCCATCGATGGACTTGGTCGCTCTTGGGACCGCCGACCAACAAGTGCTCGTATATCGGCTCAATGGCCAACGAGTCTATGGAACTACGCAGAAACCCGGGGCATCACGAGTCGAGAACATCAAGTGGAAGCCGAATGGTTGGTCATGGCCTATCAACATGGCAACATTACTGACAAAGATATAGGGCAGTTACTCGCCATTGCCTGGAGCGATGGCATTGTTCGGCTGGTTGGAGCGGAGAATAGCAGAATCGTTCACCAGTTTTCTGCAGGTGAGGGTGTTACTGGTATCACGTGCGTGGGATGGGGATCCAATTTGACCAGCAGGTCGTCGAGTGCGATGAAGAGCGCTACATCCTGGGAAAGACTTTTAAGCTCAGAGGCTATCTTGTCTGAGAATAAAGCGTATCTGGATTTGCCAAGGGACCTTTCCCAGATTGATATTGAGAGGAGCTTGCCGAAGTTAAGTGTTCTACCAGCTGGAGGAAGCTCGTACGTATATGTTCAGCTTCTCAGATACCATTTGTTGACATATCTATAGAGACGAGGTTTTCTGTTCCTGGTCATCGTTAGATGCAATATTTCGCCCATTTGATCCCAAAGACAACAATGCTATCGATGTCATGGTTGTCGGTACTAAAGAAGGACACGTCCACGTCACAATTTACAACTCGTTCGTTGTTGGAGCCTTTCCATCTCCCATTCTCGCCGATGGAGTGCCGTCTCATCTGGCTCTACATGCATCTCACGAAAAATGCTCAACGCATGCTCTTCTCATGAAGTCCTCGGGCTCTGAGAGCCTTTATTTCGTCCCAATGGATCTTCGTTTCATTTCCGTATCAAGCGAATATCTCTCACTTCTCGCGTCTAGGTCTACGGCTCTTCAGAACCTATTAAGATATATTCACCAGGTTCAGATGTTGATGGTTACTGAGTGGAAATCCACACAGGAATTGCCTGGTAGATTCCTTGGGAATATCAATGAGACACTTGCCGAGAAAGATACCCGGAACATCGTTCAAGCTCTGTATCATTCTGTAGCTACAGGCCACACCTTCCCCGCCGTCAAGGAATGGCTAGTAGATGAGCTCCAAGAGAGAGTGGGTTCCCCCAACAATGCTTAACGTGTTTATCGCTGATTCCCGTAGGGCCATAAGCGATGGGAGAAAGCGGTCGTTAGCGGGCTAGAAAATTTGCGACGTCTCGTTCATGAAAACATGCTCCCAGCTCTAGAGAGGTGTACTGTCATCCTCAGCCGGTTCTCTGGGATTGCTAAATTTCAAAGCCCTAATGAAACCGTCGGATTTTCCAGTCACCAAATTAGTCTCATCATAGACACACTGGCCTGTCTTCATTTACTCTCTTCCAAAATTCTTGTTCAAGTTGTTGACGAACTTGATCTTTTTTCCGCCTTTTCGCTCTGGTTACGGAATGAGATCGATAGGCTTGCTTCGGATTCGTCTGATTCGCCAAAAGAAGATGACTTGGAGAAAGAAGCGTCGATCGACCACAGCAAGGTTTTGCTCTATCTTCAAACATGTATGACCACTAGCCCGTTGGAGGTTTATTTTGGAGGCAGCACACCCGATGATTATAGCAGCAGCTGGAACCAGGCTGAGCAGGGCCTCCCAATGTTTGACATCTTGGACAAGCAGCTCCAGAAACAAGAGGCGGGGCTTCCTTTTATGAGGGCGCTCCCTCGAGTCGAACTCGTCTGTAAACACCTGACTGGCCAAGCGAAAGCCATTTTTGATCAAATTGCAGAGGCGGAGAAGCGGAACGTTTTGTTTGGGAAGGCACAGCTCGTCGGTATCGCTCAAGATGACCAGCTAATGGACATGCGGCTGTGCAGCACGGTAGGTAATCTCACTGAATGTGGGATCTTGCCTGATCATTTCTCCAGACAAATTTGGCTTCTCATACATATATCGCATTTACACCAAAGGGGTTGCCAAGTTCCAGTAAGCCAGCATTAATAGGTTTTTGATATCTTCTAATATTCGTGCAGTCCAAATCACTCGGCACAAGCTTGCGATCGAGAATGGCATTAGTACGGTTCAACAAATAGATTCATCAGTTATCCAACTTGGCGATGGCCAAATCAGAGATATCATGTTTTTGGGCGACAACGGTTTGCTAGCATTGTGGGAGTCGCATGGTTGGTGACCCGTCTGAAACATTTTATAATTTCATTCTAACAGCATTTTTAGACGCAATCGATCTTCTGAGTATCGCTTACAATACGCCCAACACAGTAGATACATCATCCATCAGAAATTATCCTATGGAATATCTTGAACACCTTCACCCTACAGATCACCGCCCTACATTGTTCAACAACGGAGACGTTCGCAGGAAATTCTCACAACATAAATTTCCAAAGGATGGGTCATTTATCCCAGAGACATTGGAGATTCGAGAAGAAAGCAAGGGTCACGGAGGCACTGCGGAAAGGGTGGTTATTTTGGGGAAAGACAAATTACACTATAAGGTTTTCTGTCTGTCTGGCAGAACCCAGATGGGCATCAAGAGAGACGATGGAACGGGAGACGATGAGGATATTTCAATGTCCTGATTCACCACATTGTAATGTTAGTATACCCTTACTGGCCACTCCGATTACTACTGTGCCTCACCAGATAGCGCACTATAACTCAACTACACCTCGCTCAACTAAGTAGCCTACATGTGATATATTCAGCTTTTTATATTCATCATACTCTACTTGTTTCCGAAATTCTCCAGATTTACCACTGCACCACCCTATTAATTTACATACAACACCCCCATGTTCTAACCAGGCCAGATAAAACTCCAATGCCATTTGGAAATCAAGCGCAGGCGCCTCATAGTCCAGAAACTAATACCCTGTTAACAAACCCCCATTCACGCCTTAACCCTATTAACCGTATCCACAACAACGGCCCGCCCAGGCTTAGCAAGTCGCATATCGACATCATCCACAACCCTCTTCCTAACTTCCTTCTCTTTCTCTCCCTCCTCTTCTTTTCTCTTCCGCTCTTCATCCCCCTCTTCCCATGAATAGTTCCCTGCCCCGCCCCGGCCGCCTCGGTAAGTTGCAGTTGTGCCTGACGCGGGCGCCTGAACCGCTTGGGGAGTGGAGGGGGGTGAAGTGGATGTGGGAAGTATTGATTCGGAATCTGCAGTGGGTAATGGTGGAGCTGTGGACTGGGCCCAGTTGCCAGCTCCGCCACGGCCGGTATGCAGGTATTCGGCCGGCGGTTTTGAGCTCGTTGTCAAAGAGGGCGTGAGTGATTGGGATTCAAGATCTGGTTGTGGAAGCTATACGCAGTAAGTATTGGCTAGCGTCGTTTGCAAAGTAGAGCATTAGGTATGGGATCAAGAAAGCGGTGAGGGAGAAGGCATACGCATCCTTGTGATGTGGAATTGTGAATAACCTCCTCACTATGGAAATTTCCAGCGCCTCCACGACCAACTCTTTTATACGGCGACGTCATGTTTTTTTTCTTTTCCGCCAAAAGCGATGACTCAATTACCTCTTGTGTTTGCCTTTAATACCGTCAATTCTTGTTGAAATATATAACTTGCACGCAGTTTATGAATTGGGTGGGGAACTGTGGGAAATACCTCTTATCGTCTTATCAATAGATAAGGATACCGTGATGTAATTCCGTACGTCCCGCCTTCTATTATGTTTTAGAGTTCGATTCATGTCTCCTTCATATTTGTCTTCATTTTTCTTGCTCATGGCGATGCATAAGACAGCAAATAAACCAGAATACGGGAAGCTGCCCAAGTGCCGGCAAGTATTTCCAACAAGTGCTGGATGCAGGCAATGTAGTGATTCCAGTAATTCCTACGGAGTACAATTTTCCTGGGGTCTCTTCTCTGAAGTCTAGACCACCACCACGTGTTTGCCAAGCTTGACTCGTCAAGTTCAGACGTACCTGTTCTGAAAGAGCAAAGCCCAACAGACACCTTACCAGTCGTAAGGTACGAAGCATCCGTTTGCCTATGGGCACGGATGAACGCTCTGGTAGCGGTATATATTTGTATGCACAAGAAATGTTTCAGTTCAGGAATAGGACGGTAGGCAGCCGCCGTATCTGTTGATTTTCTGTTGCCTGTTTGTTACCTGTGTGTCGTTTGTCGCCTGGACGACGAAGTTTCAGCCCTATAACTCCCCCTTTTACTCCCACTCTCGTCCCTAACTTCAATAATCCATCTGCGATCAAATCCATTGTCATGGCTTTAATGTACTTCAATAACATTGATTTCTACCGTAACCTGCTGTCTTCCGCATACAAAGATGATGAGAAGGAAGACGCTGCGCTCGCTGTCCAGATCGAAAATGAAACCTTGGACACGATGATATGCGCACGCATCAGGCCATTATCTGAAGAGGAAAAGGAAGAACATCATATTCCAGGTATCCTGTCCAATAGCTCCTCAAAGGCTGTATTGTATGAACCGAGGCAAAAGTTCAATGGCAAACCTGATTCTGTGGTGAGACTAAACCATTTCCTTAAAGTGCGGCCGTCGTGGCTAACTTGAATTTTAGAAACATGGATTTTCCCTTCATCGGGTTTTTGACACCGATATGCAGACGGAAAGTGTGTATCAGGAAGCTGCCCAGAAATTGGTCCCATGGGCCTGGACCGGAGGAGTCAGCACGCTATTTGCATATGGCCAAACTGGATCTGGCAAGACATTTACTGTCACTGGCATCACCAATCTGCTTATCAAGGACATCATGGCAATCGCAGAAGCCGAACATCGAGCGATATATGTTTGCTGCTTCGAGATTTTTGGGAAAAAGGCTTATGGTGTGTGATCTCCCTAAACGGACTTTTCATCCCCTCGCTAACGTTGTTAGACCTGCTGGACGACCGCCGCATGTTCAACATTATGGAAGATTCGTTCGGGAAAATGCAGCTTATAGGTGTGCAAGAAAAGCATCCTGCTTCTGAGGAAGAGTTCCTCTCCATCATCCAAACAAGTGCTTCACTTCGAACTTCGGCTCAAACTACAAAAAACGACCAGTCATCTCGATCGCATGCCGTCTACCGCATCCGCATTGTCAACAAAAAGAATTCAGAGGCCCAGGATGGGGAGCTCTTCCTGGTTGATTTGGCGGGTAGTGAAGGTAGTCAAGACTCGAGTAAGCACTCGGCTGAAAGGCTTGTTGAAACCAAAGATATCAACACATCTCTGTCCATCCTCAAAGACTGCATTCGGAACCGCACAATTTGGGGCCTACAGCAGCTTGACAGTAGTGAAACTGCGAAGAAAAGCATACACATCCCATGGCGCAGCAGTAAGCTAACGCAAGTGCTAAAACACGTGTTTGGGACGCAAGAAGACCGGGTTTGCAAAACCGTCGTGATCGCTTGTGTGGCGCCCAGCATTGTTGATTCGGGGCACTCGAAAAACACCCTACGGTATGCAGAGATGTTGAAAGTGCCGGTGCCAAAAATGAAAAGACCAAAAGACGCTCTGGTTCCATCAAACTGGACAAATGAAAAGATGAAACTGTGGATTAGGGAAAACGTATGTTTCAACATATTCTGCCGAATTCGATTCTTTCATTAACATCAGAGTAGTCTGGTACCCCTGCCATTGATGCGGATATCCTCGCAGGAAAATTGAGCGGCATGCAACTCTGCAAAATGCCGCAGAAGGACTTCATATCTCGCTGCCTCCAGACAACAGGCGTCGAGAAGGACCAAGCTACCGCGTTCTACCAGAAGCTGTGGCGGGTACGGATCGATTCTCGACAACAATCCACGACCTTCACCGCAGGAGACAAGTCGGAGACAATGCAAAGGCCATCGAGACCAAAGACCGCAAGGCCTTTAAACACAACGCCTTTCCAGCAACGCATTAAACCCGGTATGTGCATATCCATGGGGAAGCGTAGTTACGGCGCCTTGTTCGTCGTGGTCATGTCGCCCTTTGGACCTGAAGATTTCGATGGAGTAGGGGATGAGAGACGATTCATTTGTGCCGTTTTCGGGCCAAGCATGATGACGGATGCCTATGAGCTGCACATTGAGAGGCAGGAGACGTTCATCGTTAAAGACATGGAAGGCGAGGCGTTCATGGAGTACGATTCAGCGACTCGATACTATTACCTGGATCTGTGATTAAAGGTCTGACACGGCAAGGTTCTAGACTCGGGTCTGAAACCATGAAGTAGATGCCAATTATTATTAGAAATGCAACTCCTTGCCACTTATTTATTTTCTCGGGGTATCCGTTGTGACCGGATAGTTTCTGAGAGGCCATTGCACAACTAGTAGTTCTTTTGCTTTCTTGGCTCTTGGGGTTAGTTGCCTACAGACAGAGCCAGACGGCGCAGTAGCAAGGATCCTTTACGCACTTACACTTTGTGCTTGTAATAGCGAGACTTGAGTAGATTAAGTGCGTGGCGTGGCGTGGCCCACGCGTGGCTGCAACTGGGGAGCAGGGACGGCCTACTCCGTAAATGCCACCGGGCTGTCCCCAGGGTAACCTGACAAGTATCCGCAGGCCTACTTACCCAGAGTCAGTACTGGTACTTGGGTTCCAGGGGTGTGGAATAATGGGGGAGCAAACTATATTTCCCACTACTCCTTACTCTGTACAGATGTGCATGTACAGTCCAATCCAATAAATACAGGTTTCTGCATCGTCTCCCAATACAGCACCTAGCCTTATGTGGGGTAGGTCGATATTGTAGTTATTACCGTGATTGTAGATATTGCCGTGGTTGTAGTTATTGCCGTTATCGCATAGCAGTTATTGCAGTTACTGTACGGCCTCCTAAGTCTGTCTTCAAGACCACTACGGACTAGGACTACGTACAGAGCATACAGGAGTAATTCGTACAGCGTATGTGACAGCTCCGGCAATAATAGACAAGTCAGGGAGTAGGGGTTTGTCCGTACTAGGACTACGTACAACAAAGTACAGCTACAAGGAGGCGTGGTGAGAGAACTAGACCTTTATTAAAACCTTAGTCCTTGGCGTTCTTTGCCGCCTCTCTCCGTTTCGCCTCCCCAGCTTTTGGGCTGGACGCTGACTCATCAACGATATCTCCGTGTCTTTTTTTTGACCCCGCAACATAATCCCGCGACGTCACGTACCGTCAGCCAACGTTATTTGTCTGTATATAAATGGGAGTATATTGTCCATACAATTAAGGTTTATCTTGTCATCAGCAGTGGCCGTGGCCGCACCAATATCAGTATCAGTGATCGCCGTACAGGCTAGCTTACACCATGGAATTCGGCCTGGGATTATTTGAAGAAGAAGTGATTGCAGCACTTGGGCAGGACCAGGAGGAGAGGCCGTCGAAACGGGCAAAGCATAATGATGCTGATAGTCCTGAGGTGGAGGCAGAGGTACAGTTGGAGTGTCTGTCCAGGATTGATGCTCCCCCGGCTTATGAGCAATGGCTTGACTATCCGGCTTATGAGCTTGATCATAAAGCTCCCCTTTTCGGTATTACGCGACAGGGCAGCCCAGGAATTGGCGACATCCTCGTTAGCGATGATGAGGAGAAAGTAGGATATGGTACTGATCCCCAATGCGGTTTGCCATCTTTTTTTCGTCCAAGTATGTGCCCTTTTCTAGCTATCAATCCTTTCTCAAAAGCGAGCCCAAAGAGGTTCGTTCACCTGCGTCAGTGCTGATTTCCCCAGGTTTAGGTATGACTACTGCGCTTTTAGAGTCCTATCCTAGGGGGAAAAGGAATAGGTCTCCCATCCTTCCACAATACGGAGACAGTTTCTCTATGGGACTTGGACTTGGTGGGCACGACAGACTAGACCTCGCACCAAACTTTTACTTCTACGCCATCAAATCAACCTTGCTACCAATTCGGAGGGTACAGCATGACCTTGTCATACTGTACTTCCAGTACATCCATCCCTTGTTTCCGCTGGTAGATGAATACTACTTCATGGAGACATATCGAAGATATCGAGGCCGGGAACAGTACATGGACCCGTCTGATTTTATGATATTTCAGGCGATAATGGCCGCGGGATTTGGAGTGAGTGCCATATATAGCTCCTCTACTGCATTGCACATCGCTAATACAGTTGCCAGCATATCAGCGAGGCGCAATTACAGCGGACCCCGTATAGGTCTGTCCATGAAGGGCAGGAAGCTCAATTCGATCAGGTAAAGGTATGCATAGCATCTACTGCTAATATTTATTACCCCAGCTAATCGGATTCAAAGGCGCGATACTGGTCAGCACCTCTGGCCGACCCTGTAGTGCTCACCCAGATATGTCTCATAATAAGTCTTTGGAGTCCCGGCCCTGCTGGCATGCAAAACAACAGCTACTGGCTCAATATGGCTTTCAAACATGCCACCAGTGGCCAACTGTGGAAATCTCAGCCAACTTCTGATGGTCGGCCATGCCGTCGACGACTTCTCTGGTGGTGCTGCTTGGTTCGGGATCGCGTTCTAGCACTTGGTATGCGGCGCCCGTATCGGCTACACAAAGCTCCTTTTGAGGAGGAAATGATATCACAGGTTGATTTTGGGATGGAAGCGACATCGCCATTATTCACAGCTCTTGAATCGAAACAAGCTTCCATGCTTGCGTTTATTTGGCTGTGCAAACTTAGCGAAATTATGGCGGCCATTGCGGTATTTCAGCGGCGGAATAAATTCTCACGGGAATGGGCTGGTGAAAGCGCTGGCACGAGTACGGAAGAGCTGCAAGATGTCAGAGCGTTTGATGAAGATTTAAGTCAATGGAAGGAGGGGTTTGAGGCCGAAGCCGTTGGCCTAATAGAACATGGCGACCAGGATGTTGCAGTGCCATTCAGTGTTTTGCGAATTGTTGGAAAGTGAGTTCAGCCCTCTGTCCAGAGTTTTGACCAGCAGAATACTGATGCACATATAAGTTCCCTTCTTGCGGTGTTATATTCACCTTATCTACACCTCTCCTCGAACGAGGATACATCTTTGGTAGGCAACAGCCTCGACCCTTTACAGCGAATGAAAGATGCCGCTCAGGGAGTCGAGTCGAGCGTCGTTGGTCTGATATCCACCAAGAAGAGCGACACCCTCCCAAATTGGCTGTGAGTTTCCGAATTAAGGACCCCTCGTACTTGGCACGAAATAGCTAATCTAATTTTCTATGTATAGAGTATCATGGGTAACCCTGCCCGCGGCCATATACCACGTAACACAGCACGTGCAGAACAACTCCTCGCCAGATCGAGTCCTTATGCCCACCCTCAATCGCTTTATGAGAAGAACCACAGGCGCCCAAGCCATGTTCCTGACTCTAACGAAGGCGACAAAGGAGTTCCTACAAAGGCTTAAGGAAACCCACAATAATAGCAGCCATGGAACAGCTGCGGCGAAATTTGGACGCCCACTGGCACCAGCACCGGATGTGAGTCAATCCGAGTCTAAGGATGCTGTGCGGTGCGATAGGGGAAATAGGATTAAGGAAGCGAGGATATTGGCTCATGTTACAAAGGCGTTGGATATAGCGTTGGAAAATAACTGTTAGGTCGGAGTTGGGAAGGCACACAAAACTTGGCCTCTTTATTGTATAAGACAATTCAACAGGTCTTGGGCACATTTTGCTCTCCATGTTGAAAGCACAGGTATCACTCTCAAAATTCAGCTGATATATTACTACGAGCGCCATCATGTCTCAGCCTAGATACTGTAGTCTCGATGCAATGTCCCAATTCTCCTCACTCCAACGCTCAACGCTCAACACAACAGGGAATATACCCTTCATAACCATCCAGAATCAAAATATACTTCCGCTTTTATCAATAAACCAGCCCCTTCTGCCACCAATCGCACCTCACATTCGCAGCATTATCTCTCATCTGCCCAATGGACGTAAGATTCAAATTCTGGCTGACACTGCCCTTGCCATAGGTTGGGAAAAATGGAACACCGGGGCCATTCGGATTCCCAGTCTTGGCAAAATTCGTAAAGTAGCCCTGCATAATGGTGGCGAGCGTGAGGTTCTGTATACTCTCGCTCGGACCATTGGCATACGTATAGGCGATATCCTGGCCGTGGAGCGAGGGCCAGACGCTGAAGATGTAATTGTATGTTTTGTTGGCGAAGGCGTGGGCGAGCCAGTTTGTATTGCAGGTGAAGAAACACTCGGTGACAAAGGCGTCGCTGCGAAAGGTGGGGGAATAATACCCATACGATCCGTCGTAGATGGGTGGGTACAGTTGGGTGGAGATGTATGTTACGGAGGAGTCGCTAATGGTGGGGAAGTAGATGCGGAGGTTCTTGGCAAAGCTGTCGTCGGTTTGTGCAAACGGGTCCATGAATGAGATGCCTTCCGCGATGTTGTGCCCTGCCATTATGTGGAGGCTCTTGTCGTATTTGCCTCCTAGCAGGAGTTGGCCGGGGAGTGCCGGGGCGAAATCGCCATCTAGTACAGGATCTATTGCTGGTCGGCAAAGTGACGTAATAATGCCTACATGGAAAAAGTAAATACTCACTGAAAGTAAATGTTCCGTAAGGGCTGGATTCCCCAATGATCTTGTAATTCACAAATTGGAGCTTTTCGGCGGAGAGGCGGCGGGCCTCTTGGAGGGTCTTCACATTCGCCTTGGTCAAGAAAGTCTTATAGACGGCCTCTTGACCCTTTGCGCTGGGCATTGGCTGGAAGCCAGGGCTTTGTACAATTGCTCCTTGGAATGGGACTTTGCCTTTCTTTCCACCGTACGCTGTGACCTGGTGCATGACGCTACCGCCACCGGCGGATTCGCCCATGACTGTAACGCGTTTGGGATCGCCGCCAAATTTCTTAATGTTCTTTTGGATCCAGCCGAGGGCAAAACGCTGGTCGAGGAGACCGGCATTCATAGTTCCGCCTTGTGACTTGAAGGTTGGCCCAGAGAGGAACCCCTATAGGCGTGGAAACGTTGGTATTTACGGAACAGAAGGGATTGATCACAGGGAGATACTGAACAGGAAAGCGAGGAGCATGAGATGAAAACCTACGTATACCCCTAGACGATAGTTCATGGCCACCCAGATCACGCCTGGGCTGCCGTTACTCTGGCTAGTTGCAATCAGTCCTGCTGCAGAAGGACTGAACGTGGTTTTTGATCCAAGGGTGTAGCCACCACCATGAATCCATACCATCCTGTTATTTATTAGTATAAACACGGTGCAACAAGAGGCTACTATGAAAAAGCACCATCATACACTGGGGCACCACAACATCGATTAGCATTATCATAGATAGCCTTTGGGACCATAATATCCAGGAACAGACAATCTTCTTGCTGGGCTGGAGGCTGGCGTGGAAGCGTGGTGATGTTAGGTACTTGATATCCTGCCGAAATGTTGAATGCATCGGTTCCTTGCGTGAGCCATGCGTTGGTGTAATTGGTCCACCATGGTACAGCTTGGATACATGATACATCTTTGGAACCATCATTGAACAATTTGGTTTTCAAGTTGGGGCTGGTTGGCGGAGCAAAACGCAGGTTTCCAAGCGGAGGTGCTGCATACCGAACATTGGAGAAATTATAGTATTGCCCAGATTCCTGTATAGTTGCATTTTAGCAAAGGGTAAAAATCCAACATAATAGATGAAGCTACTTACATTGAATGTAGGTTGGTGGAGTTCGTACCCTAAGTCCACCAGAGGCAGGCCTGGAGGTTTAGACGGTTTCTTTGCAGCAGGATCAGTACCGTATGAGCCAATAACACTGCATAGGACGAGCAGCGCTTTGAGGAGGCTTTTCGGCATGGTTTCAGGTGGTTCTAAAAGCCAAAGTACCGGAAATGATAGATTCAAACTTTAAAAAACGAGCTGAAGCTGTCCAGCCGGTTTGTTCTCTTGTCTCCGAGACCCCGCAAGAATGGAAACATGTACAAGGTAACATATATATAACCCCGCCATACCCAGACCCTTGGGAGCCTATCAATTGAAGCCATATTGCGGCGATCACATCAATTGCTTCAATCCCCATACCGAGCCGCCGAGGCTCCGCTTTGTGTACCAACTATCCTGCGAAGTGTCCAGTCCAGCTCCACGCGGTGAATTCCCCCGGTCTGTGCACCAGGGCGCCATATTGGTCAAAGGCGGGGTTTACTCCGTAGATAGGGGTTGGTCCTGGGGAAATGGGGTCATCTGGAGTCAGAGTTACACTGGCCATGGGGGCAATAACGGAGCATTGATCTTGGTCGACGGAGCAGGGTGGAGGTTATACAGAGGTACAGAACTCTCGCGAGAGGTCGAAGTAAACAAGAGGGCCACCGAGCCTCGGTGCGGCCCCTCTAATTGGGTGGGAGGCGGCCGAGGCTCGTCGGCGTTGTCGGCTCTTGCCCCCTGGTCGGGGCTGGTCAGCCATAGTCAGCCATGATCAGCCCCTAGCCTACTCTAGCGTACTCTAGCCACAGTGGTCTCCGACGCGGCAAGCCATGGCAGATCCACGACACGCCCGCTAGCAACACCCCCAAGAACCCCTAACACAGCATCCTAAGAGCATCCTCACAGCATCCTCACAGCATCCATGGTTCCCTACCAGCGCCCTAACAATATCCCCGTGGAGTGCTGTGCTGGGCGAGGAGGGCTGGGCGAGGATCTCTGCTCCAATCGGACTCGCCCACTGCCTAGACTCCTTGCTACCGGTATATCGCCCCTCTGCAAGAAATGCTACGAGTACGCAACGGAGTATTGCCATGTATCTGCCCCAGCTTGATATCAGTCCTTCGGGAAGGTGGGACAGGGACATACATAAAGGCCCCTGGGCCAACCCACATTCCCCAGGTTTTTCCCCAGGTTCTTATTATCCAGCTTCTCATCTCCTAGAGTGTTCCTCCAGCTCTGCCTCTTTGACTGCAAAGATCCTTTATATTATTCTTGTTGTCGTTTTCAGTGTTCAATTTTCCGGCTCCCTTCTATAGTCGATAGCGGATAGCTACCCTCCACCTTCATCATGTCGCGCCGCCCCTCGACGGACGTCGAAAAGGACACTCCTATTACGGAGAAGTTCGAGCACAACACCAAGGAGGACGTTCAAGATGGCCGCATTCTTGCCTTCACGCCCAAAGAGCAGAAGGCCATTTTCCGCCGTGTTGACATACGCTTGGTGATCACGCTGGGAGTTCTATACTGCATCAGTTTGATGGATAGAACGAATCTGGGTGCAGCTTCTGTTGCTGGGTATGCATGCCTCATGGCTACTCGAATCTCAAATCAATCTAACCAAGTCTTAGGATGCAAGTAGAGCTGGACATGAACGCCAAGAACAACGGCTACACCTTGGTCTCCCTTGTCTTCTTCCTCACCTACACTATATTCCAAGCACCAGCAACCGTCTTGATTCGCAAGCTTGGCCCTCGCAGCTTCCTTGCTGCCATCGTCGTTTTCTGGGGCGCAACCATGATAGTAAGTGATAAGTCCTCAGAGCCAATTATTGCCCTCAACTAATCATCGCCGCAGGGTTTTGGCTTCGTGCCCACCTGGGAAGTCATGCTTGCCCTTCGCCTCATTCTCGGTGCCCTTGAAGCTGGATTTTATCCCGGCTGTGTTTACCTCATGAGCACATGGTACCCTCGGTTTGAACTCCAGAAGCGTAACGCTGGATTCTACCTAATTGGAAGTGCTGCGGCTGGCTTTGGCGGTATTTTGGCCTATGGTCTTATGCAGATGGATGGGCTTGCCGGCTTGTCAGGATGGCGATGGATTTTCATAGTAAGTCCTTGAACTCGTAATGTTCCATTACCTAGCTAATCAGCTACTTTTAGATGGAAGGCCTCCTGACCTGCGTTCTCGGGATCGGGTCATACTTCATTATCGTTGACTTCCCAGAGGATTCCCCCAATTCATGGAGTTTCCTCAACCAAGACGAAGCTGATTTCATCGTCGCACGTATCGAGAAGGACCGTGCCGATACGGTTGTAGAGCCATTCTCCGTTTGGGGTTACCTCAAACATGCCGGTGATAGCAAGGTCTGGGCTATGGCCATGCTTTATCTGCTCACTACTACGAATTCCTACTCCATCGCGTACTTTTTGCCCATTATTCTCCAGAAGGGTATGGGCTTTTCTGTTGCGAAGGCACAATGTCTGGTAGCGCCACCATATGTTGCCGCTGCTATTGTGATGTATATTCAAGCCATATACTCCGATAAATGGCGCATGAGGGGCCCGGTCATTGCAGGTAACGCGTTGATGGGTATGTATGCAGCTGCTATTTGCCCTTGAATCCTTGCTCACACCCGCCAGGTATTGTCGGCCTTAGCCTCCTTGGCTACATGAAGGGACCTGCCGTCCGCTATTTCGGAGTTTTCCTCGCTACAATCGCATGTAAGTAATTCAAACAATATTTTGAGTAATAACCATGCTAACGTAGCTACAGGTAACGCCAATTGTCCCGCATTAGTCACATACCAAAGGTACTTCATCCCTCCATACCCAAACCTTGATAAAGACCATTTCTAACTCATCGCAGCAACAATGTCCGTGGTCAATGGAAACGAGCCCTCACCTCTGCGACCCTCATCGGCGGCGGTAGCATTGGTGGAATCGTCGGCACAACCGTCTTCCGAGCCAAGGATGCTCCCAACTACGGTCCTGGAATTCTTGCCGGTTTGATCGCAAATGCGTTGATTGTTATAATTGTCGCATTGTTAACCCTCAAGTTCTACAGAGCTAATAAGCGTGCTGCTGCTGGTGGAAAGATTATTGAGGGGCTTGAAGGTTTCAGATATACTTACTAGGTAATAATGGGAGCGACCATTGGATGGCTTATGATTTATGCCGACTTGGCTTAGTTGGGGCGCATTTGGGGGTACCTGGGGAAATTGTTGATCACCCAGTTAAAGACAAATGCTCGAAGCTGAGAGGTTGGGTGGTTTGGATACGATGTTTAATATGACCAATACAATACCCACAGAAGTCTCTTAACCCCCACCATATATATCTCCAGGCATCTTGACCGGCCTTTGAGTGTAGTGTCCGCGAGAACGGTCCTAGGACGTCGACGCCTCATCTCGCTTAAAATAAAGGGGCTACTCTCCGTACCTACTACATCTAGAGCACCCTTATTTTATCCTATAACGAGTAGCAAGCGGGGGAGGAGGTAGTATTACTAGGCGCTAACAGGCCAGAGCGTCACATTGCACCAACGTTAGTACGAGAGGAGCCAAGAAATTATAAATAGCATCAATACGATTCTAGTGATTGCGGGGAGATCAAGATAAGCTAGACAAACGGGCATGTACTAGTGCGGGTGCTAGATTTATCACCGGTTTTAACACTACTTCTTCTTTGCATGCCTAGGCACTTTTTCTTTGGTTACTCTAGATCGTCTTCCATTTAGCTCCCAAAGGCATTCCCATTCCTAGGTATACACAGATACATCCCTAGTCTGACACAATTCTAGATCGATACCACCTCAGCTTCTCTAGTGATAACGGGCTTTCACCCTCGGGGATTTACGTTATTGCTACATTAATTACCCAGGGTAATATCACTATAGCACTTAGCTTACTCATCTCTGATGGGAATTCAAAAAAACCGCAAGTGAGGTATGACTATTTTACTAACCCTTACTAATTGGGTTCTAAGGGAGAGGGAGGGCATCCCAAGTATATTTCTCACAATTCATGTTATGTCATGCCCAAAAAAAAAAGGGGGTTGCGACCAAACACCCCCCTAATATATATAATACTAAATAAGCAAATATCCCTTAACGAAGTACAAGGGCGTGACACTTGGTCAAGTGGCTCGGGTCAAATTGTACTTTCGTTATCGCCAGGGACGACAGGGGGGAAAATGGGAACAACAACAAAGCGACAACCAAACAAAGCGATAAGAGATGTAGGCATTCGACACCGGGCTGAACTCTTTTGCCAATTTGAGGGGTAATTCCTTTTTTCAAAAAAGGGAAATACGCGGTGTAGGATTAAATTAGATTTATTTGGGGCTAACTTCTTTTTTTGTTTTTGGTGGCGAAGTTGAGTAAGCGAGGATGGGTGGGAATGGGCAGATTGGTCGTCACCGCCTGGAAGGTGAAGGCATGAAGTGAGCTAGATGGCACGTATCGATCTATACCTACGTGCCCAAGTAGATACATTTCACACGCCCAAAATGCCATACTACCACCGAGATAATCACCTTATAGAACAACCAATCAGCCTCTTCGAAGGTAATAAGATAGCGATCCATCCATTCGTCAACAGAGTGGTAAACCAGGAGGTTTTCACCTCGTTATAAATACTACCCATGGTATGAATTTGTGCCGACCAAACCTTTTGTTATAAAAAAGAACCATCTATGTTTAACAATTGATGGTTATACCTTTCATAATAAAAAATGAAAATTATACTCGGAGTCAAAACAACTGTATTTCTCATTATGTCGTTTGTCATCACTATCTTTTATATAAAAAGAAATCCCTAATCACCCGTCTAACAGCTACCTTCCATACCCAGCTGTGCCAAACTACTAAAAAATACAAGGAAAACCGGGGTGGTGCAGGGTTGCTATAAACCAAGATGTATAGCTCCCGAAGAAGAGGATATAGATGCTATCTAGAAAAGAGGCAAAACGTCTGCGTTCTGGCTGTATGGATGGATTTTGGCAATTAAATACAGCAAGGAGCGCAGTTGCTGCAACTTGGAAAGTGTCTAGGCATAGAAATACGCGGTTACAACACCAAGCCTAAAATACCAACAAAGCCGCCTGCGATGACGCCGAAGACTACCAGGAGGCCGCCGGTAGCGGCCTGAGGGGCACCGGCTGTGAAGACCACCGGCGTCGATGTAGGTTTCACGCCGCCAGTTGCAGTGACTAGGGAGCAAGTGCTGCATCCATAGGTATTGACTCCACCAGCAGGGACAGTGGTGGCGGGCTTCTCAGCGGCTGGGACGGTTGAGGCCTCATGAGCCGGGTGTGAGGCATAGCTGGTGTAGGGAACCACGACTTGGGAGCTGAGCGCGATGGTGGTTGCCCATGGACAAGTTGCTGTTAGTGTTGTGCCTGAGCAGGTTGCGCAGGGGTAGATGGTTGCAGGAATGGCGGATGCGCAGCCGTTGCAGTATGTCTATGGTTATGTGATTAGAGTGGTGATACTTAGGGAAAAGTAGTGAAGACTTACTGAGGTAGCGGTGATGAAGCCAACGGATTTGATACCTTGGCTCTTGATTGCGCAGGCATAGCATGGCATAGTGGCGATTTGAGTGTTATAGATAGGCTTCTGGTAGGTGGAGCATGCGGCTGTGATAGTGGATGTGACTACATGGGTTGTTAGATGGATGCGTTCTTAGACCCTTGAGGCCCAATTGTAAACATACCAGTGGTGCCTGGAGCAATTGTGCTGCACAACTCAGTGACGGTGATGGAAACGATGATCTCAACACCAATGCAAATCACGGTTGGGCCTGAAGGCGGGCTCGTGATGATTGGGTATGGTGGTGTGGTTGTGGTTGTGGAATGAATGATTCTACGCTCCAGCGATCAGTAACTCCCTACTTCGGAAATTGAGGTTTTCTATACTACTTACGAGGTGTTTGTATATCCAGAAGGCTTGATAATGCCAGTACCAGGCCCAGTAGGAATGGTGCCGTTCACTGGAGCGCAAGTTCCGTCTCCGTTGGCCTTTCCACTCTCACACTTGCAGGACTTGGAGCATCCATCACCATCGACGGTATTCCCATCATCACACTCCTCGAAGAGGGTAGGATCCCAATGACCGTCACCACATCCAGCCGGGGTGGCACCCCGAGTGATAATGTATGGGAGACCGGAATGGCCGTCTCCATATGTTTGGGTGCCAGGGGCAACAACTCCGTCAGCAATAGCGATGGCTTGGAAGCCGTTGATGCCAGTGTTTGGGTAGATCGAGAAAGCCTCGTGGACACTGCACCCCCAGTCTGACAGATAAGCGTCGGTCAGAGTGTCGATAGCAGGCGAAGAGGCAACGATGTGGACTTTATCGTAGCATGAAAGTTGGCCACGAACTTCGAAGGTACCGAAGTATGAAAGGGCATCAACATTGGCAACCGCAGTGGTATCGTAATATTGGGAGAGAGAGAGGTACAAGCCAGTCGTTTGAACGCCCTGGGGAGTCTTTCCACTAGCGGCAAACTTAATACTGTTGTCAATGAGAACAGTCTTGCCATGGTTGGATTGATCGGCACCTTGGGGAAGTTAGCAAGAGATCATTGACCAATAAAGCGGGTTGCAGTACCATGGACAATAATGTTACCCGTGACAGCTGGTCCCCAGGTAGTCTTGGTGTCAGTGAGGAACTGAAGCATAGTCACATCCGAAGAGCCAAACTGGTCACCGATGATGATGGCCTTGAAGGAGGCAAAATCAGTCGTCGTCATGCCCTTCCATTGCGACTCGGTCACAACCTTTACGGTGAAACCGAGGGATAACGCCTGGGCCTGTTCGGATCCCAGCAATGTGTTGATGAAAAGGAGGTCTTCGGCAAGTGCTGATGAGGCCAACGCCGTGAGCGCGGCCAGAGAAGTGAACCACTTCATGGCGAGTTCAAACGATCGAAACAAAAAGAATGTAATAAACGAGGGTAAAGACGTGAAGTCAAAGCAACTAGAGCCAGTAAAGAGTGTTTGAAGCGAGAGTGGTTAAGGAACGTGCTGGTGATGAACTACCATCTTCCACCTTGAGAAGGAACGTGAAGCTATATACAAATCACCAAGTAGAGTTAATCTCCACCAGCGAAGCCGCATCTGCAAAAGCGCCGTTGCTCGCCGAATAGGGAATCAGTATATTTCCTAGCTAAGAGCATCATAGGGCCAGACAGCAGCCAACGGCAGACCGACGAAGGGCAGAGAAGCAGGGCTGATTATCGTGGCTGGAGCCTTGCCAATAAGCCCATTTTGAGCCACCAGGGGATATTTCAAGAGCCAACCGGCTCCGAGATAGAAACGCGACGGGGTTGAATCCACAGCTGTAGCTGAACTGCAAGGCACGGGGATGCGGAGCGTGGCATGCCAGCAGTGCTGACTATTATGTCTACGGTAGTATAACTCGCACCTCCTTAAAGTCCCAACAGTCTGGAGAATGGAGGACAGGAAGTTGGAATACCCTCGCCTTGCTCGGATAAGGGAATCATGACGAACATGCGGCCACTTGACCACAGCGGAATTGCCGTTGCTTTCCACAGCACTCACTCGCTCGAGGTAAGCTGCGAGGTCCCAAAGCGCAAAATCCCCCCGCATTACTTGCACTGCCTTGCGCTTTGGTCGGTGCCGTCACTAGGTGGCCATTGCGGGCCTAGAATACAGTATCAGATGGGAATGTTCCGTGATGTCTTGGGAAAGAAAAAGAACCCTGTTCTGCAAGTGTTCGGGAGAGGGGCTGTGCTTGAGATCTATCGATTCGCGTCCTCGTCGCTCCCTAAGGTAAGGTATCGACGCAGGTACCTACATGTACTCCCCTGACTCGACTACGAAGTACCAGCGACAGCTCTCTTTGTTTCGCCATCACAACGCCCAAAGCAAACGGCGAACCATTCAAGCGGAGAAGCGCTCGCGGCGCATCGGAAGGATGGGCTCTGCTCCCTACGCCTATAGCCCTGGCTGCAATGGTCTAGATAAGAACCTCTGGCGGGGATGCGCTGTGATGTGAAGTCGGGTCGGGAGAAAAATCCTCCTGCTTTTCGGAGGCTGATGTGAGGCTGAAAGGCGGATATCACCACCTTCGTCTGACGCGCGCTGCTAGACTGCTCCTGATTTGCCAGCGTCCAGTGACCAGGCACAGGTTGGTTACAATGCTTGTTTGGCTCGATGCGCTTGGTTATGCAAGTAGAAGGGTGAGCCCCGAAGGAGAGCAGCAGCCCAAACTTCAAATTTTAATCCCGCGGTCGCCTCGAGAGAATGTCTCGAACCCCCTTTTGTGACTGGGTGGTTTGGCGGAGGCTGGATGTCCTGTCCCTCTGCCCGTTCCATACGGCATAAGATGGGTTATATTGGAAAGATTAGTTTCGGGAATTCACGGTTTTGAGAAGTGCAAATTGCAAACTCCCAAAATAAACCCTCTCCGCCCCAGTAAGCGCGGGGCATCTTTGGGAAGAAAACCCCTGTTATTCAGGGGCAAGCATTCTTGGAAGCAACTCCCCTTGTTCCTACATGGTTTTGGTCCTGTTCATAGGGCTGAAAAGCCGATGTCCCACAGTGGGTAGAACTTGAGATTAAACCAGCAAATCCTTTGCATCTACAATTGCTCCAAAAAAGCATGCTCTACATTTCAAAAACTCTCTACTTATGAAACTTTGCACTGGCCAGGTTCCTCTGCTACCATCCGCAGAGGAGGTTATGCCAGGCTATTATTTTCTACGTTTACAGCAGGGAAATGTCCTGTCTGCAGTTATGATCGGGATGTGAAATACAACCACGACGGTCGTCCATGTCCACTTACGCGTCGGAGCAGATCTATAGCATATCCATCCATCAGGGCACCATACAACCAGCACCGCCCTGTTCCTTCATCCACACGCCCGTCCTTCACGGAGGTTTTCCTAAACTGCGCATCAGTCCGAATATGAACCTGCCGGACGGGTTGCGGACGCCATTTTCAAATCTACCGATTCTTATCAGACAACTCCGCAGAAATGCAGTTCCGCGTTGCTCATCCATTCAATTTGGGGTCCACCCATCAGGGCTTCTTTTCAATAGATCTATCAGACACGGCTTCCATCACACTACATCCCACTCGCTGAGACCATCCCCTCTATCCTTGGGTATGCTGGAGGTTCTTTTGATAAATAGGACGCACACCAGATTTAGGTTCCTCGACCGATGGAGAGGACATTCATCCGTCCTGTAAACTTGGTGCTCAGATGTGGGCGATTACTCTCAGGCACAAAAGGTATTGATGATCCGGACAAGCGATGAATCCCATTTAAGTGCACTAATAACTTCCAAACAAATCATGGCATAGACCCTTCCAATCAGAAGAGACGACTGCATTCTGGAAGGTATCGAAGTTGTCCGCGTTTCCTTTAGGACAGCGGTTAAATTCATTGTGAACATGCAACAAAAGGAAGAACCTGGCTGCATCACCGAGTAGAAAGTGGAGCCACATCATAGACAGATCTCTTTGTCCACCAAATTGGCGGTTTGACTACGCCGAATTTTCTCTCAGCGGTGACGTATGGGCAGACAACTTGTTGCAAAAACCTGATGAACTTGGATTTGAGAATTTCTTTTCTGCCAGTGGTGTCTTCGCAGAGCTATGGCCACTAGGAGAGGTAATTACCCCACGCAGCGTACGCCAGATCCCTTCTACGTGAGATGGAAGTAGCGCGACAACCACAATCGTTGCCAATGTGTTTGGAAAGACTTTTGAGATGCCATTCGTGGGATTTGCTCCTCGGTGCTCGTCCCTTTCAATATTAACTGACTACTGATATAGAAGCACGTTCTGCCCCTTGAGCCTCTCACAGTCTCAGTCATCACTAAGCTCCAGTCTGCCCTTCCTAGATGTACTGCAGTCATATTACTAGTTCCTTCTCAACCTCGTTCCATAGGTCACTTCTCAGGTTCCCCTGAAGCCAATATCCCGCCACCTTCCTCCCTTCCCATAATGTCCTGCTGGCCGCCTTTTAGAGCCCGTTCGATTCGCCAGCCAGATTTACAAAACTCGGCTTCGCCTACATATTGGAATCCTGCCCTACTTGCTTCTCTCCTCCCACCACCACCCCAAAATCCAGCTTAAATAATCCCGCGTTACTCCAGTTGGAGAAAATCATCAGCCTAGTCCCTCCGTTCCCAAATGCAGGTGGTTAGTTGGCTAGTCTACTCCGCAGCCGTACGTGTTTTAGAAGGCGTTTTGTGCGCAGTCTGAAATAAACCCATCATCGCGGCCAATTTCCAGCTCCTGATAATGCTGTTAACTTTCACATCAAATAGATGTGTTTCCAACTTCTGGTGAAGCTTGTCATGGTGCTATATATATATATATTTAAAGGCCTGTGTATCGCCCCTTACTATCAAATCCAGAAAACCCCCTCCCCTTTAGGGTATGGTATAGCACTTTACAAGACGGTGACTTGCCCTGCCAAGCAAACGTTTATAAAGGTACCCAAAGGGCTTCAACCTTCACCATGTCCTGGCCCAGGAAAACTCAGTCTATAACCATGCTAAGCTCGGGCATTGCTCGGGCGTGTGCACTCTCGGATCAGGTAAAACCGTCGTTGTTCACATCTCGAGACTAAAATGGGACCAGCGAAAGAAAAAGTCGAGTACTATAGTGGCAGTTTCAGAGTGAAATTTTTGGCTTGATGGACTTCGTAGACATGTACCTAAATAAGAATAACTGTGCACAAATGATAATTGATCTAGTAGCGTGGTTTTGAAACCGGGCCTTTGCGAACTCGTTTATAGTTTAAAATTGGAAGTTTTTATTTCGAAATCATGTGATACTAGGCAACTTGTCCGAGTGGTTAAGGAGCTAGATTTAGGTACTATCTTAGATACACTTAAACCTCTAGTCCGAAAGGGCGTGGGTTCGAATCCCACAGTTGTCAATCTTCTTTTGCATATATTTTTTATTCTTTTGCTCAACAAAGCATTGTGAGGGAGAGAGAAAAATCTAATAAACCCTTTATAATTGGTACAATTTATGGCAGCTAAGGGACTGACTGCCATAGCTGTAATAGACTCGGCTAATATTCTTTTTGCCCTTCTGCCAGCTGGTCGTGGATCCATTGGGCAGAAGTGCAAAATAAAACCCAAAAAAATTTGACAACTGTGGGACTCGAACCCACGCTCTTTCGAACTAGCGTACAAGACAAAGGATCATCTCCAAACCTGAAGCTAGCGCCATAACCGCTCGGCCAAGTTGCCTACTCATTGATTACAAAATTTGCTTATTTGAATATAATAAAATGACACCAGCTGACCCGAAAAATACCCGTACTCTCGCACGTTAGCCAGTGCTACAACCTTAATAGCACTAGGGCTCAATCTCGTTGCTAATTATCGAATATCCAGTATATTATAGAGCAACGTATTCTAAGCTCAGATATTAAGTTTCTATAATTCCGGGGTTTTTATTTTGAACTTTTAACCACTCGCAAATTAACTGGTCATCGTGATATTTTTTTGTCCACCAGTCAGTTTCTCGCTAAATTCTCCGCTTTTGGTTGGCGATCGCATCACCACCTCATACGAGAGCTCGCCTGTACTCAGTTCTTGAACCTCAAATCCAACCACAAACAGGAGCAATTGACGGCGAACGCCCACTCATACATAATGGCGGGCCACCACAATCATCGTATGCACCTAAGAATCCCAAGCCTCCCAATTGAATGGATGTATGCTAACATGCGTCTTCAGCGATCGCGCTCGACCCGGCGTTGACCAAATGGAACAGTACATTCCCCTTCCCACCGATTCCCTATTACATTTCAGCTGTCCTAATGGCTGGCATATAGATGCGTTCGTCAACCGACACAAATACTTTCGATGGACTGGCCGAACGGCACGAATCTCGTTTGCCTACGTGGTTGTGTTTCCGGCCTTGCTTGGATGTTTGGGGTATATGACAGATGTGAGAGCGGCTACGATGGTCATAATATGGAAATATGCTAATCCTTCGACAGGCCAAGTGGGATTTTAGGGGGAAGCGGAGGGGTGATACTATTGTAGAATACTAGGATGGAACGAGGCCGCATATCAGCTACATAGCTCGCAAATCCGACCACGATACCTGGAACCCGTTTGAATAGAATTGGAAGTTTTGCCTAGAATTAGGATGGATGGCCGTGGGCAGGTACAGGAACTTTTCATACTTGGGGAATATCAATTCATCACAGCAATATGGCAGTTTTGTGGATATGTCGTGAGCAATGGTCGTACGGTAATTCATACAGTGACGAGTGTATAACTGCCTTCCCCACAGGCATGCAGCGCTTGGTGTCGATTCCTTGGGCTCTAGTATAAGCTCCCCCTTTGACGCAATTCTTAATATCTACCCCTGCCTCCACCAAAGCCTCCTCCATATCCCCCGCCATATCCTCGTCCCCGGCCCCCCGACGGCCCTTCAGGAACCCTCTCCCCTCTTCTCCATTCACCAGAAGGAACCATTGCTTGCCCAAAGCCCCCACCTCCCCTTGGCCCGCCTCTCCCTCTAAAACCGAAACCATTTTCCCTGGGTCCTCCAAATCCACCCCGTCCACCGAAGTCGCCCATCCCTCGTCCTCCTCCAAACCCGCCCCTTGAAGCACCAACCGGCGACGGAGCCACAGTCCCATTCGGCGACGGTGGAAGAATGGCACAACAAACGTAGTCTCCAATCACAAATCTTGCATCTTGCAGCGTCCTTTCAGGCTCGCCTTCTAAGGCGCCTGCCATCTGCCCACCTGCAACGATCTCAGCCTCCTCGTCATCTGGCAGGATTCCAGGTGCCCCATCCCCAATTACTATACTGCCCAAATCTCTTGGCATAAACCGCCCGGGCCCACTGCCTGGACCTGGGTTGCGCGTATCTGGGAATATGAGGCGAAATGCTAGACGCGTACCGATCGCAGGTTCTGGTAATAGGGTAGGTAATGCGCTAGTTAGGAGGTGGGAGAGTTCGCGCAGAGTACATGTTTGCCAGGTGTATATTTGTAAGTGCGGAGGGAGTTCGGAGAGGGGACTGAATTCATCAAGTCTGACGGCAAGTTAGCTTTTATGTACTTCGTAGGTAGCTATATGATAGACGAGGCTGAACATGGATTTACCTGTGGAATCCGCCATTTCTGTAGAAAAGCTTTAGATGAAAGGGTGTTGTGGTTTGGCGGTCAACTTTTGCTACCCCAGAAGCCTCCATGGCGATTTGATTTATGTTATTTGGGTATCTTGAGCTTGAAAAGTTGCTACATGCTTGGAATGGTGGGGCAGCTTTGTTGCGGATTGAAGACGAGCTTTGTTACTCGAGTACGGTACTTGAGTACACGCGCAGCTGTCCTGGCCGCCTTGCCATTTGGCCTGAGGCTTCAAGACTGCCCCCTTTCCCAACACACCTGGACGATGGCTAGGTCTTTTAACTTTGAAATCCTGGTCTACTGCGCAAAATAAACTAAGTTATTCGTACATTAATTGATTGGGATATAAACATAATGCATAAGTACTGTAAAAATAGCGATCGTTTCCAATTGCCAGGTCTACTCGCAACTACTAACTGTACTATAAAGTTAATTACGCCCTACGAGTCGGGACTTTTAAATCATCCTTGTAGGTCCCTATTAGTAGGGGTAAAAATTAAGGCCTAGTTGTCGTGTATAGTCCGTATTAAGTCTCCAAGAATTAAACCCCCAAGAACCACCAACTTGTAGAGACCATATAAGGCTAGTCACACGTGTGTTTCCCTTCCTCTGTTATACCTGCCCTATATAAATCAAACACGCGATTTAGGGTTCAGGAAGACGAAGGCGGCCACTTGGCCAAGTGGTTCAGGTCAATCCACTAGCCCGAGAGGATCGGTAGGGAGGAAAATGACAAAATACGAAACTGACAAAATTGGCATGATATGTAGGTATAAGAAATCCGGCCGAACTCTTTTGCTTCTAGAATATGTGACAATATTATATCTCCTCCTCCAGACTTCGAATTGATGTTGAGTTCCTTCTCACGCTTATTGTGGTTTCTTGCGAGTTGGGAGAGAGATTGCGGGTTCGGATCCGATGAGCTTCTGCCGCTGTGAAGTATAAGGGGCTTGCTTCCCTTTGCCATAGACATGAAATATAGCGGTCGTATTGCCAAATTCCTAGCCTGCGTACCTGGTCACCCTTTGCAATTCCCACAACAGGCTGAACAGGCTTTTCTCTAGAATACTCTCTCTAATCGCAGCTTAAGGTTTAACCCCATCAACTCCAAACTTAATAGCAAATTTGTGCCCTCGGATCGCCACAACTGTAGAGTTACGGTAATTACCAAGCTTAGGCGCTGAGTCCATCCTTTGCAGAGTAATGTGGCTTGGTTTCGAGAATTGGTTGCCGTGTCTAACCAATACCTACTACTGATAAAATGAGATTCTACCAATCCCCGACATGCAACTGGTTGCGGAACATATATTATTCCATCGTTTCAAGTCCTAGGGCGGCTAGTTGTCCAACCGCAGTATTGGGAAAAGAATCATCATCTAGGGCCGAGGGCCTTGCTCTCTAGACGCCAACTTTTGTCCCCATAGAATAGTTGCTATACCCAACAAAAATAATTTCACGTTCCAGAATGGATCTATATAGCCCATCAAGATATCGATCGTCAAACGGCCGTCCGCAATAATGCTAGGGTAAGCTCCCTTCTCAACCAAAAAAGAAAAGAACTCAATTCTCTTGCATATATAATCGCAGGAATGGATGTACCAGCCATACCGGTGCTGGAACTTCTCCAGGCTGTGTGACAAACACAATTCATATAGTGCCGTGCGGCCGTGACAACCCAAGTGATCATTGATATTTGCCCCCGCTTTCAAGAGGCAGTTTATCGTTGAGCGTTCCACGTCTCCAAAGTCTCCCAGGTTAGTCGCTTTTTTTAAGATAATATGCCGTAAGAGGGCGTCATTCGTTTCCGAGTTGACGTCGCAGATATCCCGATTCTTGAGTATTAAGTCCACAAATTGCTGCCACCCAGTTATGATGTCTAGTCTGCCGGGGTATATCCAGCATCTATATTTAGTTAGGATGCGCTTGGCGGAATACATGGCACCAGTCATGACAAGAAACTTGACAGCCGTAAAGAACTCGGGGTTAGGTAACTGCTCCAGTCCCCACTTGTCCAGAAGCCGTTCGACAGACGATGGCCGCTCATCGGGACGAATTAGAGCGTCTATATGATCCTCTTCGGTTTCGAGCTCTGCCTCTTCCTCAAACAGGTACGCGAGCCCATCCACAGGACGGAGCCCCGTATCAGATTTCCAGGAATCGATTGAATCAAGGTAATGGAGCAACGGAGTAGTGTAATAGTGTAAGTAGAGACGGTCGTTCCACGGCTTGGCATAATAGCGGCGGTTGATATCGGCTCCGCTGTCAAGGCACCTCTGCATCATCGTGACGCCTTGCTTTGCCATTACCTGCGCTGCCGCAAACACCGGGATGTGTAGAGGGATGCTGAAGGGGTACTCGTGCCTCAGGCCTTTGTTGAAGGTATAATACTCCTCTGTGCCGTGGATGTTGGCGCCCCTCTCGATAAGTAAATCGAATAATGACGTCGAATTCTCCATGATCGCGGCAGAAAGGGGCGACGCTAGCGTGTGCTCTCCAATGGGCTCAAGACGGTCCAGCTGAGCACCTTCATCGAGCAGGATCCGGACGGTGTCTAGCGACCCTCCGGACCGTATAATCGATACAACTGATAGATACATGCCCGGACGGTCTATGACCTGGGGCCCGAATCCCGCGTTGAGAAAATGGCGGAGGAGAGTCTCACGTCCGCGTGAGCAGAGAAGTTGCATAAGCTTGCGTTGCATGCTTTCCTCATTTCCGATTCCTGCACCAAGCTCTAAGAGTAGCGCAAACGCGTCAACATGGTGTTTTCTGGCCGCCAATTGAAGTGTCAATCCTTTGACATTGTCGGTCGCTTCCATTCTCGTATTGCCACTAGAATCCAAGGAATAGTTTGGTCGCCCTGGCTGCTTGATCGTGCTGACACAGGCGCCATATGAAATAGCCAGGCGGATAGTCTGTAGGTTACCGGTCTTGCATGCCCAGCGCATAGCCTCGCTGTGGGCAGCCTCGGACCTATATAGAAACGGCTCGATGTTGTAATGGAGATACTTGCTACATCTCAAGAGGCGAGCCAGTTCTGCATAGCTCAGTTGCCCAAGTATATTGTGAAACAGCTCAGGAACTAATGATTCCATCATTGATGCCATAGTGACGAGCAGTAACTCAACGACTGGCAGACAGTTGTAACAGTAAGTTCGAAGAAGTGTCGCTAGCAAAGATTGAGCAGACTAATGACTATGTAAAAGGGGAACGTAGGTGGATACGGCAAGGCTTTTATTGAGGAAGTATTGTATGGAGTATGACTCTAGAATTCTCCATCATCGAGGCTATATAACGTGTTGATTAATGAGTCAGTACCTTTCCCTCCGGAAGACCTAGACGTGCAAAGAAGGCAGCTCTAAAATATCTTGCTTGGAGGTCCAGGATTTGACAGCCTCGGGATTGAGCATGCTGTTCATAGTAAAACTAGTTGGTGGAGGATGTTGATCGAGGACGCTGACGATGGGGGACTTGTAACGAGGAGGATAAACGCACTGACCACTTTAGGTTGACAGGAGCTGTGGAAGTCACATGATCAACCCCTTTCGGGTCCACTTCGGCGGAAGCATCTTGGTCGATCCTCGCCAAGATTTCTTTTGGCTTCATACCTTACCTTCTCGAATCCAGTTCTAACGACTTCACAGCAACGCGCCAAATATCAGCAGGAAATAATCATACACTGGGCGCGAGATAAATAAGGTGGTATTTGAAGACGTATCGTATCTTATTTCCCATACCGAAATAGCTCCTCCTCGAGCTGCCATATCTCTCACGTCATCCATACTTCTCAACGGACGCTCTACCCGCCAGTGGCCCGAGAGTCAATTCAAATCCGAGTCTGCGCAGGGCAACAGGTCTACCTACATAAGTAGGCTCCCATAAATTTACCTCCTACGCCCCTAGACAAAATCTGCCGCCATGGATTTCGCGTCCCTTATGTCCAAAGAGATCTCAAATGCTCGCTCCACCTCCTCTACAGAGCCCTCTAAAAAGTACATGAAACGAGCCGATATTGAAGCCGAGCGACGCGCACAATACCTCGCAGAACAGCAGAAGAACGTAGACGAAAATGAATCGAGGTTAATGCAAAAGCGAAAACGAGAAGAGGATGAACTAGAAGCAAACCGTGCAAGGGATGAGAAGCGGACCAGGCTTGCTGAAGAGTCGAGGCGACGCCGGGAGGAGGAAGAGGCGGAGGAACAGAAAGCTAGAAGAAAGAGGCTGGGCTTGCCAGAGCTGGTTAAGGAAACTAGTGAAGAGCCTGAGGTGGATGATATCAAGGATGAGGAATTGTCGGAGAAATTAAGGGCGATGGGCCAGCCCGTCAAGTTATTCGGAGAGAGCCATAAGCAAAAACTGAGAAGGTTTAGGAAGCTAGGTGTCGTCATGACTCAAGGTCCTATTCCTACCTCATTGGAGTTGGTCGAAGAGAAGGATATGAAGGTTGATGTGGTTCCGAAAGATACTGAGGGTAGGACGTTCCTGTTTAGACAGTTGGCTTCGTACTTTACAATGGTCTTGAAGGAATGGGAAGCGGCTCTAGACAAGGAAAAGCAAGATACGTTTGCTAGCAAAGCGGCATACAATGCTATGGTTCAGAGCAAGGAGAACATGAAACCAGTAAGTCATCCCTTGCTCCACAGTTGGGCTGAGTTAATCTTCAGTAGCTCTTCCGGAAGTTCGAGAAGGGCGACGTCGACGAGGGCATCCTAGAACCCATTGTAGAGATCGTCAAAGCAGCCCAGGAACGGCGCTACGTGGATGCAAATGATGGATATTTGAGACTGAGTATCGGCAAAGCTGCTTGGCCTATTGGTGTTACTATGGTTGGTATCCACGAGCGTAGTGCTCGAGAGAAGCTGCATGAGAGTGACAAAGGACATGTTATGGGAGATGAGATTACTCGGAAATTTTTGCAGAGCATTAAGAGGTGTCTAAGTTTTGCACAAGTTAGATGGCCGCCAGAAGATATCAGACAGTTGATGGGTTGATGCCAAAATAAATACTATAATCATTAATCGCCTTAAGTTTCGTGTGTAAAGCTTGAAACGGCCAAGAACTTCTGACCGAACGTCTCGATATATTACCTTAGTCGTAATAGCGGGATGAATGTAAGAGAACCCTTCTATAAATGGAGCATCTAGGTCGAACATGGTACTCTTGGTAGGGTGGTTCGCAATGCAGACGTGTCACGTGATTGGTCCCCAAAATTCTTATTTTGTCTCGCAGTCGCCTTCTAGCTTGCTACATATTCCAGTTTAGACGACTTCCTTCAATAACATACCTAGGTACCTTAGGTAGTTGTTAGGCCAAAATAAGGCTTCCGTTTTGGCGAACAATGGGATCAGCATTCTAGATTGGCAATCACGATGTCCCTCTACCACGAAACAGCAGACTTCCTGACAGCGCCTTCGAATGCTGGTGGCAGCTTGAAGTCGAGGATTTTCAGCAAAAAGGACCTGAAGTCTCAGCCAGCACAAGTATATGCGCTGACCATCGAGTCATGTAAATGGAGTGCGGTTTTAAAGGAGGTTGTCGAAAATGCAGATCTTTTACGCCTCGAACGAAAAGTGAGCTTCGAAATTTTCCGGGACTTATAATTTTATATACTAAATTTTCCAGATAACTCCTGTCCTGTCTGTGCTCCTCGTTCATGACCTTCTTCTGGCGAAACGGGGCATCGCACTTCCAGCAACTCATGGCCTTAGAACATCCATCGAACGGCACAAAGCTAGATTAGGCGCTGAGTTCACCAAAGCCAGAATTCGGAGAAAATTAAGTTCAGTTGAATCGCTGAAAGCGCACATTGAAGCCGGATTTGAGATTGGCACCGATAATTCCGAGGCTCCCTATCCGCGTTGGATACGTATCAATACCTTGAAAACATCTATTGAGGATCAACTTGGGACGACTTTCGCGGACTATGAGCGTGCAGCAACCGTGGAAGCTGTGAGGCAGCGTGGATCAAAGCGGATTTTTATTGATGTCAACATCCCAAATTTAGTTGCTATTTCGCCAAATATCGACATATCCAAGAATGAGGCCTATAAAACAGGTGCGATCATTCTCCAAGACAAGGCGTCATGCTTCCCAGCATACCTTCTCGACCCACTCCCAGAGGATGGCGATATTATAGATACTTGCTCAGCGCCAGGAAACAAAACTACTCATCTTGCTGCTATCCTTATCTCCCATAACCCAGAGGTGGATGAATGTTCGCAAACTATCCACGCCTTTGAAAAGAACAAGGGACGAGCGGAGACTCTTGAGAAAATGGTCAACGTAGCTGGTTCCCAGACACTGACCAAGCTCCATGCTGGGCAAGACTTCTTAAAAATCGACCCAACTGCAGCTACTTTCAAAAATGTTGGCGCGCTACTGCTAGATCCCAGCTGCTCTGGAAGTGGTATCATCGGACGCGAGGAAATTCCAGAGTTGCATCTCCCAGTCCTTAAGCAGGGCGCGGCTCCGTCAAAGAATACAAAGCGGCCAAAGACCTTGGATGAGAATAAAGAATCCCGAAAGAGGAAACGCGATCAATCCGATGCTCCGTTAGATGTCATGGTGGACGATGATGGTATGGTTACTGCGGTCGACACGGAGGATGAACTGAAGGCCCGTTTAACCGCTCTTTCTAAGTTCCAGCTCGAGTTGCTACTTCACGCATTCAAATTTCCATCAGCACAAAAGATAACATATTCGACATGTTCACTTTATGCAGAGGAGAACGAAGAGGTTGTCAGCAAAGCCCTCAATTCAGCAATCGCTAAAGAAAGAGGCTGGCGGATCCAGAGTCGGGAAGATCAGATCAAGGGTATGAAGGAATGGCCGGTTCGAGGGTCATTAGATGCTTGTGGCGGAGATGCTACCATTGCAGAGTCTTGCATAAGGGCTAATAAGGGCGACGAACATGGCACAATGGGGTTCTTTCTCGCTGGGTTTGTGAGAGATCAACAGGTCCATGGTGACATCGAATCACAACTCCTTCGAGATGAGCGAGGTCACCTTGTCCGAGACTTATTGGGATTCCCAGTAAGGACACATCCAGAAGAGTCGGGGAATGTGTCCAATGGAGTAGCCGCTGAACCTGAAACTGAGGAAAATAATCATTTGGAATATGAAGAGGAATGGGGCGGGTTTGACGATGCAACTGAGGAAGAAGTCGCCCAGCCGGTCGCCGGCGATGATAAATTGCTAGGTAAAAGCCAGCAGTCGCAGGTACACCCAGTAAGCAAGCATTTGCCAAGTGCAGTCAAAAGGAGACCGGAGTTGGGTTCTCAGAAAAAGAAGAAGAAAAGGAAACAATAGGAGAATTAGCTAGCGACTAACGCATAGATTTTGGTGGCGATATAATTTGGGTCAGTCTCCAATTCTCAGAATTCCCTGAGTCTAGTATCGTTCAAATTTCATGCAAATATCCAGTTGCATGTCGGTCTTCACAGCCACTCAGCTCTCCATCCTTTTAAGTTTATATGTCCCAAATCGGGAACAAGTTCTTGAACTATATCCCTTCCAGGCTACAAGATAACCCCAATCAATTTAAGACTCTCCCTTTCGTTTTCAGGTGAAGCGAATACCAATAACTATTTTTTTTATTCCTTTCAACTCGCACTAAAATGGATTTCATACACAATACCAATTCACCGAAGAGTGTCCCGAGCAAATTCCAATTAATATGAAAGAAAACGAAGCCATCCCTAGGGTCGTCAACGTCAAGCAGTCGGCTTGCCCGATTCCTAGTACTCATCATGCAACTTCCAATCCACTGGGCCATTCTCGTCCTGCCTCCCAAGCGGAGTCAAGTCCAACAACGTATGCGTCCCAAGCAAAATATCCAGACCTCTTTCATAGGTAGAATAAGTATGAAAGATATCATCTCCCTCCTTGAAGAAAACACTCAGACCCGGTGCCTCGCCTTTCGAAGTTCGCTTGCTGGGCTTGTAGTTGTACTCCGGTGGAGTTACATCACTGTCCAACGAGGCATGGAAGTCATAGTTGAAGTCACTCCCAAAGGAAGAATACCACGGAAAGTCCCAGCCCATCCTCGTTTTGAACTTTTCAATTTTCTCCAACGGTGCACGGGAGACGAGGACCAATGCCGTATCCCTGGAGTTCAGGTGACCGAGTGAGGAAGGGAGGTTGTCTGCTAGGAAACTGCAACCTGTACAGCCAACCTCGTCATCGGGGCTGAGCATAAAGTGGTATACGATGAGTTGCTTGTTGCCTCCAGCGATGTCTCCAAGAGTGACCTGACCGTTGGGTCCGGTGAAGTGGTATTCCTTTTCAAGTTTCACCATGGGAAAATCGGAGCGAAGGGCGCCATAGAGTTCATCTCTGGCACGAGTGGCGGCCTTCTCTTTGGCCAGAAGTTCTTTGCGGGCCACGAGCCATTCTTCCTTGGAAACAACCTACAATGAAATTGATGGTCAGTGAAGTGCGTAGCAAGAAAGTGTATCAATTTCAGTACTTTGCCTGGCATATCCGATGGTTGGGTAGCGACTTGGGAAATGTGATGTGAATTGAGTACTTTACGTTGGAGACTTGGAAGATTTGAATTGACTCCTAAATATGTTCGTTCTCAAGTTGAGGGAAAGCCCCTATTTAAGTTCCTCAATCCAGCCATATCGCCCATCTTGATCCACACGCTGTGGGAAGACTCCGTCCCCGTCTGACTACGATAACGAAAGGCAAATCCCGCCACTTTCCCTCTTTGAAAACCCTCCCGTCCTGAAAACGCGGTCTGCGAACTGTGTCATTGGATTTCGTGTCGCGCTTCGTCGCGCATTCACGTGGGGCTGCATGTAGACGGACGTGATTACTATTCGGCTTGCAGCTTTGCGCTCCGTAATTGGATCGTGGATGCCAACCCCTCATTCTTGACTGCATTTCTGCCTACAGTGTAACCTTGGAATTGAGTCATTCTTGCAGATCATTCTTTATATGCTTATCATATTGATATTCTCTCGTCATTGTTGCGTCTCAATCAATGGCACAAAGTTTGCCTTCCCGCTGCGGGGAGAGCGGTTTTAACTACCTGCCTGACGACGGTGAACTTAGTTAACTTATAGAACGAATTGGGTATCGTAGACTATTAGCAGAGTCCTTATGTCCTATCAATTTATTGATCTCGGTGTTGTTATTAAATGAATTGATTTCTTATCTATAGGCCCATAAGTCCATAAGTCCATAGGGGCAAATGTACCTACTATATAAATATATGAACTACAATTCGTTCGATCGGAACTAGAAATCCAAAACGATAAAAGACGGGGGTTACCTTGATTGATTTAGGTAGTGACAACTACCTCAGTATCATCTCCTTTTTAAGGCGGTTAGTGAACATTACATTGTCCGCGGTTTAGACTTGCCGATAGTTAAACACAAGTCCTGCATGAAGACCATCAACTTCAACTCGAACTCTGCTTCATAAAGCAAACACTACTAATAGTCTGCCCTTTCTTCCCCCCAAAGCTAAAACTCCTATACCCAATCTCCCCCACAGTCCTCAACCCACCACCCTCAAACCAGGCCTTCAACTCCTCCGCCGTCCAATTACAACTCGTAAGCAACAGCAGCCCTCCCTCCCGGACCAGGGGAACAACCTTCTCCTTATACTGCTCACAAACCCTTCTTCCATTCTCATCCTGCTCTTCAGAAAGACTAATCGCGTCAAACGTCCCCTTATCATGCACAACATCCCAGCCATTACCCTGCTCCCCAGAAAGAACCCCAGCGGCGAACGGGTCTTGCGTCATGATATCCCACCACAAGAACTCTACCTCGCTCTCCATCTCGGCTTTCTTATCCCCCACAATCCGCCGGGCGAATTCAATGCTCTTTTCAGAGTAATCAACTCCTAGCATTCTCCCCCGCCAGGTCTGTCTCCCATCTTCCTCATCATCATCCTCATCCTCTTCAGAAACCCCCCTCAATCTTAATAGAAAATGCCCATTGCCCGTCCCCAGGTCCAGAAAACTACAATTATTCGCCCCGACCTCCGCACCTAGTATTTTCTCCCCCACAATCTTTTCGTCTAGGAATGGAAGGATTTTATCTTCGGCCGAGGAGCCTGAGAACCATATAGTTCCCACGTCAGATTTATCTTGGGTGTGGTTTGTGATTTCGGTGGTGTAGAGGTTGTCCCAGCTGTAGAATGTATTAGTTTTGAGCTTGAAGGCATATGAGGTGGGGGTAGCGGGGTAACCTGAACGATGTGCTGGAGGTGAAGCCGTCCTGGACTTACTATTCTTTTGTGCCCAGGGGAGAGGGTTCAAGATGGTTTGGTTTGGCAGGTTCATTGGACGACATCTTTACTGCCGAATGTCTATATTAAACCTAGAGATTTTGGTCTTGGATGATTCGAGCCCAATTCGAAATATTCCCAGGGAAATCCCCAGCGACGGCAGAAAATCACCTGCACGGACCATTTAGCAGGCGGTGAAACTCACCTACGCTGCGCCCCTTGTCGGCATGACCAGTATGTAGTCACGTGATATTTGAAAAAGGCATGTCAATTTCCATCGTCTACGTCTTACGAATGGTTACAACACTGTTTATTTAATCATCAATAATAAAGTAAGCACGAGTTCCTCTTTATTATAAACATTAAAGTAATTTTCTACTATACTGTGGTTGAAGACCTAACAATATCGTGGCGTACGAAGTAACGAAGTAACGAAGTAACGAAGTATGTACTAATAAGCGGCACGGATCTCAGGTCCTTGAAGCCTGTTGAGAAACGAATGACTTGTCGGGACAACTGACAAGATTCGATGAGTTCTTACTGCTAAGACCTCCAGTACTTGGAAGGGGAGCCAGCCAAAAGGGAGGACTTCGTACAGAGTATGTAGTACCGGAACTACTAGTAGGGTTTAGTCATACGAAGTACATGCATCAATATTCTTTTACTAGCGCTCGTTTTCGTATTGCTCTTAATTGTGCGAGCGGCGCATCAAATGCGAGCAATTATTGTTGGCGAGTTTGTTGACAGGAAGGCTGGAAGGAGCACAAAGCGGCTTGTTATCACAACAGCGGCTCGCCTTGGTTTTCTCGTGCTGGCGCGCTTTACGCTTTACGCTCTGTTAATAATTGGATCTTGAATAGTTAGTCGGAAGCCTCGGCCAAGCCCTGCCCGTGCTCTTCGTCTTGTCGCATTGCCTTAATAGGCAGTCCAGAGGTCTCTTCAAGTCTTGCTTACGATCCTCTTACTCACTAGCACGCCAATTGCAGATCTGCCGCTGTGCCTTACATACAGTAGCACTTATTAAGGGAGGTTGTTTAGTTATTAGGTTACTTGTACACTACTTTCAACTTGATATGCCATACTGTACCAAGTCCATGCCATATGGCCATATGGCCATATCCGCCCCATCTGGATAAATTCGTGTGCAATAACAAACAGGCTGAGCTGAGCAGAGCAGCAGCAGCACCCCAGCTGGGATTGGGATTGGGATTGGGATTGCCATTTCTTCCGCCAACTACCTCCCTTATTACTAACCCCACTTAATGTTTTTATTTTCACTTTCTCGCCGAGTCGCCGTCGCCATCTCTATCGCCGTCTGCGCCATCATCCGCCATCCGCCTTGATGATCGCCAGGCCCCCCCACCCAGCAGCCCAGCAACCCAGCACCCAGCACTCTGCCACTCAACTCAGCGCTGGACACCGCCTATCGCAGGGTCGGCCGCTGCCCCAGATGCTCCGAAACTCCCCCCCATCTCGGCCTGCTGCACGTCGTAACGTTCGTCTGCCATGTTGGGGAACGAACACCCGTAACGTGTGGAGAATCGATGCTCGCTCGACTCGTTACATCGTATCCCCAGCTGTCCCAGAGTCCCGACTCCCCCAGTAGCATGTACTCTACAATGCGATGTCCTGCGCGGAAGTACTCCAGTACTACGTATTATTGTTCTATTCCTGCGCTATGCTACCTCTCCGCCCCGTGTCGTTATTATTTGCCCAGACACTGCACCGAGTCCACTCTAAACTCCACAGGCTCGTCGGCCCCGATACCTTCGTCAAAAAAGACGATCGTGATACTCGCGGCTCCATCGGTCCTTTCGTGACCCAGGGCACAGTGAGCGGGTTACTCGCCCGGCCTAAGTGTCCTCCGAGCCCTCCTCCCCCCCTCGGATATGCTATTGTGTTGGCCATAAGCGGTGCTTTATGAGTCTATTGATCCTCTTCCTTTCCCATCTGCCTTCTTTTCATATCCCGCCGTCCTCCGATGCTCCTATCTCTATCTCGCGCTCCTCACTTGTTTCCTCTCTTCTCTTGTCATTGTTTGCTCGCTTCCCATTATCATTGCCCGCCTGGAAGAACAAAGGGAACTAGGAAAGCAAGACAAACAAAGAAAAGCGTATCGCAGCACCGCACTAAATCCGGTCGTGCGGAGGATCTGTGTGGATCTGAGACGTCGAGTCGGTCGTGCCGGATGACGCTCGAAATCATGCGTTCATAACGAGAATTCCCATACGACTGACAGATCATACCTCACCAATCCCCCAGAAAAATAGATAATATCCTGCGGATGGATTCTGAAGAAAGAGGAGGTCCCAACGATATCGTCGGTGCCACTGGACATGCCAGACATCGTTTGAGTGTTAGCCGGACCAATCTTCCGCTGAGGGTGTCTGTGGAGGACCATTTTCGACGACACAGCCTGGTTATGGGCACTGGTAGAGTGGCTTTGGCCCCAAACTGCGCTCAACTGGAACCACCAGAAGAACCGCTGGATATCCCGCCGCCGCCTTACGATGCAACCCTCCCCATCCCCCTCCTCTCCAACCTGCGCCGGAAGTTCAACGTCCAACCCCGCGAAGACGAAGGCCAGGAGGTCCTCCCGCCGTACTCATGCGCCATCAGCCTCGAGAATGTCTTCCTGAGGAAGATGGAGCTGGAAGGGGCGGTGCATCGTGCCCATGATAGGAATTGGTATCCGGTGTTGGCGACCTTACAGGGCACGGCACTGACCTTCCACAAAACCAAAAGCGGCAACGTCTTCGCCAAGATCGAGGGAGGGACGAGGAAACACGATTCCCCGGCTGGAGTGAAGCGTGTGCAAGTGATCAAAAGCTATAACCTGCAGCATGCGGAAGTCGGGGTGGCTGCAGATTATACCAAGTATGTGCTCGCCCATTGGGCGTTATATAATAAAGACCAACTGGCTGACTGGTATGATAATAGAAAACGCTTCGTGATTCGAATTCGCGCGGAAGCAGACCAATTCCTCCTCTCCTGTCATAAAATCGAGACATTCGTTATATGGCTACAATCGCTCTTCGCAGCCATTGACCTCGCGACCCCCCTGGACGACCGCGACCTCCCCTCCGATGTCTGCGTTCCACGTCCTCGACGACGACGTGGCAATAATCAGCGCAATGGAGGCCAGGGACAAGACCAAGACATGCCTGTTGCAGATGACACCTTACTTGGTAGTTCGGACACAGGAGAGGAATCAGAGGGTGAAAATCTAGTGCTAGTAACCGCATCTCTCCTCGCGACCCCAGCCGAATCTCCCCAAAGCAGGCCCAGATCAAGAGCTGGACGTGCCCCCAACCGCCTCCTCCAAACCCACGGCCCAAACTTGCAAGCCTACCAACACCACCCCCCTTCCTCCACAACCAACCCGTCCATCAACCCGGAAACCGGAAAATGGCGGCCACGGCACCAATGGACGCCTTTCTCAGATATGTTGTATGCTAAGCGCTGCATGGCAATCCTCACTTCCGAGAGCCCGAGAAAGAGTAATCTTTTGATTATGAAGGGGAAGAGATGGGTTGTTGATTGGGGTTCGGGAACGCTGAGGAAATGGGTCCCGGAAATGGAATCGGGATTGGGGTTACCTGATTATGCTGAAGGCGACACCAGAGGTGGTGCCAAAGAACAGCTCTGGAGGGTTTCGCAGTTTGGCGAGCTGGTTAGGCTATGATATGATGCTCAAAAGGCAACACAGCCATGATCGAGGTGCAATCAATCACCGCTCGACTACCGGATGGAGTGAGGTGGCGCTTCCCGGCGACAAAATTCGAATTTCAGGAGAAAAGCGAGGGGAGGACAACTCAACGTCTTCCAAATCTATCAGAGAAGCTGGAAAGGAACCCAAAGAAACATTTGTATATGGAAATTAGCGCTGGGAACTATTGTTAATATGGCGGCAATTTTCCTTACGGTTTATGAGAAGCATTGGTGATGGAGGGTATGATAAACTGCATATTGAGCTACCTGGCCGGCTGGTTGCGTGTATGCATGGATGACTTTACACATGGGTGTTGGATGGAGTTTGAGGCCCTGCCAAACAAGGCGGCGTGGGCTTATTATCTTGTGCTACATTTTCATGGCGTTCGAGACATAGAATTACCTCTATATGGGGTCGCATTTGCATGGGGACAGGGATTTTGTTCCGAGTAGATATGCATTATAGATATATCATCGTATATTTTTAATTCATGCTTCGCGTCCTATATCTTGTTTGGGGCTATTCATTACTTCTGTGATAATTGCCGGATGGTTGATTTTGCATTCCGGTTTCATTTCCCCTTTGTCTGGGGACTTTGAAATACACACAGCAAACCTCCCTTTGATAGCTTTGATAATGCCCCATGCAGAGCAAACAACTACACTTAGTACTACCATTCGTACCGAAACCAGATCGGCCGCTTTAATCAGTCCTCTCCCGAACCGCGGAAACCTTAACGCCTAACTCCTCATCCAATGGCCACTTGCATCCCTTCCATAACCCTATCTGACCTGACCAATTCCAAGCATACAGGTGCCCCTTGGGGCGATGAAAATCGCGACGCCAGCACCACAGGCTGTGGTAGAGACAACCCGGTGATCCGGACATTCTCCTTCCTCACCAGCTACTCAATCCCATAAATACCCGCCGTCAATATCCAACCAAAACCTCGAAGTCTCTCCTATACGGCCATCACACCCGTTTCTGTATTTCAACTCCCCAAAACACCCAGCACCTCCCTCCCCTCTCCTGCCAACTTCTCCCCCTCCTCCCCCACCAGATCCCCAGCGCCCTCCAAATCCGCCACAGCCGCTTCTAAATCGCCTACCAAGCCCTCCATCTCCCTCCTCTGACTCTCAATCTTCTGCACCAACGCCGCATTCTGCGATTCCACCGTCTGTAGCTTAGCATTAAGCAGCGATTGCTGGGATGCCAGATGAGGCGCTAGATGTGCGTTTAATAGAGCCTCCGGGGGGAGTGTATGCGGTGGTTGTTGCGGAGGAGGACTGGGATAGGAGCGCTGACGACGTCGAGCATCCGCTATTATGTCTTCGAGGGCATTGAGATGGTGGACTACATTGCGTTCTTGGAGGATGGTGTCGAATTCATCCTGTTAACCATACTTTTATTAGTATCATGTATTTCCCACATGGGTAGCTTTTGGGAAGGGGAAAAGCACAGATTAGGACAGCTACTGACTAAAGCTAAACTCCTCAGCCGCGAAACCATTTGCCCGTGATATGCGTTGAGTGCTGCGGGGGCTTCCGCGGCTATATGAGGAAAGCATTCTGCGAATGCGTCGTAGGGTATTGCGCTGAGGGTTGCCTTGAGGGTCTTTTGGTAGAGAGTTGTGAAGGCTTGCGCGCGGGGACCTGGTGTGAGGGCTGTTGGAGGTTGGGGAGGCGGAGAGGGTGAGAGTGCCTCTGTATTATTGGAATTCGGGTTAGAGGTTGCTTCCGCTGGGTGCGCTGGGTGCGCTGGGGGCTCATGAGATGTGGGGAGTTGTTCCATTGCTGGTGTAGGGCGGAGGGCGAGACGTCTGGTGGGGATTGGTTCAGCGCACTTGATTTTCCGGATGGAGTCAATCTGGTCCTAGCAATTAACCAAATACTCAATCCGTTTGACATACTGTGGTGTGGTTTGGCGCATTCTTTGGTGGAGGAGATATAAGTCAACGCGGTCGCGACGCCCATGTTTTGGTACCGCCCACTAGCGCAAGGCTTGTCAGCCTTGTCCTCTCCCCTATTTCCACATCCGCTTGCTCAATTCAACATAGCCTGTAAAATTCCTTACCACAAGTTTGTACCGTACAGTCACATCATATCAGCCAATTTTGCAAGGTCATTAAATTTCTTTCCGAATCTTTCATCAGCTGCCTCATTATCGATACTAGATAGTCGCGAGACTACAAATTGTACCGATGCCATATCATGCCAAACCAACCCAGGTGACAGGAACGTAGTATGTTACAGCCAGAACTCCATGAAAATGCCACATACCCCCAAAATCATACTCAATCATCAATCCACCTCACGTAAAATCCATAGTTGTAGGTGGCCCACTACCCTGCCTATTCCTTTCCAGCCTCCTCCGCCGCCGTCGCTCAGCAGGATCCTCACTCACACTCCCAGGACTCATGCCACTCCAGGTGCCGTGGCTTTCAGGACTTCCTATACTCCCAGTACCGGCGCCCAGTGCGGACGAGTCTCCTGGCCTACCACTATAGTATGCGCTATCCTTTGGTTTCCTACCACCTGCGAATGCGGGATGGGGAGGGCTCAGGGGCGCCATTGGAGGAGGTGGTGCATCAGTAGAAGCACCGGCTTCTGCTCTCCTCTCTGCTTCCCGTTCGGACCTTCGGTATCGCGGCCTTGGAGCAGGGACCTCACTCCCACTCAAACTACTGAGACTATCTGCTCTCCGCCTCCTCTCTTTCTGGGCCTTTCTTGCTTCTCGTTCTGCTGCTGCTTCTTGTTCCGTAAGACGTCTCAATGTTACGTTCCGGTCCTTGTCGTTATGTACTTTTAGCTTTAGACTCACGGGGTCTGCCGCGGCGGATGATCGAGCTCGACTCCTACTCCTCTGCCTCCTTGCCTCTTCTTCGGCTGCTAGTCCAGCCGCTGCTGCTGCTGCTTCTGCAGCAGCAGCTTCACCCGCTCGCCGTCGACTTTGTGAAGGTCGACGGTGTGGATGTCCGCCCTGGGACAAGAATGATTCAGTGCCTGATTCACTTTGGTGTAAGATGCCTTGCGGGTCAGGGGGATGTGGAGGCATAGCCACAGAGTCAGTTATATCGTGCCTTGATCCGGATGGTGGTATAGTAGCGCCTGCTGCACCTCCCGCCGCAAATGCCGGAGGAACTGGTGGGATTGAAGAGCCTGGCCGAATCGTATGTGGATCATCAAGAATAGATGACAGGTCTGATGACTCTGTGTGTTCACCTCGCCGGCCGTGGCGACGACCAGTAGGGAAACCGTCGCCAGTGAATCGTGGGCCACCAGGTGCTGCCCCATGGCGCGCGCGACGCTCTTCTTCAATTCTCTCGTCCTCAAGTCGGTCAAGACGATCCTGTTCTTTTTTGTGTTTACGGTCGTTCATTTTCTTAGCAATCCAACCCAGGCCGAGGCCAGCCATAACGCCCTTCGCCACGCCATGCTGGGACTGTGGACGACGAGATGGAGAAAGTTGAGTGGAATCGTACGAAGAACTATAGCTGGAGCTTCGCGAGTGCCGGTGAGCTCGTCCAGGTGTCACAGGTCCGGGTCCACCAGCGCTCATAGCAGAAGCGCCTGCGAGAGGGCCTCCGGGACCAGGTAAAGTCGGAGTTCGAGGTCGTCGACCCTCTTCCAATCTGGTGTCATCACTGATGACGCTCTCGTCATGTCGTCTATGGCGGCGTGAAGGTGTGTCTGGCGCCACGGAAGAATACTCGTCTTCATGCTTCCTATCCTTCCTCTTGTCGAACCAACTCTTTGCCAAAGCACCGACCCCAAGAACGGCTGCCCCTTTCAACACAGTGTCCATCATACCGCCACTCTCTTTTCGTCGGTGATTGTTATATTTCTCATCCTCAATATAACTTCCACTTCCTCTCCGACTTGGCACCACCTCATCCCGCCTGCTCCTACTCCGGCTTCTGCTTCGATCCCTGTGACGCCCAGCCAGCAAAGCCGCGGCTCCTGCGCCTGCTGCTAGAGGGAGAAGCCCCCCAAATCGACTCGACTTTCGATCTTCGATCACTGTGCCACCATGACTACTTTCCATCATTCCATCAAATGGAACCATCGCCTTGTAGCTAAGCACGAACCATAATACCACCAGGAATACCATCCAGAGCGTATACAAGATGAAAGTCCACTTGGGGCTCCCATAAAGCGTCAATCCCAGCGGGACTTGCGCAATGGCCAACAGGGCAATTGCTCGTCCAACCCATTGATGCAAAACCAAGATTATAGGGACCTTCCTCCTAGCCCTCTTCTTCTCTCTTCTGTGAATGCAACCTCCTCCTATAGCCTGGACCAGTATTAACACATAGATGGCGAGACCGATTCCATGATGCGGATTCGTAAGACTGCGGTTTTGACCAACGGCGAACCAGCCGAGCGTAAATATCACAGTGCTAAGACCCACGGTTAACACTTGTAGATAGATATGGAATCTTAGCGCCCAGCGAGGTGATCGTCCGTAAAATCGGGCTGTAAATATGGCGGCTGGGACGATGAAGAGGAAGGTTATTACTGCCAGAACCGCATGGCCTTTAATCAAGGTGTGGTATCCAGGCATATCTCTAAATCGATTCCCCATACCTATTCAACATGACAGATTCCATTAGCACATGTTCTTCCTCGCTTACAACACAACACAATCATAATAAATAGGAATACCGTACCATTATATCTCATTGTCTCAAAATTCAGCCCTACGAGATTGGGCAATAGAAAATCATTCCTCCCAGAATCCCACGTGCCATCACCCACATACATCGTATTCGAGGAATAAGAGCTGCTGCCCGGCGGCGACAGATTTTCATTAGCTGGCGCCATCACGGGAACGATGTGTTGTGCTGGCCCTCGAGGGGCAGCTCTATTATTGTTCAACGGCTACCCTATGCCACTCTATGGCGAGGAAAAGGCGATAAGCTGCGAGTATCAATCGATGCGATATCGATAAGTAGCCGTGGAATGGATCAACGAAGGTCGGATCTTGTATCGAGAGACTTTTTGATGCTTGTGTATCGCTAGGAATGCATCGAGTAGCTGAAAAAGTCCTGGCGGTGTGTAAACACGCCTTATCGGCGTTATCCGTTTCCCGGGCGATGTCCCACAATCCGAGGGCTCTGTACGACGTCTTTCCGGCCTTAAAGATACTTCATAGGATTGATGAAGATTTGTCGCAAAATGAATGGTTTCTGAAGATGGGATAACACGGATAGCTGCACTACGTCCCGTTGGGAGCTGGAGGTATCATGGGAGTGGGTGGTCCACTACTCCGTGGTTGCGCGGGGTGACGGTGCTGTTGACGTGGGCCAATTACTTCGTACCGCTGGATGGCCAGACAACCGTTGTGACGAGCTAACGACCTCGGACGAATCCTTCGCCTGCCTCGACATTGAACAATATAAATGCAAATAAATGCAAATAAATGCAAAACTCTATCTAATTCAACGAATGCCTATATAAATCTTGCATCACCCTATAAGCAATCTCAAAGATGGCTTTAATTTTTGTAATTCTCGTGCAGCATGGCTTCAGGACCTTATCCCATTATTTTGCAATCTATAGCGAAGTTTCGCAGCGCAGAATAACCACATAATTCGTCAACGAACTCCTATATCTGTTCAATCTTCATCTCTCATTTGCTGCATCTAGGACGTTATTGGCTGTACTAATGTGGCACTCAATATTGGTCTTCAATTCCTCCTGCCTATCCAAATAATTGAACTAGATACAACTCACCTTACCCCAGCATTATATCTAAAGCTCGGAAGATCATCCCTCTCTCTCGCAATTTTAGCAATGTAGAGTAAATTTCCCAGCCCAACGAGATCCGGACTCGCACGGGGGTTGTGGCAGCAACATCGTCCTATTATACTAGCTA